AACTTTACCACCCTCAAATTCAATTTCCTAGAACAAATGAAATCATATTGTTTTGCTATCACATGTGTATTCAGATCACAGGTTAGAAATAAAAAAATATAGACTTTATTTCTAACAATTGCACTAATTAACAAACTCCCTCGCGCCAGAAAAGTGCTCTTTCTTTGTCTGGTTTTTTCACGCGATTTGCACAAAAAAGGAACACATTTTATTCCGCGTTAGAAAACTGTGACAGAGAAATTGGAACGAGTTTTGATGTGGCAAAGTTTTAGAAAAAGTTTCTGAATCGACACGTTTTTCTGTGATTTTCAAACAAATCTAAAACTTGTTTTACCATAAAAGAGAGAAAAATTATGGAGCAACCTGGAATAATAATCTTTTGATATTTGGGTGTTCCTGCTTCGATTTTCTGAAATCTTCTAGAACAGACCTTCGAATCGCTCCAGCTGTTCTCTGGACTTTTCCACGTCATAACTTATTGTTCCCCCTGTTTCAATGAAAAAATTGTGAATCACTCTTGGACTTATTCTTTTAGTGCTCTCGACTAAAAGTTGTATTTGCTACGTGTAATTCGAATCCGCTTTCTGTCAAGATAACCCCGTTCTTATCCTCCCGAAATCCGATTTCCACCCATAAAACCCAGTTTTGTTATTTTCCTGCTTCCTTCTTCCTCCGTTTTGAATTCCCTCCAAGTCAGACAGAAAATCTCTTTTTGATCTCTTTTCATATTCATTTTCCCGGAATTGTTGATCGAGTGCAAAATTTTGCACAATATGGAAAATCTGAACATCCCCTTTTCGAAAAAATAACTGAGGAAAAATAAATATTTCCGTCGACCCGGAAAGCTTTTTTTGGAGAGAAGAAAGAAAAAAATGAGTCAGCTTTTGGGTTGTGAAATCGAAAAAACAAAATAAATTGAGTTTTGGAAAGAGGGTGGAAACATTTTTTGGTCACATTTTTGAACTTGTTAGCTTATTTAATTGGAAATCATAAGATGAGTGATGATGAGAAATTGTTGAACTCTGAATAATATTGGACTTTGTGGGACTAATTTTTGAATGATTTCGATGCTGGTTTTTTAATTTGTGGTCTTGGTTTTTTGGTTTATGAAACCTTGAGTTCACAAAAGGCTTTAGGTCACTTTCAAGGTCATTCAAAAATTCATACTTCGAGTAATCTCTATTCTCAAGTCTCAAGTCGCGCAAAAAATTCCAAATTTTCTCAATCGGACCCTGACCCCTAGGCCACAGCTATTTCTGCATACCCCATTCTAGCCTTCCTCGAAACATGTAGCCTAGAAAATCGGAATCAAAAAATCGCTAATCACAACTTTGAACTCTTATTAATTTACTAATCTCGAGACTTTTTTCTTCAAGACCTCCTCCACTTTTTTGCGTGACTGAAATTGTATTATTTCTTCTTCAAAGCTTAATTAATATAATCCGCGAATCCTTTTGAATTGTTGTGTTTTTTTTCGTAGTATTGAGAAACATGACTAATAAACAAATTCTTCTTCTTTTTGGCATTTTATTTGAAACCCCTTTGCCGAATGTTTCACGTGAAGTTAGGTCACTTTAACCTATGTCCGAGAAAGTTTTTTATCATCAAAAAAGGAAAATCATGAAAATTTTCTTGTAAACATCAATCAGAACTGATATCGACACCCTCCGAAATGAGGAGATTTTTTTTGCAAAAAAAACCATGTGTTTTACTAACCAAAGCAAAAACTACAAGAAATCTGAATATTTTATGAGATCACTAGAAATAGGGAGAAAAAACGAAAGTATAATTGAATTGAGATAATTTACTACATATTACTATGTGGAAAAACATAATTTGTAAATATGATCAAATTTTTGGGCAAATTGTACTATGAATTATTTTTGCTTTTTCGTGGTGATAAGGAAGTTGGCAGCTATCTTTGAAAAAGTGAAACGTTTGCAAGATTGTTGTTTTTGTAATGAGAGATCGAAGGTTAACATCGAAGGGTTCTGGAATTATTGTAATTTCTATATATTTATAACACAAATTCATGTCAAAGTACAATATTATAGTTTTTATTGAAACAAAAAAAAACTTTCAAAGATTATCAATCCAGTTTTGAAAAAGAGAAGAAAAATCAGTGATAACTAAAAATAGTTGAAAAAGAAAAGTACATGGTTTTTGAAAATCATTGACCTTTTGTGTTTAGATGATGTATATTAAAAATTTTGAGGAGCTCTGATCCCGCATCAAACTCAGAACTGAACAATCGAAAATTGAAAGTTTACCTATTGAGTTAACTGATTGTGAGAAGCTAAACATGGGGTTTTAAATGAGAGGTTTTCAAATAGCCGTGTTCCAGCTTCAAACTTTGATTTCAAAATTGGAAAATTAGAAACTTACCTGTTGAGCTATTTGGGCTGAAAAACACGGGGCATCTGACATCAAACCAATGATAATATTGGTCTTTGTCGGAGAATAATTTTGAATAGGACCGTTATTACAAACAAAAATTAGAAAAGTTCAATAGGGTCTCTGAAACACACAGTGGTCAATGATAAAACAACCAAGATATTTGTGTTTCTATTTTTTTCGAAACCAGTTTCCCACCAATATAAATTTATCAGTTGTACTTTTATTTATAGAAACACTGCGTCTTCTTCTTCCCCAAACCTTGTAGTATCCCAGATATAAATAGAATGATGTTGTTGAAAAATGCCTGATATTATTCTATTATATATTTCATCTGGAGTTTGTCTAATCTGTGCTCCTCTAAATACTTCAGCTATCAGCAATTTTATCAAAGTTCCACTGGCAGCGAAAAAAACACGTGTCGTTCATATTTCTGCTGACCTGACAGTCACCAAAAATGCTGTGTTCTTTGTTTTGCCAAATAACTTTCTCTGTCTTATTTCCTATTTAGTGTTGTCCTCGAGAATTACACGTAGGTAGGTAGGTATTTTAAGACAAGGAAAAAACTTTTTAAGAAATACGACTTTGACAAAAAGAATTTGCCCGTTTTTGTATCAGAAGCAGACAGTTTTTTGGTTGTAATAATTTAGAGAAGACTTGGAACGGGAAAGAAATTGATTTGAACTTTTGAATTTCGATTTGAAACTTGACATCACTTTCAGCTGTTGTTACGTTTCAGCTCAAAAGTGGGTCATTAGAAAAAGCAGGTGTAGATCAAACTATTTCAAGAATTGACGAATTTTTGCGTGGAAGAAAAACAGCATGTGAAAATGTGTATTCTCAACAAAAAAAAACAGCCCACATTTTATTTCACACGCTGTCTTTCAAAAAGTTGTCTTTGTCGTATTTTGGAATTTTCAATATTTTCTAGCTATCATTTCCGGAGCTCTCAATCTAGCTCAATTTCATGCTTGAAAGCTTCAGCTCACTTCATTTCATATCAATTTCAAATCACAAAACTTTTTTCTCTTGATGTCATTTTTCATAATGCTGCCAAACGACGCGCAAAAAACTTGATTAGTGCTTTTTGACGACAACATTTGCAGAACACGAAAAAGCAGGTGCAGAACTCTTTTTTTTTGATAAATAAACTCTGTACACACAAAAATCGCACTTTTTTGGCATTTTGTCGAGGTGGAAAGGACATTTTACGTATTGGGAAATAGAAATCAGATTTTGGTATTTCCGCTTTTCAGAATCAGGAACCAAATAACTTTCTTCAAAAGGTTATCCAAAGGGTTGAAACAATACATTTTGAGCCAAGTCCATTCGAATTTGTCTCCAACAAATCTGGAAGATTTTCTAGTTTTCAAGATTTGTTTACTTTTTTCGAATCTAGTTCAGTTTTCGAACAGGAAATGTCGTAAATCGGAAGGAAATTGTAACATTTACAAAATTAAAAACGTGTATTTATTTATGATGTGTTGTTTTTGTTTTTGATTCGAACTAGTTGACTCGAATTTTCTATAGTTCATCAAATTTGACTAGAAAGTACACAGTTTTTTAGACACAAATTCTTCGAATTCTGTGTTGTTTCTAGTGAATAGCAATATTGGCTAAATTGAAGTTCAATCATCGAACATCTAATTGTAAGAATTAGATGTAGCTTGTGATTTATCTTAACTCAAAAAGCGATTTTGAATTCTCAAAATATTTTCCATGAGAAAAACTGTCGAGGAAAACTGAGAGCCTTTACACAAAAACCAAAAATGTTGCGGTTTCTGAAATCACAACATTTCCTTCCGGTGAAGTTAATCTTCAATATATCCAATTCCACCGGAAACACCTTCGCAACAAATCATCGAGAATCAAATATGTTTTGACCAAATGAAAAAAGAAATGTTCAATTTTCTGCTGGACAATTGGATAGATAAGAGAACATGGGAAAATAGATTATAGTTGGTACAAAGTAACAAGAAAACAACGTGGAGACGAAGGAATTCGTGGGTAGAGTATCAAGGGTACACAAAACATTGACCCGATGTGGAAATGGAAGATCTTTGGAAAAGTTGAATATTTGGGTTGGAACAAGGAAAAAATTCTAGAGAATCTTAAAAACGCTGAGTAAGAAATTCATGGAAAATTGGGAAAATTCTGAAACCAAAAATCTAGAAGCTCCCAGATTTGAAAAACAAATCTAAAAAGTTTTGCACGATTCTAGAAATAATTCCAGCCGGGGAATTCCATCTGGAATTTGAAATAGAAAGCATTCACAAACTTCATACGTTTCAAAACGTTTTTCTAGATCAGAAAGTGCCACTCTGAACGTCTGCAGATTCTGTAACTTTTCTTACAAAATACCAACAAAAAAACAATGTTAAAATGAAATGTTTTCATTTAGTCAAGTTTTAAACGAAACCCGCAAAATTCAAAAAAAAAATAAGTTAATAACGAGATCGAAATAATGAGACCAAAATAGAAAAAAAATAGAGATCAGCAATAGAAATCGATTAACCCATAAGTAAAATATAAGTTAAGTTAACACACAAAAAAGGATATGATTTGAACTGGAAACTGGGGGAATAATGGAAAAAGAGAAGATAAAACTATGCCAATTGCTGCATTGATACTGATACGGTTGCTTGTAAAGCCGTTGCTTGTACCCGTAGATTTTTAAAAAGGTCGGTGATTGAATTTGTGCGACTTGATGAAGATGATTTACGGGAAAGATTTTGAACTTGAAGAACTGGCGAGGTGAATGCTCTTTTAAGTGGTGGTGGTTGAAATTGACGAGCAGATGTGGAAAATGAAAATGGGCGCACTGAAAAATAGAAAAAATTAAAATACGTTTCAAAAAAATGAAAAAAATTTAATTACCTGAAGGAGTAGTTTGCGCTTCTGAAATAGCTTGAATGACTTCTCGTTCGGCTTTTCGTTGTAAAACCATAACACCAGGAGTCCGTGATGGAACTGATTTCATTGCTTCGAGACGATCGATTGGAATTTCGAATATCATTTTGTTGTATAGTAGTGGAAGTTGAAGTTAGTGTAAAAAAGCGAAAATTTTTTATTATCACTGAAAAAAAATTCGTTTCTCTTTTATATAACACACACAATTTTCGGCCACGCCCATCGAAGAGGCGGAGACTCGCTTTTTTCGTTTTGCGTTTTTTTTCTGCTTGGATTTGAGAAAATGAGGGTGAGGGTGGGGAGGGGCGGAGCCAAGAGGGTTCACGTAGGTGGAATAATAATAAATCACGTGAGAAAAGAAACTGTTATGAAAGATGTTCTGGGAAATTCGAAGAAAAGATGATTCATAGGTTTTTGAAAATGGAAAGAGAGAATTAGATAAACAGTGAGAAAAATGTGATCTTCCAAAAATGATTTCGAAAGTTCTAGACGTTTAGAAATAGTGTCAATCCAAAAAATATGAACCGAGATATTATTTTTCGAGAGGATTCTGGAGCTCCAAATTGAAAAAAAAATTATATTGATAGCTTAGATTTAGATGCCAAAGAAAAACTATACTTGAAATTCTAAGAGCCGATGTTCTCTCAAATTTCTAGAATTTTCTAGAAAAATTGGGAGATCTGAGGTTCTGAAGATCAGGAATCTATTATGAAGCCTATCCTTTTTTTCTTTAAAGACACATCAGCCACTGGAAAAAACAGATTTCCCGCATTTATTTTCAAATGACAAAAACAGCATGTGCGCTCTATTGCTTCGTTGTGTGCAAACACTTTCGAAAATCCCGTCGGCTGAGCGATTTCAAAAACAATTATTTTGTTTTTTTCCCTTTTGCCAGACTCAAAATTTTTTTCTTGATTTTTATGAATTCCGATTACTTGAAAGGTGTTATGAAAGAATAACAAACTCATTTTCTGTTCATTTCTAGTGGATTGTGTGTCTTTAAAATTTGAATTTTGAAAAGGCAGTGACCTCACAATGTTCGAATAAAGCTGACACATCATCTTTAGCTAATTGCCACCCTCTTTTCAAAAAATTGGATTATTTGTCATTTTTTGTCTCCTTCATCTTTTTTTTGCTCATCTATGGATTTTCCCAATTTCCGCTTGAACCTTCCATGTTCAATTTTGAAAATGAATTGAAGTTGGAGTTTGCTCCAGCTCAAAAAGTTCACGGCAAATCTCAAGTTACACAACTTTTTTTTCAAAAAAATGTTGCCAAAAATTTTGGATTAAACATTTGTGGGTCTAACAAAAATGACTCAAAATGTGTTCCTGATGTTGATATGGATGGAAATTTGGCGAACTTCTAGGGTTGTGTAATGCTTTGCGCGCTGTCGGGCGCGGTTTTTGAATCAAACAAAAATTTTGAACCGGGTTAGAGAATTTGTGGAATTGTTGGAATTTTGGGTAAAAATCGAAAACGAGATAGCCGAACTCTGATCTAGCGATAATTGCTAGCTACCTAACAATTAGCTCTCTCTCTTTTTTTTTCATTTCGAAATAAAAAATGCTATGTTCCGGCTTCAAAGAAGTCTACTTTAGCCTTAGCTTTTAATTATCACTTTTGAAATATCAACAGAGAACAAGTTGGTTGTTCATAGCTTCCTTGAAGTGGCAGGTGAACATTTTTGAAAACTGGAAACATAACCTGACAAAAGTGAAGTTAAGTTTCAAAGAGATCAAAGTGAGGGTGGAAAGAATGATCAAGTTACACAAAACAAAACAAAACTAGAAAAAGTTTCGAGAAAATTGAAAAATTGTTTTTATTGTCATTGTTATTGTTGTTGTTATTTAGTTTATCATCATTTCCGATTGACATTTTACACGTGACGCGTTTCAATTTTTCAACGCCAAGAAAAATTGTCATTGGCTAAACGAACGTTTGCTCGTATCTTTCACGCAAAATGATGTCATATCTCTTTTATCTTTTTTTTTTTGCTTCGTTGTTGTGACTTTGTGTTTCGAGATCAGAAAGTCACGTGGTTCAGATCAAAAGGTTCTCTGGAGTAAACACAAATGAACGTTTATAGTTTTAGTTTTTGAATGAGAATTGAAACAGAAAGAGATAGATTTGATAAATAATTGGGGTTTTCCGTTAGGAAACGAAAAAAAAAGAAAGGAAGTTACGAGTGAGGGTGGAAGAGGAACTTGGAGTTCGCATTATAATGGAATATTTGGAGCGTACTTTAAACTTTTTTGGGGGAAAATGAACTTTGTCAGAATAATTTTTTTGAAATCTCAACTGAGACTTCTGGAACTTGGGCTGAAGCTTTTTCTTAATTTTCAGCTCGAGTGTTTCTGAATTTTGAATGAAAATTAAAGCTTTTCATTCAAAATATTAGCTGAAGCTCATTTTTGGTCCAAACATTTAATGTTTTTAGAGTAATTAAGAGCAATTATTGAAGTTTGGGAGAAACTTGAACTTTGAATTACATTTCAGATTTTTGAACATTGATTTGTTTTGAGAGCAACTCTGTTTCTTGAAAAAGAGTTCATAAAACGTAAGAAAAACAAGTTTTTGTGTACATCGGATTATTTTATCAAAAAATCTGTGCTCTCTAAATTCTTGATGATATTTATTTTGTAAATAATTTTGTTAGATCTCAGAAATCAAGGTAACAAACCATTAATTAATTATGGGGCAATGTCTTTTAAAGAAATATTACCTCGAACTTTTTGCTGAAATTCTAGATTATCTTCAGCTTAACCCACAATTTCCTAGCTTATGACATCCCAATAAAAAAACTTGGAAAGATTTGACTACTACTGAACTGCACAAATTGAAAATTCTTGGTATTTCGTGACACCTAAGCAGCTTTCTCGTTTTATTTGGCAAAAATAAGAATTTTCGAGGAGATTTCTTATTTCGTTGTGATCTGCTTCGGATCCGATTTGCAAAAAAAAAAGGTTGACAAGGGAAAGTTTAAGTTTAAGAAAATTTAGAACTTGGGTTATATTGGAAGAAAAGAGAAAATGACCAAGTCCGCCTGATTAAACTATATTTGCAATATTTTTGAATTGTGCCAATATACTTTTGGTTTATTTGGGAGTAACACAATCAAAAAGAAGTCGCGCCAAGTTACCCACCGATTTTTGGCATTTTCTTTAATGATTAGTGAAGCACATTTATGAATCCGACCCCAGATCTATTTTAAGGTGATAAATTCAGAATATGGAAACTGTTTTCAGAATTCCAGGCCTACTGAGATTTAATAATAGTCGACCAATTTTTGAACCATTCAGAAGTATTTTCAAAAACATGACATGACCCGATTTTTTCTCGGTGGTACAAGTTTCACTGAAAATGCGATCATTATATTCCCATTCAAAAATTCTGAAGTTTTGTTCCAGTTCAGAATTTTCCAAAACTTTACACTGATTTGATTTAATTCATCAAAAATCGAGCGTAGTTGTTTTTGGAGTTTTGAATTGTAAAAGAGCAAAAAACAATAGAGGATTTGAGTCACAATAACTATAAGGGAACATTTTAAATGATCATTCATCATATTTTCCGATTGAAAACATTAGTATTTTGAAAAAAGTTCATGAAAACGAAACACATTTTTAGTCGTTCTTATCAAATTAGTATTTTTTGTGTTCCATCACATCAAAATACATTCAAAAAATCACAAAGTTTGTAGTCGCACCGTAAGAACTCGTACATTTTTTCTGTTTGTCGAATTATTCACTCAGAGAAAAAGACTAAAAACGAGGCCAAATTGAATAATTTATCAGCTAATTTATCCAAAAATCATCATTTTCTACTTTTTTTCCGATTTTGTCATGTCTCAAAATTTCGAAAACTTTTTGAGATCTAGATACAAATTGAAATAGCATTAGCTATAAAAAACTAGAGAAATATTGTAGCGTTTATTAGATATAATCTGAGGGTACTGTAGATATAATATTTTGTGGTTCTTTGGTTGACAAGAAAAATAAGACCAAAAAACGAGGTATACGGTAGGAAGATATGGGTTTTTTGTTGAGGAAATCCGAGGATTAGATAATAAAAATAATTATTATTCAAATCCAGATCATTTTCGAGTCGGATTGGATTATTGAAAAAGGAACTGGAAAAAATATGCGATGTTTTTCACGTTTTTTTGTTGAAATGATGTTTTTTGAAAAGTTATTTTTGAAACAGATAATGGGAGGATTAAATTTCAAAATTTTGTGATTTTTGAGAAAAAAATAAAAGCTTTGAAATATGGAACAGGAACAGTATATGTTTTTAAAGTGAATATGAATTTAAGCTTGGAAGTCTTCAAAAAAGGTTGATAATATACATACTTTGAATTTTTGAGAAAATTTAAAAATATAAAATCAGTTTATAGGTTTTGAACAACTAGAACATTTTCAGTTTCAATTAATTCTTCATACATCTAGCTGCTGAAAAATCCAAGTTTCTAAAATCTCAGAAAAAAATTTTTAGCTTAAAAACTCGGAATTTTTATGATCTTTTTGAATTTCACAAAATACGAAAATCAAAAACCAATACTCATCTTCGATCTGAAAAATTTGTATCAAAGCACTTTTTTCTTTCTATCTAGACTTTTTGTATCAAAAATACCTAGTACATACACCATATTTTGAACCATACAAATGGTTGACTGAAACCAAGTCCGCATAAAATTCACGAAAGCAAAAACCGCATTTTTTATGTGATCACTTTTTGCTTTTTCATGTTTCGTCAAACTTGAATCAGTTAGTCAGTCAAAGTACAAACTTTTATCAAAAATTAAATTTTTTGGGCATCACATTTTTTGCTAATGAAAAAAGCCCAAGTTTGACAAAGTACAAAAGTAATATTGTTTTTAGCACTTTCTGAATTAATAAAATATATACGATTGCACTTTAATGGAATGCAAAAAAAAAAGAAATAAGTCAAATCTAGCTCAAATCAATTCTACAAGTGCAAAGTCTGGAAAATACATTCGTGTTTTTTTCTGATAAGATAAATGATTGGAACGGAATTTGATTATTTTTGGTTTTACAGCAAGGGGACAACTTTTGGCCTAATTCCAAAAATGTGATTTTTGTATATATTTTTGGAGAAAAATCTTTTCATTGTTATTTTTTCTATTGAATTGGATAATAAATATTTGGTTATTTATATAATCCAATGTTTTGAATTTCAAGAATGATGTGTGTTTTTGATATTTGAAAAAGTTATGATTTTTGTGCCGAACAGGGGTTCAGACAATTTAAGATCTTTGTTCACGATTTTGTTTACTTGAATTGGTTGGTTGAAAATACAAATCTGTGAACTTTTAAAATGTATTTTCCTGAACTTCTCGGAATTTTAATCAGCCCGGATTTCAGAAAACAATAACAAGTCGCTTGTTCAATGAACCCAAACGTTTGTCTAAATTTTTTTGCAAAAGGGATCTTATCAGTGTAGTAAAACTTGATTAATTAATTGCAAAGTTCACCCTATAAAAGATTAGAAATGATGTTTTTCTTTGAGCAAGCGAACTTATTTTTGAAAAAAATCTTTGATCGAGTTAATTAGGCGAGATAATTGACAATCCCAGAAGAATTTGCAGAGAAAAACAAAACCATCGGATTTTTGGGTGATATCAGGGTAAAGAAAACTAGAAAATCAAACATCTTATAATTTTTCAGAAGATTTTATCTTGAAACAGATTAGACAAGAATTATTTTTGTTTTCTTCTGGTTTTGAGTAATCATAATGTTCGACCAGACCGATCAAATGTTCTCAAATTTTTTGATGGTGTACTTGAAATCTTTTTTTTTTTTTTTCGAAAAGTCCATTGAAAAATAGGATAAGACCTTTCTCGACAAAAATTTTAAAATAGCGCATTTTCGCACATTGAAGCTTCAAGTTTTATCTGGGATTTTTGAAGGACAATCGGATGAAAAGTACCAAATGGGAAAATGAATGAGACAAAATAACAATGAAGTTTTAGGGGATAGAATTTGGATTTCTAATTTTTATTTTCCACCTACAGAACAAAGAGGCTAACAAAAATTTGTAAATTTATGACAACGACTGAAAGTTGTTGATCTTTTAAATTAATGGAGTCAATTCCAGAAACATTTTGCTTTAAAAACAGTGTGTGAAAACAGGAGCGCACAGAGACAGAAGCAACAAGTGCGCTCTAGCGAACTGCCAGGAAAAAAATAATTTTCGATTTGCAAATCATGATTTTTCTTTTTTGTTGCGACTTTACAATTAGGCTTTTAATCAGCGAGAAATTTGTGAATTTTCAGATTATCGAAGTGAACAATCGACGGCGAATGGAAACTGGGATGCGAAGGATGCAAAAGACTACGAGAAATTCAAAAATACCGTGAGTAAAAGAATACTGATGTAATTTTCGGCTAAAAAAATTCAAATTTTTAAGATTCTTCTGGAAACTTCGAAGCGGAAATGGCAAAATATTCATGGAGCAAAAATAGAAGGTCGGTTATTTGTTTTCAAAAATCAGCAAATTTATTGTACTAAAACAAAATATGTGTAATCTAAAAATATACTAATTATAAGTTTAATTATCGATTGGGGTGACTACTTGAACACTTTTAAACGCGTGATTCTGAAAATTGGAATTGTTTTTGAATCTGTGAATTGAGTTGACACTTGAGATTCCCATGTTTCAAAAGTCTTAATCTAGTATTAGACTACTTTTTCTCAGCTCTTGTACGCTTTTGTCTGAAATTTACGACGTCGCGGGTTTTTTGAGTTTTGTACTGTCGCTGAATTTTTGATGAGAAATCGCTGAATTTTTGTTGAGAATAAGCCGAGTGTTATAATTATCCAGAAGTGTGTCTGATCATCGTTTTTCTCGCTAAAATTATCCTAAAATCCAACTAATACAAAAAACATGTCAAAATTCGAAAACGTCAAAAAATCCGAATTCGTGTGTCATAATTCCAACTAGATTATCTTCTTATATTTTTTTTTGTACTTTGTTTGGATTTCAACATGTTTCTTATTATTAGAGTACACATATTTTGTTATTTTTTTTCGAAAAGGGAAGTGTATTGTGAATTGAATACACGTTGATTATGTTTACACCTCCACCACCTTCTTCTTCTTTTATTTTTGAATGAATGAATGGATAGATGCCAGAAAAAATGAATGGAGATGATGAGTAATTGTGAATTATAAACTTGAGAACTTTTGATAACTTGATAAAGTCTAGGGAGACTCAAATTCTTGCTGAGAAAATTTCTCTGATAATAATAAAAGTACATTTGAAATGTTTTTGAGAATCGAGAAAATTATAATGATAATAATTATTTTTCCAATTTTTCAAATTCTTGAGGGATTCCAATTGGAATAATTTGTGCGCCAATCGGATTCTGACAACGCATCTTTTAAATCCACAGCTGGAATTATAACATCTAAAATTAGCGTGTTGATTGGTTTTTGATTGTTCTGACACGGCGTGTTTTTCTTGATATTCAAATATTCATTTCAATGATCAGAACACAAAATCGTACTTGTTCAAATTCACAAAGAAGGTGTAAGAGGATTTTTTGGCAAATTCAGGTGGACAAATTATGTTAATTTTGAAGGAGAGACGTTTTTAGGGGCAACAAGCATTAGGAGGGGTTCGGGCTGTAAAAGAAAAATGTATTTGCCACTTTGGAAAATTATTTTGAATTTTATCTTAAATTGATAAAGTCCCTAAAATGATTTTTAAAGTTCGTAGAAGTTTTACTTTTTTGATTTTTGACATTAAGAAAATATGCCAAAAGTAATGTCATCATAATAACAGAATTCCTCAAACCTCAAATTGAGAACTTTAGACATTCTCGAAAAATCAACGATCATGTTGATCATCTCGAAAAATATTTAACCAAGTGAGGGTGTTTTCGAGAGGATTTAAAAATATTATCTCTAGGTTTTCTGAAAAAAATCGAAGATCTTTTCTTCTTATCGCCAGCAATGGAAACATCATTCAATTTAACAAGTTAAAAAACCAATGACCAAAAAAACATGTCAACAAGTACACTGCTGTTTATGTTTATGTTAACTTGCAAAAATCATTTATTCAATAACAAAACACAACACAAAACATGTGATTTTTGGTAGTCATTATTTTTGGCTTCCAAGATTTTTGAGATTTTATGGGTTTTCTTTAAAGGGACCTTCTTATCAAAGTACGAACAAGCCACAGAATCGAATTAATTTTTTATTGTTTGTCAAACGCCCCCGCATTTTTCCCATGACAATTTTCAAAAAAAAAATTAGGGACTTTCAAAACGTCTTTATTAATTAATTAACTCATAGATAAATAGAAATTATGAATAAAATCACAGTGGCAGATAAATAAATGAATCGAGAAACAGAAGATGAGATGATTTGAAGTGGTCCTTCGGGATAAATCGAACTGACTTGAAGAATTTTAGATGTTCCAAAACTGTAGGGTTTTGGTACAGTTGATGGAATCGGCATTGTATTACAATAATTACCATTACAAGTGCAAATGACATAATCGATTGGGATGTTGTTTTGAAATGCGGGAAGAGATTGAACCATATAACAACCTTGAGATCTGAGTTCAGCATAGCCACGTAGATTGTAGCGGAGAAGTTGCTCGAAACAACCGCGAGCAGCAAATGTTGTGTCTGAAAAATGATTTTTATTGTAGCTGAAGATAGTATTTCCCGTTTGGTCTTCTGACTATGATCTCTCTTTTCAGAAAGCATCCCACTCTGTTTTTTAGTTAGAATAAGTCATGTACTCGAGTGCTATCTACTTACTGGGTAAATTTGGAAACAGCGTCACACACATTGAATCTTTTGCGCAAATTTGTGCGTCCATTTGATCAAGTCGATCCAGGTTGAGTTCTTTGCTGGAAAATTGATGCATTTTTGAGGGACACTTCAGAATTTGAGACATTTTTGGAATTGGATTAGATTAGCTTTGTGTCGTCCTTTTTAATAAATTCCTAAAATTAAAAAAAAAAACATTATCTAGAAATTATAGTTCTCATAGATTACCCTCTCTGGAAATCTCAATTTTCTTAGATTCTTAATATTGATTGGAAGTTTTTTCTTCAAAAATTAATCTCATAAACTCAGCAATAAAAAACTAACATTTTTTACACTTTACTCTTAAACTTCACCTACCTGCAATTTGGCGTAGTTACACCATGGGGCCTTAGAAAAACATCAGTCTGCGTTGCAAATTGCCTTCGAACAGCTGCACCATATTGTGTATCCGGTGAAATACAAGTTATACAATTGATAGCTAAAACATTGCGAGCAAAAAATAATTGAACCAAAAATAATGCGAAACTCGAAAATTTCATAATCTCATCCGCGAACCTACAAAGTTATGAGTGAAATATGAGTGATCCTTTTAGGTACATAAATAATTAGTAAAGTAGACCTATTATAACATGGGGTAAGGTAGAAAAAGGTTATAATTAGGAGCCGATTGGGAAAGGGGCCTAATGTATTTACATTTATGATGAATTGGTCAGTCATCCAGAAAATGAATCGAAATTGAAACCAAAATAAGTACATAAACATAAGTATAAAAACATGAAATGTGAATAAAAAGAAAAAGGAACATTTTTGACAAATGTGACAGGAAAAATAACATTTCTCCTAGGGGACAACGGCAAAAAAGTTGGACTGAAATTTTTGGAGAATGTTGGATTTTTGAGCTTCAACGTTTTGGAATCTTTTTCAATTGTTTTCCGCCAAATACTTAACGAATTTCAAAACACTAACAATTCCAAAATTGGAAAATATCTGAATTTTAAGTTTTAGAACACTGAAAATCGAGATCACATTCGAATTTTTTTTGAACTGTGACGTGGAAAATTTCTTTCATAGTAGGTTCAATTTTGGAATTATGTTAAAAAAAAAAGAAAAAAAAACCTTTGCATTTTTGCAAATAAGACTTCAGCTTTTGAAAGAAATTGTGAAAAAAAGTTTCCAAATTTTCTTGAACAAAGGAAAAAGTTCAAAAAGATGTTGAAGAAGTTCAAACAATTCATCTTCTAATGTTAAACAAATGCATTTTTTGTTTATTTCAAAATGTATGCCTTTTTTCTTTTTTTCGACTCGCTCTTTTTCAACTTTTCCTCCTTCTTCCAAAAAAAAACAAAAACATTATTCAAACCGCCGCCAACACCATTCAATTCATCTGGGAACATTTTCAAAAGAAAGAAAATAGCGAGAAAAGAATAGGGAGAAGCTGTTGAATAACCGGAAAACACAAGCAGACTAAATTATGCTAATTATTTCGAGCATTTGACAAAAAAAGAGGACACCATTGCGTTTGTCACCAAAAATGGTGAACAATGGGAAAATGGGTGGAGAGAATGAAAATATGAAAAAAAAAAAATAGATAATTACAGAGAGGTGACTAATTGGTAATTAGTTTGCTCACCTGAAAAGAGGGCTATTTGTTTTTGTATATGAAAATATGAAGTTTTTATTCATCTGAAAAATGTTTTGCGATTTTTTTAAATAAAAAATATAAAATTTTCAAAGACGGTAGATTTCCTTTTTTTTTGTTGAAAAATCTGGATTTTCATCACGAGAAATACGTTTCAAACTCTTATTGAAAGTGAACATTTTAAAAAGAATTTCGATATTATGAACATTTTTTAGGGAGAAATTTTAATTTCTGACGATTGGGAAAGCCTGGTATATCTAGTGAAACCTGGGAATATTTGGCTAATGTGTCAAAGTCTACAAAAACCTAGTGAGGCCTGAGGAAACCTGGTAAACTAACAAGAAAATTGTAAGATGCACGTCATATTTTTATTCTACACAAAAATTTCCAACAAATAAAAATGTACTCATGTGACCGATGAAAAGTCCAATTCTATTCACTTGAATAAACTCTAGTCTCCATTTTTTTCCTGCAAAAAGATACAAAAAACTTGATTGCCCTAAAACTGCTCTAATTTCAGACAAACGAAAAAAAAAACTAAATTGCTGTGCATTTTCATTTGAAAAACATGTGTGTTCGTTCCATTTTCATCCAAATGAAAAAAAAACATATAAAAAATAATAGATAGCTTCTTTTTTTGCTCGAGACAAAACAAAATGTCATAAAATGTGTCACAAAAAGGAGAAGCGCCGCATTTTTATGACTTTTTATGATTATTCTTCTCATTATTAATTTGGAATTTGAAATATACAATGGATATATTATGTTCTCATTTTTATTCAATTAGAAAAATTTGTATTGTCAAGGGAGCTCGAAAATATTGGGAAAAAAGAAAAATCTTTGGAAAGAAAAAAATTGGTATGTTCATATTTTTGAGGAATTTATGAGCTTCGAGCAAAAAATTTGATGTTTGAGAAGAGATGGAAAAATTTTGAGGATCATAAAAAATTTAATGAAAAAACTTTTCCGGATTTCGCACGATTTTTTGGAATCTAGAGAAAATTGAAATTCGAAATGACAGATTTCATTAAATCTCATTTTTCTGTGAACCAGAAATATTTTTAGTGATAAAATTCAACAAAAAAATTAAAACTAAAAATCTTTATTCATCAAAAAATCTTCAAATATTGTCAAAAATTAGGCAATTTCAATAGCTTCCAAATTGAAATTGGCACGATTTTGAGTGAATTTATGAATGAAATCCAAAGTTGTTGGACAATCCTCAAATCCTCGTTGTTTTTTCTCGTTCTTCAATTTCTCAAATTGAGTTGTCAAATTCTTGATACTTTTGTGGAAGTCCTCATAAATCTTCTTTCTCTTATCATTTTCATGCCAATTTTTTTGAACGGTTTCCAAAACTTGATTGAGTTCTTTTGCTTTTTTCTCAAAGTTTTCGATCTTTTTGTTATAATCTTGTTCGGAAAGTTTACCAGTTTTCTGGTTGATTTCCTTCAAAAATTCTTCCGAAAGTTTGCGGATTTTTTCAAGTTGGTCGTGCTGCAAATTTCAAAAAAAAATGATATTTATTTTTCAATAAAAAAAACTTACAACTTTGGTAACAGTCATTGTTAGTGAATCAAATGAATTTGATATGAAATTCCGAAATTCGAAATTACTTTTATACCCTAAAATTATCAATCAGCCTTTGTTAAGCCGTTTACAAATAAAAAACAAAAAATACGGTTTGTTTTTGTTTTTTTTTCTATTTTTTGGAGTCCAATGATAATTGTTCTTTGCTTTTTTTGTATACAAACAAAAAACATTCTGACTTTATGTTAGTTTTTTGGAAAAACACTTTTGAAAAAAACATGAAATGAACATAGATACGTGTGTTCGATTAAAAAAGACATCCGCCAAAGTTTTTCCGGTCAAACATGATGCTCTCATCTTTTTTTCCTTTTTCAATTTTTTCGAAAAAAAACGAGGAAAAAAATTCATTTTGTTTTCCATAAGAAGAAAGTACTTGTGATGATCATCCGATGTTTTCTTTTCATTTTTCTGCAAATTTTGAATATTTTTGTAAATGCATATTGTCCCTTTAATCGGTGAGTTACACTGGAAACTTTTAGGGAATGATTTTCTTACAATCAATTTTATTTTTTTTATTCTAAAAAATCAGAAACACCAAGTGTTCTAAAAGCTAAAGATTCTCAAAGTATTATAAATTTCCTGAAACGTATTTTCCCCTCTCACTCAACCAGCTTCACCCAAAGCATTTTTTTAGAGAAACAGTCGGTTCAACGTTGCTAATTGCAACTGATGATTATCTAACTGTTGAAGCCGGAGACATTGAAACTTGTGAAATCGAAATAAATTCCAAAAATGGAGAATATCTTCTACTTTCCATAACAAATTTCCTGATGTTTTCACATCGAAGACCGAAAAATGATCGAGAAATTATTGTGAAAACTAAAGACTTGCAATTTATTGTAAATAATCAACCAAAGGTAATTTAAGCAGAAGTGGTTTCAGCTTGAACAACAGTTGTTGGTGCATTAGTTGGTGCAGCAGTTGGTACAACTGTTGAAGTTGTTGGTGCTGGTGTGGAAGGTGTTGTGGTGGTCTCAAGTGTGGTAGAAACTGTAGTGATTGGTTTTTGGCTTGGATCATAACTGCATGCATAAACATGTTTCTCGGATTCATCCAAAGTCATCCAACGACGATTCAAAGTGCTAACACCGACTTGATTGAAACCATTTGGATATCCGAAGTTCCAGAAGTTCCAATGCATTGCACTTCCATCATCCCAATAAAATTTAGAAGTGTTTGAAGCTCGTTGGAGACCAATCCAGAATGCACCATTGTTGACACCAGTTTGAGCGTTGACATACGCTGAAAAAAGGGTTTTCTGCATTTATAAGTTTTGAAGATCTACCGTATGCCAAAAAACACTTACATGCAAGATAGCTTCCTTGATATCCATTATGAAGAACAGCCAATGGTCGATTGTGAATGTTGCAGTTATCCTTGGCTTCGGTATAATTGGCAGGTGTTGTGTAAATTCGATAGCACAAATCGTAGATGAAAATATCGTAGAGATCTGGACAATCCAATTGACTTGCTCCAGAGCAAGTAGCCGCCAAGAATCCCAAGAAGAAAACAGTCAAACGAAACATTGCTTGAAAGCTGAGATGTTGTGATCTGATGATAAAACTCTGACTTTACCAGACATTTATGTACCATCTAATATGTTGTGTTTTGTTGGTTCAAGATGTCTGTTCTATACATCAATGTTCTTATTGAGTTTTGCTCACCCACACACTTAATCACACGAATTTCATGTTGTTTGCCTCTTATCAGTGATGTGTGAAAAATACAACTTGTCTTCTCGTCTGGTTTGATAGATCAGGTCATCTGAAAGTCTGATTTTTCCAGGGTTATCAGGCGTTGCGAACACCGATCACACTTCAGATCCCAATGAATCTCAACTTCAGATCTTTGTTATTGTTTACGGAACCGGTTTCGTGTTTTGACTCGGATAATTTTCGTTGTCCAAGACAGGAATTGTGTGCTAGTGAGTGTAGCTACATAATATGACCGGTTAACAATGAATTTAGAAGAGGCCATTAATACATTTTGAGATCAATAGATTGAGTAGCTTCTCTTATAGAAAAAATTATGTTTTCTCCAGATTGCTCTTCATTCTGCATCCCTTTGTTAACAAAATGTGATGGCCTCGATAGTTGTTCGGAAGATGAATCAAATTGTGTAATTTCTCAGCCTCGATCTCCGCCACATTCGAGTTATCGATATGGCAGAGAAGCTTTATCATCAAGTCAAATCATGCTTATCGGATTTTTTGCATTGAATGGATCTTTTATTGTCTTCTTCTTGATTCTTTCACTTTGCTCGGCTGGAATTTGGTTCGCCAAATGTCCAATTTACAAGAAGAAGAGCAAGGCTTCTCGACACACTTTTATCAGATATTTGAGGTATTTTTAAAAAAAAAATAATTTGGTAATTTATCAATTTCTTTCTAGAGAAGCTATACCTTCTCAACATCAACATCAATCACCTGATGAATCTGAACCCTTAAAAACCATCGATCCCACGACTCTTCCCTCAGCTCGAAAGAAAACTTCTATCTTGAACAGAATAAATTTTCAACCAGCACCCGCTTTAAAAGAGCTTGAACCTGAATTTGAAGATCGAGAGATTGAAGAGCAGAGTGAATCGATTTGCTCTCCACCAGCTCATCAACCTGAAGTTTTTCTACGTCGACAAAGTTTGCCGTTTGGAATTGTGCCACCAAATAATAAACCAAGGCTTGGAATACGAGCAATGTCTGTTCAACATTGAATTTAATATTTATTTTATTGATCTCTTTTTTATGTTTAAAAAAATATTCCATTTTTATTTGCACAAAATGTGGTTTAGTACCGTAGTCAAACTTCTTATTGTTAGGAGCGTTTAATGTTTTTTTTTGATTTTGGAATACCAATTTTTCATGGGACCCGAAATCGGGGTCTTTCATTTTTACTCTGAAAAAAAACTTTTTTTATTGATGACTCAATTTTATTAACATTTAATAATGGGTTAAACCTGTTCAATGAGCACCTCAAAGTTATGCGAACTCTGATACTTTATTTCTCTCAAACTATAATTTTCAAAAGGAGTATAAATTATGAAAACAAAACAAACAAAGTTTCTGAAAAATAAATAACATCTGCTGCAATGTATTTGAAAATTATTAACCTTGAAAAGTTAATTTTTGAGAATTATTATTTTAGCTGAAAATTGTGGGCGATTTTTGTCATTTAGTAATCCTCAATTATTGGTTTCTGTCTAGTTTGAGCATTGCTAGCTTTTTTTTTACTTTTTCTAAATAGATTTTCTTCATTGTTAGTCGCATTTACAAAAATGTGTACAAAAATTAAAGTTTAGAATGGAAGAATATCGTCAATTATATTACAATTCAATGTGCAACCAATCAAAATTTGGATATTTTGATAGTTGGCAATTTCTTGCAACATCTTCACACTCTTTTTCATTTTTCTTGATTCCATTAAATTTTTATGGTAGTTATTGTATTATTTTCAAAACTCCTTCCAAAATGCGAAGAGTCAAATGGGTTATGTTAAATTTGCATATTTGGACTGGATTATTCGAAATTATGATGACAACATTAATCACTCCATACTTTTTCTTTCCATCTATTTGTGGTTTTTCAGTTGGAGTTTTGGCTTTTCTAGGGGTTGATATCAAAGTTCAGATATTTCTGGGACAGATTTGTTGTGGAGGTAATTTTTGAGTAAAAAAAAGTACAGTAATTTGAAAAATTTTAGGATTGTTTTCAAGTCTTTTAATGTTGTTTGAGAATAGACATAACTATTTGGTAACCTCAAAATGGAAAATTCCGAACAATAAATGTCGAATAATTTACTTCTTTTTTGTTTATTTATATGGATTTGGATTTATGTTTCCAGCTTATTTGAATGAACCAAATCAAGTTGAAGCAAAACTAATCATTTTGAAAACAGTTGGTTTTGATGTATTTTTAATGTGTTTGGATTTCTTTTTCAGATGATACCTTGTCCAACTACAGAATTCTTTGATTCACAAGTTTATGTTCTTATTCTCAATACAAAATATGCTGTTTACCCAATAATTCTTTACATTTTTATAACGGCCATACAAACTTTTTTCTTTGTTTTTCATAGTTTTTTCCACTTATTTCATACTTCTTCACAGATGTCAATTCGAACAAAAGAACTTCAAAAAAAATATTTGATTGGTGCTTGTTTACAAGTTGCAATTCCAATCGGAGTTTTGTTAATTCCAATGATTCCATGTATTATTGCAATTTTCTTGAATTATTATAACCAAGCTATGTTCAATATATCTGTTTTATGTATTTCTCTTCATGGAATGTCAGCTACAATTGTTCTTATTTATATAAATGAACCTTATCGAATATTTACAATTCGACTATTTCGAAAGCAAAAAATTGATAATTTAACTTCAATTCATCTCAATTCGCGTTTTCATTCGAAATCAAATGTTGCAAAGTCTACAAGAGGAGTTTTATAAGCTGGTTAAGTTTTTGTGTACATTGAGATCATTTGATCTGTAAAAATATCAGCTGCAAAAATTGAATAAATAAATAGTTGCAGAAGTATGATATTTTATTTTTATGACAATTCTTCTGCCATTCGTCTGATTTTGGTGTACGTAGTATTGCAACAAATTTCATTGTCGAGAAATGATCTTGTCACCTTATTCCTATACCAAGCAAGAGCGCATATTTTATATTATCACTAAAGCCCAAATACCGGGCCTTGTACCCTTGTACCTAGAAAAAATATTTTTTTCAATTTTTCTTCGGGAAGTTCACCAAAATAAATTTCACCACAAGAGTGCTGGGCACAGTACTGTTTTTCTCTGCTTCTAGAAATTTTCCAGAGTAGTAAAAGTTACATCGATTCATAAAAGAAGTTTATTCATTTTTCTTGGATGTGCATAAATCAGAAAGTTTCGCGGCGCAGAAAGTGTAATTTACCTCGGAACATTTTTGAAAGATTTAGAAACTTTTTTTTTGATATACTAGAAGAAAATGGATTTGAAAAATTTGAGGTCTAATTGTAACGATTTGGAGTAGTAGAATTTTTTTGAATTGAAAGCAACAATGTATTTTTTTCTACATAGGCCTTAAGGCCCGGTATTTGGGCTTTAGTGATAATAATAAATATGCGCTGATCTTCAACAAGTTTAGAATTTCCATTCACGTATAGATTTTATGTTTTTGCCCATTATCCATGGAAGAACGACAAAAATGAAAAAATATTTTTAAAAATTCGAATTTTCATTCAGGTTTAGATGTCATTTTTTTGGTTGATTCACAAAATTCGGAGACCCTTCGAATTTTTTTGGTTGATTCACAAAATTCGGAGACCCTTCGAATTTTTTTGGTTGATTCACAAAATTCGGAGACCCTTCGAATTTTTTTGGTTGATTCACAAAATTCGGAGACCCTTCGAATTTTTTGGTTGATTCACAAAATTCGGAGACCCTTCGAATTTTTTGGTTGATTCACAAAATTCGGAGACCCTTCGAATTTTTTTGGTTCAATCACAAAATTCGGAGACCCTTCGAATTTTTTTTTGGTTCAATCACAAAATTCGGAGACCCTTCGAATTTTTTGGTTCAATCACAAAATTCGGAGACCCTTCGAATTTTTTTGGTTCAATCACAAAATTCGGAGACCCTTCGAATTTTTTTGGTTCAATTCACAAAATTCGGAGACCCTTCGAATTTTTTGGTTCAATCACAAAATTCGGAGACCCTTCGAATTTTTTTGGTTCAATTCACAAAATTCGGAGACCCTTCGAATTTTTTGGTTCAATCACAAAATTCGGAGACCCTTCGAATTTTTTGGTTCAATCACAAAATTCGGAGACCCTTCGAATTTTTTTGGTTCAATCACAAAATTCGGAGACCCTTCGAATTTTTTTGGTTCAATCACAAAATTCGGAGACCCTTCGAATTTTTTGGTTCAATCACAAAATTCGGAGACCCTTCGAATTTTTTGGTTCAATCACAAAATTCGGAGACCCTTCGAATTTTTTTGGTTGATTCACAAAATTCGGAGACCCTTCGAATTTTTTTGGTTGATTCACAAAATTCGGAGACCCTTCGAATTTTTTTGGTTCAATCACAAAATTCGGAGACCCTTCGAATTTTTTTGGTTCAATCACAAAATTCGGAGACCCTTCGAATTTTTTGGTTCAATCACAAAATTCGGAGACCCTTCGAATTTTTTTGGTTCAATCACAAAATTCGGAGACCCTTCGAATTTTTTTGGTTCAATCACAAAATTCGGAGACCCTTCGAATTTTTTGGTTCAATCACAAAATTCGGAGACCCTTCGAATTTTTTGGTTGATTCACAAAATTCGGAGACCCTTCGAATTTTTTTGGTTGATTCACAAAATTCGGAGACCCTTCGAATTTTTTGGTTGATTCACAAAATTCGGAGACACTTCGAATTTTTTTGGTTCAATCACAAAATTCGGAGACCCTTCGAATTTTTTTGGTTCAATCACAAAATTCGGAGACCCTTCGAATTTTTTTGGTTCAATCACAAAATTCGGAGACCCTTCGAATTTTTTTTGGTTCAATCACAAAATTCGGAGACCCTTCGAATTTTTTGGTTCAATCACAAAATTCGGAGACCCTTCGAATTTTTTTGGTTCAATCACAAAATTCGGAGACCCTTCGAATTTTTTGGTTGATTCACAAAATTCGGAGACCCTTCGAATTTTTTTGGTTGATTCACAAAATTCGGAGACCCTTCGAATTTTTTTTTGGTTCAATCACAAAATTCGGAGACCCTTCGAATTTTTTTGGTTCAATCACAAAATTCGGAGACCCTTCGAATTTTTTTGGTTCAATCACAAAATTCGGAGACCCTTCGAATTTTTTGGTTCAATCACAAAATTCGGAGACCCTTCGAATTTTTTTGGTTCAATCACAAAATTCGGAGACCCTTCGAATTTTTTTGGTTGATTCACAAAATTCGGAGACCCTTCGAATTTTTTTGGTTGATTCACAAAATTCGGAGACCCTTCGAATTCTTTTGGTTGATTCACAAAATTCGGAGACCCTTCGAATTTTTTTGGTTCAATCACAAAATTCGGAGACCCTTCGAATTTTTTGGTTGATTCACAAAATTCGGAGACCCTTCGAATTTTTTTGGTTGATTCACAAAATTCGGAGACCCTTCGAATTTTTTGGTTCAATCACAAAATTCGGAGACCCTTCGAATTTTTTGGTTCAATCACAAAATTCGGAGACCCTTCGAATTTTTTTGGTTCAATCACAAAATTCGGAGACCCTTCGAATTTTTTTGGTTCAATCACAAAATTCGGAGACCCTTCGAATTTTTTGGTTCAATCACAAAATTCGGAGACCCTTCGAATTTTTTTGGTTCAATCACAAAATTCGGAGACCCTTCGAATTTTTTGGTTCAATCACAAAATTCGGAGACCCTTCGAATTTTTTGGTTGATTCACAAAATTCGGAGACCCTTCGAATTTTTTGGTTGATTCACAAAATTCGGAGACCCTTCGAATTTTTTTGGTTGATTCACAAAATTCGGAGACCCTTCGAATTTTTTGGTTGATTCACAAAATTCGGAGACCCTTCGAATTTTTTTGGTTGATTCACAAAATTCGGAGACCCTTCGAATTTTTTTGGTTGATTCACAAAATTCGGAGACCCTTCGAATTTTTTTGGTTGATTCACAAAATTCGGAGACCCTTAGAATTTTTTTGGTTGATTCACAAAATTCGGAGACCCTTCGAATTTTTTTGGTTGATTCACAAAATTCGGAGACCCTTCGAATTTTTTGGTTGATTCACAAAATTCGGAGACCCTTCGAATTTTTTTGGTTGATTCACAAAATTCGGAGACCCTTCGAATTTTTTTGGTTGATTCACAAAATTCGGAGACCCTTCGAATTTTTTTGGTTGATTCACAAAATTCGGAGACCCTTCGAATTTTTTGGTTCAATCACAAAATTCGGAGACCCTTCGAATTTTTTGGTTCAATCACAAAATTCGGAGACCCTTCGAATTTTTTTGGTTCAATCACAAAATTCGGAGACCCTTCGAATTTTTTTGGTTGATTCACAAAATTCGGAGACCCTTCGAATTTTTTTGGTTCAATCACAAAATTCGGAGACCCTTCGAATTTTTTTGGTTCAATCACAAAATTCGGAGACCCTTCGAATTTTTTGGTTCAATCACAAAATTCGGAGACCCTTCGAATTTTTTGGTTGATTCACAAAATTCGGAGACCCTTCGAATTTTTTCGGTTCAATCACAAAATTCGGAGACCCTTCGAATTTTTTTGGTTCAATCACAAAATTCGGAGACCCTTCGAATTTTTTTGGTTCAATCACAAAATTCGGAGACCCTTCGAATTTTTTGGTTCAATCACAAAATTCGGAGACCCTTCGAATTTTTTGGTTCAATCACAAAATTCGGAGACCCTTCGAATTTTTTTGGTTCAATCACAAAATTCGGAGACCCTTCGAATTTTTTTGGTTCAATCACAAAATTCGGAGACCCTTCGAATTTTTTTGGTTCAATCACAAAATTCGGAGACCCTTCGAATTTTTTGGTTGATTCACAAAATTCGGAGACCCTTCGAATTTTTTGGTTGATTCACAAAATTCGGAGACCCTTCGAATTTTTTTGGTTGATTCACAAAATTCGGAGACCCTTCGAATTTTTTTGGTTCAATCACAAAATTCGGAGACCCTTCGAATTTTTTTGGTTCAATCACAAAATTCGGAGACCCTTCGAATTTTTTTGGTTCAATCACAAAATTCGGAGACCCTTCGAATTTTTTGGTTCAATCACAAAATTCGGAGACCCTTCGAATTTTTTGGTTCAATCACAAAATTCGGAGACCCTTCGAATTTTTTGGTTCAATCACAAAATTCGGAGACCCTTCGAATTTTTTTGGTTGATTCACAAAATTCGGAGACCCTTCGAATTTTTTTGGTTGATTCACAAAATTCGGAGACCCTTCGAATTTTTTTGGTTCAATCACAAAATTCGGAGACCCTTCGAATTTTTTGGTTCAATCACAAAATTCGGAGACCCTTCGAATTTTTTTGGTTCAATCACAAAATTCGGAGACCCTTCGAATTTTTTGGTTCAATCACAAAATTCGGAGACCCTTCGAATTTTTTTGGTTCAATCACAAAATTCGGAGACCCTTCGAATTTTTTTGGTTGATTCACAAAATTCGGAGACCCTTCGAATTTTTTTGGTTGATTCACAAAATTCGGAGACCCTTCGAATTTTTTGGTTGATTCACAAAATTCGGAGACCCTTCGAATTTTTTTGGTTCAATCACAAAATTCGGAGACCCTTCGAATTTTTTTGGTTGATTCACAAAATTCGGAGACCCTTCGAATTTTTTGGTTGATTCACAAAATTCGGAGACCCTTCGAATTTTTTTGGTTCAATCACAAAATTCGGAGACCCTTCGAATTTTTTGGTTCAATCACAAAATTCGGAGACCCTTCGAATTTTTTGGTTCAATCACAAAATTCGGAGACCCTTCGAATTTTTTTGGTTCAATCACAAAATTCGGAGACCCTTCGAATTTTTTGGTTCAATCACAAAATTCGGAGACCCTTCGAATTTTTTGGTTCAATCACAAAATTCGGAGACCCTTCGAATTTTTTGGTTCAATCACAAAATTCGGAGACCCTTCGAATTTTTTTGGTTGATTCACAAAATTCGGAGACCCTTCGAATTTTTTGGTTGATTCACAAAATTCGGAGACCCTTCGAATTTTTTGGTTGATTCACAAAATTCGGAGACCCTTCGAATTTTTTTGGTTGATTCACAAAATTCGGAGACCCTTCGAATTTTTTGGTTGATTCACAAAATTCGGAGACCCTTCGAATTTTTTGGTTCAATCACAAAATTCGGAGACCCTTCGAATTTTTTTGGTTCAATCACAAAATTCGGAGACCCTTCGAATTTTTTTGGTTGATTCACAAAATTCGGAGACCCTTAGAATTTTTTTGGTTGATTCACAAAATTCGGAGACCCTTCGAATTTTTTGGTTGATTCACAAAATTCGGAGACCCTTCGAATTTTTTTGGTTGATTCACAAAATTCGGAGACCCTTCGAATTTTTTGGTTGATTCACAAAATTCGGAGACCCTTCGAATTTTTTGGTTGATTCACAAAATTCGGAGACCCTTCGAATTTTTTGGTTGATTCACAAAATTCGGAGACCCTTCGAATTTTTTTGGTTCAATCACAAAATTCGGAGACCCTTCGAATTTTTTGGTTCAATCACAAAATTCGGAGACCCTTCGAATTTTTTGGTTGATTCACAAAATTCGGAGACCCTTCGAATTTTTTTGGTTGATTCACAAAATTCGGAGACCCTTCGAATTTTTTGGTTGATTCACAAAATTCGGAGACCCTTCGAATTTTTTTGGTTGATTCACAAAATTCGGAGACCCTTCGAATTTTTTTGGTTCAATCACAAAATTCGGAGACCCTTCGAATTTTTGGTTGATTCACAAAATTCGGAGACCCTTCGAACTTTTTTGGTTGATTCACAAAATTCGGAGACCCTTCGAATTTTTTTGGTTGATTCACAAAATTCGGAGACCCTTCGAATTTTTTTGGTTGATTCACAAAATTCGGAGACCCTTCGAATTTTTTTGGTTGATTCACAAAATTCGGAGACCCTTCGAATTTTTTGGTTGATTCACAAAAATTCGGAGACCCTTCGAATTTTTTGGTTCAATCACAAAATTCGGAGACCCTTCGAATTTTTGGTTGATTCACAAAATTCGGAGACCCTTCGAACTTTTTTGGTTGATTCACAAAATTCGGAGACCCTTCGAATTTTTTTGGTTGATTCACAAAATTCGGAGACCCTTCGAATTTTTTTGGTTGATTCACAAAATTCGGAGACCCTTCGAATTTTTTTGGTTGATTCACAAAATTCGGAGACCCTTCGAATTTTTTTGGTTGATTCACAAAATTCGGAAGAGGTTGCTACGCATTAAAGACACATAGAAAACTAGAAATGTGTGTTCGTAATCTTCAAAATTTGACCGCGCGCCTTTTTTCAAAGTTGTGTGTTGTTCGTTTGAAAAAAGAAATAAATAAATAAAATGTGGTGGTACGGTACGCTAAGAATGCGCACATGTGCGGCAAATCACGAACATTTGTGCAAACACTAAATTTTGCGTCGGCTGAGCGATTTCAAAAAAGGAAATATCTTTTTTTGACTTTCGCTAAACTCAATATTTTTCAATTTTGTTTATGTACTTCCACTATTTGAAGGATGATAAAAAACATGCAAACAATGATTTTTGAACGATTTCTAGTTTTCTACGTGTCTTTAAAAAGGAGTATAGGGTTATGTCGTTTTCAGGATTATTCTCAAGTTTTTTAATGCTTTTTGAAAATAGACAGAATAACCTGGTAACTTCAAAATGGAAAATTCCAAACAATACATTCCGAATAGTATATTTCTTTTTTATTTATTTTTATGGATTTGCATTTATGATTCCAGCTTATTTGAATGAACCAAATCAAGTTGAAGCAAAACTAATCATTTTGAAAACAGTTGGTTCTTAATTATATGTAATAAAAATGAATTCCTTTCTTCAGATGATACCTTGTCCAACTACAGAATTTTTCGATTCTCCAGTTTATGTTTTGATTCCTGACGAAAGTGTCATGACTTATCCAATTCTTGTATACATTTGCATAATGGCAACACAAATCTTTTATTTTATAATTCATAGTTTCCTCTATTTGTTCCAATCTTCTCCACAAATGTCTATTCGAACAAGAGAACTACAAAAAAAGTTCTTGATTGGTATCTGTATTCAAGTTGCAATTCCGAATGGTATTTTTTTTGGTTCCAGTTGGTACATGTATTGTTGCAATTTTTTTGAATTATTATAACCAAGCTATGTTCAATATTGCTGTTTTATGTTCGAATTTTCATGGAATGTCAGCAACATTTGTTCTAATCTATATAAATGAACCTTATCGGACATTCACAATTCGATTGTTCAAAAAACATCAAATCAATAGATCCGTTTCTGATATTGTTACTTCGCGTTATTTGGGTTGAAATTTTCATGTTCAAATATTAACAGATTTAACATGCTCATGCAAATACTTTGCTTTAAAACGGTCGTCTTTCTACGAGGCCACACATAATTTAATTTGCGATCGGTTATCTTCCAAGGGTTTAAAATTTCGGATTGGAAATACTTGAAAATGTCATATTAATAAACCGTTGAGAAAACACTTAGTGAAGGACTATTAACTTTTAAAATAGAAAAATCCAGCAATATGTGGTTGGCAGGTGTTTTTCCTAAGAAATATGATAAATCTAATTTGCAAAAGTATAAAATGCGTCTAACAATAAATAATAAATGTGTTCAAATAATGAATGTTTGAACATTGTGTATTAAGAATTCTGATTTGTCGAAATTCGAAAATTAAAAACAATAATGTTTGAAAAAAATCATGTCTCGAAAAAACGTACAATTATGAGAGACGCCAGAGAAAAAACAACGACACTCCGTTTTGCCCGCTCTTTAGTGGCCAGTATTTTCGAATTTTTTTCTTTTTTTGGCGTTCTTTTTTCCCCAAAAAAAGTCTATTAAATCTTGACGTTAAGGTTTCAAAAATGGCTAGAAATGCTGAAAAGGCGATGACTGCTTTGGCGAGATGGCGGAGAATGAAAGAAGAAGAGGAACGAGTAAGTTTTTTAAAGGATAATATTTTATGTTCGAAAATAATTAATAAAATTATTCAGGGACCAGTTGCAAGACGACCACATGATGTAAAAGATTGTAAAAAGTTGTCAGACGCAGAAAGATTCCGAAGAGAAATCGTTCGAGATGTTTCGAAGAAAATCGCAGCAATTCAGAATCCGGGACTTGGAGAATTCAAACTTCGCGATTTGAATGACGACATCAATAAATTGATAAAACTGAAACACGCATGGGAAATGCGAATCAAAGAGCTGGGTGGGCAAGATTATCGAAAATTCGTGTCAAAAGAATTGGATGCAACGGGTCGAGAAGTTGGCGGGCAGCGAGGTTACAAATATTTCGGAGCCGCTAAAGATTTGCCAGGAGTGAGGGAGTTATTCGAGAAGAATAGTGATCATGAGGAGATTCGACGAAATCGAGCGGAATTGATGAAAAATATTGATGCACATTATTTTGGATATTTGGATGATGAAGATGGTCGACTTATTCCATTAGAGAAGGCTGTTGAGGAAGCGAATATTGAGAGAATTCAAAAAGAATTTGCAGAAAAGAAAGGAACTGATACAACATCTGGCGAATATGAGAATATTTACAAAGTTGAAGAGGTTAGTTTCATTTTTTCGCAAATTTGAAATGAAACCAGAGACTGGATGAAAAAAATTCGGGCGAGGTTTCGGTCCGATTCAAAGCTTCTTTGAATTTTCTATAAAAGTGTATCGATTTTTATTACAGTATGAAGATGATTTGGAAACACAAGAAACCACAGTTTTGGGAGACGACGGTCGACCGCTGACAATTCGCCACGTTTTAGTCCCAACGCAGGCCGACATCGAAGAAATGTTGCTGGAACAAAAGAAGGCCGAATTGATGGCAAAATATTTGGACTAATTTTTAATTTATTTATTCTTATTTGTTTGGTTGTTTTTATTACACATTGTTCAAAAAATGAAAAATACACAAAATATGGCGATATACAGAAATATTTGGGGAAAATTGAAGGAAAGAAGGGATGAATTGCAGAAATCACGACCAGAACAAAGACACAGCTTTTCACCAGTTGATAAATCGGTACGACAGCCTGCAAAAATAGAAATTTTGAAAAATGAGAATTGGTTTATTTTTGCGTGACCTGATTCGATTCAATGTGGATTTTTTGTTGGAATATGTTTCATTTCAAAAATTTTCAATAGAGAAAATCGACGAAAAAAATTGGTGTGCAGAAAAGTAAGTTTTTTAAAAAATTAGCAAAAAAAATACGGTATGTTTAAAGGAACACTTGAATATTTATTTGTTCGCGGTGAGACCCGAGTGAGCGCGTTTTTAATTTTTGAAAAAAAAAATTTTATTTTGTTCGTTGAGCAAAAATCACTCGGGTGTATATTTTCCGGGGTTATCCAGATTTATGAACTATTTAGTTTCAAAATCAATTTTCAGAACACTCTCCGGACAGTATCGCAGGTATTCGTTGAAACGTTAGGACTTCCTCAGAATAAGAGTGACTTCTCATCTTCTCGTAAGTTATTTTTCAATTTCCTCCAAAAAACCGATAATTTTCTTACCTTCAGGATGATAAGCATGAACCAAACTGTCATGTGGAATACAAGTCATTGCAATCGAAACTCCTTTATTCGGAGTAAATCGCTGAACTCTCAAACAAGCACCACCTTCACAAATATTACAAGTATTCGAATGCATACAATTTGAACCATCCAGACACCAAGTCTCGTCAGATTTTTGGATAAAAATCGCCATAATCACTAGAAAAGAATATTGGAAACATCGAAGATTCATCGGCAACTCATCGATCTGTGAGTATTTTATTTTATTTTAAGCGGGGGGAAAAATTAAAATAAAACTTGGTCATCATATAAAAAAAGTAGAAAATAGTATTCGGAGAGGGAAAAAAAGAAAGAGTTAAAAGAGAATGAATGAATCTATGAATATTATATAGAATATTTCATATTTTGTTCAGCTTTCACAATAAAAAATATTATTTCATACGATCGCAATGAAAATCCGTACGCTTCGATGAATAAAACGTAAAAATATATATTTCTTAATAATTTCAGATATCATATTACTTTTTTTCAAAAATCCTAGCTTTGATCACTAAAAATTTTGAATAAAGCCTAACAATTTATGAATACCTCAATAATCAGCTTCTTTTCAAACATTAATATATAAAAAAAAGTGATGCTAGAAAAAGAAGAGCAAAAAATACTCGCAAAACTCAATACATATTTAATAAATTGGTAGACATGTGTCAAGTTGACAGGATCTACTTAGATCTTGAGAAAGAAAAAATAGGAGCACAATTTATTTGAGAAGAAGAAAGTGAAAAACGATGTGTTAATTGGTTTGGCTTCGAACTTTCAAATAATTGTTACGAACTTTTTCTTACTCGCTTTTTTTTGTTTTTCACTCACTTTCTTTTTTTTTGTTTTTTGAATGAAAAAGATTTTTCAACTCTTGGAAAAGTCTCTTTTTGTTGAAAAGTGAATAATGAAGGTTTCCAATTTCTTCATTTTTAAAAAGAACAAAAAGAGGATGGAATTCATTAGTATTCTTATGAAAGACTAGCATAAGTTGTTTAGTTATTTTTGGGGCAAACATCTGAAAGTGACAGAAAATACGAAAATAATAGTAGACTGACTGACTGCAGAAGAAGCTGAAGAAGAAGAAGAATACATTTCAATTTCCCCTTCATTTTTCCAAAGAGGAAATTTAGAAAGAAAAAGAAGAAGAAGAAAAAGCCGGAAATGAAATGTGACACTTTTTGGGGGCAAGCAGGGAAAAGCCTTTGAACATCGGACCGGGCTGGATTTGGATTGGATTGGATTATTTTCATGGTTGATTGGAGGTATTTTGTGAGCCGGGAAATGGTTTTCATTTTGGAAATCATGTGAATTTTGAACTCACATAGACTGAAGAAAATGGAAATTTTGGGAACTATTAGACAACATTCTCAGACCGCAGTCACTTTATTCTGTGACTTTATTATTTTTAATAACCTGATTTCGTGAAATTAATATATCCAACCGAAAATCTCACATGAAAAAAAAAATGTTTACTCCACAAAATTCCCAAGAACAATTATGCCTGGAACGACTTCATAATGATGAATTGATGTTCAGCGGCAAGTTACACATTTTCGCAACTGACCGCCCATTTTTCCCGCTCCCCGCCAGACAAAAAACTTCAAACCACAAATCAAAATAAAGTGCTCTGCCCTCCCGTTTGCATCCAACAATTTGTTTTTTATAGCTTCATTCATTCATTGAACAATAAGTAGATTGGAGATTTTTTAAAACAAGGTGAAAATTCTCTGCGAGAGAAACCCGTACATATAAAATGACAAAAATGACACACGAAAAAGTTGTTTTAGGCGAGGGTGGCGAAGCGGAGAAGTTTACGTTTGGAGCTCGATCGATTTGAGTCATCTGCAAAATTAGAATAAGTTCAATATAATTTACATGTAATCCAACATTTCCGGAATCCGGATTAATTTTTCAAATTCATAACAGAAAATATTTTTCTGCGTCACACCGGTGTTCGTTCTAACTAGAATGTAGTTTGAAATTCATTTTCATACCTCTTGATATATTGCTTGGTTCCTCATCACTTTTCAGTTCTCTGATTTCTTCTTCGTCAATCGCTTGCTCAGTTCGTATTCTTGCTCTCCGTAAATCTGTTTCCGAAGTCGTCAAAAACAGTTGAGCCGAGCGATTCAGACTCTTTGCAGTTTTCTTGACTTGATTCTGTTCTTTGCGATTTCTTCGCGCTTCGACTTCATCCGGAAGAATCGAGAGTTCGAGAGCTTTTTGAGCTGCCATAGCTGTGGTTAGGGCAACTCCGTTTATCTGAAAATAGATGGCTATTTTTTAAATTTAGCTGAAATCGCTTACTCTTCTTCGTTTTTCAAGTCCAAGCCAATGTTTGATTATTGATCGATATTTTGAGGAGAAAATCAAATAGACGAACATTGAACTAGATGAATTTAGAGAAACCAGGAGATTTGAAATTTCGACTGAAAGATCGAAACTCCAGGATTTGAAAATTCCGAAAAATGTGTCAATCGTATTCATTGTCACGTTATTTGACGGATCCTAAAAATAATGATTCTCTCATACAAATATCTTGTTTCACCTAGAAAAAAAAATAAAACTCACAATAAATTCAACAGTCACATTTCCAACTCGATCTCTTTCTCTTTTTTGAAAATTCACATTCTCATAAATATTGTTACAAAAAGCCAAGCAATTACAACACAGAAATATAGCGACAATTGCGAGAAGCATCAAAGTAACTGAACGATCCCGGAGTGAATTTCCATTGGTTTTCAATAACGATGGAGTTTTTAATGGGCTGAAAATGCTCATTTTGTTGTTGAAGTTTGATTTTCAAATTTAAGCTTACTTGAAATTCAATCTTCCGAATCTGCCGAAAATATCCGAATATTTTGCATTTTTCAACAGCCGGAAATTGTTGATAATCCGTCTGAAATTTGATTATTTCTAAGCTAATCATATATCATTCCACTCTATAAATAATCAGATGAAACTCAAATCCAAGCAATAACACCCTAAAGCAAATACACCCATGGTCAAATAAAGAAACAAAAAGCAAACGGAAGCTCGAAACTTACTTATCCATATCTTTCAAAGTGAAAAAACTAGAATATTTTAGATGATATCAATTTTGAATTTATAACAATATTTAAAAAAAATAAAACTTACGATTGTGTGCTCTTTTTGAGTGAATGAGCATTTCGCATTCGAGTTGATTCTTTGAGAGCAACCACAATTCGACAATTCACAATGATTAGTGTTATGAAAGGAATCTAAACAAGATAAAAACATCAAATGAAAGATCTTATGAACAAGTTAACGGAACTTACCACAAACATGATCAAGGTATATAAAATACATCTTGTTATAATATGATATGTTGCATCCATTTTCATTGGTGTCAACGCGATACTTCGTTGAGTTCGATTGAATTCTGCAGAATAACACCATAAGACATCCAATTCCAGCCAAGTATGAAGATTTATAAGAATACTGAAGACAATTGAGCCGATGATTGCCCATTTGACGGGTTTTCCGGAAACCCAGCGCTTGGCGCGAAATGGATGGCAGACGCCAAGATAACGATGAACTGAGACAAGGACTGTCAAATAGACACCACATGTTTGAGTGGTGAGACCGATTGGGTAGAAATACCTGCAACAACGAATTTATGATCTCAAGGAGAAACATGAACAATTTTAGCTTTTCTATTAACAATTTTGACCCCTTGAACTAATTCAAGTTGTCCAAAGCAATCTTTGGAACAACTATGTCACAATGATCTTCGATCTCGTTTGAAATTCAAGTTTCAAATTACAAAACATTGTTTCATCAGTCAACACGATTCGCAAAAAAACTTCCTAAATTAAATCAAATTCTTATCCATCTCGATCAAAATTGTTCTTTGTTCCATGCAAATGCCCTCCTCAAAAAAAATATTGCATTTTTTCAGCCAGACATTCTAATTATCTAAATCCTCTGAAATCATCTAAGACTTTCAACTGTAAGAATAAATCCTATGAGTTAAAAAACAACTCTGATCTGATCTGCCACTTTTTTCATTTAAAAGCGTCCCTTTCCACATGCAATTCAATTAGCAAGTTCATCAAAACACGTCATTAATTAAGTAAAATAACTCACCACAAAAAAAGTGGATAATAATTATGGAGCAGTGGATTATTGCTCATCGATGCAATTACCGGAAAAATAAGCATAAAGAAATTGCTGACCAATAATATCAAGTCGGATATTGATAAAACCTGTAAATACAAAACACGTGGAAACGAAAGGATTATCCCTTTTTGTTTTGTTTATTATTTTACATCAGAATGACATGTTAATCAAAATGACATTTTAACATGTTTGTATGTCAAACACGTGTAAACAGATTGATTGCCATAGGATTTCTATGGAAAACAATTTTTGACGTATTCAACTCACGAGCAGAAAATGATTGACTAACGAACATCGCATTTCCGGATCACAAAAAACAATAACATTGATGACGTTTGTGATGAAGCCGAAAATTGCAATCGGCATTCCTGAAAAATAGATTTTGCTAACTCTTATAAAAGTACAGTAATCTTTGGACCACCCCTAATTAATTGGATTAAAATTCGAATTCTATCTATTTTTGTCTCTAGTTTAATCCGTTTTTTGTTAAATCTCACCGCCGAAAAGCCTTGATGTTGTTTGAATATCATTGAAGATTGATGGTTCGCATTGTTCCATTTACTGAAAATTTTGAATATAAATAAATATCAAAATATTCGAAACAGGGAAAAGAAGAACAAAAAGACTAGAAAAAACTTCGGTGAAAACATAACACGAAAATATATTATTCTTCCTTCGTCGTGGAAAAGATTACACAGGAAGTTGTTAGTTTAGGAAAAGAAGAGGAATAATAAAAAAGGAGAAGCTGAAGCTGAAAGGAAAAACAAGGAAAAGTAGAGGAGTTCAAAAATTTATAGGGTGAAATGAATGGAAAAATGAGATGGGTGGAAAAATAAGGGAGAACAGTAATTTGGGTTTTTTTGGACTCAGAATTTGACATGAAAATCAGAGGGTTGTTCTATTGTCTTGCTGGGATTTTTGGATTGGATGACGAGGGGTCAAAGAATATTTTGAGGTTTTCTGAATTTCTGACGAAAAACTCGTCGAATCCATCTCAATTATTTGACTTCAGATTGAAAATTTCTACTTCGGAAGATTTAAACTGATTTAATAAATGGACATATTCAACTATTTTACACAAAAAGCTTTAAAATAAACCGTTTAAATATGAACAACATTTGATTTTGATCAGATTTTTCTCAAAATTCGGATTATTTTCTTAATTTTTTGAGACAATCAACAGCATCAAAAAGTCAAAAAATCGAAAACCATAAAACAACTCAAAAATGTTCTTCTTTTTTCTCATCAGTCAACAAGAAACCCACCATTTTATTCCTGGAAGAACGAGAAAATGAATAAAATTGGCTTCCACATTCTAGGAGCGAATGGAAATAACGAAGAGACTTTTTTCAAAAGTTGTTTTTCTCAAAGTCAAATTTGTTGGCTTTGTCAGAGAAATTTCAAAAATTATTCGAGCGTAGTTTTGCGTCATCGAACGAACTGAGCAAAAATGTGATCGAAATCAATCACGGTATATTAATTCGAACAAAACATAATCACCCACGAGAAAAGTTTAGTTACAGTAATCTACGAATATCCGGTGAAAAATCAAAAAATGTTTTGCAAATTTCAAGAAGAAATGCCTCCGCTAAAAATATTATCAATCTGATAAAACGCATCAAGGCTTCCATCTTCTTCCTTTTTCAGAAAAGGCGGGCGAGCAAAAAAAAAATGGGGAGAAAAAAGATAATCCTATCCTTCTTCGTATATGGCGAAAGCACATCAATTGGCGTAGAAGAAAAAAAAAGAAAACAAAAACAACAAAAATATGAATGACAATTAGGAACGGACTCTCAGAGATGAGAAAAAATGGATTATTTTTCTTGATGAGGACAAAACAATTTGATTTTAATGTGATTGGATAGGCAAGTACTTGGAATATTTATTCATGGGGAATAACAAAAATAATTTCTATAGATTGTTTTTTTTTTTTGAGAAAATCCCTATTTTCAGAGAACTTGATCAAAAATCTCAGACAATAAGTTTTTGAACCCAATTGATGTTCGTGAGAAAACATACCAAATTCTAGAACTTGACTCAAAAAACCACTGAAAAAAAAAAAGAAAATTACATTTTCAATTCATCACTTCAAATTTTAGGTCGGAAGTTGGTTCTGATAAATTATTTCCGACATTTTTTGAACTCAATTTTTATTGGAAACAATTTCAACTCATAAGAAAAATATTTTCCATAAATCGTTCTCTGAAAACTAAACGCAAAATGTGAAGGGCTGAAATTTTAAGAATTTCCATTCAATTTCTAGCTCTGAAAAATTTTATGACAAATATTTTGGGCGGAAATTGATACTAAAAAATGACTTAATTTTTGAAAGCTGAAAAATGCACGAAATTTTCAATAAGACTTCAAAAATCTCCTGATTTTTAAAAGTTTCGAAAAAGCAGCTGAAAATGAGAATATTCTCCAAGATTATAAATTTCTCCAAGTTTCTTTTTCGAATAAAAAGTAATTCCAATTAACATTTTTTTTGCAAAAAAAAAGAAAGATCACCGATTAAAATTATTATATTTTTCTCAACAAAAAGTAGATTATGATGAAAATATCATTATTTTTCCAGCTTGACTTTTTGAAGTTCTGTAAACTCGGAATTTTCCAGGTTTTTCTTCGCCTTCTTGAAAAATAGATTATTCATGAAAAACAACGGAAACGAAAATAAAAATTTTGTTTGAAAAATGGAGAAAAGGACATTTTTCAAAAAAGCCAGGCAGCCGATTTATTGTCAGAAAAAAGGAAATTAAAATATTTTTTGAAAAAAATATATGCTTGAAAAATAACTACATAAGCGCCTCAACAAAATCTTACCTGGAATTTCGGAAATCTTATCCGATTTGTAGAAAAAATCTGAAATTGAAATTGAATTTTTTTCAAAAAAAAAGAGTGCTGAAAATTTGCACATGAGTTGAGGCAAACTGAACAAATTAAAATAATAGACTCATTTCCTATCTTTTTTTGACCAGAAATAAAAAATGCCAATGGGTTTTTGAAATGTGAAATGAGATGAAATTAAATGACGTGTAACTAAACAGTTCACCAAAAGTTTTATTTTGAGAAAAAACTCTGAAAAATCTATATGCGCATAAAAATGAGAAGAATTATTATGAATTTCTAATTTTTCAAGGGATTCTTATTCCTAGTCTCCGCCAAATATTTCCAGAGAATCCTTTTTGCAAATATATCTAAATTTAACGTCATGAAATCTTTTGATCTACGGAAAATTCTTGCCAGACTTGTTAGAATTTTAATAATAGAAAAAAAGTTGGAGAACGTAAAATAATTTAATATGAAAATTAGAAAAGAAAACACGACGAGTCATGTGAAAAATAGGAAAAAACATATATAATTTTTTATGTGTTGATGAGATGAAAAAATGAAATTTTTTTCTTGAAATGGATCCGAAAAATTAGGTCGGAAGTTCAAGTTTCCTAAAACGTGTGAAACTTCAAATCGAACAATTCTTTACAAATTAGAGAAAAATCCACATGGGTTTGATTTTCTAAAAAAAATTATAAATTACAAATGGCGAAGTTTCAAATTGAAAAACATTGGCGTCAAAAAATTCACGTGGATTTGATTTCCTAGAAATTCCAAGAATTTGGATCATAGAATTTTTGATAAGCCCATCGAAAAAAATGGGCCGAAAAATTCAAAATAATTTTCAAAATTGTGAAAAAACGTGTCAATTTTTCTCGCGATCCCACGCTGAACTCCCGATTTTAAAACTCCCACACAAAATAAAATGTCTTTGCAAACAAAAATTAAATTTTCTATAAAACCAGCTAATATGAAAAATTCTGAAGCAGAGGAAAACGAGAAAAGATTAATATATTTTCAGTCAGATTTTCTCTATCAAACCGGATTATACTAATCATATTTATTATTCTCACTCCATATTTTTATCTCGTAATCGATATAGCCACCGTGCAAACTAAAAAAATGAAATGAGTGAAATGAGATGAAAATAAAAGGGGGCGTGGCTGTGAGGTCCTAAAATTGAATGAAATACATCACAAAATTCAATTTAGGGCACAAAAGAAGACGGAAAGTGAGAAAAAAGTGTTCGAAATCCAATTTTGTCTACTTAAAATGAAAGCTTTTCAGAAAGTGCAAAAAGTATCAAACCACAAAAAATGTATTACTTTTATTCTTATATATATATACATACAAAAATCGACCTGTCTAGAAAATTTGAACTAAAAACAAAATGATATTCATTGATAACATCCAATATCTTTTGTAAACGTGGCATTATTTGCCCAATGGAAAGTAATTGGAATCATAGCTGGACCACTTTGATAATCAGCTGATGAATGATAACAGGGTAGATCTTTTCGTTGTGGAAGTTCACAATCAAAAGCATTAATACATGTGTGTTGTTGATCTAATTGTTTCAAAGATCGAGCATGGTAAAATGATTGATTGTAGCATTGGAAAACGATTGGCATGTAGAATTCTTCGCGTGGAAGACGAGCTGCGATTGGAGCAATTTGAGGAAGAGAAAGAGTGCTGGAAATTTTTGAATGAGATTTTGAAAAGCTTGATTTATGAATTATTTGACTTTTTCTCAAACAAAGCAAGCTTTATTTATAAAGATTGTAACGATCATTTGCGTGTGAAAGAATAATTTTACTGTGGAAATTTTTTCGCAAAATATTTACACCGAATCCGCTAAGACATGCTACGTGGGATTTTCAGATCCACAACAACCCAAGGGTTTTTCAGATGCTAAAATCTTAGATTTTCAGGCCTAGGCCTGTTTAGACTCATAAAATTAAAAAAAAGCTCATAATTTTTTCTTGAGATCATCCCACCAAATGAAAAATAAAATCTGAAGTTTATTTTGCCCCATCCATACTTTTTTCGATTTTTTCGCCCTAATCTAGCACTTTTCGAAGCAGAAAAAGAAATGTGTTTTTTTCTTCTATACAGATTATCTGGTAGATCCGTGAATTCTCGCCCAATTTTTTTGGTCAAAGATTCATTCCGTTTCTGAAACGTCATATGTGATAGCCTGGCGTAATTCCATTTTAAAACAAAAAAACTCAAATTTGAATCTAATTCAATTAAATTATAATTAAAAGAAGAACGGAGTACTGAAACAAACTCACTTCTTCAAATCTCTATCAATATCTTGAAGATCGTATTCGCTGATATAATGAATTTTATCACTCCAAGGCATCATTGGAATTGGTTTCTTTTCAATTTCAGGTAAAACTTCAGTTCCAACTTGAATCATTGTTCTCAAATGGAAAATACCACTCCAATTCCATTTAACATGTGTTTTATATGGTTCTGCTTGATTTTCTGGATGATATTGAACAACTCCCAAAGCAACTCTCGAAAAGTGATGCCAAGTTGAATTATATCTATCTGGATAGAAAAATGATTTTCCAGTATCAGCGGTTTCTAGTTTTTTAGCTGATCTGAGAATTGCACTAATTGTAGTTTCTGCAGGATTTCCAACTTTGATCACTTCATAATCATGTTTTCTAAAATTAATTGCAGCTAATTTATAATCTCCGTCATATTCTCTGGTGAAAAATTCGTGATAAGATCCAACATTTGGAATCAAAATGTCATCCATATCTAAGGCACCAACAAAATCAGCAGCTTCTTTATACATCAATAAACAATCTGTGTGAGCTGCTGCTTGATTTCGAAGTTCAACATGTGAATTAGGTTCCAAATATTCACCCATAGTTTGTGCAAATCGAATAGTCAACCAAGGTTCAAGAGTTACTAATCCAAGTTTTTCATATTCTCGAAGTAATTCAAAATATGAATCGACCATTGAAACAATATAAATATGTAAGTGAGCACCGTATCTTGAAAAAAAATATAAAGAGTTATATGGGTAACTAAAATGAGTTAACTAACTTTTTGGCAACATGAACTTGCATCAAAAATGTTTGCCATTGTTCAGCGGCAAATTGAGGAGAAATACAGAACACAACTGATTGTGGAGCTTTTTTCTTTGGTTTCTTGATAGGAATCAGAGTTTTCACACCATTTGCTTCAATTTCTAGTTTTTCCAAATTATCGACAGTATTTGTTTGCGCCAAAACTTGCATATATTCGCATTTATCTCTGATGTAATGTTCGCTGAAAAAATTAGGAAATTTTTTGAGAGATATCTAAAGAATTTATTCATTTTCTGGAGCAGAAAATTGTTGAATGACCTAAATTGTTTAAATTGGCGTAGTTCTTCTTTCTCTGTTTTAAAACTGAATATAAATTTCAAAAACTTACGAAGTGAGCGTTGCTTTAGTCATCATTTGATCCGACGAATTCGACCCAATCACATTTATTGTGTAATCGCTCAACTCAGAAACAAAGCGTTTATCCATTGTTGTCACAATTGCGATTGCATTTTTACCCAGGCTGAAATTTAGTTTATATTTTCATAAATCTATTTTTCCAGTTTTTTCTCCCGGTTTATTTAACTTTATGTAGAAAAATTTCATGGACAAAAAAATGATACAATATTATTCAGACTCAAATTTCTATTTTATTGAATGTCGAGTAGTTTCAAAAATGTTTTTTTTTTGGAAAAAAAGGGAAAAAAACTCACGATTTGGAATCCTCATAGTAATACGCGGAATGAATAAAAGTATGCGTGTCAGTTCTCAAAGGAACATAAATTTTGTTCACAGAATCGCCGCTCATCCAATAAATTGCAGTAAATAGAAAAATAAATAAAAGAGCATATTTCTGAATTCGCGGTAGTCGATGAATTCGTTGTGATATTGAAACCATTTTCTTTGCTTCACCCCGTTTTCTTCCGAAATTTGAGGGATAAAAAAAGGAAGAAGAAGGAGAAGAATAAAAGGGCTTAATGAAAGAAATTGTGCGAATGAATCGGATAGATCCTGCGATTGTAATCAATAAAAGATCGAATTGGACGATAAAAACGGATGAATGGATTTTTTAAGGGGATTGTGAGTGACGGAAAGATTTTTGAGACTTTACGATGATTATTTTGGGAGTTTGGAAGTTGTAGAGTTATCTTAATATCTCTTGAAAGCTGAAAGAGCAAAGTGCTAAGGTTCAAAGCTCAAAATGAGTGAATTGAAAGAATCTCATAATTTAGGCATGCTATAAGATCAAAAGTTCAAGCAAGTTTCGTAATTACGCGTAATCTTTAATATAATTTGATGACGACAGCTCGAAGTGGCCTAAACTTGAACAAATCAAGCCATAGACGTGAAATATCAAATAAGTATGGAATCATACTGTGCGCAAAAATGCGTCGAAGTGTTTGCACACCAACTTGCTCGACGTGGAATTCGAAATCTTAGAATCTGTTTGAAAAAAAAACTACATGAAGAATTTTTGTTCAATGTTGATTAAGTCAATTTCAACCTACAACACACCTAATGCAACTAACAAAAACCCGCTCAAGGTATAAACTTTCACAACTTCGGAATTTTGATAAAATCAATCAGCATCTTTGAAATTCCCGAAAATGCGTTTTTTTTCTGTTTCTCTCACCTTTGCCGATTCATCCCACATTCCGGATTCTCATTTTAAACAGATGTTATCTTGAAATTACAAAACATGTTCTGATTTTTTATTCGCACAATTTTAACATATTATTTAATAATATTCTCAAGTACTTGATCGTCAGAGCCATCTGAATTATTCAAATTACTTGTTGAGGAAGGAGTTGTGTTATGAGACATTGAAGTGAATTGCAAACTTGTATCTGTACATTTGATGCTGATGTTGATCTCGATATCGAGATAACCTTTGGATGTCACTCGAAGTGCTGAAAAAACTCGATTATTAAAACAAAATATTTCATCAAAAAAATACCATGTCTTCCATCTGAGAAACCAGGCATAAGTGGATTCACAAGTTCGGCATTCAGTTCGCGAATTCTTGCAGTTATCCTTTGAATCATTGAAGATGGTTCAGGTAGAAAACAATAAACTCTTTTCAAATGTCTTCCTGGTGTTGTTGGCACAAAAAGTGACCCGTATGCCTTGAGACAATCATTTCCTGATCGATTTTTCGAATAACAACTAAACACATATCGAGGCCCTGAAAATGGTTTTTTTTTCTGATCAGTTGAAATATTTCTGCGAATTTTTTGGATAAGATCTTTTTATGATTTTCACGTGAACAAAATTATGATGTTTCATTTCACATTTGTCTGCATTGAATTTTGACAATTATTTTTTCGGTTTTCTTGAAGATTTGAATATTAAAGAAACTTGTGAAACACCTGCAAACAGTAGCAGTTTAACTTTCAATATTTCATTTCGCACAGGCATAAATTCTTGACTTTTTAATTCAGAAATGCCTGTCGCAGAAAAAACAAATTCTCGCGTGATTCGGGAGGCGGGATTTATTTGGCAAGGTGCGGCACGTTTTTTTTTCAATGAATAATTATTTCTGATTTTTTAAATTTCGAAATTTAGTGAAGAAAAAAAAGATGAAAACGAAAAAATTATTTTAAAAACGTGAAACGTGTAATCGTGGCAGGGGGCGGAGCCGACAGGAAAAAAAGTCAGAAATTTATGCCTGTGTTTCGTATCTGTTTACAATCTACGGTAATCCGTTCCAACTGTTCCAAAATATTATCAAAACAAGGATCAACACTTTTTTACGAAAATAAAACATTTCAGAACACGATGTCCTTTTTTTTTTTGTCGAATTATCGGAATTTTTCAAAAACTCGCAAAAAGATCAAGATCTTTTGACCGGCAAAAACTTGTTTGCGAATCCCAATTCAGTCGAACAAACTCACACATATACGGCGTGCTAGATTTATAAGAAGTTTCAAAAGGTAGATCAATATTCATATGAGAAGTTGCACCACGAAATGAGAAAGATGATAAAACACTGTGATCTCCACTTATTATTCGCCAATCTTCTGACGTTGCAACATTTAATTTGATGCAAATATTTTCTTCTTCAGGAAACTGTAAAACGTAGTGTTTTCGGGATTTTCAGAAATCCAATTACTAATTGAAAATTTGTGTTCATCGAAACAAGTTTACGTATGTGTAAATCCCACTTATCTATTTTCGCGTTCAAAAATTGTTCAATTTTTCAAAAACATTATGTTTCATCGAAAAAAACAATCAAAAATCAAACAAACCTGTGCCGAAGTAACATTTCCATGAACTGTCACAACAATCGAACTCTTCTTTTCCATCACATTAGAAAATACAAATATATTATATAACAACTACTACTAAGCCTGAGAAATGTGAAAAAAAAGAAGGGAAAGGGGATCTAGTTCGAGTTGTCATAGTAACCCATGGAATGGAATGGCGAAAGGAAAAAAGGGGAATATGGCAAAACATTTTAATTACGTAAGGAATAGGAGGAATAAACAAATACATGAATAAAAAAAATAAATTGAGGTTACTAGGAACAATGAAAAGAAAATAGGAAAAAATTAATCTACTACTAGTTGGAAAAATATCAAAAATTCTAACAAATGAAAAATAGGATTTTAATTCTCGAAACGTACTTTTGAAGTGAAATTGCTCAAGAATAAGATGATGTGTCAAACGTGAATCTTAAATTAGTCTTTCCAAAATTCGTATTGTAAAATTATTCGAAGCTAAAAAAATTCTAAAGAACCAGAATAAAACTTTTTAAAGCTGGAAAATTATAGTTTTTCCCAATTTTCAAAAAACGCTCCAGGAAATTTTTTAAAAGAAAATTGAGTTTTTGAAATTCAGAAGTTTTTTTTATTTGTTTTGATGAAATTTCAAATCTGGAATCTCGCTAATTTCAACTTTTGGTACTAATTTCTAGTCAAACTCTATGAGAAAGTTTCAGAGCTAACAAAAATGAAATGTAGATCCCCGAAGAATTTAACTCTCCTGTCCTCTTGATTTTCAATCTCATAACCCCCCCCCCCTCCTTTTTTCCATTTATTGTTTTAACCGATCAAAATCCTCTTTCCCCCTCCCAACTGTGAAAAATTGGAAACTTCAACCTCATTTTCATTCATTTCATATTATTTCATATCATTTTCATTTGAACACCTTTTTTCTGTCTCTTCTCATTCTATTTCAGATCAATATGTTTCGTTACGTAATCCATCCAATTTTGAGAGATTTTTTTCGAAACTCGTTGACAGAAAAAGTTCGATGGAATTTTGACCGTATTAATCCTCTTCGATTTTTTCTCGCCTCAATCAAACAATTTCCGCTCTTTCTATTTGTGATCTAGTTTTTTTCGAATTTAATTCATTTTTTGATTTCAACCAAGTTCGTGGGCTTGATCTTCTGGACTGGTTTAAAGCTAGATAACTTTATAAGAGAAGTTATCTGGTTTTATTTATTGATTGATTTAATTTATTTGTAATCCTAAAAGATCAGAAATTTTTCGCTGGATCATTAAATTCACCTTAAAAATCACACAGTTCAAACCGACCCTAAATTTTTCAAAGATCAAGAAACCATTCAAAAATCAAAAACAATTTTTTTTTGTTTTTTCGTCGTTCGGTTTGAAATCGATTTCAATTTCAATTCTATCGGATTAAAAACTACAGTATTCTAATAATTTATTTCCGTTTTTCAGATATTTTTATTTTATGTACAACTTGTTATGAAACATTGAGAAGAATCCAATGCGAAATCCATTTCATCTCATATTTTTATTATTTTTCATAGTTCCCTTAATAGATGCTCAGTTATCGTGTACTTCAGCAGCATGGGCAGATTGGGGATCATGGACAACATGTCCAACAACTGTGAGTTACAATAAGTATTAGAAAACAATTATAATATAATCTATGCTTTTAGACAGTTATTGATCCAACAGTTGTAGCAAAAAGAACACGATCTTGTACAAAACTACCATCTGGATGTTGGTTCGGATCACCAACTTGCTCGTAAGGTTAAAGGATTTTTAAAAATAAAGATGAACACATTTTCAGAGGAGAATCGTCCCAAACATTGGTTTGTGGTGTGACAACAACAAAATTCACATACTCAACAATCGTTTTCGGAACGTAAGTTTACAAAAAAATTTTTGATTTTTTAATTTGATTTTTTGATTTTCAGAACAGCTGTTGAAGAAACCACTGCAATCGATGATACGACAACTGAAGCTGCGACAACTACAGTAGCTGAAACAACAACTCTTGAACCAACCACGACAGTCGCTGAAACAACCACTCTTGCGCCAACTACGACAGTCGCTGAAACAACCACGGTTGAACCGACGACTTTAGCCGCAACAACTACAGTTGTAACAACTCTTGTGGTAGACACAACCACGGTTGAACCAACGACTTTAGCAGGAACAACCACTGCTGCAGCCGCTGAAACAACTGCAGCTGACACCACAAAAGCTGCAGAAGTAACAACTGCTGCAAGTGTTGTGACAACTGTTGCAGCCGCCGAAACAACAGTCGCTGCCGCTGATACGACCAAGGCAACTGCAGCAGAAACCACCGCTGCTTCAGCTGTTCAAACAACTCTCGCTTCAGATACTGATACCACAGTTTTCGATGATGATACAACTATTGCAGTTATTACAACCACAACAAAAAAGGCAACCACAACAACTGCAAAAGCTACAACCAAAGCTGCCACAACTGCAGCCACAACCACCAAAGCCGCTACAACTGTTGCAACCACAGTCACCACAACAAAATCAGCCACGACCATAGCTGGAGTGACAACTACAGCCTCAACTACAAAAGCAGGAACCACCGCGGCTGCAACCACTACAAAAGCTGCAACAACTGCATCAACCTCAAAAGCTGCAACCACGACAACTGCAAAAACCACCACAAAAGCAGCAACCACAACAAAAGCAAGTGACATCGCGATTCCAACTGTTTACGTGCCAACTGAAGCTGTGATAACAGATGCTCCTCTCGAAGCAACTACAACATTCGAATTCACTTTCGCATCAAATGCGCCAGATGAGGATACCACTGTGAATCAAGATACAACTGTTGCTGAAGATCATGATGAATGCGCTGAACCAGTCACAACAGTTTCAACAGTTGCTGGTGGAACTCTTGGAACATTATTCCCTGGAAGTGGAGGCGGCGGAAGTGCTGTCGATCCAATGACATTTGCAACAGCGACACCAACTTTGGCTTCAGGTGTAACAAGAGCACCAACCTGTAGAACAACACCAATTATCACAACCACAATTGCTTTTGGAAAATGCACAACAATTCCAGTTAGTAGCACAACACCTTATCAAAGCACAACAACCCAAATGGTTACCACAACTGTTGCGGAAACTACCAAAGCTGATACTACACTTGCAGCTGATAAGACAACATCGGTTGCTGCGGAAGAAACAACATTAGCTGTCGAGAAAACAACAATCGCCTCTGCAGAAACTACAGTCGCAGCTGAAAAGACCACAGTAGCATCAGAAGACACAACAATTCAGGCTGATGATACAACAATCGCTGATATAATCACAACCACAACCAAATCAGTTGTTAGTTGCAATGATTGTTCTCAATTATTTGTTCAACTTTTCAATGGAAATCCATACGAAGATGCATCATCAGTTCTCAATCGATATTCAGCAGATGGTTGTTATTATGTTCAATTTTTCTGTCGACCAATTGAAGTTGGAGATACAACAACTGTGAATACTGTTTTGAGCGGTGACACATCTTATCTTGACGCGCCTTTGAGTTCAAATTTGGCTTGTCAGAATAAAAAGTGGGTTTTGTTGAGTTCGACAAATTCTTTGGCTGCCGATGTAACATCGCTCGGATGTGTTTATGGAACCAAGACCACAACACCAAAACCAACCACCAAAACAACCACAACTACACCAATAGGTTGGTTATTTTTTTGATTTCAGATTCTAACCTCGAAAATTAACATAGTAATATTTCAGTTGACAATTCAAAAGCTTGCATGAACTGTTCTAATTTGGTAGTCAGCCAATCTGGTTATCCAGAAGGTGTTACTTATCTCGATCATACTTATGATAGTTGTCTTTCTGTTGAAGTCCATTGTTTACCAATCAATGGTGGAACTGAAGTTGAACTTATGTTGGATCTTGTCAAAACTGGAACAATTGCCGCAGAGATCAATCGAACTTTCACCTGCACTTCAAATTCGCAATGGTTGGATTCAGTTACAAATGAGATTGTCAGCAATATCAGTTGCATTATGCCAAAATCAGTCACAACTACACCGATTGTTGAGAGTACTGTATATAATATGCCATCAACTGAAACACCAGCAAAGAAATCAACTACAGCCAAAACTGTTCCACCTGAAACAGCTGCTCCAACACTTCCAGAAGATGCTGATACTACAAAAGATGGAACAACTGTGGAAATGGATATCACAACAGTCGCCGAAATCGATTCAACTGAAGCGCCAGTCAAATCATCAGCTGTTTCTATCAAAGCAACAACCACAACACCAATCAATTGTGGAACGTGTGCAGATCTTGAACCACTTGCAACATCCGAAACTGGAACATACAATGGAATGCTTGTTTTATGGCACTACAAAAGTAATGGATGTAAATTGGTCGATATTTCATGCCAATCAACAATGGTTGACACAAATAATGTATCTCTGATAATGAATCCAAGTGGATCACATCAAACTGGAACCGGAGAACAAGATGTTACATTAAAATGTGTGAATGGTAATTATATTTTCGATAACTCTCCGGTTACAAGTGTCAGTTGTGTTGTTCTAACTACATCTGTAGCCACAACGACCACTACAACTACCACAACAACAAAAACTCCAGTTATCGAAACTACTGAAATTTCAAATGATCTTTGCAATTCCTGCAGTCGACTTCCAGTTGATATTCTTTCCACATCTTCCGGATACACCAATGGACTTCTCAAAGCGGTTGTCAATTACGATTCTTGTATGAGTGTTACTTTAACTTGTCAAGGTGTAACTGCTACTGATATTGCTTCAATTGTCTATCAAGATGCTTCATTGGCAAGTGCAACGAACGAGGTGACAATGAATTTATATTGTGATACTACATCAACATGGATCACCAGTGAACAACAAACTGTTGACAGTATTTCATGTGGTTATCAATCTAGTTAGTTTAATTGTTAAAACCGCAGAACAGTCCCCGTTTTATTATGTCCCCCAAAACTTGACAAAGCCCATGGGCTGAACTCTCTTCAAATTATACTATTGCAAAAGCTCAACTTTTTTTTTTCGGTCAAAAATTTTCAAAACTACAAAATTTTCCAGTTTTGCAAATACTTCTTTTTCAAGTTATTCTCAGTTTATACCAGTTAGATTATCTTACGATAGATATATTAATCAATATACTTTTTGATTTCGAGTAACCAACCCAAATTAAATTACAAGCCAATCATACTCAAAAAATCTAAAATTTTCAGCATCTATTACCACAACAACCGCAGCTTCAGCTTGTGGAAGTTGTGCGAACATGGAATCAGCTGAAGCACTTCTTCAATCAAACAATTATGATGGAATGATTGTTCTTTACAATTATTTTGACAAATCATCAAATTGTAAAAAAGTTGATATTTCATGTCAAGGAACAACTTCGACTGAAAATGCAACTTTGATTTTCAACCCGATTGGAGCGATTCAAACTGGAACAACGGTTCATGAAATCACATTGAGTTGTGCATCAGATGGAACTTGGAAATATTCAGGAACTGTGGTTGAAAGTGTCAGCTGTCTTGTTTCAAGTGAGTTTCAGTTTTTTTAATAGTTAGAAATTTCAAAGATTTTCAGCTGCTACTGAAACTGTGCCAACGACAATCACATCAACAACTTTGGGACCATCTACAACACATGATCCAGAAGTCGCATATTGTGCACAATGTCAAAAAATCGAAGGAGTCGCAGTTTCATCGATCGATGATTCGCTTCAAAATGGTGTGATAACAATGACAACATTCTATGTTGGATCTTGTATTCATGTTCAAGTAACATGTACTGGAACATCATCAACTGAAAAAGTAACACTTCTTGCTGCAACAACTTCATTGATCAGTGGAACCGGTTCAGTTTCTTTCAACTTTACTTGTAATTCGGCTGCCAATTGGATGACATCAGCTGGAACACTTGTTGATAGCGTTTCTTGTGGAAGATACGATGTGACAAGCACAACAATCGCTACAACTACCACAACCGCTGCAAGTCAATGTTACACATGTTCAAATCTTCTCGCAGTTGCAATGGCACCATCTGATGGATCATCTTATGATGGAATGATTGTTTTGAATCATTATACTGATTCAACAACTAAATGTCGAAAAGTTGATGTTTCTTGTGGTCCAACTTTGACTACAGAAAATGCAACACTCTTTTTTGGTTCAACTGTTGTTGCTACAGGTGCTTCAGAACATGCATTTACTCTTTCTTGCAATTCAAACAGTAATTGGCAATATGGAACAAGTGCAGTTGCAAGTGTCAGTTGTCTCATTTCAACAGCATCATCTGGTGTTACCGCAGCTCCAACAACTACAACCACACAAGTTTACAACGATGAATCTGATTTGTGCACACAATGTGGAAAAGCTCCGATTGTTTCAGTTGGATCAACAACAAGTTATCAAAACGGTTTCACAACTGTTGTGCAAACAACTGGATCTGATGGATGTTCAGCGCTTCTCATCAAATGTCAAGGAACAGAAAGTGGAAGTGGAGTTGCACTTCTCTCATCAGGAACTCCATTGGGTGGAGGATATGGAAGTGTTTCAATTAATCTAACATGTAATTCAGCAGCAAATTGGATGACAAGTGGTGGAGCTATTGTGACATCATTAGCTTGTGGAAGAAAAGCAGCGGTAGTTGTAGCTGTAACCACTACAACACAAGCAGCAACTGGACAATGTGCAACTTGCGATAATATGCTAGCAATTGCTATGACTGATGGAACATCAAGTACTATTTATGATGGAATGATAATTATGGATCATTATATCAATCCTTCAACAAATTGTCGAAATGTCAAAATCACTTGTGGTCCAACAGTTTCAACTGAAAATGCAACACTTTTCATCAATTCAAATGCTCTTCAAACTGGTCAATCAACTCATAATATCGAATTGGTTTGTGATTCTACAGGAGGATGGTTGTATGATTCAACAACTGTAGTTAGCAATGTTGGATGTATTATTTCTGAAACAACCAGTGTTGATACAGCTACAACTGTCACAACACTTGCACCAACAACAATCACATCAAAAACTCTTTGTGCTCAATGTTCCACGCTTCCGATCAAATCAGTCAGCACTTCCAGTGTCTGGAGTTCAAACACCAATGGATTCACCACTCTATCTTCAACTATCGATGCTTATGGATGTAGTATGATCGAAATGATGTGCGAAGGAGTCACAGTGAGTTGCAAATAATTTTTAGAGACATAAATATTGTTTGATTTAGACGTCGGAATCAGTTCAAATCGGAGTGAATGATGCGAGTGTTGTTTCAAGTGGAACCGGAAGTACAAACTGGACAAATATTGTTTGCAATTCTCAAGGACAATGGACTTATTCAACATTGGGAGTGATAAGTTCAGTATACTGTATGCGAACTGCTGCAGAAACGACAACGACAACAGTTGCTTCACAATGTGGAACTTGTTCAAATATTCGACCAGTTGCATTAGATTATTCAACAAGTTATGATGGAATGTTGGTTATCACTCATTGGAAAGATAGTTCAACAAAATGCCGAAAAGCGTCGATTGCTTGTTCTTCTACGATGGATTATGAAAGTGCTGAACTTATTGTTGGATCATCTCAAGTTTCGAATGGAAGTTACACTCAAGAAGTTGATATCACATGTGGTTCAACTGGAATCTGGAGTTATAATAGTGCGGCAATCGCAACATCATCTTGCTTGATTTCGAGTAAGTTATCATAACTAACTACAAGTAGAGTTTATTTTACAAAATTATTGATTCTAGACTCCTCTTCAACCTCAAGTTCTGGAAAGAAACGGCGAAAGCGTCAAGCTGGAACTGGTTTGACAGCTTGTCAATCTTGCTCGAAGTTCCCAATGACATCTTTAAAATCATTTTATCCTTGGATGAACGGATTTGCAACAATTGATATGGATGATTCGGGTGATTGTATTACTGTAAATGCAATGTGCGAAGGTACAACAACAAGTGATACTGTAGCTTGGATTGTTTCTGGAACTGTGATTTCGAGTGGAACAAATCAAATCAACATGTCATTCTCTTGCAGTTCTTTGAGCACATGGCAAACATCTTCATCGCTTGTTTTTGCTGATATTTCATGTGCAAGACAAATTGGTAAGTATTTCGAAAATGTTCTGAGATGAGAATCTTATAAATGATTTTTATCTTCCAGCTACAACCACCGTTGCCACAACAACAACCGCATCTCCATATTCTTTGAATTGTGCAAATCTCGTAGTTTCGCCTGTAACCTCTCTCGATTCTGGCGAGAAAAATGGACAACTCATTTTGGATCACGAAGTCAACACAACAATTATGGCTCGAGTTGTTCATATTAGTTGCTACGGTTCATCCTCAACTGATAATACAACACTGTCATTCAATGATGGATCAAGAACAATCAGTGGAACTGGTCAGATTGATTTAACATTGGTTTGTGATTCAAGTGGACAATGGATATTGAATGGAGTTTCTGTGGACACTGTTGCGTGTATTCTAGCTGGTAAGATTTGTTGATTTTGAACAACCCAACATCTAAGATAAGAATTTTCAGCTGGATCTTCTGATGCAACTGCCGCTACAACTCCTGTTTATGTCGCAACAACTACACCTTCAGGATCATCACCAAACACAAATTGTAATCGTCAACTTATTGGAAGTGTGCCAACTGGATATAATGCTGGATATCTTTCAATGAATACTGATACAACGACAACATCTTTGACTGTTTCAATGAGTTGTGTTGCTCCAACTGGAGTATCATTTGCATATTTGATTAGTTCAACAGGATCTATTTTGACAACAAGTTCAACAATGACAAATATGACACTTTCGTGTAACTCGAATTCCGAATGGGTTGTAACAAGTGTAACTGGAACTGGAATCACCGTCGGATCGATAATTTCAAGTATCAGCTGCGCTGTTCCAATCGAAGTTAGCACAACAACATTAGCTACAGTTGATGCTGGCTGTCAAGCTTGTTCAAATCTTGCCGCAGTTGGTCTAACTTCATCCCAACTTGATGCAAATGAACGAAACGGCCAATTCATTTTGGATCATTTCACCGATTCAACAAGTTGCCGAGTTGTTTATTTGACATGTGCTGGAACATCAGCTTCGGAAAATTCAACGATTCTTTTCAATGGTGGTGGATTCACAATGAGTAGTCAAGGAATCACTTCAACATCTTTGACTTGTACAAGTGCATCAACATGGAATTGGTATGGCTCGACGATTTCACAAGTCTCCTGTAAAGTAGCTGACAAGGCATTGACAACCACAACAACTGCACCTACAACCACGACAGCCTTGTCAATCGATAGTGAGTCACACGAATTACAGATTCTGATATATCTGCTATATTTTCAGCCGGTCTCGCTTGCAACCGTTCAAGCCTAATCAGTCCATTGATTTCTGGAGAAAATGCCGCCTATTTGGTTCTTGATACAACTCTTGTTGGAACAACTCTATCGACAACTTTATCCTGTGCTGCACCGGATACTGGTGGAACTGCGGTTTTGGCAAACGGAGATGGAAGTGTTCTCGGAACATCTAGCGGAATGGTTAATATGACTTTGACTTGTAACTCGGCTTCTCAATGGGTTATAACTTCTATAACATCATCGACTTCTGGATCATCAACAGCATCTGTTGGAACTGTTGTGTCTGGATTAACATGTTCAGAAAACAGTGAGTTATAGAAAACAAAATCTATCTCATTATCAATTTTTTAGTCGCCACAACTACTACAACCACAACACTTGCCCCAACCACAACTACAAATGGTATGTAAAGTTCATACATTTCCGAAAAAAAGTGGAAAACCAACAAGTTTTATTTAGATTTCTGCCGAAGTTGTGCAAACATGCAACCAATTGCGCTAACCTCTTCACAATTAGCATCAAATGAGGCGAATGGACAACTGGTGCTTACGCATACAATTGATTCAACAACCTTGTGTCGCATTGTGACCATTCAATGCATCGGAGAAAATGTAACTAGTTTTTTTGAGATATTTCTAGAATTCACAATCAAGGAAAAAATTTAATTTCAGACAAGTCAAAATGCTACAATTTACTTCAATGATGCTTCGAACACAATGTCAGCGCAATATGGACAAGTTTCTACATCAATAACTTGTGCATCATCGAATTATTGGCTTCGAAACAATATTGCTGTTACCGAAATCGCTTGTAAGATCTCATCAGATGCTGCATCAACAGCTGCTGCCGCTCTAACTACAGCAATTCCAAGCACAACAACACTCTCTTCAAATGCTGCGCTGAACTGCAACAAGAATCTCATCACATCTGTCAGCAGTGGAAGTTATGATGTTGGATTCCTAACAGTTGACACAACCGAAACTTCAACCTCTCTAACTCTCGATGTTTCATGCGCCGCAGTTACCTCAACATCCACCGCAGTTCTTCTTGATTCATCAACCCAATTATCAACTGGAACTGGAACAACTAATATGACTTTGACGTGTAATGCGAATTCTCAATGGGTGACTGCGTCTGGAACTGTTGTGACAAGTTTGAGTTGTGGAACAGTGGCAACGGCGACGACGACAGCTGCTGCAACAACTACGGCAGCAGCGGCGACGGATTGTTCGCAAGCTGCTTGGAACACATGGCAAGATTGGTCAGATTGCACAGATACATGTGGATCTTGTGGAACACATACAAGATCTAGATCTTGTAACAAACCGCTGACAACTTGTACATGTGATGGGTTAGTGAATGGGTACTTTCTTCAAAGAAAAAAATACGCGTTGAAAAAATCCGCAAATACTTGCTGAAAAAATCCGCAAACAACAAACACTACGCGCAACTCCTACAGTACCTCCCGGGAAAAGTGTCACGGTAACCCCCGGTGGTTTTTAGCGGGAACCCTCATATTCCCTAACGAACTATAATCCCGGGAACCCTGAGAATCTCACAGACTTTACTTCTCAAATGGAGAATACTACATAGTAGCTCTGAAAAAAACCTCCCCGGAAAAAACTCACAAAATAGTCGAGGAGGGCAAAATGTTCCAACGAAATAGTAAAATTGAGAAAACCCGAAATGAAATAATAAACAACAAAAAATAAAAATGAAAGATGACGTGATCGCAAAAAAAAATTAGTCCCGCACTAATTTTAGGGTAGATCAAAAAATAAAAAAAAAAGGATTTTTATTACCAAAATGATAGAAGTTTGAAATTTATGAGCTTCGGGAAAAATTTCATTTTTAAAGTCACAAACTGTTTTTCTAATTATTTCTGATTTCAGATCAGCCTACGAAAAAGAGTACTGTAATCTACAAGTGTGCAAATATCCTCGTGATTCATCGTGTTGTACCGGTTTTTCACCGCAATCCGCAAATGGCACATTTGTTTGTATGTCAACGTCTTCCGGATAATTCAAATACATGTTTTCTTGAATACAGCCTTTTCAACCCTGCATTTTTCCAATTTCTATTTATAAATACTACTAGTTTTATGTACAAAACTGAATATACAAAAAAAATAAGAAAAATCAACAAAAATTGAGAGACCACCCATTTCCCAAATAAACATTAGTTTATTTTTTTAGTTTTTCCAAAAAATGTTGCATTTTCTAATTTTCTTCCTATTTTTATTTGAAAATACCTATCAGGTAAATCATTTTTGGGAAATGTCAAAATTTAGGAAATGTTGATTTCAGTGTATTTCTGGATGTATTGGACTTGGATTATGTCTCAGCCCACCAATGGTAAGTTACAATAACCTAATCAGGATATTTCTTCTAAAATAACTAGAGTTTAGTTATCAATGCCATTTGGTTGTCCGTGTGGTTCTGGGTTTATCTGTATGCGAGGAGCTTGTGTTGCTCGAGCTGCGGGTGCAAAAACATTTCAAGATGAGCCAATTCGACGACATCCCTCTTCTTCTTCAAATTCTGACATCAAAACTCCCGATGAACATTTTCAAACATGTTGCACAATTTTAGATGTTCTTCCAAGTTGTTCGAATCTGTGCTCATATTCTCAATATACATCAGAGCAAGTTCAATCATCGATTTTATCGATATCGACATGTCCGATGACAGAAATCCCAAAAATTCATTTTTGCGCTTCTCGAGGGGCAAATCATACGGAATGTTGTGATCGAGAAATGATTCCAAAACAGTGTACCAGTTTTTGTGATCAGGTAATGTTTCTGTTTCGAACATTTCGAATTTTCAAATACCTGTCATTCAGAGTGGTGATAAGAAAAATGAAATTTCAATCAATCAACTCGCATGTGTGTATCATTTCAATGAAATGAAGCAATGTTTCTTCGACCACGCAACAACGGAATATTATGAAAGCAATCGGGGCGAAGTCATTGAAGAGATCACCGGACTGGCGCACTATTGAAAAGTTCGTAAAAATAGGAAATGATGTATTTACTTTTTAATAATATAATTTATTCATGCAATCAAAACAACCAAACAATTTATTTTTCCGACTCGAGCTTAATAACAAGAAATGACAAAATACACCGGTTGGGCGAAATGTTGAAAAATATTTACTTGAAGATCTTTCCTTGGTTGAACTTCTTTCCTCCGAAATCTCCTTCCCACATGAAGTATTCGTTGACCTCCTTGACGACATCGGCGTTGTTAGCATCAAGCTTTGTCCAGCTGTATGATTCATAATCGACCTGTAAAGAAACAGTTACTTATTTGTATTTTTATTCTAGAAATTTAGAGTTGAAATTGGAATTTTTCGTGTAGCTTTCAGAGTAGAGGATACTAAACAAAATGAACTAGCACCAACGAGAAGAAGCGATTTGATATTCGAAAGATGTAACATTGAATGAAACGTTAATCATACAAATGACTTTCTTTCGGATCATATAACGTTTTGATTTCGAATTACTTACTTGCCAATCTGAGGACAATTCGAAGGCGAGTTTGTCTCCCTTCCAAACCCAGATTCCGGAGATGGTGGAGTTGTTGTCAGTTCCGAAGAGAATCATTGAAGCGAAAGCGTTCTTCTTCAATTTTTCCAAACGTTGGTACATACCGGCGATAAGATTACAGCTCATGAATCCGAGAGTAAGATCTTCTGGGTATTTGTACTCGCACTTCCAGATTGACCAGTTTTCCTTGTCAAAGTTCTCCCAGAAGTGTGGGATGGCTTTGGTGGCTGTGTCTTCGTTGGAGTAACTTCTCTTGAAGTTATCAAGGTTGAAGGTTCCTTTTGGCATGTCGGCGAAAGGATCTTTCGATTCTTTTTCCTTTGGGATGTCGTCTTCCTCATCAGCTGGAGCAGCAGCTGCTGGTTTAGCGGCCTTTGGCTTTTCAGCCTTTGGAGCTGCCTTTTGAAGTTTTGCAGAGAGATCCTTGAATGTGGCTTCTGAAAATGAATCAATTTAAAATTATTTTAACAAAATAAATTTCAGATAATTCTAGAGGTTAGTTGTGTGAGACAAATCTAAGGCAATAACTGTTTTTCTGGAGGATAAACCTAAAACGACACAGACCGTTAGTGCCAACTCTCAGTCTCTTGAAATCAACGGCTAACGGGAGGGAGTCAAAAACTGTCTCTTTAACCCGATCGCGATGTCAAATTCTTTATATTCCACTACTGTAACGCTTGTTATTCGAATGAATAACCCGCTGACTTCGCAATGGGTTATGATATTTTGAAAAATTCAATTTTATATCAAAACTCACGGTTGAATTGGGCAACTGATGTGGCCAAAGTGACGTCTCCGAGAACGCTGTGGACGGCTGGTTGGTTGACGACAGTTCTGAACCAACGAGTGACATTGACAAAGGTGGATCTAGCTGAAGCATCCAAAACGTGCTGAAATTAGATTTTCATGGGCGAAAGCGATAAATATAAACTCACTTGGAAAGCTGGGAGAAGGTCAAGGGCGACTGAAACATCAGCAAGACTGAGTCTTTCTCCAACGAGGAAAGTTCTGCTTACAAGAATGTTGTTAAGGGTTGTAAGTTGGGCGAACAATTCATTTTTGTATTGTTCGAGAACTTTCTTGTCAAGATTGGCAGCTGAGACTGATGGAAGAACGTATCCCAAAACAGCTGGGAGCAAATATCCTTCAGCGAATTGAAGCCATTGAACAATTTCTGGAAGGTTGTTTGGTGTTCCGGCCAAGTGGAGAGCAATGGATTCAGCACCGAAGAGAAGAGCATCACCTTCGTAGGCTGGTGTCTGAAAACCAATGTTGGATAGTTCAGCCAACGAAAAACTGACAAATGTCAAAACGTACAACTCCGAGTGGGAATTTGTCGGCTGGAGCAGTTTCTCCCGAAAGAGCGACGGTCTTGTTTCCAAGCTTGGCAGCAATCAAAACCTTTTGAGTTCTGAAGTTGTCCTTGTTTCCATATAATTTCTGAAAAAATTTCAAAATTAATGACGTAATTTTAATTTCGAAAATAGGCCCAAAAACCAAATTTTCGAGAGTTACAGGGTTTTAGATAAAATTGGCTACTCAAAAAGCAAAAAATCCAACATACCCCGGTCATGATGTCACCAAACGAGTCGGAAATAGGCACCGTAAAAGGGGGCGCGTGAAAGTGGAGTCCACACGAAAAAGTGAAGTGAACACCACACAAATTGAGTGCGTGGCTGCCCCTGGCAGTTTGCCAGTGTGTTAAACATAGGGGTGCGACGCAGTGCGCTAGTCCACGTTTGCATTGTAGAAGGTGATTTGAAAATTATTTATTTCTTTTTTTTTTCGTTTTTTTCTGTTTTCAGAGTTTGTGCAGAAAATGCATACGTGACATGAATCTGTTTTTCTCCAAAAGAGACAACCAAGTACACTAATTCTGTATTTGCTCTGAACAATCGCTAAAAACCGTTTTAATGCAATAATTTTGTTTTCTCCTGAAATGTGAAATTTTTCCTTTCGGTTTTGAAATGCATACCGGTGATTAAAACAATGCTAATTTGCCGTTGATTGTGGTATGATCGGGGTTTAGTTCCATTGATTCATCATGGTTCACATTTCCCAGGTGTTATCATATTTATGAAAAGTGTTATACTTATGATGTTAATAACATTCTCAAACTTTTCCATCCATTTTTGTTTCAAAATCTCATGTATCCAAAGATATATCCAAAGTACAAACAAAAAGAGGAAAAACTCATCAAACGCTTGTCTTCCCTCTTGCATTCACCAAAAAAATCTTTTTCGCCGTTATTTTTTTGAAAAACGAAAAATAACAAGTTTAGGAGCTGGACCACTCTAGGTAATCCTCTTTTTTCCACTCTTTTCTTTTGCTTCTTCTTTTCTCTTTTGTGTCTGTCTGTTCTTTTTCGTTTTTCATTTCATTTCATTTTTCCTCCTACGCTCTTCCTCTCCGTCCCTGACAGCAGAAAAACCGAATTATTTTTTGCGTGTGTTGGGCGCTTCAAGTTTTTCATTCATTCCTCTCGTAGTGGTTTTTTGCGGCTTAAAGTTGTTAGATGAATCGATTATCATGGTATACACCCGGCGAAAGCACTGAAGAATTATTGTGTCAGGCTGGAAGTGTTGGAATTTATGATGGCGATTTGAAGCAAACACAATTTGAACAGGGAACTGCTTCTCTAACTCTCCAACGAATTATATGGGCCGATTCAAGCGATCCCGTAAGTTATTATAACTTTTTTTCTGAATTTTTCAATCGAAATCTAAAATTTCAGGATCGTCGCCTGGTCCTTCATCATTCGTTAATCGTTTCCATCGAAAAACATCACAAATCCATGTTTAGTCGAGGTGGAAAAATTGTAGTAAAACTCGAAAAACCAAAAGCTGGAAATGTTGGACCAATAAACTCTAGTCAATTTGATAGCCTGAGATTGGTTTTCAGACACGGAGGAGAAGATGATGTAAGATTTTTTATCTGAAAAAAAATAACCACAATTTTTTTTTAGTTTTTCAAAAAATACGAGGACGCAATTCGCCGAAAAACTTGGCAAAGATCAAGCTCGAGTTCGTCATCTGCTGGTTCAAGAGCAAGTGGGAATTTAAGATCGGTAGGAATATCTGGAATTGAAAGAAGACTCGCTGAAAATCACCAAAAAACACATGAAACTATAACTCAAGCATTTGACGATATGTCAAAATTGATGGAAACCGCGAGGGAAATGGTGAATATTTCAAAAAGTATTTCGGAAAAAGTTCGTTCTCGAAAAGGCGAAATAACAGATGATGAAACAATCCAATTCAAATCATATTTATTATCTCTTGGAGTTTCTGATCCAGTAACTAAATCGACATTTGTTGGTTCAGACACGGATTATTTTAAATCTTTAGCCAAAGAAATATCGGATATTTTAGTGGATCATGTGAAAGAAAATGGTGGAATGATTGCACTTCCTGAAGTTTATTGTAGAATAAATCGAGCGAGAGGAATGGAATTATTATCACCTGAAGATGTTATAAATGCATGTGAATCGTTGATTCGAATTGATTCACCTTTAGAGTAGGTTTTTAACTGGGAAAGGGACTGGAATAAATTTATTAAAGTTGTATGAAATTGGTACACTTTTAACAATTAAAAATTGTTGATAAATTCAGATTGAAAACTTTAATTTTTTGAATAGATCAATAATTGAATAAATTTATTTATCAAAAAAACTGTTTCAAAAATTTTTTTAAAGAAAACTTTTTCTGAAGTTTGTGTGAAATTCAAATCAAAAAATAGTTTTCAAACGGTTTTTTTTTCCAGATTACATCGTTTCGCATCGGGTGTTCTCGTGGTCCAACTTCGCTCAGCTTCAATTGACAACACAGTTGATCAAACCGCCGATTTTGTCACAAAATTAGGAAAAGCGTCAGCCAACGAATTAGCAGATAGTCTAGGAACAACCGTAGTTTTGGCTCGTGAAAGACTTTTAGCCGCCGAAGAAAAAGGCGTGATTTGTCGCGACGATTCGATTGAAGGACTTTTATTTTATCCGAATAGATTTTTAGCCGAAATTTCTCAATCAGCCTAAAAATTGATGTATTATTGCTTGATAATTGTGCCAAAATGTATTTTTTTTGTTTTTCCCCATAAACGAGTGTGCCTGAGTGTTGTAGATCTCTATTTTTCGCAATAAATTTCTACCAAATATTGTTTTTGTTAATTATTTCATGTGTTCTTGTTCAGTACTTACTTGTTATTTGCTTGAAAAAAACTAATATTAAATTTACAATCAGAAATTTTCAGATGTATAGAATATTTTTGCTTTTCACTTTATGTTTTGCAAAAGAAGAATACTGGGAAAATCTAAAATTGGATCGAGTTTCTGAAAATGAACTAAAAGCTGAATTTCGATTCGGAGCATCTCGAGAAAATTTGAAAAATGAGAGGGATTTCGAAGTTTTTCCAAGGATTTTGGATGAATTGATTGAAGAATATGATGTCAAATATTTGTTGGTTATTATGGGACAAGGAAGATGGAAAGATGATAAATGGGGAAGAAAAACACAACCTGGAGCTGTTCATGGAGCACAAGTTTATGCTGATTTTGAAGCGAATAGTGAAGAGGGGTAAGGATTTTGAGAAAAAAGTGTGTTAAAACTGTACCAAAAACTTCTTGCTGTAATAATTTTGTGTATTTTTCAATCGATTTCAAAACAATTTCTCTATGTACAATTTTCAGACTTGATATTTCTTGTAAAATTTGAAATTTAGCAAAATTTTCTTTTTTCTGAAAAATAGTTTATTTTTAAGCGCCGACAAAAAACTACGATTCCTAATCGAAGCTCTCAATGGTATTCTCTGCACTTCTCTCTCCCAAATATCTCTCATAACTTCTCCTCAACTCGAAATCTTCAAACGTCCAAAATATTCCACTTCTCAACAAATCTTTAGAAGATACGGTATTTTATCGAGGGAAACCACGTGTACCGAAAATTTGACAAGATTACGAAAACTTTTGGCCTGTCGACAATCAGGAATATCGATTTTACTACATCCTTCTAAACTTTATGATGTTTTGTATCATGCATCGCATTTGATTGTCAAGAAAAATGAGAAAATATCAGAAATGGAAGTTGGAATCACTGCAGTTTTCAAAAACAAAAATCCAATTCAAGGTTCAAATTGGCTACTTTCAAGTATTTTTGAGAGCAAACTTTCGAGCTCTTGTGGAATCGCAACAAAAAGTCAAATCGAGGCAAATAATCAAATATATGATGTGAAAAACCTTGAGACATCTTTCGATATCGAAATAACTTCAAAACCTATTTCAAATGAAGCTAAACTTGTGAAAGGTTGGACTTCTCAAGGTGGAAGTGATCAACAAAATGGAATTCTTCATATTTCTTTGCAAAATGGTGATTTGGATTCGAAACTGGAAGTTTCGCAAATTCTTCCATATTTCGTGCAACCAAGATACGCAAAAATAAGTTTTAAAAATTGTCAAATTACACGAAAAGCTTTGCAAACATCGAAAAATGAAAAGAGTTCTGCATTACTTCAATATGAAATAATTATAAAATCTGGAGAAAAATGTGAAATAACAATTCCATTTGATAAAAAAATCTTGCGATTAGATGATTATCCACCAGATGCAAATCATGGAATGCATATTCCGGCAGCTGTTATTTTCGTGAGCCAAAAATCCGACAGTTATACAATTCATACAAATCCAATTTTGGTTGCTCTACCAGTTCCCGATTTTTCGATGCCTTTCAATGTTATTTGTTTTGTAGCAACAGCTTTCGCGTTAATTTTTGGACCATTACAACTTTATTCAACTATGTGGTTAGTTCTATTTTTCATAAGCTAATATTTTTTTTAAATTCATTTTCAGGCTTGCACCAAGTCCTCCGAGGTCAACATTCTGGCGAAAAATCAATCGACTTATTCTACTTATTTTAATCGTTTTATGCCTTTATGCTCATTTTATGGAAATTAATTTGAATGAAGTTCGAAGAGGAATCGAACAATATTTGGAAAAACTTAACGAACTTCGGTGATCGTAAATATTTGTGAACAAATTCAATTTTACGTGTATTTCAAAGAGAGTTTAATAAAAATAATTTATTTTACCAATCCTAGAAGAATAAGTTAGACGGTGTTAATATTCATCGATTTTGGTGCCATCGAATCAGTCGATTTTCGTTTGGTAACAACATCGAAAAATCGGCTAACTGAAATTTTTTTTTAAATAAATATTTCAGAAATATTTATGGAAACAAAAAAAACAAACTCACCAATGCTCTCATTTTTCTTTTTCGTTACTGGTTTTTGTGTGGATTGTGATGGATTCGGACTTACACGAACTGTTGTTATAGGCGAGGGTGAACAAGTTTGCATTGCTGAAACTGCTGGGCGAAGCAATGCTGGCGCATTCTGAAAATTGGTATTTATTTGGAGAGAAAAATGGGTTTGGTAAAACTCACATTCGCTTTTTCAATTACATTTCCACTTGTGGATTCTTTTGAAAGTCGATACATCAGAGGATTTTTGATATTTTTCACTTGAAAAAATGAAAACAAATGAGAAAGGTAATGTGAAAACATTTGAAGTGGAATTCCAAATTTCAAAAAAAAGAATTACTGTAATTTTTTGTCTGAACATTTTTTCAATTCTCCAATAAGTATTGCCACGTCATAACTACGTAGTTCTCAAAATCATTTTCAAAACCCGAAAAATCTAACATTTCTGAAGTTCCAAAATATCCTCATTTGTCGGATCCGTTTTCCAAGTACACCATCCTTTAATTCCACGAAGCAACAATTGTTTGGCTAGAAACAATTCACAATTCTAATTTCATTCCAGAAAAACTCACGTTTATCCAAGTTTTCACCAGCCACAGTTCCCAAATAATGCAAAAGAACTCGCAATTTTTCATAAGATCGTTCGTTGTGAAAAATTGCAGCAGGCGAAAATGTGGAACACATGTATGGAGCTAGCAAAATGAAAAGCTTGTCTTTTCGAGGACTAAACATTGTATGCATTGTATTTTGAAGCCGCCTGTGCCTAACTCACATATTATGAAACTTGCACTGCTCTTCATCCTGATAACAACTATGTGGTCTGTGGAATATTTGAATTTCGCACATATTTGTTGCTCGAACTCGAGCATTGCAAACCATTCGACGACCAGGAATAACACCATAAACACGATCAACAAAATATGAATAATTATCGGTTGTTTGAATTTTGAAAGCAATTGGATAATCACCATGGTTTACCAAGCGAAGGACTCGTTTTTCAGGTGGGCGATTAAGCTAAAAAGTGGGATTTTTGTGAAGAAGAAGAAACACAGTAGGAGATACTGTAGATCACATTCATTAAGAAATTATTTTTGAATATTCAAAGATTACTGTACAGTAGTAGTTTAATAGTCTTGGGTTACTGTAGATGAACAATCAGTTTTGTGGTTAGATCAAGTGTTTCTGGATATTTTTCAGATATACTGTACAGATTTTATTCGAAAACTATTTATTGAAGTTTAGAATTTTATACGTTTTTTTGAGCTGGGCTTAAATTGTATGAATTTTGAAGATTGGAAACTTAGATGTCTCGGAAAAATTTCAAGTTTTTAAAATAAATAAAATTAGACTAATTTCTGAATTTCTGAAAAATCTGTTTTTCTAACAATTTCCTGATTCTTGTAAATTTTGGAATAGAATTTCTGAAAATTATAACACGCTGCTTCCAAAATTTCAACAGATTCCAATTGTTCCTTTTCCCCTTGTCCATACAATCCCAACTCACATGTCGATTGAAAGACAAATAATTGAAACTACACGAAACTAAAATTGGCGGTTCGACCAATTGCAAATCGGGTTGATTTTCAGTCCAAATAAACCCATCATTCGAAACATATCCACCATCTGTTGGCCAAAATTTGAAACTCATTTTATTTGTTTTGTTTGTTATTATTATCAGAAATGACTCAATTTCACGTACGTTTTTTTTAATTCATTTTGATATTATCCAGTTCACGATCTTTATTTTATTTAGCAACATTTTTGTATTCTTTAATCGGTCATAAAATGGTATCTCAAAAAAAGAACAGGATGAAAGAAGTCGCGAGAAAAAACTAAAAACCATAAAATAAAAATGTGTCCGGTATCTTTTTGTATATATAAAAACCAAGTTATTCTTTCTCTTCCTCACTTTCTTTGTTATTTTAATCAAATTATTTGTTAATCAAACTAATAATGTCGTCAGTCAAGTTGACCCTTTCGATTTCCATATTTTCTCTACTATTTTCTTTGGGTTTTCTAATTCTAATTGCACGTGATGTTGGACAACTTTTTGAAGAATTGGATCAAGGAATGCAAATGGTTAAGGTTAGCTAGAAATAAATAAAGATGAGCTAAATAATTTTGAATTTTTTCAGAGAGAAACAGATTTGGGTTGGCGATACATGGTTGAAATTCGAGAAGATGTTGCAAATATTGCTAGGATTCGCAGGGAAAATTATGGAGGATACCGTATGTCAAAAATTAAAATGAAAAAATATTAAATTTTTCAAAAATAAGATTCCAACCTACCTTTAACGTGCGAAAAATTTTTCTCCGGAAAATTGGAGGCGGTTTTGAAAAAGTTAAAAACCGGCAATTTCTTTCAAACTAAAAATCGACTCAAATCCTAGAAAATTTCGATTTTCCAGAAGCTTCTGGAAGTGTGAGCGATTTCGAAGCCGACGGCTCGGGAGAATTCCCACCTGAGCGAATTCCAATGATGCCAAGTTTCGGCCCACATTGCGCTTGCTCTTCATTCTCCAATCCATGTCCTCCCGGCCCTGCTGGCCCAATCGGAGATCAAGGAATTGATGGAGAAGACGGTATTGACGGAGTCGATGGTTATGATGGTTTTGATGCACATCCAAGCCCGCCAGCTGCACCGTCACACGCGCCATTTAATTGTCCGCGCGGTCCACCGGGAGAGCAAGGAGTCGACGGTCCACGTGGAAAACGTGGATTACGTGGGCCACGAGGAATTCCAGGTAGACCAGGTAGAAATGGTGCGACTGGAATGCCTGGAGAAATGGGACAACCTGGAATACCTGGAGGAGATGGAATTGTTGGAAAACGAGGTGTAAATGGAATCGATGGTGTGAAATATATAAACCGCCCTGGGGTTAAAGGTGCAATGGGTCCACCAGGAAAAGAGGGACAACCTGGAATGCGCGGTAAAGATGGAGTTGTTGGTTTGGAAGGTCTTCAAGGATACGTAGGAATGGCTGGGTTAGCAGGAACTGAAGGCCCGGGAGGATCACATGGTCCACTTGGACCAGCTGGAAAACCTGGAAAGGATGCTGGTTACTGTAGATGTCCGGATCGATATGATAATGATATTCCCACTTTAACAAGAAGTCTATGATAAAATTTTGTCTAGGTAATAATAACCGTTTCAATGTTTCCGTGTATCACTTTTTATCAGTTATCGAGAAAAAGTTTATGAAAAATTTTAATTGTCTGTAATAAAATGTTGTTCTCATATAAAAGCGTGGGTCTTCATTGATAAAAATATTGCTTTTCGGATCACTATGAAGTTCCTGTTAGCATTGCTCCTTTTAGGAGTTTCTTCTGCTTTTGCCCAAACTTGTAATACTGGTGGAATCTACAATTCACACTTCAATAGATGTTATCAATATTTCACAGCTCCTTCACAATATTTGATTGCGGAAGAGCAATGTACTAATTTGGGAGGACATTTGGCATCAATCCAAAATGGACAAGAAAACATTTTGGTCCAAAGCAACGGAGCTCTTGCATTCGGAAAATCAAATTACACCGATTTCTGGATTGGAGCTAATGATTTGGAAACAAGTGGAAAATGGGCATGGACTGATGGAACAACTTTCAGCTATACATCTTGGGGAACTGGTCAACCACAAACTGGTGCTGATTGTGTAAGTCAAGATAAATCCGATGGAACATGGTCGACTATTGGATGCACATCATATCGTCCATTTGTATGTGTCACTCCACCAATCAACCCAGTAACTTGTCCACCAGTCACTACACCAATTCGTAAGTCATACTGGAATAAACTTTGATTTGAGTTCACCTAGAAAGTTTTCAGCAGCAACCTGTCCGGCTCCAACTCCATGCCCACCAAAAGTGTGTGCACCAGCTTGCGATCAAGGATGGACTTATTTGCAAACCACCGATAGTTGCTACCACGTTTATCATAATTTGAAATGGCAAGATGCTGAAGCCGCTTGTGTTCTTCTTGACGCTCATTTGGCTTCAATTCACTCTTTGATCGAGAACACACTTGTTAACAGTAAGTGGTCTGATTTGATAGCATAGTTAATTGTACAAAAATGTCATCACATTCATATAGTTAATATGATAAGAGTTCAAAACTAAATAAAAACAATTTGCAGATCTTGCTGCTTGTGGAGTTAAAGAAGGAAATCCAAAAGATCTTGCATGGATTGGTCTTCATCAAACCAACGGAAAAGATTGGGTTTGGACTGATGGAACACCAACTGATTATTTGAACTGGGCACCAAAACAACCAGATAATCCGGGAAAAGAATTGTGTGTTGAAACTGCTCCAGATCTCTCTCATGATAAATGGTACGAGAATTGGAACAATGAAGCCTGCAACACTGTGATGCGAGCATATGTCTGTAAAAAACCAGCATATCATTAAGTTTTTCTTCTTAATAAATTATCATTCGATAAAAATTTTGTATAAAAAGAAGATTAATTTTTCCATTTTTCGTGATAATTCAAAAGTTCAGAATGTTGATATTATTTTCTCTACTTCTCACAACCCCACTCATTGTTTCTCAATCTTGTAACACTGGTGGAATCTACAGTTCTAAATTCAACAGATGTTATCAATATTTCACAGCTGCTGCTCAATTTGAATATGCGGATGAGCAATGCACAAATCTCGGAGGACATTTAGCATCAATTCAAAATGGCGAAGAAAATGCATTGATTCAAAGTAACGCGGCGATTATCTTCAAATCAACAAACAACAGTGATTTTTGGATTGGTGCCAATGATTTGGCAACAACTGGAACATGGTCATGGACTGATGGAACTGTTTTCAATTATCAAAACTGGCAAGTAGGTCAACCACAAACTGGAGCCGATTGTGCTACCCAAGATAAAACTGATGGAACATGGTCAACACTTGGATGCACCCAATATCGTTCATTTGTCTGTGTTACACCACCAATCAATCCAGTAACTTGTCCACCAATCACAACACCAATTCGTAAGTTGATCTTTGAACAATTTGTAGTACTTCGAACCTAGATAAGAGTTATTTAAACAGCGATCAAAATTGTTGCCTTATCGAAAAAAAAGAGGTGTTGATTTTTAGCGAAAACATTTGGCATCCACGTTGTTTTTATCAGTTTCGAGTACACTAGAATACAGTCACGTTTTGATTAATTATCGGAAAAAAAATTTGAAAGAAAATATTTTTCCGGGACGCTGCCATATGAACAATGATACTCACTTACGGAATAGCACAAAATACTTTTTGATTAAAAAACAATTAAAAAGGGTATTACAGATTTCAATGAAAATATAAATAAGTTCAGGGAGGCCAAATTTTCTACGTGAAAAACTAATTTGAGTTCACTGGTTTTTTTTAGCTACCACTTGCCCAGCTCCTCCAGCATGTCCCACCAGAGGATTAGTTTCATCTTGCGATGAAGGCTGGACTTATTTCGCACCAACCGATTTTTGCTACAAAGTTTATCACAACGCGAAATTCGATGATGCTGAAGGAAATTGTGTACTTCTCGGTGGACATTTGGCATCGATTCATTCAACAAAAGAAAATACCTTTGTCAACAGTAAGTTCTCCATTTTTTTTGAAAAAAAAACACAAAATGAAACTGATTTACAGACATTGCTGCTTGCGGTATCAAAGAGGGAAATATCAAAGATCTTGCATGGATTGGACTTCATCAAGTCGGTTCCGATTGGGTTTGGACTGATGAATCAGCTACAGACTATTTGAACTGGGCACCAAAACAACCAGATAATCCGGGAAAAGAATTGTGTGTTGAAACTGCTCCAGATCTCTCTCATGACAAATGGTACGAGAATTGGAACAACGCTCCGTGCACAGATATTATGCGAGCTTATGTTTGTAAAAAGGCTTCATACAAAAATTGATATGTAATAAATATATTTAAATTCTTAAATCGCAAAAACATGACAATAATGATTGAACTTCTTCTCTCCACAGTAAGCAGTATCGATCCGAGTTGTATAAACAAATGGATGTTCGGAACAAACGACAATATATCTTTGCAATTTTTTAGCCTCGAGAGCATTTTGAAGAGCTTTTGAAGAATCGACTTGATCAGGTTTCATGTTCTAAATTTTAGAATCTTCTATGGAAACATCAAAAAAGACTACAGTACCTGTCTGATAATCTCTTTCAATTCCGGAGTATTACAAAGAACATCCTGATCCTTTCCAGCAATTCCATAGAATGTTGGTTTTTCTGGAAGTGATCTTTTCTTTCTTCCACCACATCCACACATTGGTGGTGGTGGAGCTGGTGGCATACATCCACATCCTCCGCCACCTCCTCCCATTCCGAATAATCCTGGACATGCTTCAGAATAGCAGACAAAAATAGCTAGGAAAATAGTGAGAAAAGTAATTGAAGACGGCATATTTATTGAAACTGTTTTGATGTAATTCATATATCCTTGTTCTTTTATATACAGTCATAGTGGGTGCATTAATTTGATGGATTACCAAGAAAAAACATGTTTCGCTTGAACTAATTTGGTCAATTATTCTTTATAGATTTAGTGAGGAAAATGAGGAAGAAATTGTAAGGGAAAATGAGAAAAAAGTGGTTGTTGGTCGAGTGTTCGCGATGTTTTAAATATACGTCATCAACCGGAAAGTAGTTTTTGCAGGAACACTCTGAAAGTGGGAAAGCTAGATTACCGTACATCACTTTTCTGCAAAATTATCGTGTTCAAATATTTTCAACGAAAAGTTCCAGAAAAAATCTTCTCAAGAATACTGTATCTCAAAAGGAATCTTCCCAAATTCACACTTTCCCATAAAACACCTGTTATTTTCGAAAACAATAATTTGTTTATTTTATGGTCGGCTGTATTTTTTATCTATCTCACTTTTTTCGTTAACACCAAGGTGTCAAAAAAATGATCTTTGGGAAAGAAGTGGGAAAAACGACACCGGAAGATCAATAACTGATAAACGTGAAAAAAGAATTGGTTTTGAAAACGAATATTTTTATTTTTGAAAAAGAAGTTAAAATTTACTTTTCACAACCCGTTATCAACCTAATGGAAGCCCTTGTCAGATTAAGAAATACATTTGGATAACCTGGCAAATTTTTGGATAAAACTAGTTTAGGGAAAACTTGAAGCTAGTAACTGAACTGAGAAACAACTTAAAATCAATTTGGAAATTAAAACATCACGCGAAGTCTGATAAATAAATCATATTTCAAATAACTCAAAATTTGCATAACCAATTGTGTTTTTTACTACAGAAATAAGTTTCAAAATCACAAAAAGCATTTTGTAAAACAGTAAAAATTTGAAATATGATGAAATTAAACGGTATCAAGTTAATTTGAAAGAGAATATCAACAGAAATTCAAATGAAATTTTTTTTTTAAATGAAGCCTCATTTGAAAAAAATAAGAAAGCACGTACAAAAAAAGTGAGTTGCCATGAATTTTTAAAATTTATTTTCCGATCTGTATTTTACTGTATTTTATCACATATTTTTGTTTTTTCAAAAGATTCCCAAAACTCCTATCATAAACAAAAAACAACATCTGTTTCCGTCGGATATTTTTAACACCTTGCACACTTTTCCAGGTCAAACTACAGCATCTCCACCCAATCTGAGATGGGGCGTGGCCTAATAAGGGGCGTGGCTTCAATGGTGGACACCAAAATGTGGTATAAAAGGTAAGGGTGAAGATCATTAAATAACACTTTTTCTGTTCTGAAAATAATACTGATTATTTTCGAGCTCTAATGTTTTTGAATCTTTTTTCCGATTGTTTCTCTCTGTCTTTGGTCTATTTTTACTAGAATTTAATTTTTCTAGAAATAAAATCAATTTGTTCCAAAATGATGTCCAACTATTTTCAATCAACCTCTGACTTTGTTCCAATGCCTTCAAGTTTTCTTCAAAATCAACCACCATCTTGGAATGATGTTCAACCAAATGAAGTTAGCCGAAGAAAAAATGAAGATAATCAATTAAATGATGCATTTTCTGGAATGACAATGTTTGATGCAAATGAAGTGCCAAAACCAATTCAAACTCAGCCACAACAACAATATTATTGTCAACCTGATTATTCAAATTATAATAATCCAAGAAAAGCTGAATTTGATTTTTATCAACAATGTTACCAAAAACACATTCAATCAACATATCAACAATTACTTCTTCAAAATCAACATCCCATTCAAATTCCAACTGAAACTGTTCCAGTTTTCTCAATTTCTCCACCAATTTCTTCATCAATTTATTCATCTTCATTGTCTTCTTCAAATTCTTCTTCATTTGAAAATATTCCAAGTGCAATTCCACCAGTCGAACATAATGGAACTATTTATTTCTCAAATCCAAGTGAGTTACTTTTTCAATAGTTTTTGAAACCTTTTACAAATTTCCATATTTTTCAGATTCTGGAGAAATGTCTAGTCGTGATATGTATTTCTTTTTATCCAAACAATTTCAAGCAACAAGAAAAGCTTTAATTGAATCTGGATATCCATATTTTGAATTTGGAAAAGAAAATGAAATTGTGACAATTCAAACAACAACATTTGAAGAAAATAAAAAGATTTGGATTGAAAAATGTGATAAAATTCGGAATTGTTGTCGATGCAGAATTGAATTCAAATTCAATAAAAATGGAAAAAGATCAATTGGAAATTGTACTTATCATCCAAGATCAGCTAAATTCAATTTAGGTAAGTTTATTGATTTTTTGATAATTCTTGAAAATAATCAATCTTATTTTTTATAGAATTCAAATTTCGAATTCATGATTGTTGTGGTGAAATTGAAGGACAATCAAAAGGCTGTGAAATTGCACAATATCATGTTTATGATCAAATATTAACTGATGAACTCGAAAAATTCTTGGCAACTCCAAAATCAATTGGATTGAAAGATATCCGAAATTATAACATTTTTGGAATCGATTGCGAAATGGTTTATACATTAGGTGGACCAGCAATTGCAAGAGTTTCAATTATTGATTTGGCTGAAAATATTGTTCTTGATGTAATTGTAAAACCACCAACTAAAATTTTGGATGCAAATACAACATTTAGTGGATTAACAATTGAACAAGTCGAACAATCAACTGTTTCAATTGAAGCTGTAAGTTTCATTTTTTCCAATTTTTCAAACAATTCAAAAATATTCTTTTTTTTAGTGCCGCCAAAAAATGTTCGAATTAATCAACGAAAATACAATTTTAATCGGACATTCATTGGAATCTGATTTAAAAGCTCTTCGAATTTCTCATATGAAAATAATCGACACTGCAATCTTGTTTCAAAAACAAGGTTCCAAATTCAAGCCATCACTTCGTAATTTGGCTCAACAATATTTGAATAAATCAATTCAGATGGATAATCCATCAAATATTGGACATGATTCTATTGAAGACGCCAAAACTTGTATTCAACTTATTAATCATTTATCTACTAACTGTTAATTTCATGTATTCTTTTTTTCTGGAAATAATTGCTCATTTGTAACTCGGTTCATTTCTCCGGTCTCTTTATTTTGTACCTTTGAGTCTTACAAATCTGTGTTACGGTTTTTTCTGGTCTCTTTATTTTTTAATCTCGAGTCTCACTTTTATACCTTACGGTTTTTTCTTCCGGTCTCCTAACTCATACTCGATAGATATTTCGGGTATTTTCATGGCTCATTTTAGTCTTCCTTATCTGAATACCTCACCGTTTATTTTCTGGTATTTTTCATATTTTCCCCTTCATATTTTTGTCCCTAAATAAAATTTGTTTTTTTTTCAACTACTGTGTTTGGACATTTGAAAGAAAAAGTTTCAGGAAAATATATTCAAAATCTTCCCAAATTCACACTTTCCCAAAAACACCTGTTATCTTCTAAAACAATAATTTGTTTATTTTTATGGTCGGCTGTATTTTTTATCCATCACATTTTTTTCGTTAACACCAAGGTGTCAAAAATGTGATTTTGGGAAAAATGGAAAAGGGAAATGGGAGGTGGGAAACGAGAAGAGAATGACTAGATAGTTTCTGGAATAATTAGAAAAATATTAATTTGTTCTTCTCAAAAATTAAAATTTTTTCTTGTAAAATTCATTTTTTGAATGTTCATTTCTAAAATCATGTTTCCAAAATTCAAATTTACAAACTTTGTCACATGTGCTACACCTCCCCCACTCTTCAAAAAAAATCAAAATTCAAAAGTCACTAAAACACTCTCTCAAATATCTCTGACCTCAAAAAAAGTCTAATTGTTACCATCAATCATCAGTTCCCGAAATATCTCAAAAGCAAAAAAGAGCAGGTTGTTGTTACGTGTATCGCCCCTTCGTTTTCTTCCTTCAGGAGGAGAAATCTTCTTCTTTTTCTCGTGTGCATGTTGAAAAATGTGTCAACTGTTCTCAGATTTCATCTTCTCCTTCTTCCAAATCATATCATTGTTTTCTTATATTTTTTCGCTCGGACCCCCACAAGATACTAACATTTTATTGTTATTTTTTGTCGGTTTTTTGGGAATTTATTTTCAGAGAGAAAGAGAGAGAGATCTTTGATCATTAGAAGAGATTTTGAGGTTCTGAATTTTCTGATATGCTCGTAATTTTTTGGTTTTTTTCATATTCAATCATTTTTTCACAGAAAATGTTGATAGTAACCGAAATAATTGTCTAATCAAAAATATTATAAACTTTCAACATTTTCACATTTTGACTTCTTTTTTCTTTCAAAAAATCTGTCAAGTATCAAATTTCATATTTCAATTCAATTTTTCTCTTTTCCAGAAATGACTTCATTTCTCAAAAAACTCCGCTCAAAATCACCACAAAAACAACGAGTTGCTCTACCAATTATGAATGGTTATTTACCACAACAGCAACAACAACATAATCAATTTGTGAGTTATATAATTTATGTTTCAAAGTTCAAAAAATACGGATTTTGCAGCTTCCCCCTCAAAACTATCCGCCAGTTTGTTATCTTCCACTTCCGCCATCTCCGAAACCTCGAAATTCTCCGCTAACTGCAAGATCTGGGAGTAATTTGAATAATGGAAGTAATCAGTCAAGTGTAAGTGTTTGAGATTTGGAAAAAAAGTTATGACGTGGAAAAACTGAATTTAAAAAAATATGGACATCGCATAGATTTTTCTCACAAACTCCTCTCATTTCTTAGGACTCATTCGGAATCCACAGCTGGAATACCGAACCTCAAATGAGCGAAGATCGATACTATCTGCAAAACGGTAACCTTTCCGATCCCACCGATGGTCCGGGACCACTAATGCGAGCCCGTTCACATTCGCCACGAAAACAGCGGAGAGAAACACAGGAAGAGAAAAAAGTGAAGAGTAAATCAAAAAGTCCGCAGAAAAAACATCATCGAACGGTGATAAATCAATTGGATTATTTGAATTCGCAGTGTCATTTGGAGGGTTGTTCCGCTAATGTTGTAGTTCATGTGAGTACATTTTTCTTGAGAGGAAACTGATTTTGAAATAAACATTTATTGATTTTTCAGTCAACCCGATTTCTTCTCTGCCGCCATCAATTATGCCACGCTTCCGAATATTTTAAAGACATGTTAAGAGATCGAAGAACCGAGGATGATATTCATGTGAGTCAAAAACGTTTCAAACATTCTTAATGATCCTTTAAATCTGCAGGTTACTGTATCTAGCATGTCTGAACCTTCTCCATCTACACAATTTCGATGGTTTATTGAATCGTGTATTCCATGTCCAGCATTGAAAGATATTTCCGACGAAACTTTGGAGACTTGTATGAGGTTATCCAAACGATTTCACGCAAAAGGGTTAGAATTACGGTGTTCCAAGTTTATTATTGAAAATGTGAGTTTTTCTGACATATCAAGGGATTTGGAGAATGGATTTCTTTTAAATATAAAAGAGCAATCTTCCTACACCTCAAATCTTTCTAGCCCTAACTCACACTTTTTCAGTCGTGTTCACGCCAACCAATAGTTGCGCTATGTTGGCTGAATTGGTCGCTTAAACACAAATACGAACCGCAGACGCAAGCTTCGCTTCTTCCGGCGGTCGCAAGATTATCTCTAAATTCCCTAGAAAGGCATCGACACATGTTGACAGAGAAGATTTATTCCGAAATTTTGACAGCTAAGCTACGAGGAACTTATGATAAGGTAACCCCAAAGCCTTACATCACTTCAACATACCAATCTGTTTTCAGGCAGTTCAAGTGTTTCGAACAATCCATCGTATGGATCATTTCACAATCGATCTCGAAAAATGTCCAAAATGTCAACGATCTCGAGATGGAATGCGAGTAAAAGTGCACTGTGATCCATGTCGAAAACAAGTCGGATGTGATCGATGTCATCCGAGTGGATGTGAAATTGAAGCAAAGGCCGGCGAAGATCTTCAAGCATTTTTCCAATGCAAACATCAACTTGTTCCATTAAATGATGCTACTGATGAATGTCATTGTCAGATTCCAATTTTGGCACATCATTTAGGAGCAATAGCACATTTTCGACAACCACAACAGAATCAAATTGAACAAGAGTCACAGTATATCAATTCGCCAATTCTCAGGAGTAAAAGACAATAAATATTTTGACTTTTTTGTGTGAAGTGTAGATCTCAAGTTTTGATTTTTCTGGATCTGGAATTGATTCTCTAATTTTCTCATGTGTCCGACACTCTGATCTGATTGTTTGAACTTTCTGGCCCCAAATCTCAGATTCTTTCTTGTTTATAAAGTCTAGACTCTAGACATTTTCATCACATAAAAATCTCACCCAAATCTTCATTTTTTCTCAAAGAATATTCCGATATTCGAAATGAGATTTTTCCTTCTTCTAGCAATTCTAATTGTTTCAACACTTCAGTTCGACGCTGAATCTCTAGATTTCGGCGCTCGGCGAAGAATCAAACGAAGTGCCACTTCTTCACCTCTTCCAACTGATCCCCCAAGTTCTGATTCTTGGGAAGAAGATTCTGATGAATAATTTGTCAGAAAACACGAAAAATAAACTAATTTTTATTCGCAATCAGAAAATGATTTATTCTTGTTTGACTGCTTCAAGTTTGATACTTTTCGGTTCCAAAAATTTATCGATTGCAGTGACTAAAGGATTGACAATACTATTATAGACAACTCTAGATCCTTTAGTTTGTGGAAGATAAAGATACATCAAGAATGTCATCTTGGCCAACCAGTAAAATGGAAAAACACTCCAAATACTACTAGCAAAATAATCAATCAATGAAAATGTTGCATAAACACTCCAATAAATCAACCATTCAGTATCATCATCAGTTCCTTCAGTTCTAATTGCTTTGACTGACACATATCCGGGATATGCCAATCCGATCAAATTACACAAAAATTCAGCCCATGATCCAAAAACCATATAGAGCGCATTGAGTGCAAAAAGAAAATATGCGACAGTTTCGCGTGGAACAGCAGTCACTTCTTCGATTTTTTTGACATTCGTGTCATAAAATTCACCATGTGGTTGGTATAAATATGAAACAAAGTCTGCCTAAAATTTGTGGAATTATTCAAAGGGTAATTCTAGAAGTTTGGGAGTTCGGTGGTCCCTCTCTCCAACAAACCCACATGAAACATCTTCACACCATCAACTACTGGTGGCGCCTCAGATTTTGGCAAATCGCCAGCATTTTCATATTTTGTTGGTTGTTCGGTTCGAGTTGTCTCACTTTGATCTACCGGTTTTCTCGACGACATTTTTGTGGTTAGTACAAAAAACTAAATGGAGCAAATGTGATCATTTTTGATTTTTTTTTTAATTTGTCCCAAAAATATGTCATGTGGGTCACGTTTGGAATGAAAAATGTTGAAATTTGTTAGAAATAAATCAAAAAGAGAGCACAAAGGTCGATGTTGCAGGGAGAAAAACATGAAGAGTGAGAAATGGAAAAAGAGGGAGAGGTTTACTATGGCAACATAGTTTTTTGGAGACATTTTTAGAACATAAATCGGATTTTTAAAATTATTGAGTTCAAAGAATTTAAATTTATAAAAGCTCAAATTAATTTAATGCAATCCAAATTTTAAACATAAAATTTCCAAGTGTTCAAAAGCTTCTCAAAAAACCACCTTCCATCTCGTCATAAATTATTATTCTCAAATTTCTGAAACTCAATCAAAGATCAACTTCTACTTTCTTTATCAACAACAAAAAATTAACAAATATTCTTCACTTCCTCCACCCTCAAAAATTGACGTTTACGTTTGTATAGTTCCAAATCGTATAGTAGTATATACAAAAACATCACATATTGTACTAATACTTATCATGCTTCCGTTTTTCTTTGCACTCAAAAAAAAAATCAAGCTAACCGAAAAATATAAATTATCGTAAAAAGCGAAAAATTCTTATCATCCTCTCATCACAGCAAAAACCAATTCTAGGTTCGATAAAATGACTGCGGAAAAGAAGAGCACATTTTCCAAAAATAGTCTTTTTCTCTATGCCGCCTATATTTCAACTTGTTTAGTAAGTTCAACAATTTTCTAGAATTCGAGACTTATAATAATAATATTACAGGAAGATCGAGCATGGTCATTTTGTATTTCTTTATGTATGCAAATGTTGGGTGGAATGAGAATGGTGTCGATTGAACAATTATTTGAAGGATTATTACAGATTGCTTTGAGTGGACATTTGGGAAAATTATTTGATCGATTGTCGAGGAAAACTGGTGGGTTATGGGACAGATTTTGGCGATAGAAAATCAGATAAATATATTAGAAGTTCAGCTATAACTTTTCGAAGATCAGAAATCTCGCCATAACAGAATTTTCACATATCTCTAGAAGTTCATACTGGATTTGATGGTATTCCAGAAGTTTTTGTGAAGATTTTTCAAAAACTCTCAAAAACTAAAAATGTTTTTTTTATCTGGAAAAACACTATTTTACTCTTGAGTCAAAACTTTTCTAAACAAGTATTAACATTTTTTTTCCAAAACTCATGACTTTTCTCTAAATTTATCATTTTCTGGTCTGTTTTTCAAAACCACTGATTTTCGTTGTTTCTGACTGATAAGAAATTTCACTGGAAAATTCAAACTACAAAAATAGTGCTCTAAAAATGTTTTTGGACCAAAACTCTCTGATCTCTCGAAAAACAATTCTGTAATTGCCAATAACTTTTTTCAGCCATCCTAACCGTAGTACCATTCAATAATTTGAGCATTGTCGGAGCAGCAGCTCTACTTTTCGGTAAGATTTTTCGACTTCTCTCAGTTTTTTACCAATCTTTCTTTCTTTCATATTTTCAGCATGTCTCTCAATCAGCGATCTAAATTCGTGGCTTTTCACAGTTCTCCTAATCTCAGCAATGTGCCTCTGCGCTATAAATCGTCTATTTCTCAACGCGGAAAAATTCATAGTTGGTCGAGATTGGGTTATGGTAATTGGTGACAATGGATTATTATCGAATATGAATGCAACACTAACAACCTTGGATCAAGCAACGAATGTGATTGCTCCCATTTTAACCGGAGCTCTTGTCACAATTTTCGATCTCAAGACAACGGTTGCGATTTTCGGAATCGGGAGCTTGGTTTCAATGGCTTCCAAGACATTTTTCTTGAGATCTCTTTATATGAGAAATCCAGAGTTGCATTTCAAAGAGACTGATGATAAAGCAATGATTCTTGATGAAGAAGATCAGGATCCACCTTCGAGAACTCGAGGAGTAATCAGCACTTATTATTATCAAAATACTTTCCCAGCAGCCTTCGGAATGACATTACTTTTCATGACAGTAATGGGTTTCGATGGGGTAAGTTATATACTTTTTATTAAAATCCCAAAGCACTTTATTTGTAAGCAATCATACAACATTTTCAGTTGGCTGTTGGTTATGGTTCGAGTGCTGGACTACCTGATGTTATCCTAGGGGCTTTCCGATCTTATGGATCATTCGCTGGTATTTTAGGAGCAATCTCTTATGCCTTCTTCGAGAAACAATATAGTGTGGCAACTTCTGGATTTATCGGTCTTGTAGTTCAACAAGTTTTTGCAGTTCTAGCTGTAGTTTCAATTTGGATGAAAGGTTCCCCTATGGATTTATCTGGTTATTTTGGAAACTTCACAATTCAACTCTGGTGGCATGATTTGGTTCATTCTTTTGATGGAGCAAATATTACAACAACTCAACCTCATATTGATTGGCATAATTTCACATCAAATGGTGTTAGCCTTGATAGTATTTTCATGTTTTTAATTGCAATTGCTTCTGCGAGATATGGTCTTTGGTGTTTGGATTTGGCGATTACTCATATTATGCAAGTTAATATTCCGGAAAATGAGAGAAATACTGTGTTTGGTGTACATAATGCAATTTGTAATACTTTCTCAGTTCTCAAAGATTTGCTGGTCATTATTTTACCACTACCTTCTACTTTTGCAATTTGTATTTTAATTAGTTATGCCTTCGTCACATCTGGTCATATATTCTTCATTTATTATCTGGTCAAATCAAAAACTTTTTCTACAATAGGAAGAAGGTTATCGAAACTTAATGTGGAAACAGATGCGGATCCGGAGAAAACTGATGTTATGGAAAGATTATAATAATTTTGTATATATTATTTTTTGTTGTATGTATTTATAAAAATTGAGGGTTGTAGAAATAAAACTGTTGAAATTTTTAAATTTTTTACAAAATAATGAAATAGTGGAAACTCCAAAAATAATATTTTCGCGTGACGTGAAACGCCACAAAAAAATTAAAGCAAATTCGAGTTATTTTTAGTTTTTTACTTTTTTGAAATCAAGTCTAAATATATAGCAAATGGTAAGATCTCTTATCTTTCCTAATCACGTCATTATAGAACTTTTTAGGATAAGCGTAGAAATCATAAACAAAAAGATGAACGAAAAGGTGGTAGTCATGTGAGTTTTGATTTATAATTTCCTGTTGGATTATGCAAATTACATTTCAGAACAAACAACGAGAAACCACCAAACGTAAAAGTAAAACAGTGCAAAACTCAGGGAGACGAAAGAATTCACATAGTAACCAACATTATAATATTTTGGGTGAAAGAGAGAAAAAACATGTGGAAGTTGAAGTTCATCATATTCCAGCAGAAACAAATAAGAAAGAGCCACCAGATGAGAAGAACAGTCCTCCAAAGAAAAGGTTATCTCAAATAAATATTGAGCCTCTAAAAATTGTGCCACAAGTATCTAAGGATAATTTGGAAAAAGTTCAAGTTTTGAAAGAAGCTCCGAAAGAATCACCAGTTCCTAAAGAATCTCCAGTTCCCAAAGATCCTCAAACTTTGAAGGAAAAAGAGCCATCGAAGGAAAACCTCAAAATATCGATTGATCCATTTAATGATGAAGATAAAACTGATACAATGAAGAAAATGGTCAAGAAATATAAGACAAAAAAGGATTATTCAATGGTTTCAAAATCTTTGCGAGAGTTTTATCAACTGGATCCAATGGTTCGAAATCGATCAATAGTTGTTCCAGTTTACAATAAAGTGACGAAGAAAAGTGAAATGAAACAAATTGATCAAACACAAAAAGATGAAGATGAACCAATTATTGGCCAAAAAACACCGAAAAAATCAAAATCAGTACATCTTCCACAAATCGACGATGATTACGAAAATATTCCGAAACTTGAAAAAATTCTCAATTTACCACCGGAGGATATTTATAACGGGGGAACTTTGGTTCATTGGATGGAATATATCGAACCATTTGATGAAGATTTGCAAGGAGTTGAACCACCGTGTACAGTTGGAAGTGAGCAAATTGAAATGTGTCATAATGCAAAGTTCAGATTGCACACGGCGATAAAGAAAAAGTATGTCATGTTTTTTGGAGGTTTTGAAGAGCGGCCAAAAAAATCAGGAGATGTTCAATTGATCGAACATTTTACGAATTTCTAAATCGGATTTGGTCCGATTTTTTGAGATAAAAATCCGAATATGATCGATGCAAAATTTCCCGATTTTATTTTGACCCAAAATCAACTTACTTCATTTTCAGAATCGATTTCGATGCGTTCGCCCCATCAAATACAATGAAATCGGAAGACGAGGTGTTTTTCACCGGACCAATTGTTTTCAGCAATACCATCCGAAGTCTCATAAATGCCGCCACCAAACCTCGCCATGCGGATAAAAAAGAGATTTCTGAAAAAACTTCGGAAATTCAGATAATTGAAATCGATCGGACGAAATGTTTCACATATTTGGTAAATTCTTTTTTAAAAAATTCAAAGAAAAATTAGAGATTTTCAGAGATCGAATGCAATTGCAACCGCTGCGAAGAAACATTATATGAAAATCGAAGAAGTGCCGAAAACAGAGGATTTATCGATAAATGTTTTGAAACTTATTAAATGAATTGATTAACGTTTTGTTTCTGTAAGCATTTTAAAAATCAGCGTCCTTCAAAAACTTTTCGACGAAAAAAAATGATTATTGATGCCCTTTCGCAACTTTTTTGTTTATTGTTGCCTATTTGTTCTGTGTGGTATGAAATAAAGCAACAATCATGATTCGGAGATAACGGAATCACACATCAATAACGATTCTCATTTTTTGTGATTTCGATAGAGTACCACGAGATGCAGGTTAATGATATTGATTCCTATTTTAAATCTCTTCTACGAATCGAAAAAGTTGAAAATGAAAAGGATGATCAAGTGGCATTCAGGTAAGTGATTGACTAGACCATCTGGCAAGCTCTACCGTATCAGGTTCAAACTTCAAAAAACTTTTCTTTTTTTCAAAGTAATTTTTCGGTAATTTTGTTTGCATATTGTTGATGTAAACATCTCGAGATAATGGACATACAGTTCGAAAAAAGTTTCAATGAACACTACTAGATAGCCCAAGATTCTGTACTATATTTTAAAAAGTTTCAGATCATTCCCACCGCACCTCAATAGCGCTACAATTCATCAACCTTCTCGAACTTATGGAGGAACAACTATTTGTTATGCATTCCTGGCTGCTAAACTTCTACACAGAGAACGACCTAATTCTATATTTATCACTTTCCTTTCCCAAGGATCTTGTGAAATTCCAATCGATACAAAAGTTAGGAAACTGGATAATGATAAAATGTTCGTCGAAGTTTCGCAAAATGGCAAAACCTTGTCTCGGGCATATGTGAAAAAGAATGCTATAAGTGATTGGACAACATTGGAAACTAATCGAAGATTGATTGATGGACAGGTAAAAGCACCGGAATTTTATAAAATTGATGATGAAAATTCACGAAAACTTCAAAATATTCAAAGCGAAACTGCATGGAAAGAGAGAAAAGATGTATATTCAAGTCCTTTTGATGTTAGATTGGTAGAATATGGAAGTTCTGATGGATGTAAAGAAGTGTCTATGATATGGGTTCGACTTCCTGTGAATCAAAGACGTAAGTCACAAAATACCGTAGTAGTGGAACACTTTTATCAGTGCACTTTTTTAAAACAAAAAATGCTCACTGTGGTGTGGTTATCAGTTGTTTATCGAAGTTCAAAAACCAATCGTATAAAGTAACATATTTACCCCCAGGAAACATCAACATAAAAACTATATCTGCGGAAGGACTTGTGATGTATATTTCGGATTATTATATAATTCAACCAGCAAGTATATTTCTTCGAAAACATGGAAGATATTTCAAAGCAATTGTTTCTCTCAATCATAGTGTTGACATAATTCAACACGATTTTGATGTAAATTTCGACAAACTACACTATTTTCAGACAACTCTCAAATTTTCAGCCTTTTCAATGGTTTTTAATCCATTCGACACTCGAATCATTTATTCAAGATCGTGCAATTCTTCGATTCGTCATTTATTCCGAAAATAAACAAGTTATCGCTTCTGGACGACAAGAATGCTATACACCAAGCTGTATTCATAAATTGTAGAAACATCATATTGTTTGTATAAACTTTTCTATTTCAAATTAAATTTAATGAGAGAAACACGAGAAAAATACTGAATTAGCTGGAGTACCAAGAAAATCATCAAAAAATAGCCCAGAACAACGGCTCTCAGAACGTATTCTCTACGTGGGTATCCAAGCAGCTTCTCTATGCTCTGAAAATCACAAATGTTCTATTTTCCACCTAATGATTACGATTCCTTTTCGTGCAAAACGGAAGAAGATTCATTTAAAAAATAAAATAAATTCAACCAACGAGACAGTGTGTGAAAGGGAGAGGAGGAGAGAAAAAGAGCAGTGGTCTTGTCACGTAGACAAACTACGGTAGCATCTCAGTGGGCTGTGTGAATTCGCCCATCGCACGCATTTTTCCGATTTTTAGCTTTTCGTTAGTTTTTCAGCGTTTAAAGTGTTTTTTGTGATTTGGAAAGTGTTTCAGACGATGAAATCATGTTAATTCTATACCGCAACATAGTTTTTATATTTTGAAACTCTATATTCAGTGAAAAATTCTTTTTTGAATAATTTTGCTTATATTTAATGCTTTTGTTGTTTACAATTAGATTTTACACGAATCTCTTTTCTGTTGATAATTTCTCCGTTTAATTCTTTGCTATCATAATATTTTTCCAGGTTTAACCATGTCTTTGGCTTTGAGAAAGACACTCGGATTCGCCCAACTCCAAGTTAGATGCGCCAGCTTCCAATCAATCCCAACTAACGCTGGAAAGGTACATTATTTTTATAAATCGAAAGAATTTAAATATTAAATTCAAAATCTGTTGCAGACTCCACCAACCCTTGAGCAATTCGACCCACTTAACCCAGGAGAGTGGCAACTCGGAGCCGGAGGAAAAATCCTCCCAAGACTTCCAGAAGGAACCCGTGTTGGAAAGCTCGTCATGGGCAAATACGGACTCTACGATCCAGTCCTCAAGAAGAGAGTCGACACATACGCTGTGAGTTTTCAATTTGATTTTTTGGATTTAAAAAATGGAATTTTTCAGAATGCTCTTCTCGCTGGAAAGAAATCCGAAGAAGCTGGACCATTCGACGCCGCTGTTGCTAACATCGCTAAGGGACTCGGTGAGCTTTTTTTAAATTTATTTTTACTCATAACAATATAGGTCACGTATATTTTGTTTTGTAAAAATACAATTTCAGTTATTAATTTTTGATTTTCCAGCCTACATCAGCTTCGTTATCGCCATTTACAACTTGATTTCATTGGCCTACGGTAAACCATTGTCACCACTCAGCCACGTCAAAGCACCAGGATCATAAGCGATCGCAATAATTAATTATCTTCAAAACCAAACACAACTCTGAAACTTTTGTAGATTTATTGATCGTTTATATTCTTTTGCGTTTTTAGATAAACTTGTGATCGAAAACGAAACATAAAGGATATATAACGAGAAAATGTTGAAATAATGGTAAACATTCCATTTGATTTATATATTGGAATTGGTTTCAAGAAAAAAAACAATATTATGTTCAGGTGCATGAAGACCGCAGATTTGAATGAAGAAGAGAAAAAGGACACAATTCTCAGATTTTCAGATGATGTTTTGTTGAAACACGCGTTAGCCAGCGAATAGTGGGTGAATTTGAGGGAAAATGAAGCATTTCGTGTTTTTTTTCAGCGCTGAAGTTTGTAGGCATCCAGTTGATGGGATTTTCGTAACACCAAGTCAAAAAGATGATTTTTGTGAGTTTTTCAATGGAAGCAAATGATTCACTAATTCTCCGGAAATTGAAAATGTTAAGATTGGAATATTTTTGAACTAGAATGTTTTTGGCTCTATCGCAATATATGGGTCCCATGGAAATATATGGGTCCGTAAAAACATTTAAGGGTCCCTCAGAAATATAAGGGTCCGTGAATTTTTTTATGGGTCCCAAAAAAATATAAGGGTCCGTTATTTTTTTTGAGGGTCCATAAAAAAAAGTATTTTTTCTAATTTCAATTATTTATTTTTGGTGATTTTTTGTAATTTTTTCACATTTTTTTTAGCCAGTCAGTATTTTTCTAGGGGGTTTACTAAGCCTAAGCCTAAAATAATAGAGAAATTTTGAATCCTCTGGTAACTCTATTTTTGGCTTTTCAGCTTCATAATTAGGCTTAGGCTTAGTAAACCCCCCGAAAATACAAAGAATCGTCAAAAAATCAAGAAATTTACAACAAAACACTTGAAAATTTAAAAAACCACACATTTTTTGCTCCAAAAAATCAAAAAAATCAGACCTATGAAAAAAATCACGGACCCTTTTATTTTTTTGGGACCCATAAAAAAATTTACGGACCCTTATATTTCTGAGGGACCCTTATATGTTTTTTCGGACCCCTATATTTTTTACGGACCCATATATTTCCATGGGACCCATATATTGCGATAGAGCCATGTTTTTTAATCGTACGTAGTTTGAAAATTCTAGTTAAAGATAATTTTTCAAAATTTTTTTTAATGTGCAAAAATAATTCAAGTTGTTTTTTTCTGTTTGAAAATTCAACTTGGAATTAAAATTGATATAAAATCTAACCGATATTCCCATTTCTCACTAATTTCCCCCTTAATTTCCAGGCTGGTTCGGTGTGATTTTCATCCGCAAAGGAATTTTCGGCGGTGGCGTCTTTCGTTTTACCATCAAAATTCCCACCGATTTCCCAACAACAAAATCGCTGCCTGAAGTAATCTTCGAAAATTCCATATTTCATCCGCTCATCGAATGGAAAACAAAAGTTCTCGATTTAACACGCTCTTTTCCGGATGGATGGAAATGCGAAAAACATAATTTATTGAGAGTTTTGATCGTTGTTCAGGTTAGTTATTCAGAAAGGTCATTTTTTGACTTTTGTTGGGAGAATAAAGGGAAATGAATGGAAATAAAGGAAAAAAGTATTTTCAGCGAATTTTCTTCTCTTATGAATTTGATTGTGATCGTTGTATAAACCCGGAAGCTGCGATTTTATACAAAGAGCATAAGGATAAATTCAAGTGAGTTTTATGGAGAAAAAATCTATTTATAATTATAAAGAAATGTTTTGTGAAGTTTTTTTCAAAACTTTCCGCGACGAGAAAGATCAGCGCTTAGAAAGCCACATTTGATGTCTGAAAATTTTCCTACATTTTTCTCCCAACTATTGAATTTTTTCCAGAGAAATGGCAAAGGATGTTGTTGAAATCAGCAGATCTCAAGTCTACGATGATCCACAAAATCCAGACGACTCGAATTCCATAAGGTATGTTTTCTCTTCTTTTCCAAGAAAATATTTATTTTGACCCCAAAACTCAAGCCTAATAAATTATTCAAAATAGCTCAAAAGCATTTTTCATTTTTTTACTTTTTAGTCTTTTACCTCAGAATTTTTGTCAACTAAGTTTTGCATTTTTTTTGCGCCAAGTGAAAAACATTTATCTTGTGCTCATGACGGCTGAGCCGATTTGCTCACATTTTCTGTATTAGTAAAGCTTAGACCAATTATGACCACTGCCTGTTTATTATTTTTCAAAAAAAAAACACGTTCTGCAAAAAAAAAATAGCTCGACGAACAAAGGAAAATAGTTTTTCTTCTTCTGATTTTTCACTTCCGGAACACTTGGTGTTCTCTTTTTTAAAATATATAATTCGATCATTTTTGGTCGCACACAGATTAGCGATGAAAACACAAAATATCTGAATAAAATTCGGATGTTGATTAATAATTTTGGATTTGCTCCGGATATTTGTTTGAATCATGAAAATTTCTAGATCTTCGAATTTTTTGAGCTTTGGACCCAATAATTTCTAGTAATTGGGTAGAAAGTTTTCAGCTCTTTCAATTTTATTAAAATTTGAAAATAAATTAAAATCTTTTCCGAAATAAACTCCGCTATTCCCCATTCATTCACTCAATCGAGAGTGTCCAATTCATAAAAACAGCTGAAAATTTCACTTCCCTTTTCTTGAATTTCCTAATCATCACCCCCTCCTTCCTCATTTCTGTTTAAAGTTCATACCAAGTGAAGTTTCCAAAAATAAATCATCGACCGGTTCTTGAGAATAAAATAAATGAGAATTTCCGATTCCGAATCCGAATCACATCAAACCAACCAGAAGATGCTGCGTTTTTCCTGGGAGTCATCCGTGATATCCAAAAGTGTTCTATGATTTGATGCTTGGATTGGTTTTATCAACGAAACATGTCTAGAAATAATCTGCAGCTGCAAAATATTTCCGTCTTGAATTTTGAATCGAGAAAGTTCGAATTCACATTTTCACAGCTCCTAGGAAAATGTTCAGGAACTTTGTTTTCTTTGAAAATATGAAATCACTTGAGAAATATTTTTCGTACAAGTTTTGTAGCATTTTCAGCTGTTGAAGTGTACATTTTTCAGCTTGAATAAAACAATTTTAGTTTTAGAATCTATATCCTGAAAAGCCGAAGGTCGCTTTTTATTTTTTTTTTCGAACAAAAAAACTCATTTCCTTTTTTTGAAAATAGGGAAATTATTTTCAAAATTGCATTGCAAGTTTGTATATTTAGAATTTTTGATCAAATTTATTGCCAAAGTTGCCATTTTTCAAAAAACTGAATATTTCGTCTTTCAAAAATCCAGTCTGAAATTTTTTCCGTATTTCAGTTAATCCTTGCTCTAAAAATTCCGATGATGCATAAATAATTCAATTTCAAGCTTAAAATATCCGGCCAAAAGTTCTTTCCTTCAGATATATTTGATCTTGAAAAAGTTCAAAATTAGTCATTCCTCCTCCCATTTCTCCTCCTTTTTCCTTCATCTTCAAATCGGAATCTGACCACGCCTTTTTCTCATTTCCGCGCATTATTTAAGCATAAGCTGAGCTGGTTTTTGGTGCATACCTTTTCGTTTCTTTTTTTTTTTTTTTTTTTTTTTTGAAAAAAAACAGCGAAGAAAAAAGAAACTATACAATTCTTTTGTCGTTCATCCAACCTGAAATTTAAATTTGTTTTTTCAATTTTTGTTTATTTTTGGTAACCATGGTTCATTTTTTCAGTTTAACACCTTGGGATCCTTCGATTCACGAAAAAACTCGAAAAAAGATGATGATTATTGGAAAAAGTGGATTGGGAAATGGAGGAGTTGGAGAAGATCAGAAAACAACATCAGCAGCCGAATTTCGAAGAGAAAGAGAAATTCGAGAAAATGGAGCAGTGATGATTGAATTGGTTGGAAAACATTTTCCGAAGACTTATAGCTGGTTTGATCCAGAAGAAATGACCGTTTTGACAAGGGATGATAAAAAGGTAGGAGATTTTTTGAAGAGAGGGAAATGGGGGTTTTGGAATTCGGAACTTACGCTAAATACGTATGTTCGAATAGTTATGTATTTAAAAAAATTTCAAATGATCTTATGAATTTTTGTGAACTCAAATTTTATAGACCCTATGAAGTTTTCGAAGAATAATTTCAAAAATTTCATAATAGCAAAAATATTAGGCAGACGTTGAGAAGCCTAAAATTGAGTTTTTAAAATTCCTGTTGAAAATTTAAACATCCAATAATTTTTGGAATAACGAAGTAAAAAATAATACGTGACCTCAAGACGATTCAAATTTCATTCCAAAAATAAATCCCAATTTTCAGTGCATCTCCTCTCATCTTTCAAGTGCTCGAATGGATCGTGAAAAGCATGGAATTGAACCACTTGATTTAAGCGCAATCTCACCAACTCAATCAGTTGCAAACAGCCCTCACCAAATGGTAAAAATTCAATATTTCCTCTGAAAATTCTGAAATTTTGGAATTTTTCAGGAACCTCGAGATTTATCAAGTTCTTCGTCTTCATCCGATCGACGAAATGAAATTGAAAGAAATTTGGCGAATTTTCAAGCAACTTCGAATGAAGAAAGTGTTATTTAAATTGGGTCCGTTTTTGTAAATAATCATGGTTGTGGAAAAATATTCAACTAAACTAATCATTCCAATTTTTGTATGTATATAATAAATCAATAAAAGTGTGTTCTACAGTATTATTAGGAGAAAATGAAGATAAATAAAAGATGCCAAATAAAGACAGACAACCAGACACTTTTCTCCGCGAACGCAGCAAACATTCATCATTACATTGCGCGTTTGATTTTCCGTGTGGGGGTATAGCTCAGTGGCAGAGCATTTGATTGCAGATCAAGAGGTCCCCGGTTCAAATCCGGGTGCCCCCTAGCTTTTTTGTCCAAAACAAAATAATTTTTTTATTTACAATAAATTTCAAAAAAGTTATTCTAAAAATATTTGACTCTCTAATTTTTCCTCGTCGCGCGATGAAATGTGTGGAGAATTGATTGAATTTCGTTTGCAACAAATAATTGATACAAAAACGCCGAGAAGAATTAGGAAGAGTACGGTAAGTGGAAGACAGTAGGCTTGCAAAGCACTGAGAAGAGCTGAAAATATTTTTGAGTATCAAAAGCAATTTTCAAAAAATATTTAGAGAGAAATCATACTTTTGTTGGAAATCAGAGAAGTGAGAGAAGTGAAAAAATCAATAAAGAAGAAGAAGATGACAACATGAATATTTTACCTTGCACACTATTTAGACTTGGTTGAAATTCTTAATTTTCAAATATTTCTTATATAAGGTTTTTAGGTTTTAAAATTATGTTTTTTTTTGAGAAAAAATGCCTACCGTATACTGGCTTGTCTTTTGCTGAAACTATTCCTTGAAACCCGTATTTTTCGATAAAACCTGGACTGGTTTTGAAGCGAATTGTCATATATTGATTTGAACTTGCGAAGCGACAAATTTCATCGGATGTGCAGCTGGAAAAGTTGGAACGTTTTTGGAAAAAAAAGTTTCTAAGATTTTCTGTAGATCACTGGAATGTTTCTCATGTATTTTTTTTTTCTTTGGAGAAATATTCTCTCTAACCCGAGTTTTCCAATAGATTTTCGTATATTTTCAACCGACCTATGACTATGTGTATCATTCTCATTCCCATTTTCTGTAGACAACGGAAAATCATAGAACAAAATTTGATCGTCTTCACGAAGATCCAAATTATCGGCGTAGAAATAGGCTTTCGATGAATTGTCTGGAGCAACAATCTTCCAAATACAATCCATTGATTGGCAATAAGGTCTGAAATTGAGTTTGAGGAACTTGTTTTTCCAAAAAAGTCTAGGAAGTACCTTGGATATTCAGGCGATGCAATTATCCGAAAATCATCCAAATTGTGCAATAATACAATTTTCTCAACACATTTACATCTACTTGAATCAACTGATGAAATGAATATCACAAAAATTAGAGACAAGAGAAGCCTTAGCATCTGAAATGTTTTTTTTGGAAATTTTGTGGTTCAAAAACGGAAAACCCGAAAAAGAGGGAGTGGTTAAAAAAGTGCAAAAATATATATTTTTCGCAACAAAAAATTGGTGCGCAAAAAAAAAAGAAAAATAGGAAATTGAATTTGGAGAAAACCCGGTGTGAAGTTATTAAATTTGGGGTATCATCAAAATCATTGAGGAGCTCCGAAAAAATTATATTCATATATTTTTTCTAGAATGTATCTATGTATGTATGAGATTAGTTAGTTGGATTAATGTTATCCAAAAAGAAAAAAATGAAAAAAATAGAAAAAAAAGAGGAGAGAAAAAATGAGATCAGCCCAATTTTTTCTTACTTGGTTTTTTTTTGCTCATTTTTGTGTCGGTAAACAATTGGACTCCTCTCTCGTTAGAAAGATATTTTTTTATTTGTTTGGTTTCTGGAAAATATTTGCGAGAGCAGAACAGACGAAAAAAAAAAGAATTTGGAAATTTGAGCATTTTTAGGTTTATGGTGGAGACACAACATTTATTTATTTATAGAATAAAAAATATTTCGTCTCTAAAGAAAGTTTGAAAATTATTACATAATCGTAAATTTTCTTATCTTTCTCAAGAACAAAAAATTTTTGTTTTGAAAAAAGGTATGGAAAAATTATTGAAAAAAAATTAAAACGTGAACTTTTCTGTTCCCAAAAAAAGGAAGGCGTTTATTTCTGAAAAATGACCATTTCTGATTTTTGTCACGATTGGAGTTGGAGATGAAAATCCTTTCATTTTTCATCCTACAAATACTTTTCCACTTCGTCTCTGCGCAGAAAAAATTGATTTTTGCGCAAGCTGTGAGCCCAGAAGTCATATTTTCAGCAAAACAAAAAGTCTTGTTTTCCAGATATTCCGTCATGGCGCGCGTGCACCGTCAGCCGGCTTTTCGAGTTCAAAAGCTGCAGCAAAATTTCCACGTGGATTGGGAGAATTGTCCGATGTGAGTTGCGGAATATTTTTCGAAAAATCGCTCGTGCACGTTGAATGCGTCAATGACTGAAAACTGACGCGTTTGTGTGTTAGCGCAATCTCCGTTTTTACTTTTATTTTTCGAGTTTTCAAAATTAAAAATAATTAAATGTTTTTGATTTGCGAAAAATGTTCATATACTTTATTTTTATATGTTTCCTGCAGATATTCCAACTGATTAGAAGCCCGTAGCCAGCGCCTTACCAATTACAAGATTAAACAAGTTCTTTGCGAAACCATTAACCATTATCATTTCAGCAAGGCTATGAAAACTCCCACAAACTTGGTATTCTTCTCAAAAAACGATATGTTGACACCGGATTCCTTGATAAAAACCTGAAACCATCTGAAATGTTATGGCGATCAGTTTTGGTGAACAGATGTTTGGCGACAGCCGCAACTGTCGGTGCAGCAATGTTCGGAGATTTTGAAAAACACCTTCATACACCAATTTACACAGCATCAAAGAAAACTGAAACGGTAAATTTTTGATCGAAAACTTTTTCTATATTTAACCCAAATCCAAGTCAATTTTTTATAGTTGCTAAATCATAACGTTGATACGTGTTATCGCGAGCAAGAATTATTGAAGGAAATGTGTCCAGGTTATGTTCACGGATCTTATAAATCTGTAAGTTTTCGATACTCTCTGGAAATTCAGGACATTTTTTTTCAGTGGACGCTTTTTGAAACATTTATTGCGAAGTGTTCCGGAATCACGGAACATCCAGCGTTGAGAAAAGTTTTATTCGAAGATTTGGAAGCATACATTAATGAAGTAAGTGAAATCAAGAAATTTTTAATTTTATAATTTAAAAATTTCAGTATAAAAATGGTATTCCTCTTCCTGATTATTTGGAAGAAGATAAAGAAGAGTTGTTCAAATTGTTCACTTCAAATAGTCATAAATATATGGGAATAGGTGATTTTCGCAATGAAAATATGATTCGTATCAAGTTTGGACATATTTTGAGAACACTTCAATTGAATATTAAAGAAGCTTGGGAATGTAACAAAAATAATAACAATGAAGAATGTAAAAAATTCAAATTTTATTCATCGGTGAGTATTTCATCCATCAATATTCAACAGTTAATTAACAAAATATATGTTTCAGCAAGATTGGATTTTACTCGGATTACTTGAATCATTTGGAATTCTCGAATTCACAATGCGAAAAGAAATGCCAAATTATAACACGATGCTTCTTTTCGAACTTTGGGAAGATGGAAATCAACCATTTGTCAAAGTTTATTATAAAAAAGAGGAGGCTTCTGAAAATCTTATTGATGTTACTGAGAAAGTTGTGAATTGTGCTGGAAATCAAGAATTTTGCAATTTCGATAAATTTATGGATTGTTGTAGTGATTTGTGGGATGATGGAGAAAAAGCTTGCAAAGCGAAGAATTTGAAGAAAATTAGAAGTAGTATCAAGGCTGCTGGCAAAAACAATACTACAAATGAGAATGACAATGTACGTTTTGTTGGGCATGAATAGAATTCGCTGGAATAGATGTAGATAGACATACTCAAAGGTTATCAATAAATTGTATTTTCCAAAAAAAAAAACAACGAGTTTTAATTATATCCACGTGTTTATCACATGATTGATAACAAAAATATGTCGTTTTCAACCAACAAAACAATTAAAGTGCAGTTTTGCTAATTGTTCAAAGATTGAAAATTTGCCGAAGATCTCTCAAACAATTTTTATTTTTCTTTATAGTTTCGAAAAAATTCGATCAGTTTTTTCAACAAAAAACCTAATAAGTTTCCAACCAACCCCCAACTTGAAAATATCCAATATAAAAAAGTTTTTCAAAGATTTATCAGTGCAACCGGTTTTTCTATCTTCTGAAATAGGAACAAAAAACACCTTCAACTTGTCAAAAAGAAGAAAATATGTTGATGTTTTTAGTCTCTTTCGAGAAAACGCTTTCTTCATTTTTTCCATAAGGTTTTTAATTTTTTAATCTTGTGACAGCTTGTTTTCATCACATAAATTCAACTATTTAGTTTTTATAAATTTGTCCCAGACTTAATTATGATTTTTGAATCCTCATTTGGCCTGATTTCAATTTTTTTCATTAGCGGGAGGTACAGTACTAAGTTTTTATGTCTCATCCTAGTTTTTATTTTAAATTTCACCGACAAAAACGTTTCCAAAAAATACAATTTTCTAAAAACACATTTTCAAACTTTGAATTTCGAACATTCATACCTCAATCCTGAAAAGCCTAAAGTCCTAAATAAAACTGTTTCTTTCAACATGCGTCAGCAAATCTCTTTAAACGGTCAAAAATCAGAATCATACGATCTCTTTTCTCTCTCTCTCTCTCCTTTTTCATACAATTTTTTATCAATTTTTCAACGAAACCACCACATGTCCTCATACACATTTTCATACATTTTGTAGCATTTATAATAATAATAATGTTTATTTGATTTTTTTTTATTTGCATTATCATACCATTCACAGGCGGTACAATGTCCAAATGGGCGGGGTTTTTGAAGAGAAGGAAAAAAGTGGGTATAAAATGGGAATGATTGACTGATATGATTGGGGCATCAAGGCGATGTCTATTTGTGAACATACTATTTGAGAAATCAATAAATAAGTGATTTTTTATTTTTAGAAAAAAAATTGAAATTTTACTTTTTTATGACAACAAAAAGTATGTGATATTCAAATAGACATCGAGCCCGATAATATGCAAAAAACCGATGAAAAAGAGGAGGATGAGAAAGAAAATGTGAAAATGATTAGAAAACACAAAAGTTATAGTATGGAATAGATTTAGGATAACTCGGCTGAACTTTGAGAGTTAGGAGAACGTGGAAGTTTTTTAGGGTTCATGTAATCGTGTTTTATACCTCTTGAGATTCCAACTGTTTCCGCAAGTATCAAAATAGATTGAATTACAAGGTTACTTTGATCTAAAATTTGAGAGTTACTGTAGTTCTAAATGTTTGTTTAGTTGATACTTTTGATTTGTCAGGGTAAAATTGATATTTCAACTGAACAGGGTACAAAAAACACATATTCTTCCTAACAAAAACAACTTTATCTTATCATCAAGCAAATCATTGAACTCATTTTCAAAAGTAAGAAGAAATAAAAAGGGGAACTCAGTTTGGACTTAAGCATAGCTCAAATACATACTTAGCCTAACTCAGCTCTCCTTTGCAGATGTGCAGCCTTTTAGAATTCTTCCCAAAACTCAGTTTGATCTTCTGGTTATTTCCTATAGGCACATGTAAAGTTCACAATGTGATCTATTCCCTTTTTTGTCTGTTTTTATCTTTTCTCTCCATCTATCTACCAATCTTTTCTCATTTATTGTTTTGTTTTCTTGTTTCTTCTTTTCCAATTTCAACAATATCTAGAAGTATTCTGAAAATATTATTTCCAGAAAATAAAATGGTTCCAAAAGCCGGATTTTCTCGCGAAGATCTTTGCCTGGTTTGTCAAGACACAGCCACTGGATATCATTACGGAGTTCCATCTTGTAATGGATGCAAAACATTTTTCCGCCGCACAATTATGAAACGACAAAAATATATCTGCCAAAATGAGAATAATTGTCCAGTTGATAAATCGATTCGATGCGCTTGCCGATTTTGTCGATTTGAGAAATGTCTTCAAGTTGGAATGAACAAAAATGCATTGCAACAAAGCAGAGAACCAATTGGATATACGAAAAGAACAAGAAGAGTTCCAAGAAAAGTCAGTTTTGATTCGAGTTTGAGCGAAGAAGATAGTTCTGTTGGAACTCCAGAGAGAATCACACCTCCAGAATCACCGGAAGAAGTGTATAGTTTATCGGATAATTATTTGAAAGTATTATCGTCGCGGGAAAAATGTGCAAATGATTTGAGATTATCAGAGTATTTGCCGAAAAGAAGTTTGAAAGAGGCACTTTGCTCGAAACCACTTTTGAGTGATCCAAATTTCATGAACAAACACGGATACCCAGTGAGTTGATTTTTTCTCGAATCACTTTTTTGAAAATAAGATAAATTGTTTCTAACTCCTGATGAATTTCCATTTTTCCGAAAAAAATTGAATGGGACCCAAGAATTTTACAATTTCAGAAAAAAATATTTTCTAAAAAAAAAACCCTATTCCTGAAACGTATCTGAAAACTCTTCAACCATGCTTTTTAGAGCCTTCGTCACACATTCAGCGAGCTTCGATTCATCCAACAATCGGATTATCATTATTGGCATGAGAGAGATTGGTTCCTTCTCACAGAATACGCAAAATCCTTCGAAATCTTCCAATATTTCCCATATGAAGATAAAGTTCAACTTGTTCGACACGCTGGAATAACTATTCCAGTTTTGGTTCAATGTTTCAATTCACCAAATATGGGTCCAGATACTGTAGTATTTCCAGATGGCGCATATTTCGATAGAACTCATGAGCCAAGCCGGTCAGTTGATTTGTTTTTCCAATTTTTGAAATCCCCCTCCCCACACCCCCTAGAACTCAGTGTTGTGTTCAATCGTTGTAGGCCAGCCGGACTGAACAAGAAAAAATATCAAATGCTTGACTTGGTTTTGAAGCCGATGAGAGATATTCAAGTTGATCATGTGGAATTTGCCGCGTTCAAAGCAATCACTTTTCTGAATCCGGATGCTGAAATCAGTTTGGAAAGTAAAAGGATTATAACTGATGAAAGGGTTGCAATCACAAAACAATTGTATTCTTATATGGTTCGAAAAGATGGAATTGAGATTGCCCTTGAAAGGTTTGTCTAGTGCAAAAAAATGTTTGAATTCAAAATTGTTGATATTTTCAGATTTAGTCGCCTGATTTTGATGAGTTCATCAATGTCAAAAATGGCCTGCGAATCGAAAGAAGCCGTTTGGATCGCTGATTTTTTCATGAATATTGGATTTTCGAATTTCGCCAAGGAATTATTTTTTGGAGAAAATGAGGATGAAAATGAAATGAAGATGTGGAGCTGAATAATTATTTTATGTTAATGTGAAAAAAAAGAAAAAAGTCAATTTATCAATCAACCAAAATGATCTTAAATTAATTTAATAAAATAAACTTTTCGTATTATTATTTTCAGTTTTGTGGATTTTTAAAAATGGAAATATTGACGAACATTGTTTTCAATTATTTTTTGAAAACTTTTTTGGTGTTTGCAAATAATTCAAACTACAGTAGTATTCTGAAATGGAAAATCGACCAGGATTCGACAACAAAGCCATATTTGGGGCCAAGATGGGTTTAAGATCTACACGTGGATTTTTATGTTTTACCTTGAAATTTTGTTGTAAATTTTACAGTACCTAAAAACTATCTGTTTTTTTTCAAAAATATTCCAGTTATTTTCTGTGCCATGTGCTTTTTTGCGTGAACTTTGTACATTGTCACGCGGATTCCAAATAAAATTTGGTTTTCATTTCAAGTTTTTTCAACAAAAAAAATAAAACCGTTTATTTATCAATACACCAATATTTTTGACCAGAATTTCGAGATGATATTTGTGAATAATTATGATTTTGTGTTAATTCATCCATGATTTTTTCTTTACAAAATCTCCTTTCCATCAAAGAAAAGTTGTTTGGCAAAATCGGAATATCCAATATATTGGAAAAACCCGGCGAACCATACTGCGTCTTTTGATTCGCAAGCAATTCGAGACATCGACCAGCTCATTGCCATCAGATGTGTGAATCTGGAAAAAAAGTTGATAGATTTTTGTGTTTTCAAGTTTTTTTTTCTCAGTCAAAATTGGTTTTTCCCCGGATAAATTATTCCAAATTTATAATTTCAGAAAACTTTTTTTCTCGAAAATTTTGGCTCACCTATTAATAGCTTTATCAATTCCCTCTTTCCTAACCATATACGAATATAATTGTTTTGTTATTGCAATTCTTTCCTTATTTATCAATGCTCGACTTTCAGCACAAACTTCAGCATCAGGATTCAGAAATGTGATAGCTTTCAAAGCTGCAAATTCGACATGTTCTATCCCGATTTCTCTCATTGGTTTCAATACCAAATCTAACATCTGATATTTCTTTCTGTTTAATCCAGCAGGTCTTTTCGGCTCATGAGTTCTATCAAAATATGCTCCATCTGGGAAAACAACAGTGTCTAAACCCATATCTGGTGAATTATAACATTGAACTAAAACTGGCACAGCAATTCCTGCGTGTCGAACAAGTTGAACTTTATCTTCGTATGGAAGGTTTACAAATAGATCAAATGTTTTTGCGTATTCTGTGAGTAGAAACCAATCTCTTTCATGCCAATAATAATAATCAGAAGGTTCAATGAATCTCAAGTCTCGAATCATATGTCGCTTACTCTGAAAAAAATTAGTTGAGAAAATTTATATTTAGAAATCCATGAAAATTCAGTTTGAAAACAATTATGGAAAATTTACTTTTCAAAAAATTGAAAACTTGTTTCCAAAAAATTTTTTTTTACAAAAAACACACTCACTGGAAATCCGAACTTGTTCATAAAAATTGGATCATTCAGAAGTGACTTTGAACAAAGTGCCTCATTCAAACTCCGCGTTGGTAAATATTCTGATAATCTCAAATCATTTGCACATCTTTCTCGAGACGATAAAATATGCAGATAATTTTCAGAAGACATCATATTTGGGGATGGACTTGTTGATGCTCGATCAGGACTATCAGCAAAAATACTCTGATCTTCATCGCTCAACGAATTCGAACTAATTTTTCGTTTCCTAGATTGTGGTGCCCTTTTGGTTCTTTTCGTATATCCGATGGGATCGCGATTTTGTTGAAGAGCATTTTTATCCATGCCAACTTGAAGACATTTTTCAAATCGACAAAATCGGCAAGCACATCGAATTGATTTATCAACTGGACAATTATTTTCAAATTGGCAAATATATTTTTTATTTTTCATAATTGTCCGGCGAAAAAATGTTTTACTAGAAAAACATTAACGATAATCATTGTTTTCAAAATGAAATAACTCACCACCCATTACAAGATGGCACACCATAATGATATCCAGTGGCATCATCTAAACAAATCAAACATAAATCCTCTCTTGAATAACCAGCGTGTGAAGACATTGAAAAACTACACTGAATCAACTAAACACTCCCAATACACATGATAAAATTGATAGATTGAAGAGAATCAGAGAAAAAAAGAAGAAGATACATCAAAAAGTGAACTGTGATGTTATGTGTACTCAACTAGCAACACGTGGTTGAGATGATAAAAATGTTTTGGAAATGTGGCCGAGTTCAAATAGACGAAAAAAAGGAACTGATCAAAGAATAGTTTATTATTTACTTGCAAACAAAAAACGAATGGGTTTCAAAAAAAGGTCCGGATCGATTTGAAATTGAACTACAATTAGAAAATGGGATTCCGAACTCTTCTAGAATAAGGAAATAAGGAAATTCTTGGAAAACGATTGAACATTTGGGAAGTTCCCTACTTTTGAGATTAGTCTTCCGGATCGTAGCTCTAAAAACAATTTTTTCAATAACAATATTTTCAAAAAACATCTCTCATAAATATAAATCCGGACCCATTTTAGAATTCCAATAACAGTAGACCATTTATTGAGAGCGCTTCAGGATGATCTTCTTGGAATCCTCTGGTTGACTTTCGAACCATCTTTTATATCTGTAAAATATATTTCATCAATAACATTTCAAATTCAAAGCTTACTTCTGTTCCTGTGCTTTAACCCGACGTTTGAATTTTTTGTTCTGTTTAATTTCCTCTTCGGAATCGTTGAAAATCTTCTGAACATCAACATAAACTTCAGCGCGAGGATCAGGAAACAACAAATGAGTTGGATGTTTTCCCCAGCACGTGAGTATATTGTCAGCTGTAACAGTTCCCATTATAAGGAATTCGAGAATCGATCCAAGATAGATTTCATCATAATCATGGACAAATTTGATTGTGATGATGAATGGGGCTCTTGTGAATTCTTGATCAAATCCATGTTTGTTGAGAGCGTTGAGAAGATCGCGGTCATTCTCGATTTGGATTTGAGAACTATCAGATACTGGAAAAATATGTGAATGAATTTTGAATGAAAATGAGAACGGGGAGAAAACCAACTTTTCAGTATTCCATAAAGTTGATTTTTGTTACAGGTACAGAAAGAAATATGGACCATTTGTCGAATTTGGGAGAAAACTACAGTGACTGATGTCTAGTACTCAAACAATTTTACAGTACAGTACCTAGATTACAGTGCTAACTTTTTATTTCATAATTTCTTCAGAAACTACAGTAATACAGTGTATTTTCTCTCAATTTTTGTGTTTAAAAAGTTCTCAAAACATTGTTTTATATTTTTTTTCCCACGCTAAATTGGGAAGGGTGTTTTGAAAATTTGACAACAAAGAAAAAACCTTGAAAATTGTGTTCTATTGAAAATACCCAGATCGCGTGGAAGTTTTTCTAATGGATCAAATAAAATTTACTAGAATTATTTTTGAAGTTTCCTTACATGTGTTTGTATCTCAAAAACATTTTCATAACAGATGTTCTTATGGAAACTGCTGTTTTGTATATAAAAATTATGAACAACGTTTGTTTTTGCAACTGTGAACTATTCTCTATGAAAAATCTAGGTAACGTCATTTTTCTGATAAGAATTTTTGAAAAACTGCAAAGCCATGATGAAAATTTGTACTGTAGCACATTTTCTACTCTAACACATAGAAGCCTTGAAAAAGAGAAACCTTTTCCAACACAACTCGGAGAACAAAAAAGAACCACATGAATTTTCGCTGAATGGGGTCTCAAAAAAGAAGTTATCCGAAATGTGTTATGAAGAACATCTCACTTTGAAGTTTATTACGAATTTTTGCAGAGTCTAGTTTCATTTGAGGTCTCATTCAGCAGTTATCTTCAAATTACTTACCGTAACATAGAATCTTGAATGCCCCGAAAACCTTTTGAGTTCTTCCAGCTTTCACCATAACGCCCTGAACTTTTTCATAAACCGCTCTCCACAATTCCAAAAGTCCACCTAGAGCTCGATATTCAAAATGGACACTCAATGAACAACCAGTTTCGCCAACATAAGCTTTAACATTTATCGGATGACCATTTTGAAAATTGATTTTGTATCGAGTTGCCATCTAGAAAAAACAGAGAAAGAAAAACAAAAAGATATTCGGTTCGGAATAGGCAAAGGCAAAAATATGTAAAGAAAAGAAACGGGGGACAAATGAGTCATGTAAGTATAGACAGATAATGTTTCCCCTTTTTTTCAAAAAAATTGGCGCGGGACGGGAAGCTTCTTGTCTCTTTTCATATATATTTTCCTGACACCTTTTTCTCTTTTTTCTTTTCTTTTTTGATTTGTTTATATTCTGCGCAGATGTTTTATGGTCCAACTTTTTTCTTTGTCACTTTGATTTAGAGTTTTCGGGTACTCTTTCACTCGAAGCTTCTTCTCACGATCACAAGTTTTTTTATAGAAATGTTGAAAAATGTCGAAGAGTTCATGAGAGTTGAAATACAGACACCTGTAAAAACCTACATTGGAGCAACTGGTTGCTCGATTTCATTCGATTTGCCATATAAAGCAAATGATTCATATGCCAAGATGAGAAGAATCTTGAATTCGAAACTCGCAGCGATTGCTGAGAAAAAGCCAGAGCGGATGAAATTCGAAAAGTTGACGGAGTTCCGAATTTCTTATCAAGGTTTAGTTTTGAAGGATATTTTTGGCTAGAGAATCTACAAGTTTTACAATATTGATTATTTTGAATGAAACATTTAGGCGGGTGAACAAAGACCACCCACGAAATCTGAACTAAATCTCTCCAAAAAATGAAATATTTTTAATTATAATTTTTGAACACCATATTGTAAAAGATCAGAAAAAACCTAATTGTCTAGGACCCACATCTAGAACTCTTCTATGCAAATATTCCCAGTTTTTTTTTCAGAAAATGAATGCACTCGAAAAATAATTGACAACGATCGTGATCTTTTCGAAGCTATTTGCTGTCATGGAATCTATCAAGCTTATAAAACAAGTCAACTCATTACCAAAATCGAGTTTGCCTTTGTCTCCGACGAATTGAATCTGGCGGCCCTCATCGAAACTTCTCTTTTTGGCGCAACACCACAAAACTCAAATCAATATTCATGGTATTTTCAACCAATTCATCGACTTCTTCCTGATCCACGTGATAACAAGCCAAATTGGGAATTGAGAAAAACTTTTGAGAAACTCGAAGCCGAGAAAAACAAACAAACAATGGAAGCTGCTGCTCGGTAAGTTTGACAGCTCAATTATCACTCTGAAATTTGAATTGCAGTCTTAGATGTTCCTTTTCACACATCTTGAATCTTCATTTCAAATAAATTTTGTTTAATCGAATTTATAAAATGTGAATTCGCATACATTTCTGAATCAAAGTACAAATTACAGTCATAAATTTTTTGAGAGTTCCACTCTGAGCTTAACCTAAATTCAATTTTCGAAAAACGATGAGATGGAATTTAATAGGCGAATATACATAGATGCGGTCTAATACAGTATTCTCCGGAATATTCCCATTTCAAAATTTTTTGCAATTTTTTCAGCGAAACTGGTGCCTCGACTTCCGATGAGGTAAATGAAACCTATGTCTGATTTATGATTTTTTTTTGATATTTTTTGATGTTAGATCTTCTTAGTTATGATGCAAACCCCTTGCCTCCCACTTCAATGTTCAATTTTCAACTGATGAAACTTTCAATTTCAATTTTTTGCAAATTGATTATTTGCTCAAATATTTACCAAGGTGTGAAAAAAAAATAATCTTTAGATTTTTGAGTTCCTAACGTATTTTATTTATTCTCATTTTTATTCTGAATTGTTTTTGTTGTAGACTAAAATTCAAACTTCGTATTTCCCGACCTGAAAATGACCTTTTGTTATTTGTATTGACCCAAAAAACAACAAAGTTTTTAAAAAACTTTTTTATCGTCTTTTTCAATTTTTCGGAATTATATAAGCTCCTCCTTTTTTCTTCCATTATTTAATACCCTCCGGGTCTGATAAAAAATTCGAGAAGAAAAGTTTTTATTGTATTTATTCTTTCTGTTTTTGAAAAATAACATTTAGAAATTCCAGATTTTTTTTAGAAGAATGCAGGCTTATGTAAAAACAACAATTTTATTATGTCTTTATGGAGCTTTTAAAGAATTTCGTCCAACTGAACCTTACATGTATGAGTATGAACATGTTACGTTGAATATTTCAGAGCACACTTTAAATAATCAGGTTAGTTTGGAAAATTTATTGATTTTTTTGTTTTTTTATTGGCTATATTTTTTTGGAACAGGCAATGTTTTGTTTTCGAATGTTTAATGACCTGGGAATTTGAACATTTTTTGTTTTTTCTAATCTGGATTTCTAACAGGTTGTGAAATCAGTACAAACTAACTTTAAAAATGTTTTGAGCTATTTTTTAACATTATAAAAATAACTGTAATTTTTCAAACATTAAAGAAAATGTTTCAAAGTTAGAACATATTTTATTGTTCCGTCAACTTGTTTTCAAAAATCAAAAACGTATTTTTCCCTGGAAAATATTTTTAGGTCAACTTCTGATTTCACTGCAAAAAACTGCTCTTTGAATATATCTAACAAACATTTAACAACCCAAAAATTGATAAAGTCGCAAACAAACAATAAAACAACTTTCCAGGTGTTCCCAATATGGACGTACAGTTACTTGGCAACATTGATTCCCGCATTTCTCCTGACTGATGTTGTTTTATACAAACCAGCGATTATTTTCGAAGCGGCTTCCTATACAATTGTCTGGCTATTTTTTGTTTTTGGTAGAGGGGTTTTATCAATGCAATTAGTTGAAGTATTTTATGGATGGGCGACTGCAACCGAAATTGCTTATTTTGCCTATATTTATGTGAAAGTTCCGAAAAGTGAATTCAAAGCGTGAGGTTTTCTTTTTTTTAGAATAAAATTAATTGATAAAGTTCTTGATTGAATAACTCGGGAAATTCAAAACTTGAAAGCAATATTTTTACATTAGAACATTTTTTTCTTAATTAAATGTTGGAAAATTCAACTGTTTCAAACTTTTTTAAAGGTAAATTTCTATATATTCAAATTCAGTGAAATCAAATTATGCAGAGAACTTGTTTGGAAAATTTTCATTTCGTAAAAATTGTTTTTTTTTCCAGAGCAACAGCTTGGACCCGCGCTGCTCTTTTGGTTGGTAGATTCTCAGCTTACGCGTTAGCTCAACTTATCATTGGCCTAAAATTAAGTGATTATATGTGTTTAAATATTATCTCATTAGTTGCCATGTTCATCGCATTATTCTTCTCAATTATCTTACCAAAAGTCACATGGAAAGATGCATATCAGAAAAAATTAGAAGCTGAAGGTGTTTCAAATATTCAAGATCATTTGAAAGTTGCAAAATATAAGGATTATCTTTCAATTTATTTTCGGAATATTCATCGAGATTTGTATACGATTTATACGGATCCATTTATTTTGAAATGGTCCATTTGGTGGGCGTTGGCTAATTGTATTTTCTTGCAGGTCAGAGTTTTTTCAGGGTAAAAAATTTCCCATAGAAGTCAAATTAAAAAAAAAATTCTGAAAAAATTTTGCTTGTGACGTGGCAAAACATTCTTTACAGAAAAAAGTCCAGAAAATTATATCTACCTTTTTAATGAAATCCCGATTGGGTGGTGTCTCGATGGAAACTTCAAGAGAAGATAAAAAGGAGTTGCTCTAAATTCTGTTTTTTTTTTCAAAAAAATTCTAGTCTCCAAAAATTCAAGCAGAACATAAACCAAAACTCTGCATTCCTAAAATTCTCAAGCAATTAAATCACAAAGTAATTATCCCACAAAACGTGTGAAACGCAACCTTTAGTCGATCAATTCTGCAAAACTCTACCACGTCATAAAAAAAACCTTTCAGGTCACAAACTACACTCAAACTCTATGGGGAACTCTTTCCGAAGAAGATAATCGTTTCAATGGTATCACTGAAGCTCTCGTTCCACTCTTCGGAATTCCAGCAGATCTTCTAACTCAAAAAATAACTCTAAATTGGTCGAGATGGGGTGAATTAGTGTTATCTATTGGATCTTTGGTGCAATTTGGTTTTCTTTTATGGATGTCACAATCACATCAAATAATAGTTTTATATATTGGTTATATTGGATATCGTATAATTTATCAAGCAACAATGACAATTGCACAATGTAATTTGGCTACTCGATTACATAATGATTCTTATGGCTTACTTTTTGGTATCAATACTTTTATTGCTCTTTGTCTTCAATCGGTTTTAACTATTTTTGTGATCAATGTTGCCAGTTTATCAGTCAGACCTCAGGTAAGACCCGAAAAAGTTATGTCATGTGGATTGCTCATGAAATCTGATTTTTATAAAACATCTTATGAACATTATTGAAAATATTCAGTGCAGAATCTTCAGAGGCAAAAAATATCGTATCGTTGAATTTCTAACCATCTCTATTTTCTGAGACTTCTATTTTTTGTAGTTGATCTATAGATCTTTTTTCTCTGATATTTTTATTATCATTTTCATTTTTGCAGTTTGTCGTCTATTCAATCTACCATCTTGCAGTTGCTCTAATCTTCTTGATAACTTTTATTATTCTTTTCTTTTACCGTCTCCGAAGAAATCGAATCATTGCAGCTTGAAAAACAACTTTTTCTATTTATTTTATTAAATAGATCAAAAACCTTTGCATTACGAATTGTGTTCATAAATATTTTTTTCTTTTTCTCAAGTCACGCCTATTTTCCTCGAATGAATAGAAGTTATTATGACTATATAAAGTTAAAAAGAAAAGAAAAAAGAACTAGAAGATCAAACTAAATCTGGATCTTTAACTTATCGTTCCATTTCTAAAAATAAACAATGAATAATACAACGACAATGAGTTCGACTGAAGTTCACGCTGAAAATGGAGGAAGTGAAATGTTACGAGTGGTGGCGGCAACGATCATGTTTGTGGTGAGTTACAAAATTTTGAGCCTTTGCCAATTAAGAAACTCGTGAGGAAAATTATATTCCGGTCGAGATTCTGAAAAATCTTCAGACTGTTTTATAGAACGGTTCAAACTACTGCAAGTTCATTCAGAGCTCCAAATTTAGAAGTCAGATTTTCTTAATATGAACTTTCTCAAAGTTCAGAAAACGCGGAACTTTTTAATTAATCCTCTGGTTATGCGGAAGTTACCCCAGCTCGTTGATTGAAAATGACTTTTCAAAGAAAACTATTTTGCGTGACATTTTTTTCACGAAAAATTGCAAAAATTCCTATTATTTTTTTTTCCAAAAGCAACCAGACTTCCCAATTTGACACCTATTGTCAAAAAATCTTTTGCAGCTCAGTGTTTTTGGAATCTTTCTAAACTCCTCAGTTTTCTATGGATTGGTTACCCAATCTTCCAAAATCGGTGGATTTTTCACCCTTTGCGGTTCAAAAACCATCAGCAACAATATGATTTGTCTCACATTTCTTCTCTGGGCAGTTCCATGCACTTCACTCAACTCATATTTTCTGCCACATCAAGTTAATATAATATTTGGTCAACTTGGAGGATGGGCACCTTATATAATGGGACCATTTACACAATTATGTATGGCAATCAATCGATTTTGTGCCTTGTTTTTCACACATTTGTATTCAAGATCGTACCCAATTCCAATGAGTTTGGTAAGAAATTCAATCAACTTCTGATCATTTCTCTGAAAACCGGCGGAAATTTGATTGTCTAGTCAATTATTTCCAGCGTGTTCGAAAGATTTTTGTTTACCCACTACGCAAAAAACTAGAATAACAAAAAAACACACAATAACAATTCGCCCTCTTTTTCAGACAGGTGTCCTTATATTCTGGACAATATCATTCATTATAACTTCATTGGGTTTGCCTCCAGGATGCGGTTTTATTTATGTAATATCTCGATTGGCTTGGGAACCCGAAGAATCCGAATGCGCTGTCAATTTCGCGATCGGATTTTTCCATTTAGTTGTCGCAACTTCGGTTTTTGCAAATATTTTCAACACATCAATCGCTCTTAAATTAATTGCAATGGCTGCTGGAGCAACAGGAATTGATGAAAGTATTAGTGTGCAAAGAAGAAAGAGAAGAACTAGAATGTATATTCAGGTAAATACAAACGAAATCCAATAGCGAAATTAAGCATACGCTAATATTCTCGAAATTTCTACTCTTTCGGGTAAAAATATTGTGCATAAGTCAGAAAATTATCTCTCAAATTAGATTGAACTAAGAAAATAAGCATGACGTAGGAACAATTTAATATGATTCCAGAGCGTCACCCAAGATTGTCTCCATGTCATGGATACTATCAACTGCTCAATCATCTCGCACTTCTCAGATGCTGTCTGGTATCGTTTCGTCTTTTCGTCACTCTCATTTCTTGGAATCCACGTTTTTGACGGTCTCATCATGATTTTGTTCAACAAACAACTTCGTCCTGTTTGCTTTCAACAAAAGGAAACAAAAATTTCACATCTAAACTATTCTGTTCGAGTTTCAACAGCAGTTTCTAATTAATTGAGAATGATTTCAAATAAAAAGGTTTTTTGTTGAAAAATTCAAAATGAGATCAAAATTGTAAATTAAAAATATATAAAACAAAAATGAAAAAAGACCGACTTACAACTCAAAGATCAATGTGATTCATAATATCAAATTTCTCTTCTTCCTCCAATTTTTCTGGGGCCAATCCTTGAAGTTGTCTTGGCAAAGCATCTGGTTCTCCATCCAGGCGTTCTCGAAGTTTGTCTCGATGTTCCGTTATTTCACCGATCGCAGTTTCTCCAAGATCAGCATAAAAGGATTTTATCTGATCGGCGGTTTTGCTTCCAATAATTTCGGCGATTGTTTCGAAATCATCGCCATACCAGTAAAAACCTACAAAACAACTTATGAAAAAATTGTTAAAATTCTAAAAATTCTTACATTTAATAGTATCTTTATGTTCGGTTTCAGTCCATGAATAAGTAGTTGTTTTCTTTTTTCCAACTGCAGATGGTGCTAAATCTGTATCTTGTGTCAATCTATCCATTCGATATCTAACTGAATTCATCTCATTTCTCCAATTATTCACTTCAGCTTTATTGATTTTTCCGAACATAAGTGTAGTTGCAAACATTAATTTTCTCGATTCCTCATTCAAAATCTCAATATCTTCCATACAAACAGTTCGATCTTCTCGCCAAACACATGGAACTGCCAAATTATAACGAGAACTCAATTTTGAGATAATTTCTTGAGCCTCTTTATCTTCAAAATGTCGTGTCATTCGACAAGTATTCAAATCAATCGGGTCATCATTTGCTGTTTTAATTGTGTCGGGTTCCATAGGCGGTGCAGGTTTTTTAATCAAACATTCGTCTGAATTTCAAATTGTTGCACAATAATTTTGTGAAGAAAAACTCACCAATCACCATAATTTCATCCTCATCAATTGGCTCCGAAGGATCTTCGTTTTTTGGAATTTTCAATCGAGTTAAAGGATCGCCAGTTGCAGGCAATGTCAATTCATTGTATCGAGTTAGAAGCTTCTTCATTTCTGAAAAAATATTCCAAATTTAAACTAAAAAAATAGGAGGACAAAAACTAACTTTTTGGGCATTCTACACATGTCCTTTTCAATTCTTCCGTTATATTGCGCAAATTCGCTGGTCTCGGTTCACGATTCAAACGCAAATAAATTATACATGTTTTGCATTCTCTGCGATTTGTTGCAGGAGTAAATTGAAGTGTAGCACTTCGTTCGCCACAATTTTCACAAGTTCCATGAAAAAGTTCATCAATCGCATCATCCACGTCATCATCTGTTTCATCGTTATCCTCTAATTTGACTTCGTCGCAAACTTTATAAGTTGTATGTTTTTTTGTGTCGTAGTAATGTTGGATAATTGAAGCATGTGAGCGATGAGGAAACTGAAAAAAAAAGAAATAAATTGGGTTTGACACATTTTTTCCGATGTTTTCTAACTCCGAATATTTATCTTACCGCTGCTCGACGAATTCGAAGAAAATCTTTGCCATAACAAAAATATGCATTGGTGAATAATAACTTTTCATCGTCATTCCAGACATCTCGAAGTTGTTTTCTTTTTGATACTTGAAACATTGCATCTTCAAAATTATAATCACAATGATATAAAATATACAAAGCTCTGTCAATTGGCATTCGAAAACGACCCAAACATTCATTGATATAATTTTGCAATGATTTGTCGACCATCGGTTCCGGCAGAGTCCAAATTAATTCATCTCGAGGATTTACAGATTCGTCTCTTTCTCCAACTTCAGAGATTTCAGCCACTACTAAATCAACATTAGCTTGATAATCATTTCCAATTTTAATATACTCTCGCATATGTGAAAGTGGACATGATACTTTGCTTTTTGTATCTTCTGGTTCATCATTTCCAGAATCACTCGAAGAACGCTTTTTCCGTTTTGGTTGACGATTTGAACGACGCTATAATCAATATTATGCATTTTTTCTAGAAATCTTTTACAACTTACAGGTGCTACAGGTTCTGGTGCTTCTTCTCCTTCCTCATCTGTCACTGTTTCGATTTCATTATCATGTTCAATTTCTTCTTCCTCTTCACCTTCTGCTTCTTCCTCAGCTTCAACTTCTTCTCCCAAATCTACTTCCACAGCCTCTTCCTCTCCAATGTCTTCCTCTAAAATATCATCTTCTTCTTGTTCTTGGTCAACTTCTACGACTTCATTTTCATCGTCTTCTGCCACGTCAAGTACATCTTCTTCCAAATTACCATTCAAAAGTAGAGGATTATTCTCATCTTCACCGTTTTCACTCATTTCCTGTTAATAACAACTTTTAAGTAACAAGATAAAGCGAGCGATCGAAATCGCGAAACTTCAAAATGAAAAAAGGAATAAAGGAACAGATGGATTCTCAATTGTGTCTCGACACGATGCAACAAATTTCTACAAAAGAGTCAAGGCGCAGCACACTGTTTGAAATGGTCTCGGTACGCCAATTCGTGTTTTCATTTTTCCAAAATTTCTCATCCTTTTCTTTTCAGTTTTCAAGCGGTTTTCGGAGTTTTTCAGATGTTTGACCGGAGTTCTAGAGATGTGCACAGATTTAGCCTAGTCGTGAAATGTCAATGAAACGTTTAAGAAACGGGAAAAGTTATTCTCTAGCGAGATAAAATCCAGAAACTATGTAAATACAAATCAATTTACAACTGGATTATTCCTGCTTAGACAAGTCTCTCTCTCCCTTTCAAAAAAGTGCGCGCTGTCCAGCAGAGCGCACTTGTTGTCGCAAAAGATTTTTCGTTTTTCAGTGTTTTCCCTAAAAAAAACACTTTACTCTCGGAAGCTGCTTTTTCTTTGTTTTCCCTCAATTTTTCTCGTGACCTACTACTTCTTTTAAAAATTTTCCGTGTTGTTGAAAAACCTATCACAAAAAACGTATCTGAAGGTATCATTCGATTAGAATAATACTGAACGATAAAAATGGCAAAGTAGACAGATAAGTTCTTATCTTTTTATTTTTTACTAGTTCATTGACCCTCGCATTTTTTTTGAAAATAAGTTTTTGACAACCAAAAAATCACTGATGTTTGCAGAATGCCATCCGAAAAACGTGTCAAATATATTCTCGTAACCGGTGGTGTGATTTCTGGAGTTGGAAAAGGAATCATCTCTTCAAGCTTGGGTGTACTTCTCAAAAATAATGGGTACAAGGTGACAGCCATCAAAATAGACCCATATTTGAATGAAGATGCTGGAACATTCTCACCATATGAACACGGCGAAGTATTTGTTCTTGATGATGGCGGTGAAGTTGATTTAGATTTGGGAAATTATGAAAGATTCTTGGATATTCGTGTGACTCGCGATAATAATATTACAACTGGAAAAATGTTCAAACATGTAATGGAACGAGAAAGAAGAGGAGATTATTGTGGAAAAACTGTTCAAATGATTCCTCATTTAACTGATGCAATTGTTGATTGGATTGAAAGAGTTGCTCAGATTCCAGTTGATGGAACTAATGAGAAACCTGATGTTTGTATTATTGAATTAGGTGGAACTATTGGAGATATCGAAGGAATGACATATTTATCAGCTTTTGAACGTTTCCAAAGACCAACTCTTAAAAACGCTTTGATGAATGTTCATGTTTCTCTTCTACTTCATCCAAATGCAACTGGAGAACCAAAAACAAAACCAATGCAAAATTCAGTTCGTCATCTTCGCGCAGCTGGACTTGTTCCAGATTTATTGATTTGTCGCTCGACAGATGTTCTTGAAGATAGTCTTCGAGAGAAAATAGCCCGTTTTGGAATGTTGGATTTGGATCAAATTGTTGGTGTTCACGATGTATCCAATATATACAAGGTTCCACTTTTGTTAGAACAACAAGGAGTTTTGGAAGCGATTTCGAAAAGATTACAATTGCATCCAGTTGATGAGAAAGTCAGAAAAGAATTGAAATTCAATATGACACATTGGACACATTTATCGGAATTGTGAGTTTGAAAGAAGATATTAGGATTCCTGAATCGAGATTAGCTGGTAACATTTTCGTATAAAAGGGTATCTTGGCGTATCCAAACTTACGTGCAAAAGTCTCCTCCAAAAACAAGAAAAAATTTCAAACTAAAATAATTTTCTAGATGTGACACATTCAAAAATGAGGTCAACATTGCTTTGGTTGGAAAATACGTCAAAATAGCAGATGCTTATGCATCAGTCAACAAAGCCCTTTCACATGCCGCAATTCACTCAAAAAGAAAGTTGAACTTGAAATATGTTGATGCTGAATTGCTTGAAAACAAAAAAGGATTTGAGGAACAATCTGCAGCTGCATGGGCAACACTCAAAGAAGCACAGTGAGTTAGACTAACCTTTTTCATGGTCTGGTTGAAAAAATTTTGTCGTGGGATGCGTTCTCATTTTAAAACAAAAATGAAAAATTCAAATAAATGAATTCACGTATTTGAGTAAACTATTTTTCTAGTTCACGCTGTTTCGCTTAAAATATTCAGCGAAGCACTTTTTCATTACTTGAAAATAAAAATCTTCCAAACCTGTTTGTTTCAGTGGCGTCATCGTTCCGGGTGGATTCGACAAACGTGGAGTTGAAGGAATGATTATTGCTGCCGAATATTGTCGTTTGAACAAAGTTCCATATTTGGGAGTTTGTTTGGGAATGCAAGTGGCGGCTGTTGAATTTGCAAGAAATGTTTTGGGAATCAAAGGAGCTAATTCGTGTGAATTTAGTCAAACTTTGAATGAGGATGAGCAAATTGGTATGGTTTAAAAAATGAAGGAAAAAAACGTTTTGACAAAAAAAATTCAAAAAAAAACTAGAGAAATAAATTCAGATTTGGAATTTCAGGAGAGCTTAAACTTTGAAATGACTTTTCGAATTAAGAATTATCATTCCCACTCTTCACTTGATTTCACAATCTGCTGTAAAAACGCAATAACTGATAGTCTCAATTAAAAATGCCTGTGACTGCTCAATCATTCCTTTTTATACGAAAAAATAAATCAGAAAAATTGTTGTAAACACCTGATAAGCCAGCCCAATACATTAATTACAGTAATCGATATGCCTGAACACAATGTTGAAGAAAAAGGATTGGGCGGAACAATGCGTCTCGGACGTCGTTCAACTGTATTTTTGACTGATGATTGTACACTCCGTTAGTTTTTTTTTCGTTGATAAGCAGAAAATCAATAATTCAATTATTATTAATTTTCAGATAAACTATATGGTGCACATGTTGTTGAAGAAAGACATCGTCATCGTTATGAAGTCAATCCACGTGTTGTTCCTCAAATGGCAAGAAAAGGTTTCCTTTTTGTTGGAATGGGAGTCGATGAACAAAATACTGAAATATGGGATGTGAAAAAACGAACTGATAGTTCAACACAACTTATGAAATTGGCTGATCAAATTGATCAAGATTTATTGAACAAAATTGATGATTTGTGTCAAAGAGGAGGAGATGGTGTAACTCGACCGGCTGTTCGAATGGAAATGTTTGAATTGAAGGATCATCCATATTTTGTTGGTGCACAATTCCATCCTGAATATTTGTCGCATCCATTGACGCCAAGTCCACCGTTCTTCGGATTGTTGTTGGCTGCAACTGGACAATTACAGGTGAGGAGAAAACGAGAGAAAATGAAATGAGACAAATTTCGTAATGATTGTTCAATTTTGAAATTTCTGACCCAAAATCAGTTATTTTAATTGGAAATATTATATTTTTCACAGGAACGCGCCTCTTTTTGAAAACTGAAAAAATATTGTTTAGAAGCTGTTTATGAGAAATAAATATTTCAGAGCTATTTATCTGGCTCGAGTTCGCCAGTTCTTTCCTCAGTTCACGAAGATCAAGAAACTAAAGAAAATAGCAAATTCCATGAAGATGTAATCGGTGAGATTCTTGGAAAATTGAAATTGGAAGGAAATGTTGTTGCTGGAACTCAAAGACTCGCCCAATTCCAATAATCTTCATTTCTCATTGTTATTTTTTTTGCTGTTTCATTCATTATTTATGAATCTACCTTACATTTTCATCTTATCAATTTTCTTCGATTTGCATTTCATTTTTCTTGTTATGTTGATTATTTACCAGTTTTCTCCCGGTTTTTGTTGTGTTTTTTCCCAGTTTTGCACTTTTCTGTTGATTTCCCAAAATGAATTTACCGTTATTTTCTAACATTCTTCTCCTATGTTGTAGATGTTTTGAAAACCGTCTTGAAAGTTATTTTAAATTCAACATTGACTTGGATTAATTAGCGAAAGTTTAGGGTGAAAATGGCGGCGTATCAAGTTGGATTGTTGGTTGAGAAAATGTCGAGTCCCGATAAGGTAATTTTTGCTATTTTTAATTTTAGGACACGTGGCCTTCATTTTTGTTAAATTCTTGAAATGTTTATTTACTAAAACAATTTTAATCTAGGACTTTCGATTTATGGCAATCAACGATTTGATGAAAGACCTTGTCTCAGGCACTTTGAGTTTGGAAGAAGATGCATCGGCAAAAGTGATTCGAGCATTGATTCGACTCTTGAATGATTCGAATGGCGAAGTTCAGAATTTGGCTATCAAATGTTGCGGAATTCTTGCACAACCATCAAGGATTAAACATCATCATGTTGGTTTTTTAATTTGAATTTGAATCACAAGGGGAATCGTTTTAATTACAACCTAAAAAACTGTTTTGAATAACAAAGTTATATCATTTTCTAGCCAAAAATACAATTTTTAGAATAAAATTGTGTTATTGCGAAATATTTTTAGCAACTTTATAATAGTTGAACAGGATCACCTAAAGAAACAAATATACGCAGAATTTTTAATTCCTAAATCATCGGAGGGTAGTTGAGCCTTCAGAATCTGATTATCTAGGACTCTGATGACGTCACGCTGATCAGTGGCACAAATTTAAGTCAAATTCTACTCTATTTTCTTTCAGCTCGAATTTGCTATCGAAGAACTCACCCCATTCTTATTCAACAAATGCGAAGCTGCCAGAGATGTTCATGCATTAACCATCAAAGCTGTGAGTTATCCAAACTCTTCTCCTCCTTCTCACAATAGCTAATTTGAATATATCATTTTTTTTCAGATCATCCAAAATCTTGCGCCATCTTCTGCGAATAATTCGAGTGCTGGAATTGTCAAAAAATTGTTGCCGAAATTGACGGATGCATTGAGAACAAGACAATTGGATGATGCGGCTAAAATTGATATTATTGATATTATTGGAGATTTGTTGTTGAGATTTGGAGATACTGTAAGTGGCTTGAGGGATTTTATGATAATTGGGATGGGAAGTTAGAATTTCAGTTCTGAATTCATGATTTTTTTAATATTAATAATTCTTTTGAAAATCGGATCTTTCACTGGCTAAATTTTTCCAAGCTCACTATCCTAATCCATGAATTCCCTTTTCCCAGGTTCCGGAACTCCACGATTCAGTTCATGACGTCATTCTGCTTCAATTGAATTCTTCGCGTCAATCAATTCGTAAGAAATCAACATCCGCATTTGGATATTTGGCAGCAGTCGCAACTCCAGTTTTATATGATCGAATTGTTGCTGGATTATTGGATAAATTGGGAAATGCAAAAGGCGCTGAAAATTGTCGAACTTTCATAGTTGCAATCACTTTTGTTGCAAAATCAAGTGGCGCAAAATTTTCAGATCATTTATCAAAAGTTGTTCCATATCTTATTCAATTTCTTCGATCTTCTGATGATGATGATTTAAAAGAAGCTGCACTTCAAGGATTAGAAGTATTCCTTTATCGATGTCCAACTGAAGTTGCCGCATTTCAAACTGATGTTCAACAAGTTCTTTCAACTAATCTATCTTATGATCCAAATTATGAATATGGAGATGAAGATGATGACGATGAAATGGATTGTGAAGATGATGATGAAGAATATTCAGATGATGAAGATATGACATGGAAAGTAAGAAGAGCAACTGCAAAAGCAATTGAAGCTATGATTATCTCAAAAAGAGAATCATTTTTATTGTATATTTCGACACTTGGACCACTTTTGATTTCAAGATTTAGAGAAAGAGAAGAAACTGTCAGAAATGAAGTTTTATCTGCATATATTGCACTTTTGAATCAATTTTCTATCATTATTCCGCGCTCTGCTATCACTTTGGTGAGTTTGGGAGAGACATTAATTTAAAAAATGAAAATTTATTTAGCCTTCGGAAACCGAATCAATGCAAATCGATGATGTTTCCACCAATATTTCTACGGTTTCTCTTTCGCCAGAACAAAATCAAATTGTTAAAGCTTTAGCTGATCAAAAAGATCGATTGTTGAAATCGGTTACCAGGATTATTAAAAAACATATTAAAAGTGGATCGAAGTGTTTGGAATTGTTGACTTCGCTTGTAAAGTGAGTTTCTGGAGTTTGAAATTGAAGGAAAAAGGGTTTTTTGCGAAAAAATGAATTTGAAATTGCCACGTAGGAGTTCACGTAAAAAAAATAAATTTGGTCGTTTTTTTCATTTCAAAAATATTTGTGACATTTATTTTTAGTTTTTCGATTTTATTTTTCACGTCTGCACTCGAAAATTTCAAAATGTTTGTTTTCAGATGTTACCCTGGAGCTCTCGATTCGTATTTATCCGATTTGATTCCAAGTGTTTCCAAAATCCTAATCGATAAACAAGCAACAGCTCAAGGTAAAATGATTGTGCTCAATTTCATATCAAAAGCGATTGCTCAACACGATTCCAAAGTTTTCGAACAACATCTCGATTCTCTTACAAATATTGTCACATTTGCAATCGAAGATCAATTCTATAAAATCTCAGCCGAAGGTCTTATTTTATCTGGAAAATATGCGGAAGTTTTGAGAGATTGCGGAAATGGAGAAAATGTGGCGACAAATGTGGAGAAGTTGTTTGATACAGTCAATCGAAAATTTGTTGCAAATGATACAGATCAAGATGTTCGAGAAAGATCAATTAGTTCAATTAGTCATATTGTTGCATTATTCAGACAAGAATTTGGTGGAAAAATTCAAGGCGTTTTGGAAAAATTGACGGAAAGAGTTGGAAGAGAAATGACGTGTTTGGTTGCAATTCGAGCATTTTCGGAAATCATATCAGTTGGAATTTCAATTGATCAGAATTTATTGAAAACATTACTTGGACATATTGTTGAATATTTGAAGAAAATTTCGAGATCTTTGAGAATCGCTTCACTTATTTTTATACAAAATTTATTGAATTCGGCGATTGAAGGAATTTTAGAAATTCCGAATATGGAAATGTCACAGGTTTTGGGAGAATTGCCAAATTTATTGAATGATGCTGATTTGCAAATCACTAACCAGACATTGGGATGTTTGAGTAGTAAGTTTCTCAATACTTAATTTTTGAGAGTATTTAAAGCAAAACACGTTTTTTTCAGCTGCATTTGCTAGTTTCCCACATACTGTTGAAATGCACCTCGATTTGATTTTGGAGGCGATTGTTAAAATGATTCAATCATCTCTTATTCAGGGAGCCGCACTCAACTCACTTATGAGTCTTTTTTCGAATATTGTTAAGGGAAATTTGGAGAATCAACCGACTTTTGTGGTGAGATTTTGGGAATTTTGACGAAAATCTGATGTGTTTTTTTTCCGATGAAAAATTGAATTTATATTTTACAATTGAAAAAACGTTGTCGATCCCGATGTTCTTTCACAAAATCCTATAATTTCTTTTTTTTTCAGAAATTATTGGATACAGTAACTTCGCCGGTTTATGATGTTCCAAATCTTACTCGACAATCCCATCATGCAATTTCATCGGTTGCGTCAACAATTGCTGAAACAACAAATGATTTGGAAAAATCGCGAGCATTGGCTCAAAAATTAGCCGAACAATTGATTGATACAAGATCGACTGATTCGATTCGACTTTTTGCGATGAGTACAATTGGAGAATTAGGAAGAAGATGCCCACAAGTTTTTGTTGATAGTGCCATTCGGTAAGATATTTCTTTAAAAGTTGAATTTTCAAAATTTACCAAAAAAAAATTGAATTTAAAACATGCACAGTTTATACCTAAAGAATTAAAAAGGTAGATTGGCATTCTGAAAATTGTCATATTGCAATCCGGGTGAACTTGTAAAACATTTGTGATTTGTCTCTTTCACAAATTGATAACCATTTTGTTCCCCTGAATATTTCGCCTCAAATGTTGAATTGATTTTATTGCATTAGGATTCAACATCAATCACTATTGTTTTATCCTCGAGAATTGTTGATTTAACTTTAACATCAATTCGTTTCTCAATGTCAGCATTAACAAGTTCATCAGGAAGTTTCTCAAGCTCTTTTTCTTCGATTTTTGAATAATGATATGTTTCATATTCATAATCACACCAAGATAATTCATAGGAAGACTTTTGAACAACTTTAAACAATCTTTCACGATCTTTTGATCGAATTGAATCAACATATTCACTCAACAAATGTTTTGCTAATTCATCTGCCAATTTTTTGGAATCAATAATCATTGTTCCTGCAATAATTCCATCACAATTCAAATGTGTTTCTTTAATCAAAATATAACGGTCTAACACTTTCTTGATGTACAAATTCGCTTCTCCCTGTTCTAATCGAGCTTTTATTTTACTCAGCATTTGCGGGCGTAGCTTAAACGTAGACGAACCGATGTCAGCCGCTGACATCGGTTTAGCTACACAAATAGGTACGGTTTAGCTACGCAATGTGTGTTTGTGCGTCGGAAATGGGTTTTGTTTTCTTTTTTCAGTCGCCCCAGGAATTTTTCTGATTTTAACACATAAAATAGAAAAAAGAAGAATTTATTATACAATTTATATACAGAAGTAATAAATAACATAATTTCAACAAACATATTTACATAGAAAAAATTATATAAGTCGTTTTTCCGGGTTTTGATGTAAATGGCGATGCTGATGAATATTTCGAAGCTGGCAATGTGATTTTCCTTGTCTGATGGAAGATTGAATGGGGTACGAGCTGAAAAACTGATTTATTGAACTAAAGATAGACTGAGAAGTGCAACTATTCTTCAAGAATTAGGAATTCAATAAAATATCCTTCATTACACAAGTTTAAACAGAAATTCCAACAATCTCCATTTTCTAGATTCTGATTATCAGGATAATTAGAAATAACTCACTTTTTGTTTCCGAAATTCGGTTTCTGACAGCATAATCACATTCTTTCGATAAAAATCCATTTTTTTGTCAAACATCGATTTTTCGAGCCTTTCAAACGGTTTCTCTGCAAATTTATTCATTATATATGGCGGAAATTAGTCTGTCAATGTAACTTACCTTCTTAAAACCGGTTTTAGTTGATGTAACTTGAATTTTAGGGCAATTTAGGCCTTGAAAAAAACAAAAATGAAAAGCAAAATGAGGAACCGCAGCGCACTCGAGAGTATTCGCTTTGCAACGCGGTCAGCTTGTAAAAATGCGTAGCTAAACCGTAGCTACGCATTAGCTAAATGCACCCTCTGTCTACGTTTAAGCTACGCCCGCAAATGCTGAGTAATTGTTCCTGTATGGTCGAAAGTAACCGATTCGGAGTTGTAATCGATTTTGCTCATTGGCAAAACATCTAGATTATATCGTGTAATTTCGTTATAAAGATCAGCTCGATTCAAACGTTTTTTGGTTAAATCACATTGTTCAATCTTGAAACTTGGGCTTACTATTTGAACAAACAAAATTTGATTTTTTTCGTGGATTGATTTTCTAAAAACATCTAATACTTGCTCGGCTTCTTTTTTGACATCGATATTGGCGTTTGAAAAATTTAGAAGTATTATAGATATCCAGAACATTTGAACAACTGATTTTGAGACAAAATTTTGTGTTGGAACAATAAAGATGTCTGGGAAACAACATGAAAAAACTTTATAATTTTCAAAGACTGGCATTTTGAAAGTTTTCATATTGCAATCCGGGTGGTTTTGTGAAACATCTGTGGTTTGTCTCCTTCACAAATTGATAGCCCTTTTCAACGGAAGAATATTTTGCTTCAAAAGTTGAATTGATTTTATTGCATTCGGATTCAACATCAATCACTATTGTTTTATCCTCAAGAATTTTTGATTTAACTTTAACATCAATTCGTTTTTCTATATCAGCAGAAATAAGTTCGTCAGGAAAATTCTCAAGTTCATCTACCTCAACTTGAGAGTTATGATATGTTCCATCTTCATAATTGCACCAAAATAGTTTATAAGAAGACTTTTGAATTATTTTATATAAGCTTTCACTATCTTTAGATCGAATAGAATCAACATATCCGCTCAACAAATGTCTCGCTAGATCGTCTGTCAACTTTTTTGAATCAATAACCATTGTTCCGGCGATAATTCCATTACAATCGTATTGTCTTTCTTTGATCAAAACAAAATGATGCGATTCGTTTCTCGCATGAAATATTGCTCCACCTTGCTCTAACTTCGCTGTTATTTTGAGGATTCCTTCTTCAAAAACAACAGATTCTCGACGAAAATCGATTTTGCTTATTGGAATCGAATCAATATTGTATCGTATTAGTTCGTTGAAAATATCAGCTCGCTTCAAATTGTTTTTTTTTGACAAATCGCATTGTTCAATTTCAAATGTTGAGCTTAATGTTTTAATAAACAACAATTGATTTTTTTCATGGATAGACTTTTGAAACTCATATAATACTTTCTCAGCCTCTCTTCCAAAATCTACTTCTGCTCTTAGAAAACTGATCAGAGTGATGAATATCCAGAACATTTTGAAAATTGAATTCAGGACTAAAAGTCAATTTTGAAAAAATTTTATGTCTGGGAACTGTCTGAAAATGTTAGGCAGAAACAATACAGATATAATTTAAAATGGATATTTTTTATATAGATATAAAATCTAAATATAACATCTTACCAAAAATGTCTCCTGAAAAATCCATTATTTTCAGCCCTGAACAATTGGCGGTCGAAGCATTTGGCTCAACATCGGAAGAATTGAAAGGAGCAGCAGCTCAAGCTCTCGGAGCCCTTGCCGTTGGAAATTTACAAATTTATCTGCCATTCATCCTCGAAAAAATTCGAGAATCACCAAGAAAACAATATCTTCTTCTTCATGCTCTTAAAGAAATTATCGTCTGGGAATCGGCTGAAACATCAACAAAAGTAAATGAATTATTCCGAACTGCAATTCCAGATATTTGGGATATGTTAATTGGAAATGCGGGAGGACAAGAAGATGGAACACGAAATGTTGTGGCTGAATGTTTAGGAAGATTATGCTCATTTGATCCGATTAATTTGTTGCCAAAATTGGAAGTTCATGTTGATTCGCCAGATTCAAATGTTCGATCAACAATTGTTTCATCAATCAAATTTATGATAAGTAATGATAAACGAGCTGCGGATTCAGTTCTTCAAAGACATATCGGAAGATTTTTGGGAAAAGTTAAGGATGAAGATTTGAATGTAAGAAGAGTTGCATTAGTTGTTTTGAACTCGGCAGCTCACAATAAACCGGCATTGGTAAGGTTTTGAAATCTAGGGTTTCAGACTTAAGTTCAATCTAAACATTTTGCAGATCAGGGATTTGTTATCGCAATTGCTTCCGGCAATTTATGAGGAGACACAAATGCGATTCGATTTGATTCGAGAAGTTCAAATGGGACCATTCAAACATCAAGTTGATGATGGATTGGATTTGAGAAAAAGCGCGTATGAATGGTGAGATTTTTGCGGGGTTTTTACAAGAAATATTCGAAGAATAAATTTCTGGAATACTTTTTTACCCAGAAAAAAAATTATACGAAACATTTTAAAGGTTTAGCTTCGTTTGTTTTTTTTTTTGAATTTCGAAATTGAACTCGATTTTTTTTGTAAAATAGTTTAGCTAGAAACTAGCTGAAACTTTAAAATTTATTCTAGTATGTACACTCTGCTCGAAAACTGTTCCGATCGAATTGATACCAATGAATTCCTCACAATTATGGAAATTGGTCTAAAAGATCAAAACAACGATGTGAAACTGCTCAATTATTTAACAATTCAAAAAATCGCATCAATTGCTCCTGGCCAACTTCTTCAACGCCTCGATAAAATTTGCGAACCGTTGAAACAACAACTTTTTGTAAAACCAAAAGGAAATGCGGTGAAACAAGATTTGGAGAAAATTGAGGAGCTCAAAAAAGCGGTGATTCGTGTGGTTTTCACTTTGAAAGTGAAGTTGCCGGATGTTGAAAGACAACAACAATTTTTGGATTTGTATAATACGGTGAAACACAACAAGGAATTACAGGTAAACTTATTTGTATTGACCTAAAATTAATTTTCATATTTATGCAGACAATTTCTGAAGCTGTTGTCCGCGAATCTCAACGTGCTGTTATTTATGATGTTCCGATGGAAACTCTTTAAAAGTATAAATATTTTAAAAAAAGAAGCCAGTGAAGATATTTAATTTTCTTAAATTATTTATTTTGTTTTTGTGTGACCCGAATAAAATGTATCGTATTTTGATGATCAAAACAAGAGATAATTTTTTGGATTTATCCATTCATTTTTGTTTTTGTTTTGCATACTGTTGATAGATTGCGATTTATGACTGTTTATTGTGATTGCCGAGGAATTTTGGGGTTTTATGTTTAAAAATTTGTATTGATTTTTTTGTATGAGTCAGGATTTTTTTTAAAGATTTTAAGAAATAGTTTGAAAAATACTCTTCTTTTAATTTTTTTCAATTTTTTCTCTGAACCTCTCATTTTTCCATTGTCTTCATCTTTTTCAAAACTTCTCCGAATTATTAATCAATGACTCGAACATATGAGAAATGTATCAAATTTCATTTTCCCCCAATTTTCCCAACTATTTTTTTTATTTCCTTTCAATCATGAAATAGTTCCAAATTTGATAAGAAAAAAACATAAGCTGCTTACACTTTTTCTACATTTTTTCATGAAAATGAAAATAAAAAATGTTTTGTTCTTTTTTTGCTTCAAATGATCGAAGCATCAAAAAACAACAACTGATAAATTTTTGTTTTTTCTCTTTTTTTTTTGAGGGAAAAATGGAAAATTGATTTTTTTTCGAATTGAAAGAAAAAATATTTTGAAAGATTTAGGGATTTTCCGTTAATCGGATCAAAAAAATTTCTTTGAAAAAATTTTAAACGAAAATTCAAGTTTGTTTTTATAGATAAATGTCACTGGTAAATGGATGGTCCACAACTTCATCGATAATTTCTGATGTTTTGCCAGAGGAATTTGAGAAAGGTAAGATTTTTTGACAGAAATTCTGAATATTTAGAGAAATTGGTTCGATTTAGAATTATAAAACCTGAACTATATTCGTGAACTTTTTTCTATTTAAAAATGTGTTGCGTCTTCTGCGAATTGTGTAAGAAATGTAACATTTCAAGAATTACTGAAATTACTGTAACTCAAAATTTCAAAAGAATAATATCGGACCTGGTATATTCAAAAATGGTTCGAAAATATTCCCAATAGTTTTCTTCAAATCCTAAAAAAAAAGTAAAATGTTGCGCCAATTTTCTTTTTTTCCTCCTCTCAATTCTTTTCTTCTTTTTCTTTTTTTCATTCATAAGTATTTATGTATTATTTTTTTTATTTATGTTCTTTTTCCATGAATTGCAAATCATTTTGCTCTTCTTCTTCTAAAATATTTCTGGTTTCTGACATTTCTTGACAATCCCTAGTTATGTTTTTCGGAAATTCTGGATTTTGTACAACTCGGCCTAATAATAGTGCTGTTACTACTAATGTTGCAGCTGGAAGAAGCTTCTGTGAGTTTTCATAGAATTTTGAGATATTCTGAATTTAAGTTCAAATTTATGAAAAAGATTTTTGAAACGTGAATTTCGTGTTCCGCATGTTTTCTAATTTTTTTGGTCCAATATTTAGTTACTGTAAATTGAAATTTTTTGAAATACTCGGTTTGAATTCACGAGTTTCAAAAATTCCTGGTCCCCAAAGATAAATAATTTTTTCAGATGAATTGGTTCTGTCAGACAATGAACGACTTCGAGGGCGAGTTGAGGAACTCGAAAAAATTGTGATCACTCAAAGAAATGAGATTGTACGTTGTTCCCCGGAATGTATTATTTTTTTCAAATTTGAATCAAATTTTAGATGCTTCTCCAAGCCTCAATGGCTGATATTCTTCGACGAGTTCAAAATCTCGAAGCCAAGCCGTCATCCCAATATAATTCTTGTAAGTTTTTTTTTAATGTTTCAAAAAAATACCTGAAACTCCCTTTACAGTACCTCGACCAAGCCGTCTTTCAAATTCTCGAAGCACATACAATCAAATGTCAAAAAGTATGCATGGAAGCGAAAGTTTTTCGCCAAATCGTAGACAATCTCGAGATTTGATAAATGTTCCAATGGGAAAAAGCGCGCGAGGTTCGCCAATGAGAAAATGGGTTTCGAGTCAGGAAATTCCACCAACTCCGCCGGATCCGAGAATAAGAAGAGTTTCGACAACTTCGTCTTCGGAAGAAGTTGCAAGTACAAGTGGAATTAATGGAAATGGAAATGGGAAAACTTCGATTGTGAATCGAGTTAGAAGGTTGAGCGGGTAAGGAAATATTCTTTTTAGATTTTGTAGATGTTTGTGAATTCTAGAATTTTGGTAGATATTTTTGGTTTGAAAATTTATATTGCACTTTGAAGAGAGAAGGATTATGATCTATGATCATTCATGAACATTTGACGTGAAAATGAAAAATCCTGGGTGTGATATGTTTCAAGCTTACGTTGAATTTGCAAAAAAAAATCCTCATCATTTTCCACTCCATATTTCGTGTGTCATTTTCTCACCTTTTTCCAGTAAAAATCACGATTTGACATCTTCACAATTATCACTTGCATCTTCTTCACTTTCATCCACAACAACTTTTATTTCTCGGCATGTTACTTACTTATAGAATTTTTTCAGGTCTCTACTAGATTTTCAATTAGTTCACATTTTTCAGTAAAAATCCTCACAGTTGTCGTCCGACAAATGGAAATCTCCCGATTTTTGTGGGCGGAAAAACAATAAATATTCAAGTTCCGAATGAATTTGAGGATTTTGATCCACAGCAAAATCAGGAGCCACCAAATATCAATGCAACTTTGAAACATATTTACAGTAAGATTTTACTCGAGTTTTTTGAACTCAAAAATTTGAATTTTCCAGGTTTCCGTGGAAAAGATGTTCGAGCAAATATTGAAGTTCTGCCAACTGGTGAAATTCTATTTTTCTCAGCTAATTTCGTTATTATGATGTCAACTGATGGTAGTGGAACTCAGAGAATTTATCAAGGACATACTTCAGATGTTAAATGTATTGCTCTTCATCCAAATAAAATAATCGTGGCATCTGGACAATCGACGTGTCATTTGTCTGAAAAAGCATTGAGAACTGAACATAATACACCTGTTGAATCACCTGATGAATTAGTTCGACAACTTGAAATGGAACATACTGAAGCACATATTCGAATTTGGGATTCGGTCAAACTACAAACATTATTGATTATTGGTGGATTTGATGGATATTTTGAGAAAGGCATTTGTCAATTGGCATTTTCAAATAGTGATTCAGGAATTCATTTGGCTTGCATTGATGAATCTTTGAAACATACAATGACAGTTTGGAATTGGCAGAAAATTAAGAAAATTGGAGAAGTAAAAGCTGCAAATGATACTGTATTTGAAATGAAATGGCATCCAAATATTAAAAATATGATTGTTGTTTTTGGCAAGGGTCATTTCTCATTCTTCAGTTTTGATTCAGTGAGTGGAATATTATTAAAAACGTGTGCACAATTTGAGGGAAGAGATAAACCAAAAACAGTTCTCTCAATGTGTTTTGGAAAAGATGGACAAGTTATAACTGGAGATTCAAATGGAACAATTTCAATTTGGGATACAAAAACATATCGAGTTGTGAAACAAGCGCATTCAGTTCATCCTGGTGGAATATATTCATTGTGTTTAGGAAAATCAGGAAAATTGTTGAGTGGTGGAAAAGATCGAATGATTAGTGAATGGGAAATTGATTCATTGGTTAGATCGAGAAGATCTGCTGAAATTCCAGATGATCGAGGTTTTGCAAGAACTATTTTATCAATTTCGAATGATTCAATAATTGTTGGAACATCTACAAATTCTCTACTCTTTGGTTCTCCAGAAAATCTCAGTTCGCTTATCGAAGGAGATACTTCTGAATTATCAGCAATTGTTCCTTGTGGATCAACACATTTTGTGAGCGGATCGAAATGTGGAATATTACGAAGATGGAATATTGAAGAAAAGAAAATTGAGTGGTCGAAAAAATATATGGGAAGTATTGAATGTTTGGATATTGATTCTTCAATGACTCATGTTATAATTGGATTTTTATCTGGAAGTTGGCAGGTTATAAATATGGTAAATCAGGAAACAATTGAAGATCATCGAGAGGGTTCCAATGGAATTTGTTGTGTAAAATTTGCGCCAGTTGGAGGCACTTTTGCGATTTGTACCAAGGTGAGAGCGAAATCTTCATTAACAGATGTTTCAAAATTCTGATGGAAAAATTTGAGATTCTATTTTCAAATGTTTTCAGTTGATAAGTTTTCAAAGTATTATTCTGAAAGTCTGCATCTTGCTTTACAAGATTTTTTGAAAAAATGCGCAAAAACAATCATTTTTCAGGACCCACTTTGCATAATCTATCGCATTGATGCCTCAAGAAATCTAATAAAACTCGCAAAAATAACCCAAATTCCAAGCCCAATAATCCACGTGGATTGGTCTTTAGATGGTCAAACAATCCGTGCACAAACAATCGGATATCATTTATTCCATTATTCTCGAATTGGTGAACCTGCAAGTTCCAAAAATCAATGGATTTCTTCAAATTGTTCGTTAGCTTTTGAAACATGTTTAGTCGAACATTCATCTAACGGATTAGTAAATTCTACGGCAAGACTGGAAGATTTGAGTGCAGTTGGCATGGAAAATGGAACCATACGATTATATTCAACACCGGTTACAAGTCTTACGGTAATACAGTACCAGTCTCTCAAAAATCATATTTGTTTTTTTTTAGGCAGGATTTATTAAACTTATTGGCCATCCAAAAATCATCAAATCTCTTGGTTTTGCCTCAAAAAACCTTATTTTGTCAATGAGTCCAATTGATAATTCGATATTTGAATGGAAAATCGAAGAAAATGTGTAAAACAAATAAACGAGTTGAGTTCCAAAAAGGAAGGAACTGCCCAAGAATTGCATAATATGTAAATATCAAAAAAGGGTCAAGGTGTGAATTTTTTGAATAAATTGTTTTGAAGAAAGTTTTTTGGTTGATCTTCTATTTTAGCTCTTGGAGCATTTTGTTAGTTTTTTGAAAATGTGTGAGGAGTTTCAGCTAACATAGAATGCACACCTATTGTCTTAAATTATGTCACTTTGTTAATACAAATATCACATTTTGAACTACTTCTAGGAAACTTCACAGAAATGTGTTAGACTTCCGCTGAAAATTTCCAAGTAGATTCGCAAAAATCAAATTTTGTTTTCAGGGAAACCTGGTTTTTTGGACAACATTTTCATTTTAAAAAAGTTATCCATTTTTCTTAACACGTTAATTATGCCAATTTTTTTCAAAATGTGTGAATTATATGATACTTCCAGCCTGTAAATATACACCTATTATATTCCAAAATATGACACTTAATTGATACAATTAGCACATTCTGAACTGCCTCTGGGAATTTCATGTTTCCTGATTTTTAAACGTGTTTTAAAATTCAGATTTTCGATGGAATTTTTTATGATTTCCCCAAATCCACTTCGATTTTTGGGATTGAAATTTGTGATTTTATGTGACATACTTTTGAAAATTTTATAGCCATCATAAAACCACTGGATTTCCAGCCACCTGTTTTTGTTTCAAGTACATCTACAGTACTTCAAAATGACTATAGTTAATAAATGTCCACACTTCCCATTATATAGATCCCTTCTCCAAAAAAATCGAAAAAAAAACTTCATCTGACCTCACCTGAGCTTCGCCGTTTTTTCTCAATCGCCCATCTTCACCTAATCCGTTCGATTAGCAAAATATCAGGTGAAAATGAGAGAGCGCAGTGTTTTTGCGGCTGAGCAAATAAATGACAAACCAACCCGCCATCGGACCATTTCGATATTGATTGATTTTTGTATTTTTGAAAAAAAAAATAGAAAGAGAATATGAATTTTTGTAGAGTGGCTAAATGTGGAAAAGAGGGTTTTTTTGAGATGAAAGGCTTTAAATAGGTATAAGATAAAAATCAAGTACCTTGGTATATGGGACTTAATTTTCAGCCTGACTGTCTCCGGCTTAGCCAAACGTTGAGCTTATCAAACTTAAAGAAAGGTCCAAAGTGATACACGTGAAAAACTTTCAAACGTTTGGGCGAGTTGACGTAAATCAGAGTCAACTTCAAACAATAAGGAAAATTCAATGTTTTGTTTTTGGTTATGGAAATTTGAATTTCTCAAAAAAAAACACTCAAAAACCCTCAATTTCCGAACAAATCCTAAATTCCCCTGTATAATGAATTCAAAAAAACATAGAAATAATCTTATTACATAAAAAGGTTCCCCTTCAATTACGTAATTCATATCCTCCAAAAGTGGCAACCAACAGCCACTTGAGAAAACTTTTTAGCTCACCGCGCATCAAACTTTTCTTTCTTTTTAGGCTAACTTTTCTTATTCTGAAGTAGGTATCAAAAAGACCCCCTATAGTTATCAAAGAAGAAGAAGAAGAGAACAAGATGAATCATCAAAGCAACGAATTTTTATGGGCGAAACAAAACGATAAAAATTGGATGAAAGGGGTACGGTAGATGATGAATAGAATAAGGGTCCTATTATTATTATTGTATTATTATTATCAACAATTTAGTGTGTTTGTGTTGTGTTAGCTTTTGTGTTCGAGAAATTGTATTGTATTATGGTATTATGGTATTTTTATGTGCGCGAAAGCGGTGTGAAAAAGGCGGAAGATGCTTTTGATTGGAAAATTTATAGATTTTGGTTGGAGGAAGCTAGCTTGATCTACAGTACGCCGAGTTTGGTACAAAACTTGAGATTATTTCTTTTTGATAACATTTCAAAAATGCCTATGCTTCTAAATTTCAGGATAACTTTGATTCGGTTTACAGTAACTCTAGAAAACTCAAGGAAACTTGAAAAACGAGAATTTATTGGATCTACAGTAACCATAGCTTACCAAATCCCTAAAGCATAGTGAAATTGTCACATTTGTATTCAAAAAGTGTGAATTATATGATACTTCCAGCCTGTAAATATACACCTATTATATCCCAAAATATGACACTTTATTGATGCTATTAGCACTTTATGAACTGCCTTTGGGGAGATTGTTAAAACATGGTATTGTTTTTGGAGAATGAAAATTGAGTTTTGTATTTGAAAAAAATATACATGATAATATTGAGATAAACTGAAATTTAAAAAACCGGAATTTCAAAAATTTATGAAAAACTACTTATCTTTGTCGAAACTGTTTCAAAGTTCTAAACTCACCCTAAAATTTCAAAGCTTACAACAATTAGAATAAATTTAAAGTTCTTCGAGCCACCTCTGAAAATCATCCATCAATCATTTCTGACCCCCTAATCCCTAATCTTATCCTTATTCCATTCCTATTCCAATCCATGTTCAATTTGTCACTACAGGATCAAAATGTGCGAACAACATTGCACTTTTATTCACCCAACACCTATTATTCCCATAATATCACTTTATTGATACTATTAGCACATTTTGAACTGCCTTTGGGACCTTTATCTAAATTTTCGAGAATGTTGAAGTGGTTAGCTAGGAAATTGGATCATCTTGAAATATTGAAAATCAACTCTAAGCTTCTGAAAAATTAATCGGCGATCCCTCTCTTTCCACATCAATATTTTCTTCTTTGTCCATTCATCCAATTCTTCATTCATCCCATTTTTGGTTTGTGTTCCAATGTTTACTCAGTGGTCCTACAACGACTCGATTTTATGGGATTTTTGTACGATTCTTCTATTCGTTTTCTCCTTTATTTCTCGTCATCGCCTGGGTTACTGTAGGTTTCCTCTTCTGATTCATTCACACCTTTCTTTTTATTTTTATGGTTTTGTTGAGTTTTTTTTTTTTTTGAAAAAACTTTTTTTCATAGAAAACTTTTTATTTTCAAAATTCAGTTTCTCCCCAAGAAAAAACTAGTCCCAAGTTTGAAAAAATCTGATCACAAATAAAGTTCACATCATTTTTGCTTGTCTTTTTCTGTCAAAAAACGTTCACCGTTAAGTAAGTACAGTACTCGGTAATTTGATATTTTTTTAGAAAATGAAAAAAGAAGAAGAAGAAGCAGGTGTATGAATGAATGAAGAATGAGTAGGTAGAGGTAGAAAAAAAAAGAAAAAAGAAACAAATATTTGAAAAAAAACCGGGGGGAACACCTTGATGATTGATTGATGAGCAGATGAATAAGCACAGGTGTACTGTAGAATTTTTGAATTTTTTTAATGTTGAGAATATGGTCGTAGTTTTGAAAAGAAATAAATTAAGAATACTGTAAGATTTTGTGGCTCTTGAGGAGTTGATTTTCAAATTTTCGGTGCTCTTCAGTTTATGATGAGAAAAATTTCGAAATATTTCAAGTTGAAACATCCGTGATCTACAAATAATCTGAAAATTTTTACAGTATCCCGCTCTGCACAAATTTCAAAATATCAGTCATTGTTAAGCAAAAATTTTATGCCTAGAACTTCTCAAGCCTAGACCCACAAAATGTTCATGAATTCTGTAGATCAAAACAATTTTCCACACATATCTGCTTCTTTTCTCTCTCATGCTCAATAAAAATCAATAAAATATTTCCATGTTATTTATTTATTCAATTTTTTGTTATTTATTTGTTGCCACCCGAACTTTTTTGCGGATCCCCCAAAATCCAAACAAAATAGATAAATATTTGTCAACTTTTTTTTGATTCTACTTTGTTGTTTTGTTTTTTCCGATTTATTGATTATAGTTATTTTTGATCAGATAGAACTTCAGAGAATCTTTGAATTGAAGAATTTCAGAATATTAGTTTCAGACGAACTTTTTTCAAGTCTATCCAATAAGAAAAGGGAACTCCGCCTATTTTTTATGAGGGTTCTCTTTTTTTGGCCTCTCATTCGAGGCTGCGCTGTTTCCTTTCTTTTCTCTCACTCACCGTTTGTTTGCTCAAAATTGAGGTAGAAGAAGAAGAAGAAGGGGCGCGACCGCCCGTAGATCCTCTTTTGACATATCCAAAAACTATGGCAGAGTGGGTAAATTGAAGAGTGCGCAGATATGAATTTCGGTGCTGGTCGCCGATTTGTTCTTCTGCGTTTCTTGTCTCTCTTGCGCTGCTGCGCTGACTGCGCGGCGAACAAGACGAACTGTATTCAGGGTTTGTGGTTGGCTCCGAGAGCCCGAGCATTTTTCTTGTTGTGTATACATAGTGGAATAGAGATTGGAGAGGAAAAGAGAGAAACACTTTTGAGTGAGACATGGGTTGGAAACTGCTCTTTTGTAAATCACTGAGCTTTTATGATTTTTTTTTGGCTAGGAATAATTTTTGACAATGAAAATGAAAAATGAATTTTTCAGACTGTGGGTCACGTCAGAAATTTGTCATTTCTCATTTTTTAAATTTTACATTAAATTTGTCTTGAGCTTTCTGAATGTTGCTCCGAAATTCAGCTTTTTTTTGATTTTTGGGCTAATTATAATTTTGATAAAAGTTCGAAATTTTCATTTATTGGACACCATTCAATATTTTTTGTTAGATTCTTTTATCAGGTAGTACTGTAAATTTTAGAATGGTATTTTTTCTGAATATAAAATATTCATTTTAAAATTCTAAAATCTCATGCTTTCTATGTTGTTGTTTATATCCTTTTTCCATTCCTCACCACTCCAATACTTTTTCTATTCACCTTTCGGGAACAAAAAAACACAAAAAAAAACAAAGAAACTGACCTTGTCAGTTTTTTACTTTTTTTTGCTGTTTTTTTCTATTTCAAAATTTTTTCGAAATTATCAGAAGTTCTGATTCAGAACACAACACCTTTTTTCTTATGGATAGGCAAATGATGCGTGACACTTCATGAGAAAATGAGTCACCGTCAGAAGTTTTTTTGGAATTTTTATATTGCAGAAAGTTAGAACAACTAAACTAAAAGTAGACACCAAAAGAAGATGGTGACATTTATTTCGTTCGTTCGTTCGTTCGTTCTTTCGTTCGTTCATGCTTCATTCCCATGACTCAACCGCCGAGAGCACTGATTTTCTCGCACCTGCGTCTCTTTCAATGCCGCATACTATTTCATCTCAGTCACAAAAGCCGAAAAAGGGCATAATGTTAATATAATAATAATAAGAGACAACACCACCTCTCACATGCAAAAATGTTGTATTTTTTTGTGGTTGTGATGATGGTGGTTAGTTATAATATATTATATATGTTTTTTGAATATTTTTCGGCTGATCATTCATTTTCTCACATTTTTTATTAGAAGAAAGGTGTCCTTTTTTGTGTGTGTGTCTATGTGTATTCTAATGATAAGAGAGCCAGCCAACTAAATTATCGATTCATTGATTTCTTCTTCCTTTTTTGCTGCGTTCTAACTAACTCTTACTAAAAATAATGCCGAAATCAGATGTTGAAAATGAAAAAGATCAGGTATGTTAAAGGGTTTGTATTTTGTTAGGGGGACTTAGTAACTTTGGCTTCTCGAAAACTTTCAAAACGTTCTCAATAAATTCTAAATCTAGATTTCACGTAACAAAGCAAGTTTGCTCTATCGCACACATAGTTTATTTGTGTGTACTTCTCGCGGAATTCATAGCTTCTGGAATATTCCTTTTTTTTCGAATTCTTCAATCAAGTTTATTCAGTTAATTGAAAATAATTCTTTAATAATTTCAAATAGAATAAAAATCATATATGATTTTCAAAAATAACTAGAAAACCAAAAAAAAAAACAAAATTTCTCCTCCTCAAAAAATGGAAGCTCTTGTGAAATCTGATATTTCGACTTTGATGGTGCGGCGCGGCTTCCAAGATTCCATCCCTCCCTCCCAATTTTTTGCTATGTCTCGTCTCTTCTTCCAATATTTTTCCGCGTGTTGTTCCCGAAAAAACACACGAATAAATATAGTTTTTTCTCCTACATCATTACGTATTTTTAAATATTCTTGATAAGAAAAGAGGTTGAGTTGTGTTGTAGGGAGAAAGAAGAACGAGTGAATGACGTGTTAAGATGAGTCAGTCAGCTGTACTGATGTTTCTTAGAGCGGTTTGCTTTTTTGATGATTAGGTCGCGAGAATAGACGCAGTCTGAAAACCTGCGCTTCAAAAAACAAATGCACACGCTGCCTCGAACTATCACCTTGTGCAGCAAAACCGAAAGCCATGCTTACGTTTAGAATTCGTGCCGAGATTATTAAATTTATAATTTCCAATCTGAAATTGCAAGATGAAATTTTCCAGCGAGTTAAAATTTTTTTGAAAAATCAACGCGCGTTGCGAGACACAGGAGAAAAATTGTGTGCGCCTTTGAGGGGTACGGTTGAAGTATTCGTGAATTTTTATTTATTTATTTTCTTTTTTTGAGGGTTTGAGCGCTTCAATTTCTCGAACATCTAACATGCCTATTGTAACTACAGGGGATTATTTTCAAAATGGCAACCCCCCCTTTTCTGACTTTGAGAATAGATTACACTAAAAGTATAACAGTTGGGAACCCTGCGATTCTCTCTAACTACACTTAACGAAGAGTATACTAGTTTTTCAAAACTCCAAAACTTTACCACTACTCCAGTTTAAACTCACCTTTAGCTTTCGAATTCAAAATTCTCAAAATTTAACATCGTTTCACTTTTTCCCTCACAAATAAGAGCATCTTGTGGTGTGATTCTAATATATTTTCAATCTTTTTCTCATTATTGCTTTTTGGGTTGCTCTTCTCTCGCATTCTCTTCACAGCCAAAATTGTGCCTCAGGGCGATCGTTTCAAGTATCTATTTTGAATTTTCCAAATTTCCAAGCCAAAAAATCACATTTTTTATCCAATAGATCTACACGAATTTAGAAACACCTGAAAAATCAATAATTAAAGACAAAAAGGGTATTCTCGTGTCTCTCCCTCTTTTTTTCCTCTTTATTCATTTCTACCACTTCAATTTTTCGTCCGTTTCTCCCCATATCCATTACGAGTACTTTATATTATTTTATATTATTATTGGGTCAATTGCAAAAATAGTTTTTCAAGATTTCCTCTTCGTGCGTCGCGACTACGATCAAGGACAGCAGCAGCAAAAAGAATAATCCGAAAGGAGACAAAAAACCTATTATAAAAACTGAAATGCTAGCGGCTGAAAATGTCGAATCAGGAGGAATTGCAGTTTCGAGTTCACTTCCAGATTCTGGAATTGCTTCTTCCACTACAAATCCATCAATTATTCAACCAACTGTATCTGCAATTGACACAAGTTCGCTCTATCAGAATGTGCAGGTGAGATTTTTTGAAAAATTCAAAATTGTTGTTCGATAGAGCGCAGTTAACCCAACCTAACCTAGTTTCCAAAAAAGTTCAGTGTGTCAATTATGATTGAATTCTCAAATATTTACATTCTTTCTCAAATAATAATAATGCAAATATTCGTCGTCTGCGTCTCTCATCTCTTACTCGCTTCAATTTTTTGCAAACTATTTTCTAGTTTAGTTTAAGATGAGCAACATTTTTCGCATCACCCGTCCCTTAAATTTTTTAGGTTCTTAAAGTAATAGTATGCTAATATTCATATTGATAAGAATAGATATGGGCCAAAACGAGGTTATCGTGTATTTCTCTCATTTTCTCTTATTTTTCAATAGTCTCTCGTGTCGTCTCTCTGGAGACGGGACTGTTTTTGGTATTATCAGCCAAGCACCGAAAGAACTATATTTTTTATTTTTTTTGTGGGGTGGGTGATAGAACATATGATTTTTTTTGGTTCCGATTTTTTTTTGTATAGTTGGAAAGAATTCCAGAAGATAACATTTTTGTTTTTTTTTGCATTTTTGAAATTAGAAATGAGCTAGGAATTGATTGACGCGTGGATAAATTCACGTTTTAAATTAAGCGACGCTTTTTTGGAACCAACAAGTTTATTTTCACATTTCATGAAATAATCTAAAAATTTCTAATTAATTTGGATGTTTTCTCTGCAAAAACGAGTAAATTTTCGGAGCATGAAAATTTCAAGACATAGAGAAATTCTCGAAATTTTACGTTAGAAATTCTAGAACAAATCGTAGATTTTTGGTCCATAAAAATTCAAAATTATTTGTGAAACCTCGTGCACCTAGTTTCTATTCAGAAAATCTGATACTAATGAAAAAGTTTTGAAAATCCATAGCCCTAATTTTGAGCTCTTAAAAATATATAATTTCAACCCAACTTTAAGTTTCCCTAGAAAACCCAAAATCCTGAAAAAAACCCAAAAAAGTAAGAAAAAATAAAAATAAATCAAGCAATGGTCATCTTCTTCTTGTTCAGAAGTAAAAAAGAAGGACACATGCGTAAAAGAAGCCAAATATTTATTCAATTTCTTCGTCTTTTTTCATTTATTTATTTATCCAAACCCGGTGGGGTCTCTCTAGATCTTTTTTCGTCCACAAATATTTGCTTGCTTGTTGGTGTGCCCCACTCAAATTTCGGACCTCTGAAATTTCATTTTCAGTGAAACCAACATTTTTCGAATTCCCGCACAAGAACAGACAGCAAAAAAGGGGCGTGGTGAAGTGGTGCGCGAGAGGAGTACTGTAGGGGAAAAAGGAGGGGGAGAGAAAAGGGAAAATGGGCGGAGCCAAGGAATCGGAGAGGAAGGTGTGCTGCGCGGACAGACACACTCTCTCTTTTCCATCACAAAGACATCACCCCGTTTCGATTTTAGGTGCTCTTCGTTTTTTTCTAGAAATATTTCAGAACTGTTTTTTCCTTTTCCTTTTTTGTTCTTCGTTCAAAAAACAAATCTGAACTCATCCTGAAAAAAAAGAAGAACAATATTTGTTATCTATCTGTAAATATTTGTTATGTTTGAAAACAAATATAAATTATTTACATAACTCGAAAATTAATTGATTAATTGTTTTTGTTTCTAGGGAATGAGCGCTCAAGATTATGCATCAGTTCTTCCGACATATTCAATAACTTCGGCTTCCTATCCACCATATCAATATGGAGCATCAGCAAATGGTCTAAACGGGCTTGCTTATAATAATTATCAATATGGAGCAACTCCAACATCAGGAGCCAGTACAGCCACAAATGCACAAATCAATTCAACATACGGTGGATTTATGCCAAGTGGAATATCGCCAATTGGTAAGTATACTTTTTCCTTTTTTCCGTCGTTTTCTCCCTCGGCTAAATGTAACTTGATATCTCTCATCATATTTTATTCATTTTTTCCTTCTTCTTCAGGATCTGCATTCGCTAACACATCTTCATCCGCAACTTCGACAACAACATCAAGAAATTCAAGGAATGGTGGATCGACAGTGGCAGCAGCTAGCAGTTCACCAGTTGGTAGAAGTTATTCTTCAGCTGGAGGTGCTGGACAAGAATTGACTACTCAAGAATTTGTAAGTCACTTTTTTAAAATTTGAATCACAGATTTTTCTACTGTAAGAACTCATCTCCACTCTCCCATACAAAAAGTTCCAGCTCAATCTATGATATTTCAGGAACACGTTCAAGAAAAAATCCGACGAAACGGAACATATGGACACTCCAAACCTCCATATTCCTACATTTCCTTAATCACAATGGCTATCCAAAAATCTGACGCTAGAATGTTAACTTTGTCCGAAATCTATCAATGGATCATGGAACTCTTCCCATATTATCGACAGAATCAACAACGTTGGCAAAACTCAATCCGTCACTCGCTATCCTTCAATGATTGCTTTGTTAAAGTTCCAAGGTTCGTTTATATTTTTATTTTCATTTTTTTATTCGATTTTATATAATTGATTTGAATCGCGAAAAAGAGAAGGTCATTCTCTTTTCGGGCACGGCGCCAACGAGCCATGAAAGATGAGATTCGGAAGTGTGAGAAACACACAAAATACCGCAAAAACTATTTTATTTGATATCATATATGCTATATATATATATAACCAGTTGTTTTACAGAACTCCAGACAAGCCAGGAAAAGGATCATTCTGGACACTTCACGCGCTTTGTGGAAATATGTTTGAAAACGGATGTTATTTGAGAAGACAGAAACGATTCAAAGTGAAAGAGCGTGAACCAAGCCGAAAGAAGAGAAATCAATCATCGCAAAATCAAGCATTAAATGTGTCAAAATCGGAAAATAAAGATAGCGAAGATAGTTTCTCCGATGACCAAAAAATCAAAAATGAGCTTATTGAAAGCAGCAAAAATTCAGCGGACATTGATTTATGCACACCACAAGCAACATCAGTTATTTCAACAGTTGGTAGCCTCGGAGTTCCTGGAAGTCTTGGTGTTCCATCTGGCATGAATCAATATCACAATCAATATAATAATTTGTATGCTTCAACGGATTTTTCAGCGACGGCTGGACTTCCAGCACTTTCTATGGGATCATTTACAATTAATCAACTTATGGATTCATCAAAAGCATTTGATTATAATATTTATAATACAAATGGAATGTATCCAGCAAGTAATACAGCTAGCAATGATTATTCAGGATATCAACATACTTTATACAGGTAATTTGAAACTTTCTGGATTCGAATAATTTTGTTTCTAAAACTCATATTTTTTCAGCTCGACCAATCCAAACTCAGCTGCCAATCTCTAGAAGATCTCCTCTGTAAATAGTAAATATATTATATTTTTTTCGAAATTTTTTGAAATCTCTTTAAATATCATCATTTTCAATTCTGGGTTCAAGATGCCTTTATTTGTTGTGTTTTTATTGATTCAGAGTTTACCGGTTCCAAATGTTCACCCTTCCCAATATTTCACTTGTTTTTTTCCTTCCCACCCAAAAATTCTCCTTTCCCACATAATACACCGATTTCTTGATTTAAGCAACCTCATTTTCATTTTCAATTTTGAATATTTCCCCTGAAAAATCTACCATAATATTTGTGGGCATTTTTCCTTTTTCATAAAAATAGTGCCTATAGATTTTTCTGATGCATTTTTATTGTTTTTCTTGATTATTTTGATCTTTTTTTATTTTGAATTATAAATATGAAATTTTAAGAAGTTTATTGTTGTGTTAGATGAGAAAAATTTCAGATAAAAAATTTTGAAGGATTTGTTTGACAAGAAATTTTGAAGATTTGAAATTAAAAAATCAAATAGATAAAAAGACACATCAGAGTAACAAGTGGTCGGCGAAAATCCAAATTTTTGATTGAACTTTCTAAAAATTATTTTGGAACTTTATTCAACTTCGAGTTTTTGGAAATAAATAAAATGAATCCACGCAGTTTTTCAAAAGTCCACTGATCTCCAGATTTTCTTCCTCATCCTACCAACCTTCTTCAAATATATCCACTTTCCAAAACAAAACCTATTGTTTTTTTTTCTGACAATTGTGAGGGTCATGTTGATATTGAGCACTATTGTCTATTATTATTATTTTCATCTATTCATTCATTACAACACATTGTTGATCCGGAAATTCAACAACAGTTTTTCCTGGGTTGTTATTACTCAATCTATGAGTTAAACAAATATCCGGAGAGTTTGGCTATGTAAGATTGCGCAATTTTAGATTTCCATATCACACCTCACCTAAATGGGATAATTTGTGTTGGGTGGATTGGCGAAAAATGAAGGATACTTCGATTGGATTATACCTTTTTAGTGTTTTGGTAAGGGTTTAATGGACGGACTAATAGAGAATTGAAAAATTTATTTATGGACGGAGTTAATGCAAAATTCTGAAAAAAAGAAGTTTTGATTTTAAAAATTTGTCAGCGTATATTGGAAGAAGACTAGCATTTTTTGAATACGTGGATTAGATAAGCACTTTGGATACTATTAGAATATAGATTGCAGTTGAGATCATGCTGATATGCCAATTCCATAAACATATCAAATCTTCACCTCAAAATCACACCGCCCATTTTCCCACGCTTCCTCAAATATTCCCACGATTGTTAGACAAATTTGTTTTCGAAACGAGAAAGTTTGCCTTGTTGTTTTTGGGGGGACCCGTCCCGAAATGTTTGTGTGAACCAAATATTTGTTTTTTTTAGCACCACCCTCAGCTGATTCTGCATGATTCCTTATAAATTCTGAGTTTTTCTCAAGTCAAAACTAGTTGCACCCTAGATAATCCTTGACACCCAAAAACTTCTTCGAATTCAGAAGCGTGACCTTTTTCCGGTGACGTGGAAATACAGTAACCCTCTCTCTCGCGCGAAAAAAGCAAGTTATAGATTAAATAAATAGAGAGACGCAGATTTGGGTGATGTAGGATTATAGGAGAAATAGAGAAAGACTGACGTTGTGCAAATACTGTAGATCGTCGTCGCCGAATACAAAAATCGATGATAGATTAGGTGAAATCGAGAGAGGCCAAAGATATGGAGAATGTGACTTTTGAGAGGAAAAGAAGTATTGTGCTCGAGCGAGAGCTTCGCCCCGAAAAAAAACGGCGAAAGAAAAAGAAATGACTTTGTGTCTGTGTTGTTGTGATCGTCGATGTCGATATTTTTGTAGAAGAATGAAATGAGGGGTTTTTGTGAAATAAAGGGAGCGAGAAAACATCGCGAAATAAGTTACAAAAGATCATTCGTGATGTGAATGAAGGAATTTTGAAGCGCGAGACCATCAGAACAAAGTGAGTTCAGAATGGAAGTAGGAAAAGGGAACTAGCAAAGTGTGAGAGTATGCATTCATAAAAAAATTAAAATTTGAAGCAATAAAGGAGATTCTGTCAAGTTTTTGAAATATATATTTAAAAATTGGAATCTTACAGTCAATTGTTTCAAAATTTTGAAAAGTTTAAACTACAATTGATTTTCTGGCCGTCAACTACTCAAAAATTCTACCAACTTCTGTCTCATTTTTCAAGGAATTTCGAGCATTTTTATTTGTTGATTTTTGCAAAACGTGAGTTCTTCAAATCATGTTGAATTCGAAAATAATTTATCTGAACTCCAAATATCCGAAAAGTCCTGACAAGTTCCAAAAAATATTGTTTGTCTTCAAAATTATTTTGATAACTTGTATTAGTTAGCTTCCCAGCTCCCTACAATTGTTTCAATTTTCCAATTTTCTCAACTCCAGTTTCCAACTATAATTCTTCTCAAATTTTTCTCGCAACCCACACAAACACAAAATAAACCAGTCAAAGTTCACCGTTTCACTTACTTATTGAATTTTTCGCGCTAGCGCAAAAAAGTCTCAAATTTAGTTGCGGGGCTGCTCTGCCGGCCGTCAACTAGTTCTTTTCTATTCTTACTTACAGTACCTTTTGAGACACAGAGTCAGTCACTTGGCTAAACAAACAATCTAAATTTTCTTCTTTCTTTTTTCTCCTCTTTTTTTCTTGACGTGACCTGTCGGATTGGGTTACTGTTAAGCTGCCGACTGACAATTTGCTAAGGGACCGACAAGAGGACCATTCAACGGAAGAAGAGAAAAAGAATAAGACAAGCCTGTATTTACTTATGCCCTTTTCGGAAAAAATAGACAAATGATATTGGATTACCTATCTACCTGGATTTTATTGTGGTTTTAGTAGGTAATGGGTTGAAAGGGATCTAAAAATGTGTAGAATACTAAAAAAAAAAGTTATCGGACTTCAAAGTTGTGGCGTTAAGTTCAGAAAACGAAATTTCATAGCGAAAGACATATGGATTCAGCAAAAGAAGGTTCAACAAAATCTTTGGAATCAAATAAAACGAAAACCAAACTTAGAAATTGAAAAATGGGATTTTTACAAAAATTCAAATATTTTTTATCGAAAGTCTTATCCTGCTGTATTTGGAAATTTAGATTTTCTAAAAAAAATTGAAATTGCAATTCACATTCCCAATTTTCCCATACAATTCCAATTTACAGTATCTGTTTTCATTTCCAAAACTCAATTCATCCATTCAATTTTTCCTTCCCACCAATATCAAACTTCAATAGGTCAAGTACTACTAACAAAATATGCACTGCGTGAAATTCCAACAACTACACTTCTCTTCTCTCACCCACTACAGTACCATAAATATTTTAGTCACACCAAACACAAACTAATTAATTGGTTGGTTGGTGTATTTGTATTACAACGGGTGCCATTAGTCACCTTCCAAAAAAAGTGGAGAAAGGGAAAAAATGGAAAGGAAGAAATAGATTAATGGATTTGTTGCATTAGCACATTCATTTCCTGTCGGAAAAACACCGATAGGCTTTTTGGGAAATCGATCGAAATTTTGTAACTCCGGGAAAGTTTTCGAAAGAAACTTGAATTAGATTTCGTTTGTTTTTACAAGCAAATCTTGGAAAATATTTTTGAAAATACTGAAATTCAACTTTTGCACTGAAAAACTTGCTAAGGGTTTTCAGAATTTTTTGTTTGCTGAAACTTGGAAATTAAAAAATTCAAAGTATTTTCCGAACTTTTTAGACTCGGCTCACAGATAACTTGCGCACATCTTAAAAATTGAGGTTTTGACAATTTTTCAGCAAACCCAAAAAATCTCACTTAGCCCCTCCTAATATTTTAATAAATTCTAGGTCACGTTAAGATGACGTGTTCTAAAAATACGTGTATAAAAAGGTGTCGTCATCGGAAAAACGTCAGTTCCTCTTCTCGTGTGGCGTTCAACAAAAAATCAAAAAAACATTATACCTGCAAACAATTTCAAAATGCTGAAAATCTCACTATGCATATTGGTTATGGTAAGTCGTCCAGAATTGTAGGAGATTTCACAAAACGAAGTATTTCAGACCATAGTGAATGTGCATGCTACTACAGCAGTGATAAAACGTAGTTTATTTGCGGATATGAATATAATTGGTGGTGGATTTACACCGGACTCGCAATCTCGTCAAGGCCATCCAACAATCATTTCATCAATTCAAATCGACGACCAGCCATCTGCAATTTTGTTCAAACCATATCCATTTGAATATTGTCAAGCAATTCGCATTTGTATCGCTGATAAAATGCAGATTGATAAGGATATTCCAGTCACAATCAAAGAAGAACACTGTGAAAATAGTGTTGATTATATTCCACCAACTGGTGCAATCACAATCACTAAAAAAGGTGAAACACCAGAAAAGGGTTTCGCAATTGATTTAAGATTTGATATGGCAATTGGGAGTCATCAAATTGATGTCTCACCAAGTCCATATGTCAAAAAATCACAATGGTCGGCAACACCAAAAGCAGTGGATTTGACAAGCAAAACATTGATCATTTTAACAAATAGCAGACAATGTCATCCACAATCATTTGTCAATGGAAAAATTACTTATCATCCGATTTATACTCAAAAGTGAGTTATTTTTCAAAAATCACAATAAACGACAGAACATGTGAACTCTATCAGCTGATATATTTACGTCACGCCTCCGTTTCTAAAAATATACCATAAAATGTCTTATTTTTAGCCAATTCGATGGAGAGTGGCCAAATATCTTCCAGTTCACAAGATTTCAAACTTCCGAGAGTACATTGATGACTCACACTTCGCCTGAAGTCAAAAAGACAGTCGATTATTTCCCGGTGGTTAAGAAATGGACACACTCGGAATCTAAGCTCAAAAATATCCAATTCAGTTGTATGATTTCGGGAGAAGGTGATAATAACCGAGAGAGAATTGTCAAACCATCAGTTTTGATCGCACCAAAACAAATACAAACCTCAACTGCACCACAGAACAGCAATCCAGTGTCTCGTATTGATTTCAATGTTGATGATTGCCATTGGTTGAGATTGTGGTTCACGAAAAAAGCGGAATGGAAAGATTATGCAACAAGTATTGATAAAGAACTTGATCAAACTATTGATTTCATCTTCAATGCTGGAATTGTTTTCCTTCCAGATAGGGGTAATTTTCAGTAATAATACATCATTCATAAACAAATATATATAATTTTTTCCAACAGAAAATGCAGTAACTCTTCCTGGCTCAGTGAAACAAATCAAATCATTCAGAATTGCGTATCACCAAAACAATAATGCTGAACTTCTCATCGGAAGAACTGGAAATGATTATATCAATCCAATCTTTTTCAAATTTCCAATATTAGAAGAGGGAGATTACAATATTTTCATGATTCGTTCACCATCTTGTGATGCAAGATTTTCGACTGGATTTGGAACAAATTCTGGACAACCGATTCACAATATGGTAACTTTAAAGCCGTGCAAAGCATTTTCGATCGCAGAACCATCTACTTGAGAATAATCCAGCTATACTTGTATATCGAATACTTGTATTTTTGCATTTTTTGAATAAAGATGCTTTTTTTGAAATTAAAGTCTAATTTTGAATGCTTACCTTCGAAGAGACTGCTTGTTGCTGAAGTGATGACCGAACACAGGTGGAGGGAATTTGGCCAATTTTTGACCAATTTTTGGCCAACTGTTGGTTGGCCAAACTCGTACCAACAAAATTGACTTTCGTTGGCCAATTTTTGGCCAATTTTAATATTTTTTTTTCTTTCAATTGCAAATCACTATAATTTTTAAACGATGTTCGAACCGATGAAAATTTATTACCAAATCAAAAAAGAACAGTTAGAAGAACTTGATTAATATGGTAGACGCATCTTGCCGACCATCATCCTTGGATTTTCGGGGAAGTTGTCAGGTTCTGTCTTTTCGAAGACTCTTGCGTCTGGTGAGTAGGAGTTTCTTGGTCTTGATATGTAGATATGCTGGTGACTCCCTTGAATCCGTGACCTTTGGTGTCGATAATTCCATCTTGGGAAGAGACGGTGTCAGATGAACTTTGCTTCTCAAGGTGCGCACGAGTCCAGTCGACATTTTGGGCGACAGTGTCTCCGTTGATCGAATGAGTCTTCTTTTGACAATGGTTGACGACCTTCATCTGAAAACAGAGAAACATCAAAATCCGACTTTCTCATTTAAGATAACAAACCTAAGTGTGGGCGGGCGATGACACGAATTGATCAGATGTCCTTCTTGGGCTTTTTGTAGTTGAATTATGAGTTTCTGCCCATCTCCCTCTTACCATTTCCTGATGCACCTGGTGAAAACCTTCTTCTTGGAGGAAGCCCTGAAAAGTCATATTACGATTCTAGAACAGTAGCAAATTAAAACGTATGAGAAATTCAAGAGAAATTAGGTCTAGGGCATTTCAATTTTCAACTATGATAAGGAATTTTCCATTTAAACTCATGAAAAAATGTTGGTGTAATTGAATGAAACTGAAAATATCCTTGTTTTATATCAAACATTGAAAAACTCGAAATTTTTGATTTTTTGGCCTAAAATCATGTTCAATGTGTGAATTTCCAAGTTCTGATGAAATTTGCTTCTTGATCCTGGATGGGGAATATGTTTTACATATTTCCCGCAGCTTCAAACACTTAATTTCTCAACAAAACGAAGAACACACAAAAAAAAAAAACAAAAAAGAAAAAAAAATTTGTGGCGTGCATTTCGTCCGAGAGAAGTACACACACATTTCGCTGCAGGACCATTTTATTTAAATGTCTGCGCCTTTAATTTTTAACCATTTAAGAGAGGTTATTTGTAAGAAAGGAAATTTTAATGAAAGGCCGCGGCCAAAAAAAAAAGTCATAGTCTCGGATTCGGCTCAAATTTTTTTCTTTGAAAGCCCTATGGGTGAGGATGACTCTCCACTAAAAATTTTGACCCAAATGTGTTTCCCCTTTTCACGTGATCACGTGAAAAATTCGTGGGTGGTCTCCAGTAAAATTTGAAGAACTTTCTTCAAAGTCAAGCTTTTTTCACAAACTCAACGCGGTTTTGATTCATTAATGATGGACTTTCATCGACAACATCCGCCCCAATATGGTGCAGCTCCCTAAGGGTTGCACCAAAATTTTTGAAAAATTTTTTTTTGAAATTTTTCTAAAATTCGATTTTTCTCCTTTTAAACCAAAAAATGCGCGCGTTCTAACTGCTTTTTATAATGTTCCTCATCTCTTTTTACCCCTAGGAGCGAAGTATGAGAAAATTAATCGATACTCTTTTTTAGTTATTTCAGATTGAAGAAGCCCACCTAGAGCGCGCGCTGCACACAAACACACACAATTGTAATTATTTTTTATTTATTTCTTGTTTTTGTGTGTATTTGTGTTTTGAAAAAATACTACAGTACCCATAACTGTTTTTTCAATATATTTATGGAAAAAAAAATGCATTGTGAGATCTATTCCGATGTTTTCAGTGAGAACATCTAGAAAAATTGATATGGCTCAATAAATCGATTTTTGTGACATATTATTGTCGGATATTCGATAAAACACTTCAATTTGATCATTTACATTCCCAAGCATCATTTTCCAATCAAAATCCGATGTTTTCTATGATTCTGACATTGATGGAATTCAGATGTTTGTCTAGATCTTTGATTCAAGACCATCGAGGACATCAAACTTTGATTTTGATGTTGGATTTTGTCACCAATATCTGTTTATGTTCCACAATCAAACTGAAAGTCGGAGAGCCCAACTATTAAAATAAATACCAGCAAATAAAAAGTTACCTGATTCATAGTGTTTTCTATAGGTTTTCTTTACAAAAATTCAGTTTAGTTTTCAACTCCTATGAGACAAATGATGTTTGCAGAGGTGAAATTCTTCGTCAAACGTATTCCTGAACACTTCGAGCATAAAATTCAGCAGTAAAATCAAAGTGTGATGTCCTGGTGGTCTAGAATCAAAATTCTAGACAAACATCTGAATTCCATCAATGTCAGAATCATAGAAAACATCGGATTTCGATTGGAAAATGATGCTTAGGAATGTAAATGATCAAATTGAAGTGTTTTATCGAATATGCGACGATAATATGTCACAAAAATCGATTTATTGAGCCATATCAATTTTTCTAGATGTTCTCACTGAAAACATCGGAATAGATCTCACAATGCATTTTTTTTCATAAATATATTGAAAAAACAGTTATGGGTACTGTAGTATTTTTTCAAAACACAAATACACACAAAAACAAGAAATAAATAAAAAATAATTACAATTGTGTGTGTTTGTGTGCAGCGCGCGCTCTAGGTGGGCTTCTTCAATCTGAAATAACTAAAAAAGAGTATCGATTAATTTTCTCATACTTCGCTCCTAGGGGTAAAAAGAGATGAGGAACATTATAAAAGCAGTTAGAACGCGCGCATTTTTGGTTTAAAAGGAGAAAAATCGATTTTTAGAAAAATTTCAAAAAAAATTTTTTTCAAAAATTTTGGTGCAACCCTTAGGGAGCTGCACCATATTGGGGCGGATGTTGTCGATGAAAGTCCATCATTAATGAATCAAAACCGCGTTGAGTTTGTGAAAAGCTTGACTTTGAAGAAAGTTCTTCAAATTTTACTGGAGACCACCCACGAATTTTTCACGTGATCACGTGAAAAGGGGGAAACACATTTGGGTCAAAATTTTTAGTGGAGAGTCATCCTCACCCATAGGGCTTTCAAAGAAAAATTTGAGCCGAATCCGAGACTATGACTTTTTTTTTGGCCGCACGAATTTCCGTTTTTAGAAATAACGTCTCTTAAAATCATTTTGGTGGAAAATGGTGAACACCATTCGACGCAGAATTCCGAGCTGAACAAAATGGTTATAAATTCGCCTTGTTTTTCGACCGATTTTCAATTTTTCGGTTTCTAGGGAATTAGATGTTTTAATTTTGATCTTGAGTCAGAAACAATATAGAGTTCGATAGAGTTTTTGATGCCGAGAAAGATGCTGCTGAACAATTGTGATGAAAACCTCGACGTGCTAGGAAATGAGCACGAAATAGAGCACGGGTTTTAAAAAACGTTTTTGGAAACCTAAACCTCATGTTAGAATAACTTTTTGAGCACTTCGGAGAGTCGGCTCGAAAAACCGAAAACGGAAATTTTTTCAGAGTGTAAAACAATCAATATGATTGATCCTTTATTCAAAAAGTATTGGGGTTCTTACACACTTCCCCCGTGAATGTAAAACTGAAATTAAATCTTGAAAGACTGTCCGCAGTGGTCCATTTTTTGTCAAGAACAACAAAAAACATCAAACATTCGGTATCAGCAACGAAAAAATTAAAAAATGTTATGATCAGAATTTTGACCAAATTTTGGCCAACCATATAGCAGTGTTTGGCCAATTTTTGACCAAATTTTGGCCAAAAATTGGCCAATTTCCGTGATTGGCCAAAAATTGGTCAAAAATTGGCCAACTTCCCTCCACCTGTGTAAAATAGAAAATAGCAAATAATTTATCAAATTCGAAAAGTGTGCGGCGGTTGCATAAACGGTGTGTACGCGTTGCCTTTTGCTTATTTTTTATTTTTTGCATGCAAAAACTTATTTCGGTTTTAACGGTTTTAGCTTCAAAGCTTTGCGCATCTGTCGCATGCGAATACTATTTTTTATCATTAAAATTTTTCACCAAACACCCTTCAATTTTTTTTGACATTTTCAGCTTTATCACAAAAATTTATGATGATTGTTGGAATTTCAAAAAAGACTCAAAGTATCGGCGACAAGCGTAATTTTTCCAACAACAGATTTGTTGATTGGCCAACTCGAATATTTTCTTCGACAAATCTTCCGGAAGAACAGGCTTCGAATTCTTGCGAGTCACTTCTCCAATACAATAAGACATTCGTGGATTGAAATCCATTTTCTTCGGAAGTTTTTCAATGCAAACATCGCGAAAATTCATAATCACATCATGCAATGTTTCTTCACTTGATAACTCTTCACTGAACATTGATTGAAGGCTGAAAACTTATTTCAATTGATATGGAAAGAGAGAAGGTAAGTTAAACTTTAAGCGTGAAACTAACCGATTTCCGAACATGTCCATGTGCAAAAGAATAAATTTAACGTGAACCATCATGACACATTTGACACTTTTCGAACATTTTACCGGATTGAAGCAATATTTTTGAGTTTGAGTTGTTTGCGATGAATCAGTCGATGATAAATATGAAGAATTTGTTGTTGAATATTCCGATTGCGTATTATTTTGATCAAGCGGAACTTTTGACACAACCAACGAGTATTTGTAATCGAATCCGTCTAGAATTAATTTTTTTTCACAAATTGAAACATTTTCTCGTTACCTTTCGATGGTTCACATGTCAATTGATGAGAATGATAATTGTAATTTGAATCCAACATTGATTTGATGAATGGTGGAAGATTTTCAGTTCTGTGCGGAAAAATTAGGGAACGAAGTTCTAACTTTTTTTTATGCTAACTTACCCTGTAAGATATACAGCCATGTTGGTTTTAGTTTCCAAAAATAAACGGACTGCGCTGATTTGGTCATTTTATAGAGATTTTTTGGTTCGAATTAGGTCACGTTGAATTTGACGAGGATGTTTTTTATTTTAGTTTTTCGGACTGTTGTTTTTTTTTCAAAAAAGTAATTTTTGGAAAACAATCCTAAAATTCAAGGATTCAGAAAACATTTGTTGAACAAACAAATTTTTAGGCTTTCTGAAATTTTCAGAAATGTTTTTCCAAAATTTTTTAAAGACAACCACCCAGTTGGAACTGCTTACCCAACAGTTTGGAATTTTCATTAGTAAAAGTTAGTTTTGAACCAAAACACATAAAAGTTTCATGCAAACAGTATTTACATACTTAATTCAGTTGGCAAATACTTAGCTGTGTGTAATTGTGCGTCTTGTTGTATTTGTGTACCGCGCTTTTTACATTATTATTTTGTTTTCCGCGAGTTTTTCGAATTGAATTTCGGGGAAAACATGAAATGAAAACTCAAACCAGGAACTAATAATTGTTAAAACACCTCAAAACTCATTTGAGTCATTTCCAAAAAAGTTTTGAATTCTTTCGAAGATATTTTTTATTGTGCAATCTTGCGCTAAAAACTCCTGTTGCTCTATAAGTTTTTGTTCAGAAACTTCAAATTGATACACAAAAAAAAATTCATTTCACACGATTCAAAAATATTCATTCTAGTTCGATCTTCGCCATTTTTGTGCAAGTAAAGGGGAATTTGTTGTCACAGCTGCAAAAAGTTATTCAAATAGATATAGTTTACTAGAATGGAAAAAACTAACTTATAGTCATGCATGCAGTTACCCTGGAATGTCATGCAATATTCGTAGTTTGCACTGTTTTCTGGTTGACCACCACATAATCCAGCTTTATGAATTTTTCTGCCTTCCAAGCTATTATCAGAAACATCATCAGGATCGTTGAAGATCTATAAAAATTGAATAATCTTTTGAAATATGACATGAAAAGCTCACATTGTTATAATGGCATTGATGTTGCTCATTTTCTTCTCCATCAACAGCTCTTGGACAATCTTGATGTCTTTTCAAACCAACCCATCCATTAATATTTTTGTCTCGAAGCATTTGCAATTCTTCCGGTTCTCTCCATCCAGCCAAATAAGAACCTCCAAGTGATTTGAAACAATAATCTCTCGCTTCATCTCTTTTCATTTTAGTTTCGACAAAGAAATGGCAAGCACGAGTTCCATCTTTTCTATTATATGTCAACCACTTATCTGCACAATTATGAACTTTTCGCTTTTTCTTCAAAACTACATCACAAAGTCGAGGAGCTTGTCGCGGATGAGTAACATCAAATTTATAACTTCCATCACTATTGTATGGCATCAAAACAGCCCAACTTTTGCTGTCATCATTGGGACGAGATTTTGATGCAGCTCGATAACGACTATGTTCCATACTTCTTTCTTTTGGTGTACTCCAACAACTCCCAATTTTACCATCCCATGTGAAAGCTTCAGAACACCAAGAACTATGACAAAAACCCAAAAGGTGCGAGAAACACAACAAAATTTTCGAGTCTATTTCCCAAAGTTGTCATTGCTTCATCTGTTGGATCTAAATAGTTTCACATTTTCTGGATCCATAATAGCCTTCATTGATGCTTTGCAATTAACTTGATGCTGTTCAAATGTTGTGTCATGGCTGTAAAAATACATTTTCAGAAATAAACTTGATAAATTATCAATTTCTAACTAACATGTAAAGATCTGGCAAATAGTGATTATAAGTTCTCCATGCCGTAAATGTTCCATCAACAACACTTGTATGAATATATGGTTTCCAAACCTCCAAAATCACTTTTAATGACATTGCAGTTGCTTTTGGAATATATTCACACATAACCATTGCCAGATGATTATTCGGAATTTTCACCAAACTGCCATATCGTGCCTTATAAATTTTTGATGTTTTATAGGCAATTGCTAGATTGGGACCACTATTATGAGTGATTTCGAATAAATTGTCATCAGGAATATTTGTCCAAATAGCAGTTAAACCTGGGAAGAACGAATCGATAAAATCACCAATTTCTCGGCTATAATGCAGATAAACTTGAGCGTCCATTGCTTTACATTCTTTGGCAGCATTCTTTTTTGCGACTGGTTTTTTGCCGTTTGCGATTCGATAGCATTTACCGTGAATTTGTGTGAAACCAACGCGACAAACATACAAAGGCTCTAAAAAAATATGAATGTTAGGGTTTTAGTCGAAAATAGAACTATTCTAGGCCACCTGGCTAGAATTTTGTAGAAAACAAAACATTATTCCAGGATCTTTATTCAATCTCATCACGATTTCAGTCTGTTCATTTCCCAGTCCCTGTAACAGAAAGAAAACATACTGTATGTACATTCAAATGTATTGTCGGCTTTCATAACAACTTCTTTCAAATAAAATGGTGCAAATTTCTTACACATTTCAGTCGCATCGTCTTTATTATCAGCCGTCACACCAAAATTAACTTCTTTACAAGTATCTCCATCTGTCGCAACATCTGTGTCTCGAATGTGTTCTTCTAACAATATCCCGCCAACTTTTTGGCAAAAATCACGAAAACTGTTATCGTATGCTTGTTGATGACTGATTTTTATAACGATGAATATTGCAAGCCACCACAGAATAGCTTTCATTTTCTTTGATTTCATTCTAATTTTGGCAGAAAAATTGAGTTGCCTAATTTTTTGTAGTTCTATTTTATAGTGTCGATGACGTGGCTATCTTCCACGTAGATCGAAAAATCCACGCATTTTTGAGAAACGTGTTGGCACAGAAAAATTGCATAAAAGGAATGAGCAAAGCAAGAAAAGTTTAGTTATTTTGAAAAAAATGAATTTTTCGAAATTGAAAATCATGAATATTCTGCTTATAGTGAGTTTCATAACTACAGTAATTCTGAAATTCACAATCGTAATTTTCAGATTCTATCGATTGCACCTTCAATAGTATCAGCAGCCAATGAAATAAAACTCGAACCAAATGTATTTAGGGTTAGTTCGGTCTCCTTATACCATGCAAATTTTTAAAACAATAAATTTCAGGCCGACACTTGTTAATCTAGCTGGAACCTACCAACCTGTTAACATGTGAGTTGGGAGGAAGTTGGGAAATTTGATTTAGGTTCAGAACCTCACCAATCCAAAGTTTTGTTTTTGAAACACTTTGAAAATCATAAAAAGCTTTGCCAAGTTTATAGAGAATTTTGGATACATCTGGATAACAAAGTTCTCCAAATTTGAAAACAAACATTTTTGTGAACCTATCAATATTTTTTCCAGTGAATATGGATTTCCATCTCTCGCATCATTTTCATATATTAATGAACAAATGGACAATGAATTCAGTCACATCAATTTCGAATTTGTTCCCATTGAATACTGTCAATTTGTTCGTATTTGTATCGCCAAAGCAATTTCCTACACAAAAAAGTTGAAACATAAGATCACCGAAGATCAATGCGAGGATTATATCACTTACATTCCAACCACCGGTGCCATCAAAATTAAATGTAATCAATCTAATAAATTTTGAAAAATATTAACAGGTTTTTTTCAGATGATAAAATCAATGTAGAAGGATATACGAGTTCTTTGAATATGACTGGAACAACAAATGGTCGTCGTGTGTTTTACTGGAAAAATATATTCTACAATGAGAACTCATTTAGAGATAACAAATTTATGCATCAAGATCTTGACTTCAAGAATAAAATGTTTCTTGTTTTCACGAATAGTCGACAATGTCATCCGATTATTATGATTGATGGAACTATTTCGAATATGGAAATTTATGGAACCAAGTTAGTTTTATCAATTACGATTCTGATAAGAACAAAAAAAAACAAGCAATATTTTTCAGATCTATTTCGGATTCACTTCCATCTGAATTTGAATATCTTCAAATCGGAAAAACAAATCCAACACTTTACACGGCCACTGACGTCACCGGAGTTGAACGAAGTGTCGACTATTTTCCAGTTTTGAAATCATTAACTGAAGCAAAAGATGGAATTGGACAATTGAAATTCAAGTGTAAAATGGCGGGTGGTGGAATAACTAAAAACATCATTTCAAAAACCTCAGTTATCGAAGTTGTCAAAAAAGTCAACACCAACGCAAATAATGCAAATGAGGCGAAAGTATTGATTGAATTAGAAGATTGTCATTGGATGCGTATTTGGTTTTCTAAAGATAGTGCCACATGGTCTGATTATGCAACAACTTTTTTGCCGAAACATTCGATTGATTTTTTGTTGAGTGAAGGACTTGTTTTTCTTCCAGATAGAGGTTTGTGGTACAGCTTACAAGAATTTAGAGGAGTTATCAGAAGAATAATTTATGTTTTTGACTTCGAATTTAATTTTTTTCAAAAAAAAATCGAAAAAGTTTTCAATTTTTCAAAAAAAAAATTGAAAAATTTCTTTTTTTTTCAGAAAATGCTGTGAGAATTCCAATGTCAGTCAATGATATTTCTCATCTAACTTTGAAATATCACCCTAAAAATCAAATAATCGAGATTCTTTTTGGACACTCAAATGATTTTCAATATCCAATCACTTTCAAGAGCGATATTATGAAAGAGGGCACTTTCAAAATATTTATGATTCGTTCACCAAAATGTGATGCAGTTTTTGGTTCGAATTCTCGTGGAATTCTTGCTCATGGTAGCGATTCTAGAAAGAATGAGTTCTTATTCACCAATTTGCAAAGCATATTCGATTGAGAAAAAAGACTGATCTATTGAAATAAAATTATTTTCATAATTGTTTTCAAACACAACAAATACGTGTCATATTTTTTTTGTGCGACGTGTACTAATTCGAATCAATGAATCAAAGCTTTTATTGTTTTTTTACAATTATTATTATTATCAAAAATTGCTGCTTTTGTTCTCCGTCAATTTTCCTTCAATTCAAAATGTTTGCTTTATTTCTATTCTCCAACTATTTCCTCTTGTTTGTCACAAGTTTTGAATTTTACGGCCAAGAGACTTGGGATGGAAAAGTTATCGAGAATTGTGTGATCGAGAAGAATTTGAGCCCAGCAAGGATTTGTATTGTATTAATCAAATTCTTTTTCCGAAATTTGTTAATCGGAAAATTGAGATTCTCAGTTGGCAACCGGCTCTCGTAAAGTATCATGGATTTTTTGACGAAAATAAAGTCAATTATTTTCTGAATCTAATCAATAGTAAAACACAGGTTGCTCAGGTTAGTTTAGGAATTATTCAATAGAAAAATTAGTTTATTGAGAAATTATTTTTCACCATTTTCAAACTGTAAATATCTATATACTCGATCATGAGTAAATTTAAATAAAAAATCCACAGATCACTTTAAATAATATTTTTCAGGAAGTTGTGAATGATGATGGAGATTCACTTCACCCTGCTCGTCAAGTCAATGGATCTTTTATTTATCTAACAGATATTCCAGATATGGTAGATCATATTGAAGGATATTTACCTGAAATAGACTTCAAAGCATCTGAACCAATCACCTCACTTTCATATCTTCCTGGCGGACATTATGCACCTCATCATGATCATCTTGAAAGATATTCTGGAGAAGATTGGTGGATGGATAATATGCGAAACCGTATGGCCACTCTAATCTTCGTTTTCAAAAAAGCTGAATCTGGTGGTGGTACAGTTTTTCCAAGTATTGATGTGACTGTTCGCGCTGAACCTGGTGACGCATTTCTCTGGTTTAATATGAAAGGAGATGAATCGCTTGAAGAATTATCATTACATGGTGGATGTCCAGTTTACTCGGGAGAAAAAATCATTGGAACTATTTGGATTCGGGCAGTGAATCAACCAATATTATCGAAGATTCTGGATGGTCAGAAAACTCTTTCAGCTGATTTAATTATTTGATTTAAAATTTTAAAAGTATTTCTTTTGTTTTGTTTCGTTGAATGATGAAAAATTGTTTGAACTTTTCATTTTTGTAAAAACGCGGAAAAATCTTTTTGGTAGATTATGCAAATTCCTATTTTTCTCCCTTCCCATTTTTTTGCAAAACCTCATTTTTGTCCCAATCAAAAGTTGTTATTTTGTCCATTGCTGACAAATAAAAATGACCACCGTGTTCAATTTGGATTCCGATAGTTTTCCAGTGATACGGAAAACTTCGAGTTTTGTATTTTGGAATCGTGCCAGAATATTTATCATGATTCTAACATTGATTTGTTTGACCTTATCGCAAATAAATTCTCTAACTTTTACATTTACCGTAATTTGTATGGATGATGTTGTGGAAGAATTTCATAGATCAAATCAAACAGGTGAGTTGTCAAGGGTACTGTAGCTATCAGACATTTATTTTTTTGTAGGTCAACACTTTATGGAATCGAGCACTCAAAAAGCGTTTCTATTTTCCGGGCCAGCAATTGGTGCAACAATTGGTCTTATTCCAGCAACACCTCTTCTTTCTCGATTTGGAGTTCGAAAAGTTCTCACATTTTGTGGAATCTGCTCTGCTTTTGGCTCATTTCTATTTCCAATTTCAGTAGCATCCAATTATTATTTGGTTGTTTTTTGTCGAATTCTTCAAGGAATTGGAATAAGTGTAATATACACAGCAGTTGCAGTTATTCCTGGCCAATGGTCGCCAAATAATGAAATTGGTACATTTTTGGCAGTTTTGTCGTGTGCACTTCAAATTAGTAATGTGATTTGTATGTCGGTTAGTGGAATTTTGTGTGAAAGCAGTTTTGGATGGAGATCGATTTATTATATTTTTGGAATTTCTACATTTGTTTTCTATGCGATCTTTTTCTTCACCCACAAGGATAATCCAACTGTACACAGGTTTGTCAATGAATAATTTTTTGGAAAATTCAAAAGTATGTTTTCACGCGTTGAGAAAAGTTACACAATATTTTGAAATTCAATCAGACAGAGAGGAAGAGATTCTAGAGAAAAATATGTACATTTTGATGAGATATTTTTTGAAAATGAAATGAGTTCACGTGAACCCACGTGAATATTGCGATCCCAAATCCTAATATTCTGTTTTTTTTTCAGAAACGTATCACACAAAGAACTATCTCAAATTCAAAACGGAAAAGCTGAGATCAAAAAGCGAGAAGCTGTTCCATACAAAGCTATACTTTTTGATAGAACAGTCATCACTTGTATTATTTCTTCACTTGGTGGAAATCTTGGATTCTTCATGCTTGTTTTATATGGTCCAACATATCTCAAAGCAGTTTTGAACTTTCGATGTCCGTGGAACTGGTTTTGCAAGTGCACTTCCACATTTTCTATCAGCTTTTACAAAAATCGTAGCTGCTCAAATCTCAGATCGCCTCACTTTTGTCTCAGAAAAATCTCGTTTCGTATTTTTTGCCACAATTTCTCAAGTTGGAATGGCTGCTGGTTTTGCTGTTTTAGCATGGGTTAGTTCGATTTTTTTTGAAATCAAAATATCATACAAAAATTATTTTGATACAAATTTTTGCAAGAATATTTTTCTATAGAAATTTGTTTTTTGATTTGATTTATATTTTATTTTATTATAAAAATTTCAATTGTCATGTAAACATTTGAAAAGGCGTCGAATGTTTATCAAAATATTTCATTTTCTTTTTGATCTACAAAATCAGACAATTTCATATATTTTTTACACTTTTTCTCATTAGTTTTGGGCTCCAAAAACTGTAATCAAAAACCATAGGCAAACAAACATTGCAGACATCAAATCGAGTTGTTGCTCAAATTGCGTATACTTTTGCAATTGTTACATCAGGCATTAATGTTATGGGAGTTGTTAAATGTCTGCAATTGGTAAGGGTTTTTCAGATTTCAGTTGAAACTTTGTCCATTTTTTGCAGCGTTGTCATTTTCATGTTCATTTTTCATTTTGGAATAACTTTTGTTTCATTGACCGCAAATATTATCCAATTAATTTTCCCGATTTTTGTAGGAATTTTAATCCCAGATAACTCTGCTGAGCAATTCGCTCTCTTTTTCTATATAATTTGTATTGTCACAATTATCACAAATCTTCCATTCCCATTTTTATCCACATCTGAACCCGCACCTTTTGTTTCATCATCTTCTTCTTCAAAGTCTGAGAACACATGAACCTCTTGACTTTTTCCGTGTCTGTGCAAACAATCCAATTTTTTGTTTGAAAATGTGAAAAATCGCTTATTTTCAGCTTCATTTTCAGCAACTACCAATCAAAAATGATGCTCGATGAAATGGAAAACGAGGGTAAGTCGGGACCGGAGACACTCAAAAAATTAATTGTTAGCCAATTATTTTCGAAGTATAATTCTGAACTTTTCCAAAAAATTCCGATCCTTCTTTGTGTCGGTTAAATCAAGTCGATTTATCACACCATAGTTCAAAAAGTGTTTAACTAGCTAGTTTATGCAAATTATTTCTGTGCCCATATGTCATGCACATATAAACCGTGTTTTTACATTTATTTTCAAAAATTCCGTTTGCAGCGATGGTAAAAATTGATGTGCTGAATGATAGTCGAGTGACTCGAAAAACTTCGAGTTTTGTATTTTGGAATCGTGCCAGAACATTTATTATGATTTTGAGTTTGATTTGTTTGACATTATCGCAAATTAATTCACTCACGTTTACGTTTACTGTTATTTGTATGGAAGATGTTGTGGAAGAACATCATCGGACAAATCAAACAGGTAAGGTTTAATTTTAAAAAAATATCCTGACATTTGATCCGGTTCTAATCAAAACATTTCTGACACCAAAAACTATATTAGTCAACAAAAATTCAGCCCTGAAAAATCCAAGAAAAAATAGGTTTCAAAAAGATGTGATCATTTTTCTAGATTTTTTGAAAATTGCTGATAAAATGCAGGAACTTTCAGGTTTGCATTTCATGGAATCGAACTCTCATAAATCGATGTTATTCTCCGGAACTGCTGTTGGTGCAATGCTTGGTCTTGTTCCATCAGTTCCTTTGATTGCTCGATTTGGTCCTCGAAATATCCTGACACTTTCAGGAATGATATCCGCGTTTGGATCTTTACTCTTCCCAATTGCAGTCTCACTTCATTATTATCTTGTATTTTTCTGTCGTGTTCTTCAAGGCATCGGAATTAGTACAATATTCACAGCAGTCGCTGTTATTCCAGTTGTCTGGTCGCCAAATAATGAAATGGGCACATTTCTAGCAGTTTTGTCATGCGCACTTCAAGGTGGAAGTGTTATTTGTATGGCTGTTAGTGGTGTTTTATGCACAAGTACTTTTGGATGGAGATCAATTTATTATATTTTTGGAATTGCCACGTTTTTCTCATATATTGTATTTTTCTTCAGTTATAAAGACACTCCACATGTTCATAGGTAAGTTTGAACTACATTATCTACCTCACAAAAAACAGTTTTTTTCAGAAATGTTTCTGAAAAAGAGCTTTCCCATATTCAAACCGGAAAAATCAAAACAAAAGGTCGTGAACCTGTTCCATACCGTGCAATTGTTTCCGATCCTTGTGTTATCACATGTCTAATATCTGTATTTGGAGGAAATCTTGGTTTCTTCATTCTTGTTTTATACGGTCCAACATATTTGAAAAATGCGCTTGGATTCGATGTCGAGAAAACTGGTTTTGCGAGTTCATTTTCATTTTTCCTATCAGCTGTCGCAAAAATTATTGCTGGTCAAATATCAGATCGAATGGATTATGTATCGGAAAAGACTCGATTTATAATGTGTGCCGCAGTTTCGCAAGTTGGAATGGCTGCTGGATATCTTGTTATTATGGCAATTACAGAAGATCCAACGATTGCACAAATTGCATATAGTTTTGCAATTGTTTGTTCAGGAATTAATGTGATGGGAACTGTAAAATGTTTACAATTAGTGAGTTAAATTCTTTGATTTAAAAATTTTTTTTTCTTTTTCATTGCAATTCCAAAAATCTCAAATTTTCCAGCGTTGCCGTCAACATGTTCATTTCGGAATCTCAGTTGTCTCATTCACTGCCAAATGTTATTCAATTTGTTGGTCCCAATTTGTGTCAGTTATCTTGTCCCAGATAATTCAGCCGCTCAATTTGCTCTACTTTTCTATATAATCGCTGGTATTATAATAATAGCAAATATTCCATTTCCATTTTTATCCACCGCCAAACCAGGGTTCTTATGTTTATCGAGAAACTTCCAAAGATAATATTGTTCAATGAATAATGAGTCTGTTTTGATTTTGAACTTGGAAATGTGAATTTTGATCTCATCGAATTTTTTCATAAATGTTTTGTCATCGTATGTAAATTTTTTGTGACCATAATCTACTACAATGTAGTCGAGAATTTATTAAATATCAAAAAACATATAACCGGGAGGCAATATAAAAGGGAAGATACGGGTCCATTGAAATAAAAGCAAAAAAAGAAAGACAGGATAAATAAGTTACAGTAGCAAATACCAAAAAAAAGAAAAATCAAAAGATACAAAATTAAAGGCCAAGTTCGTAGTTGCGGATTTTGCGAAGTGGGATCAACATCAATCCACTGAATGCCATGATCGAACCCATGACATAGAATGAGGTGTCGTAGTCACCGGTAAGATCTTTGAGGCCAGCAGCAGCTGGAGATCCGATGAGGGCACCAATTCCCATGAATACCATCAAGATTCCGAAGGCAGTGTTGAGTTTGTCACTCCAACAAGTTCAACAGCGATGATTGAACGAAGAGCTCCAAGGGCAGCTGGAAAATGATAGTAGGGTTAGGGAAAAAAGTTGAAACGTGACGTGACGTGGCTTCAAAGTTTTTTTCAAAAAAAAAAAAGCTTACCAACACCAAATGAGAATGGGACAGTGTAAAGAAGGAATTGCCAATATGCGTTGAATAATGGAACTGCGCAAGTCGCCAAACCGGCAAAGATAATGGTGTAGGCACTGACAATCAAAGCACTCAATTTTGGATGATCCGAAAGGCGTCTGTAAGAAAATAGGAAAACATATATCAACATTGTATATGGTTTTTCTATGTTCTTACCCGCAAATAATACGTCCTGCAACATTGACAATTCCAATAAGGGAAACTGGGAAAGCCATTTGGACAGTGGTCAAATCATCGATTTTTTCCAAATGATTTTGGAGGTAGATGAATGGAACATAGAAGGCAATCATTGTGAGAAGACCGGAAACAGCGAGGATAATGAAGGATGGAGATTTCAATAATGAAGCATCGAAAAGTGAACTGCAAGCTTGACGGAATGTTTTCTTGTCTTTTTGCAACGAGATCACAATCTTTTGGGATTTATCATTGTTCTCAAGAAGAGCTGGATCTTTTGGACAAAGTTCATCACGATGTTGAATTGAATGATTGATTTCTTCAATATCATGCTCGACTATTTCAGTAATATCTGCATCATTTCCCAATTGAAGATTTTGAACTTCTTCATGTTGTTCCAAACGTGAAAGAAGTGGAGCATCTAATTCATTTGTTTCTTCAGTGATTGTTTTCGAGACTTCCCAATTTTTGATGATATTGGTGACATTTTCGATTTGTTCAGCACTTGGTTTGACAGCTTTGTACAAACTTGCAAAGAAAATTCCAGTGAGAGAAACAGCAGAAAGGAACATCATAAAAAGTTGCCAGTTGTTATTGACAACTTTCAATACAACTTCATTGAGCTGGAAAATTCAAAGGGTCGCTGTGATTCAGAAAGCTTGCTTTTTCTTGAACTAGGTTACTGTAGATCAAAAGACTCTTGTTATTAGAAAACTTCCAAAATTCAATATTTTCTCCAATATTTTTTTCTAATAAAATTTTTTAAATAAAATTATTTCTCATATTGATGATTGATATGAAATCGATTATGTCGAAAATAAAAAAATGTTCTAATATTTTTGTCGCCGAAAAAACTTACAAGTGCAAAAACGGTACATCCAATTCCACTTCCACACACAGCAATTCCAGTCGCAAATGATCTTTTGACACGGAAAATATTGAGAGATGATGACGATTGAAGGGAAGATACAACAATCCATATCCGATTCCAACGATGAAACCAAAGGTAATATAAAGGACTTCGATGTTCGGGGCGATGGCAGATAATGCGTAGCCAGTGGCAGCAGTGATTGCTCCAATTGCAGCAACACGGCGACAACTGTAGATATCACACAAAACAGAAGCAAGGGGTCCTGAAGAAGGGAAAAGTGGGATAGAGTTATGTTGAGTGAGAAATCTGGGAAATCTGGGAAATCCTTACCAGTGAAATAATAGCAAGCAGTCAGGATTGACACTGCCAATGAAGCCGATGTATTGGTGACATTCAAAGATTGAACCCAGATTGGTTGAATTGGTTTTCCGATTGTTGAGACAACACCATCAACAATCACATTGATGCAGAAAGATGCCAAAACAATAGCCCATCCATATCCGCCATCCGGTGGTGTTGTGATTGCCACATTCTCCAACTCGGCTTCAATTTCAGCTGTTGTCTTTTCGTCGGGTTTGATCGACTTGAGCTCAACCTCGATTTGTTTGGGCATCTTATCGATCTAAAAATAAAATGAGGAAGGAATTTAAGAAAAAACCAGAGGGGAATGAAAAGAGGAAAGAAAACTGATCGAAATGATATAAACCAAAATGATGGCTCGTAGATGGGCGGAGTCCAACAGTTTCTTACAATTTGAGACCAACGTTGTTTTTTTCTGGTTGATATGAGTCATCGATTAATTGGAGCATGGTAATGATTTTTCAAAAAATTGAGGAGATATTGGCGGGATGTTGTAGATGAAAATGCGACGATCAGAATAAGTGTAAACACGGAAGGATTTCGGATATTTCTGGAAAAACACAGAAAGTTTTAAAGTTGAATTTTTTTGAAAATTTTGTAAGTGACTAATTTTATCTTTTCAAAACTGTGAAATCAGAATTCTAAAATAATAAAACAAATGAGGATTTTTCCACGGTTGAACTATGTTCGGAGAAGTTTGTGAGAAATTCTGTAAGGCATCTTGTCTTACGAAATCAAAAATACAGATAATTAAAATATTCAGCTGACATGAGTTTCTTAAATCGAAATTTCTTTTTGCTGTTACTTTTCATTTTGAAAACTCATGTTTTTGTAACTTACATCAGATTTCGAATGTTGCCTTAATTCTCATTGTCAGATTCTGGGACGAAATATTTGCTTCAGAATATTGTCATTCCGAAAAAATAAGAACTTGGAAGAGAACCGAAATGGCCTAGGAAACCAAGACTACAGTAGACTTCGCCAAATTTTGGGGTCTATTTGAAAAATAAAATGCGAAATTTACACGCTGGCTATTTGCCAACCAGTTTGATGTGCATGTGTCACGTCATTTTTAGTCTACTGTACGTGACCGCCAATTCAAACGGGGGTTCTTTTATTTTCGGAATGACAATACCTAGGAATGAAAAATTATATCCACATTTCAAATATTTTTCAGTTCACGTCGTTCCTATTTATTTAAATTTATTTTTTTTTCATTTCTCGTTTTCTTTGTGTACTTTATTTTCCAGATTTTCCAAATTCCTCGAATATTTCATGTTTCATTTGAACTCTGACATTCCTCATATCATTTATTTTTATTTCGATGTGTCATTTTATTTGGCCCAATCCAATCTGATGCAATCATATTTTCCCATTAGATTGTTTTTTTTCCTTTTGGCACATCAAATGACCGTGCCGACCGATATGTTTTGATTCTAGAAAATCGCTTCTTTTTTCCTCTGTGTGCAATGCTGTACAGATTGCTAAAAGTGCAAGATTCCTGTCTTGTACCAGGCTGTGACTAAAGAAGAGGGGAAGCTTTTTCTAGAAGAAGAAAATGTCAAGTTTCCTGCACCCGTTTGGGGAATGACTAACTGGTGAATGTTACACTTTTTGGGAAACATCATTTTTTATGTGATTTGGGAGAGGAACAAAAAACTGACAAGAGGGAAAAGCAAACAAAAAAATAATTAACCAGGGTGTACTGTAATAGTTTAATTTTTGCACAATTATTTTTAATTTGTGTGATTGTTTTGAAGGATGGTGTAGGCTTAAAGGGAATTGTGTTATATCGATAGGAATTAGGTGAAAAGTTCCCACTTTGAACAATTATAATTTTTCATTCAAACACATACAAAATTAAAACATAAAAAACATGAATAATCAAGTTTGCCCTGTCTCATATATGATTGATCTGATCAAATTTTAGCTCGGCTATAATTAATAACGTAGAATTTCTGAAATTCCCTTTTTTCAAATTATTAGTTTCAGACCATCAAATCTCTTTTTCCTCTTTCTCTAACTCTCTTCTGTTTGTCTGATCTCTATTCTTCCAAGAAAACGTAGATCAAAATGTTGAAAATTCAATATAACAATAGTTCCAATAAATAATGCATCCGTTTTTTTTCAATATTCTTTTAAAAAAGTGTTCTTTGATTTGACGAAAAATATTTATTTTTTCAATAACAACTGACACTTTCATTATGTTTCAAGCAATTTTTTTGAAGCATTGAATTCCAAAAAAAATATCGTATTGGTTCAAAGTTTGTTTCTTTGCTGCACTCCGCGATAAAAACACAAAATGTGTGCTTTTTTCATAAATTTTTGGCTTCAAACATCACAAAATCCTCTCACAAACTTATTTTCTCCTCTTTCTTCATTTTTTCTTGAGAAAATGTGTTTTTTTTTCTACTTGCACCATTTTTTTTAATTTTCTGCTAATTTGTTACCTTTTCTTATTATTTTCTGATTTTAATTTTTGATGTTATTTGTTTTGGAGCCAATGAAACAATTACGACAAGTTGGTGTAAAAATAAATTTATCCAACGTTTCGGCAATTTATGCCATCTTCAGGGAGAATCACCTAGAAATAATGAATGGATATTGGATAAGTAAGATTATAATACAAAAGAAATCACAAAAAACCCCCAAAATACCATGAAAATCACGAAAACACAAAAAGATGACAAAATAAAATAAAATAAAATGAAAATTCCTTGTGTCAATGTGGAGTGTCGTAGTTTATTATTTTCTTCACTTTTTTCAACAATTTTTCGCGACCTTTTTTTCATCAGCCGCCATAGCTCAGTCGGTTAGAGCGTGGGTCTAATAAGCCCAAGGTCGCAGGTTCGACCCCTGCTGGCGGCAAATATTTTTCTTTTTTTCTGTTGACTTTTAACACCCTCGTGTTTTTATTTTAATAGCATACAGGACACAAAATTTCAGCAGCAAAAATCAAAATTAAAGCGATTATTGATGTCATATGCAAATGAGGAACAACGAAGCGACGAGTTGCAACAACTATTTAACACTCAACAAAAATCGTTTGTTGCTCACTCGCCACAAAATGATGGTTGTTCAATCATTTTCGCTCACTTTCAAGAGTTATTTTTTGAATATTTTCAGAATCCGAAAAAATGGTCAGAATCGACGTCGAGGAAAAAGGCAAAGAAGAGATTCGCGAGCACAGTAATTTCACATTTTGGAATCGAACGAGAATTTGTGTGCTGGTTTTGGGCTTAACTTATCTGACTTTGGTCCAAATTAATTCACTCACATTTTAATTTCACAGTTATTTGTATGAAAGATATTGTTGAAGAACATGTGTCAACTAACCAAACTGGTGAGTTTTTTTTTGAACTCAATTGGTATCTGGGCTAATAATTCTTTTTCTGAACCATAAAAATTTAAACTTACAGGAACTCACTGGTTCGATGATCCTCCGAAAAAGTCATTTGTATTCTCTTCAATGGCAGTTGGTGGCCTAGTTGGACTTACAATCTCAGTCCCTTTGATGCAAGTTTTGGGAGTTCGAAAAATCATGACATTTTGCGGTGTTTTCTCAACTCTTGGCAGTCTTTTCTTTCCTTTTGCTGTCAATTTCAGTTATTATGCTGTTCTGGCCTGTCGATTTTTACAAGGTTTGGGAGTCAGTTTGGTGTTTACAGTTCTTGGAGTTATCCCGGTTGTTTGGGCACCGAATAATGAATCGAGTTCGTTTTTGGCGATTTTGTCGTGTGCTTTTCAGGTGGGTAAAAAAGGGAAGAGGGAACGATGGAGGGAAAAGAAAGTGCACTGTATTTTGTAGCAGAAGAAAACTAGTTTTTGAAGAGATTTCGAGTTAGGAGACTTGGTGAATAAGAGGAATTCTGTCATAAATTCTGAGAATAATATTTTCGCTGAACTTGCAAAAGCTTTTAAAAAATTATGAAATTTTTGATCTCTAGAAACGTATTTTTTCCAAGTCTCCTAACTCAAAAATAGATAATAGATCCTCAATAATCATTTTCAACTGGTTTTTTTCCAGTTGAGTAATGTGATTTGTATGCCGATTTCTGGATTTTTGTGTGAATCTTCTTTGGGTTGGCGATCGATTTATTATCTATTTGGAACTTGTACAACAGTCGCTTGTGTGATGTTCTACTTTTTCTACCTCGACTCCCCAGCAAAACATCGGTATTTTTTGATTGACAAAATTTTTATCAAACAAAAATATTTTCAGTAAATGTCTCAAATCTGGAACTCTCAAAAATTCAGGAAAACAAAGTTGTTACCAAAAAACGCGAACCAGTTCCATATTTAGCAGTTTGCACAGATATTTGTGTTCTTTCTGCTTGGCTTTCAAACGTTGGTGGAAATCTTGGATTTCTTACCTTGGTTCTTTATGGACCAACTTATCTTCGTGAAGTTTTGCATTTTGAAGTAAAAGGAACTGGTTTTGCAAGTGCTCTTCCATTTTTACTCTCCGCTTTGTTCAAATTCATCGCCGGACATTTGTCAGATCGTTGCACATTTTTATCGGAGAAAACGAGATATATGATTTGTGCATGTTTATCAAGAGGAGGTTTAGCAATTGGATATTTTGCAATGGCAACAACATCAAATCGAATTGTTGCACAAATCGCATTCACTTTTGCTATCGCAATTTCGGGTTTGAATATTATGGGAACTGTTAAATGCCTTCAACTTCGATGTCGACAACATTGTCATTTTGCTGTTGCTGCAATTGCTCTTTTGAGTTATATCACTCAATTTGTAACACCAATTTCAGTTGCATATTTGTGTCCAGACAATACAGTTGAACAGGTAAACATTGAATAAATTTCAAAAAAAAAGTTCCAAATTCTTTCCAAAAAAAAATTTTTTTTTCAGTGGGGTCGCTATTTCTTGATAATCTCTGGCATCGTTTTCTTCACCAGTCTTCCATTTCCATTTTTAACAACAGCCGAACCCGCGGATTATGTCAAAACGAAAGAAGAGAAAGCCGCTGTTGAAATTGAAAACTGAAAAATTCTTCGAAAAATATGAAGAAAAAGAAGAAATGATCTCAGAAATAGGGTTATTTTTTGTGATAATTTGATTATTTTTTGTCAAATAAAACATTGAAATTATTTTTGAATATGGATTTTATTGGTCATGAGGAATGTGACGTAATAGAAGAACATTTGACAGAAAAATTTTAGAAAGCTCAAGAATTTGGAACCTTTTAAAAACATTTGAGAAAGTTCGGTGATATCGATATCGATACCGTAGTTCCAGATTCAGATAAAAACTTCAGAAACATTTTCAGGATCTAGATTTTTTCAGAACTCCAATTCCAAATTTTTCTCATAAAACTGGATCTGGAGAATCCAGTTTTGTAGATCTAAAAATTCATTTTCTGAAGACTTCTGATTTTGATCAATAGAAAAATCTTAAATACAAAATAATTTGTTTTTCAATTTAAAAAAATTTGAAATCATTTATTAAAAATTAAAACTGAAAAAAAAACTCAATCTACAGAATCAAATAACAAAACTGATATGAACGTAATCAAAAATTTCATCATCTCTGAAAAATCTCAATTTTCTATTATTGTTTTCTCCCGTCACATTTCATTCCAGATAATTCCAAACATCAAAACATCATTGAACAGTCGTTGTACTCATAACTTCATTGTCATCATTTTAAAATATCCTATTTTCTTCCTTTTTTAGAAAATTTTTCTCATGGGGCTATTCATGTTATTTTTCAACGCTGAGAAAACGGGAGAAAAGCGGAGAAAACCTATTCAGGTAGGCTGAGAAAATACGAAAAAAGCGGAGAAAATGTATTTCCTCCGCATTTCTCCTGTTTTCTCAACATGCTGAGAAAATACATGAATAGCCCCATCAGACAATTAGTAAATGCAAATTTCTTGTGAATATTTTTAGAACAGTTTCCTTTCTCCTTTAATTTTTATCTACCCATCCTTATTCTTTTCATATTCATACTTTTTGAACTATCTATGAATCTGGGTTCAAACATCCTGAAACCATTGAACAGTCATATTTTTTCATGTTTCACAAATGCAAATTTATCGGCAACAACTTTTAATGCAACTATAAAACACTCTTCTCTTCGATCACAAAAAATCAAAATGGCTTTCGAATTCTGGAATAATACTCGATTATTTATTCTACTTCTATCATTATGGTGTCTAACTCTAACTCAAATTAATTCTCAAATTTTTACATTTACTGTAATTTGTATGGATGATATAAAAGTGAATTATACCGGAGAAAATCAACATTGGATTGACAGTAATTCGGATAAAAATATATTATTCAGTGCAACTGCAGTTGGTGCAATTATTGGAATAATACCAGCTGTTCCACTTTTACATAACTATGGAGTTCGAAGGATTTTAACTCTTTGCGGGTTATTCTCCTCAATTGGAACTATTTTATTCCCACTTTCTGTTGATTATACTGGATATTTCGGAGTTATGATTTGTCGAGTTTTACAAGGATTCGGAATCAGTATTATTTTAACGTTAGTCGGTGTCATTCCACGATCCTGGTCTCCAGAAGAAGAAGCCAGCACATATTTGGCAATCTTATCTTGCGCATTTCAGGTGAGAAAACTCATATGGTTTTTTGAGTCCTGATCATATACATTTTTAGATAAGTAACATTGTTTTTATGCCAGTTTCTGGATATTTATGCGATTCATCTTTGGGATGGAGATCAATTTATTATTTATTCGGATTTTTGACATTTTTCTGTTTTGTTCTTTTCTACTTCTTCTACACGGATCTTCCAAAGTTACACAAGTTAGTCAAACGAACCATTTCTAAGGAATTTCTAAGTCTTCAAGTCCAAAAAATCCCATTTTTAGAAATGTCTCAATCAAAGAGCTGCAACAAATCGAAACTGGCAAAAAAGAAGTTGTCAAAGAAAAAGTTCCATATTTTGCGATTTGCACAGATCCATGTGTTATATTTGCTTGGTTATCTTTCCTTGGTGGAAATCTTGGATTTATCACTCTTTTGTTGTATGGACCAACTTACCTTCGAGAAGTGTTACATTTCGATGTGAAAAGTACTGGTTTCGTCAATGCTCTTCCCTATATTCTCTGCACTATTTTCAAGTTCTCCGTGGGAAAATTATCGGATAAAATTAGTGGAATCTCGGAAAAGGTTAGCTTTGAGTAACTCTACTGAATCTCAGCACAACAAATCTCAATTAATATTTTCTAGACTCGATTCACATGGTGGTTGGTTTCTTCAATAATCGGACTTGCTGCTGGATATCTTGTGATGGCTTGGACTGATGATAGATTGATTGCACAAATTGCATTCACGTTTGCAATAGTTGCTTCTGGATTAATTATAATGGCAACAATTCGATGTCTTCAACTTCGAACTCTTCAACATTGTCATTTTGCAGTTTCAGCTATTTCATTCTTATCTTATATTGTTCAATTCATTTCTCCAATTGGTGTTGCAATTATCTGTCCAGATAATACATCAGAACAATGGTCGAAACTATTTGTTATTATTGTTGGTATCATGATTGTTACAAATATTCCATTCCCATTTTTGACGACTGAAAATGCGGCTGAATATACGAAAAATAAGATGAAGGAAGAGGAAAAGGATAAGACTGTGATTGAGAAATTTTGAATTTTTTTGCATTTTTGTGAATAAATGAATTTTTTGAATATGATTGTGAGAAAATCTTAGTGGTTACAAAGAAAAATCCAAGAAAATTTCGAAGTAGACGGGACCAGTTTTAACATTTCAAAATTTTGAAACTTTTAGATGATCACTGATGCTTTTCTGAATCTCTAAATTAATCATAGCAAATGCGATTTGGAAAATCTTCAATTATCAAAAAATTTGAACGATTTTAATAAATTAAAAAAAAATGACGTGACCTCATTTTTAACGTTCAAATGCTGTCACAAAAAATTCAAAAATCATCTTATTTCTCAAAAAGCCCAATCAGCAAAATAAATGGAAAACAAGGTTTTGGAATCGAATGCTGCAGAATTAGAAATCGAATCTCAATTGGTTGGTTTTTTTATTTCAAAGAAGAATATATATGAAATCGTCAGAAATCATTTAATTTTCGGAAAGAAACAGACGACTGACTATTGTCAATCCGAAAATAAAAGAACCTCTGTTCAAATTGGCGCTCACGTACAGCAGACTAAAAATGACGTGACACATGCACATCAAACTGGTTGGCAGCCAGCGTGTAAATGCCAGCGTGTAAATTTCGCATTTTATTTTTCAAATGACTTCCAAAATCTTGCGAAGTCTACTGTAGTCCTAGTTTTCTATGCCATTTCGGTTCTCTTACAAGGTTCTTATTTTTTCGGAATGACAATACATGTTTTCCGAAATGTATAACGTTAGTTGTTTAATTTTAAATTGTTTACAGTTGAATGGATTGAAAATGAAATTGAAATCGCTCAACCTTGAAGAAACCGTGAGGGAGCTTGTCTATGCTCCTTCCGATGCCTCAGAGCTGGCTTATCATTCGTGTCATCCACGATTCTCATTAGCCGAGAAGGTAAATATCAAAAACTTTTTCATCTATCGAATGTTTGTTTTCAGTTGAAGATTCTCGATTTATTATTCTTGATTTCTTGGAAAAACACTGAGGATAATATTCCAATTCCTATGAGAAAACAAATGATTGAAAATCGTTGGAAAACGACACCACAAGACGAATTGGCTAAAGATTTTGGAAAAATAGCATCGGTAAGTGTTTAACGAACTAAAAGAGATTTGAATTCGAAAATTGATCTGTTTTTTCCAGACTATATCATATCAATTAGTGCGATGTTATGCAGAAAAAGCAATCCATATGCAGTTGAAGCGAATTTCAGTGTTTTGCGATTTGAATGAAAATATTGTGAAGAGATTGTGCCCATCGTACAATCGAGATCCATACACCACAATTGAAATTCTCCAGTCGATCGAAAAGGGGACACATCTTGAAGATGTTGTTGATAAGTTGAGATTGACCGAAAAGAAATTGATACCAGAACAAAAAGGAATAAAAGGAGAAGTAAAAGATGCATTCGAAATACTTCACGGGAATCATCCATTATTCCGAAAATTCATAGAGTATGTTTCTGAAAAAAATGCAATATCAAAATGTCTATTTTTTAGATCTCTCGAAACAAGACCAGAGGGAAATATGAAACAATTATTCAAAAATTTGAAGATTTCGAAAAGAATAAGAAAATTCAATGGCATGCAATAATTGGAACAATTCATATTTCGCCAAGATCAGTTGAAATTCAAGAAACTGGATGAAATTGAGAGATATTCATTATGAACCCAAATAACTTCGAAATCAAAGTCAAATGTCTTACAACGAATCCAGCAATATTTCGTTTCAAGCCGCCAACTGCAAGTATTCAAAAACAGGAATTCAAAATGATTGAAATCGTCAAGAAAAAAAGTTCCCGCAAAACTGAGAAATTGCGAGTCGAATGGAGTGATGGAAAATTGACACCACAAAAAATGGACTTGAATATCAAGATAATTTGAAGTCGAAATTGATTGAAATAAATATTTATATTTATTATGTGAAATTGTAAAAAAAAATAGCAATAGATTTTCCATGAAATCTTGATTTTCAGCCAGAACTCAAATATTAGGGAACATTTCAGTAAGAAACATTTCAGTTTTTCCTCAGTGTTCAGATTTTTCGAAAAAACAGACATACTCCGTTGAAATTCTGGATTATCGAATAATATTCGATATTATTTACCACACAAAGATCAACAAATGCCATTAGAATTGTAGATCAAGACAATCATTGGATTCGCTTCATTTTTTCTCCAAAATAAGTATGCAAATTTGTTTTCGATATAAAAACATATGATGATGACAATCGAAGAACGCACAGAACTTTCAAAAATTTCAGAAAGATTTCAGAAGATTATTCCTCATAGTGAAAAACTCAAAGCTGAAACTTTGAAAGGATTCGTGTTACCCCAATTCTTCAGGTTTCTCTATCTTTTTTTTCAAATTTCCATTCAAACTAGAGTTTATTGAATGTTCGTGTATAGTTCATACATCTTCAAATAGTCTCTCATATTTTCCATGCTGACAATTCAAAACTTGATCAAAATTGATTCTCTATAAAACGATCAAAAAATGTATTTTTTTCTTTTTCTCTCAAATGGTTTTTCAATTCTGGAACAATACTCGATTATTTGTTCAACTCATATCATTATGTTGTTTAACTCTCCTTCAAATCAACTCTCAAATTTTTACATTTACTGTAATTTGTATGGATGATATAAAAATGAATCATACCGGAGAAAATCAACATTGGATTGACAGTAATTCGGATAAAAATATATTATTTAGTGCAACTGCAGTTGGTGCACTTTTTGGAATTATTCCAGCTGTTCCACTTTTGCATAAATTCGGAGTTCGAAAAATTCAAACCCTTTGTGGTATATTTTCATCAATTGGAACTATATTATTCCCATTTTCTGTTGATTATACTGGTTATTTTGGAGTTATGATTTGTCGAGTTTTACAAGGATTTGGAATCAGTATACTTCTAACATTGATTGGTGTGATACCTAGATCTTGGTCTCCGGAAGATGAAGTTGGAACTTATCTTGCAATTTTATCATGCGCCTATCAAATTAGTAGTACAATATTTCTATCATCTGCTGGATTTATGTGTGAATCTTCCTTGAGCTGGAGATTTATATATTATTTGTTTGGGTTTATTAGTGTTTTGTTTTTCGGAATATTTTATGTTTTCTACACGGATTCTCCAAAGTCCCACAGGTCAGTATTTGTTATTGATGGCCAAAACTTCATATATCAATTTATTAATTTTTAGAAATGTATCAATAAGCGAACTCCAAAAAATCGAGACTGGAAAAAAAGAAACAGCCAAGGAAAAAGTTCCATATTTTGCAATCTGTACAGATCTTTGCAATATAATTGCATGGATTTCTTTTCTTGGTGGGAACTTGGGATATACAACTTTTCTATTATACGGACCAACCTATCTTCGAGATATTTTGAAGATGGATGCAAAAACAGCTGGATTATCAAATGGTATTCCATATTTGTTTTGTGCAATTATAAAACTTGTAGTTGGAAGAGTTTCAGATAAATTACCAGGAATTAGAGAAAAGGTATATTTCAATATGATAACTACAGTAATCATAATTTTGGAAAATGATTTCAGACTCGTTTCACTTGTTGGCTATTCATTTCCGTGATTGGAATAGTCATTGGGATGTTAGTAATGGCATGGACTGATGATCATTTGATTGCACAAGGTGGATTCACATTTTCAATAGCTACATCTGGTTTAGTTATAATGGCAGCAATTAGATGTCTTCAGCTTCGAACTCTTCAACATTGTCATTTTGCAGTTTCTGTTATTTCATTTCTTGCCTATGTTGTTCAATTTATCATTCCTCTTGGTGTTGATTTTATCTGTCCAGATAATACACCTCAACAATGGTCAAAACTATTTATTGTTATATCAATTCTTATGATTTTAACAAGTATTCCATTTCCATTTATAACAACTCAAAATGCTGGGAAATATACGAAAAAACATTCAAAAATTGATATTATTTCTGATGATAAATTATAATAAATTTTCATACAATATTGTTTCGGAATTTGAGACAAAAAAGTGTTCTTTGTAAAATCATATAATACTTCATTAGGAAATTGATGCAAAAATAATTATTAAGGCTTTTTGCATTCAATCGTTCGCAATTTGTGACCAAATTTATTTGCTCTAACTGTTAGTGTTCCTTTGGCTCCAGTCACAACAAATTGAAGAATATCAGTATCACCATCACATCTGATAGTTGCGCAGTCAAGTTCATGAGCTATATCAACTTTCAAATCGGTGTACTCATCTTTAGCTTTTTTGACAAAATAACTTCTATCGAATGTTTTTCCATTGCAGATAGTATAATTGAAGTTGGAAACGAAAACTTCGTCAACATCCGAATTTTCTTCCACAATTTTTGCCAAAACATTGTTCCAAACATTGGTTGCAGTTAGTTTATTCATATCAAACTCACAAGAAGCGGTATAGATTGAAGCAAGGAGAATGAGGATGAGTTTCATGTTTTTTTGTATCTCTGATATGTGTCTGCTGGGCCTTCTTTTTAAACAGAAAAATGTAGACAATTCACATCATTAAATGAGTTGTCTGCAGATTTTTAAATGTCTGAGATGATCATGACACGTTTACCAAAATTTAAATTTTGGAAAGGAACCAAGTTTGGTATTATTTTAAAGGGGGGTAAGACGACAAAATTTTATTTGCTCAATGAATCGGGCTCCCTTTGAATAGTAAAAGCCACAGGGGATTTTTTCTCGAAAGGCCTAAAAAGGTCCGAAAAAAATATTCCATGAACTTTTTTCATACGTGGTACCTAGTTTATGGAACATTTTTTCTGGACGTTTCCAGAAAAAATCCCTTGGAGGTTTTACTACTTTTGGGGAGCCTTTAACTTTGCGACAAAAAAAAATTTGTCGTCTTACCCCCCTTTAAAGGGGGTATACCCTATTGTCTCTCGTGCAAAGTGTGATACATCATTTGATTCAGAATTTTGTGTTTTATATGGACAAAAAATTTTAGCTCGCAAAACGGATTCTAAGTACACGTTTTTTGCGTCCAAACAGGACCAAAATCTGCTCGAAATAAAAAAAGAACACACAAGAAAGAGAGACGCAGACTCTCGCTGTCTGTCAGCCAGCCAGCATGTGTGTTGTTTTTTCTTCTTTTTTTTAAATTTTTTAAAGTTTATTACAGTATATTCAGACTTCCTGTAGTTGTTGAACACAAAATTCAAAAAAAAACAAAACACATGCTGGCTGGCTGGCAGACAGCGAGAGTCTGCGTCTCTCTTTCTTGTGTGTTCTTTTTTTCATTTCGAGCAGATTTTGGTCCTGTTTGGACGCAAAAAACGTGTACTTAGAATGCGTTTTGAGAGCTAAAATTTTTTGTGCATATATAACACAAAATTCTGAATCAAATGATGTATCACACTTTGCACGAGAGACAATAGGGTATACCCCCTTTAAAGTTTTTTTGAAAAAGAAAAAAAATCACAAAAAATGTTAGAGGTCATCGTGATCAAATTAACAAGCAGAAAACATTTTCTTCCAACTTCTGATAAAAATGTATGATCAAGAACCAGTTGCACTTATCAAAACGTTGTTTTTCTGATTTTAGAGATTGTTGAAAGCTTCAAGTTTTCTTAATTTTGCGAAAGAAAATTATGAAGGCAAAACTACTGTGGAAACATTTTCTGATTATTTTCTACCGCTACTTAATTAGGTGCTTATAAGCTCATCCGCATAAAAATTCTAAAATTTCTCCTAGTAGATCAAAAAAAGGTTCCCGTTGGTTGCAAATGCCAAACTATAGTGTAGTTTGCCCTCTTTCCCTTCCATTCATTTCTTTTTCATCTATTTACTTTTGTTTTTGTTTTTTTTTTGTTGATAGCCACAGCCAAGTGGTCTTTTTTTTCCGCACACATAAAAATCGATATTATTTTTTATCACTTTACTTATACGTTTCAAAGATTATTATTATCTCATTGACACTTTGAAAAAATGATAAAACTTTGATTTTCTTCTTATTTTTATTCGATTTTATTTCATTTTAGAAAAAAAGAGAGATAGAAGAAAATGACGACAAGCGAAGAATTTATTGAGATCACAAATAAACAAGGTTTGGTTGCGTGGCTTTTGCCATTCGGAGCGACTTTGGCGAAATTAACTTTTCCTGATAAAAATGGAGTTGCTCAAGATGTCATTTTAGGATTTGATAGTATAAAAGGCAAGTTTCCTGTGAATTTTTTGGTTTTTAAATTAAACTGTTTTTTTTTTAAGAATTCGAAAAAGATACCGCCAGCATTGGAAAAACCGTAGGCCGTGTTGCAAATCGTATCAAAAATGCCGAAGTTCAATTCGATGGCAAGAAATATGTTTTGGAGAAAAATAATGGGCCACATTTTTTGCACGGTGGTTCAAATGGAATTGGCAATGTGAATAAGTTTTATTTTTTATTTTTCGAAAAACATTTAGTTAATCATTTGGGGTTGAAGTCCGCAAAAACTCGACTTTTTTCTTGCAAACCAAATTCCTCAAAATTTTTCGATAAGGTTTGATAAAATATAAAGTAATTGCTGGGGATACTGTAGATATTGTGGAAAAAGCAAAACTACTTGCAAATTCTAGAAATGGATGAATAATTAGATTATTCTGTTCCAAATTGAACATCGCAACTCCAAAAATGAAAATAATTGGAAGAGTTGCTTGAAATGAAAGAACTAATAATAATTGATTATGTAATTGATGAGTTTGATTTCGAATTGGAAGTTTTTTCAAAAATTTCAAGATAAAATAGCGGATGATTAAAATGAGCAATGTTATAATTAGTGGAGTTAAAATTAATTGAATCATCGCATACTTTACATAACATTCATTAATATCAGCATGTCCTGTGATCATTGATTTTGTAATTTCACTGAAATTGTGAGTCAGCGATGAATTTTCCAAAATCTCAAGCATGACAGAAGGTGGGTTTGGTCCAATTAAAAATAAAATATAAATGACACAAGGGATATAAATTATAACTAGAAAAACAATAATAGTTTTTCGATTTATCGCTGTTTCAGTTTTTTTCATAATGTATAATCGATAGATGAAAGATAATAACAAAATATTTTTAGCATAAATAAATAGGTGAATATTCAAAATATAGGAATAATAGCAAAATTCGGATGATATAAAAGTACAAAATCCATAATTTATTTGAATCGATGTTGAGTTAAAAGGTATCATTCTGAAACATTCGGAATAAAGTTGTTCCTTCGGAACTTCTAAATTTTGAATTCAAAAATACCTCGAAATAGTTATTCCTGATAAAAATGATGCCACTAAATCTGTGGTTGCCGAAACTTTGATCAAAATTGCGTAATTTCTCATAATCACCGGAGTTTCATAATGCGCAATAATCAGTAAACTTAGATTCAGAATTATCCCCAAAAATCCAGTCAAATAAAAATAGGAAATATATAGCCACATACTAGACAAAAATAATTTAGAATTACCCCAAAAATAATGTTGGAAGAAGATGATAAAAAATTGTAATCCTATGAGATTACTTGAAATCATCTATTGAACATACTTTTTTCTTTTAGAAATTATGGGAAATTGTGAGACATTCGAGTCGATCTGTGTCATTTAGTATTCTTGTTGATGAACAAATGGATGGACTTCCGGGAAATGCAAAAATCGATGTGACATATACTGTAAATGATAGAAATCAATTGATAGTTGAACATTATGCAACTTGTACTTCTGCTGGATTAATTGCTATTACAAATCATGCATATTGGAATTTAGATGGTTCGGAAACAGTTGCTGAACATATTTTAGAAGTTGATGCAAATGAATATGTTGAAGTTGATTCAACAGATTGTCCAACTGGTGCTATTTTATCTGTTCGGAATACTATTTATGATTTCACATCGCCACGAAAATTGGAAACTCTTCGAGATATTGATGGTGTATTGAATATTGACAATGATTTAGTCACATCTACACAAAGCACTCCAAAAGTTAGTCTTCGATTATTTTCGGAAAAATCTGGAATTGAAGTCACAATTCGATCTTCTTATCCAACAATTCATTTGTATGCTTCAAAATATTTGGATACAATTGGAAGAGGAAATGAAAAATATGGACAGGGAAAGGGATTGGCGATTGAACCGCAATTTCATAGTGCAGCCCCGAATTTTGTAAGTTCACGGCAATTTTATAAACATTTATAAAGTGGTATTTTTTCAGGACAATTTTCCGGATGTTTCGCTTCGACCCGGTGAAAATTATAGTCATGAAATCGTGTATTCTTTGTCAACTATAAATTGAATAAATATTGATTTGTTTCTGAAATTTTTTTAAAGAGAATTTTTTGATTCATTTTCACGAAAAATCTTACATCTTGCCATTAGGAAAGTGGTTGCCCATAATTATGGATGAGTTTTGAATTGGCTATTTTCATCGAAAAACTAAGTATTATGAATGCAAATAATTTTGAAATCAATGTAAAATTACTTACAACAAATCCAGTAATATTTCGTTTCAAACCAGTTAATTCCATCATGCGAAAAATATACATGTTTCGTGAAACGTACAAAATAATGGATTATACGAAATTTTCTTTGTCAATTATTTTTTAATTGAAAAATTAAAATCTCCCGGTGTGTTTGTCCGGGAAACGTGAACTTCTAGATTAACTTCTTATATTCAAAAATTAAAGGATCGTTCGAAGTGAAAAAGAAACGTACGCGAAAACGCGTAGAAACGCGTAGATTTTCGCGTTTTTTGTCCAAACACACGTTTTTTTGCAAAAAGTTACGCGATTCTACGCTTTTCCGCGTACGCTTCTTTTTCACTTGAACGCCCTATAAACCTATCCAAAATGATCGAAAAATTGAAAAACGTAAGTATATTTCAATCTTCCTCTTATTTTTATTGTTCTATGGAGCGCACATTCTTCATTTGATGCCTTGTGTATTTCTCTTGGACCAGCATTTATTTTTTTTTGTTGTTTTTTTTCGTTTCAAAACTAGAAAAAATACAAACGTTTCAATTTGTTGAAAACAAATAGGAATGTCAGATATTTTAAAAAACTATACAAAAAAAAATAATTTGAAAAAAAATGAAAGAAAAAAACGAGGAATTTCAAGGCATTTTCCTCTTTTCCCGCAAGTTCTTGCCTGTGAGCAACTGAGACTGCAGATCTCGTCTCTTTTACAAATATACCCCAAACTTACCTGTGATATAATTTAACACAAATCACGTGTTTTCTCTCCCAAACCCCAAAACCCCAATTAAACTGACCTGACATGAGTTGTAGTTGTATAAGACCTCAATTTCCTCAATTTCATTTTGTTTGTGGGAAACCAACATCGGCTCACTCAATTCCAAATTCTCAAGCAATCTGGAATTTCGCTGGGTTATAGAAAGAAAAATAAACTCCCACTTACGTTTAATTCAGAGCTCTCATTGAATACAGGCCGAATACCAAATAAAAACTTTCAAGAAATGGGCGTCCAACCTGAAAAAAGAGAACTAGCGTAATTTTTCGAATATTCTTAAAATAATAAGGTGAACTTTTTCCAACAAAATAAAAAATTCATTTCAAAATGTTTTTCTAAAAATGTTCGTGTGGGCTGCCAATCGATATAGAAGAACAACGAAAAAATGTTGAAATCTCGCGTGATCTACACTATACATTTTTTTTGCGGGTCTAGGATTTATGAATTTATAGGATTTATTGTGAGATTCTCAGAGTTCCCGGAATAATAATAGGATTATTATTACACTTTTCCCGGGACGTACTGTAGGGTTTGCGCGTAGTGTTTGTTGTTTGCAGATTTTTTCAGCGCGTGTTTGCGGATTTTTTCAAGGCGTATTTTTTTCTTTGGAGGTTTGGATGTTTCCTAACAAAGTGAATTGTTTATAGTGTTTTCGATGAGAAATGTATGAAGCGTATACTCCAAGCGAAGTTGCATTACGTCTCCCTGTCGAAATTTCATGTCTGGCTTTCCAAAGATCTTCGCAAAGTGTATTAGCAGGCGGAAAAACTGGGCATCTTTATGTTTATTCACTTTTAGCCAGTAAGTATTCACAGTTTTAGAAGTTAATTTAACTTAATATTGATTATTTTAGATCGACGAGGATTTGAACTCACTAATATTTGCAAAAGTTTCCATAGAAAAGCAGTTTTGGAGCTAAATGTTTGCGAAAGAGAAGATTTATTGTTATGCATTTCTGATGGTCAATTAGTTGCACATCGATTAGATGATCCTCATTATAAATGTGAAACTCTACTTCATAAAGTGAAAAATGTTCAAACATTCGCCAAATTTTCTCCAAAAGGCTCACCAATTCTCTATTTAATTGTTGCCGCCAAGAAAAAACTACACCTTTTCAAATGGGGTCTTTCTGGCGATGTTTATGAGTTCCTCGAAGTTTCTTTCGATTACAATCCAGTATTTTCGGAGACTCCAACACTTATCAAATGTGTAAATGATATAATATATTTCGCTGTACGTGGTGATTATTTTATGATGACAATGCAAAAAGATAAAGAGACTGAAGATGATTGTTGGAATGGATATATTAGAAAATTAATGAATTATCAAACAAATGCTCCTGGAATTATTCCGATGATTGATAAATCGAGAATTGCATTTATTCGAAATGAAACTGTTGTGACAACAAAAATCGAGGGACAAAAAGCGCCAGAAGAATATAAATTCTCTGAAATTCCACTTCAAGTAATGTATGATGCACCATATATAATTGGAATGTTATCAAAAGGACGTGTTGAGATTCGAAGTTCTTTTGATGGAAAAATTGTGCAAACCATGTCATTGAATAAGGCTTTAACACTTTGTAATGGTGGACGGGGACAAGTTTTTGTTGGAAGTTTATCTGATATTTGGATTTTGGACACTTCGATTAATTTGAGGAAAAATGTTTCGCATTTGATTCAGGAAAGACATTTTGAATTGGCTATTCAGTTGGCTGATAGTTCGAATATGTTTAGTGAAGAAAATAAAATTGAAATAAAAAGACAGGCGGCACTCAATCTGTTTAATCAGAAAAAATTCGATGAATCTTTCGCACTTTTTGGTGAAATCAAAACTGGTAACTATTTATTTTCTAAACACAAAACCTCATGAAAGTAGTTGTTCCATTTCAGATGTGTGTACAATTCTCCAAATGTTTCCCGAACTTTTACCAGAAGGTGTTAAAAAATCGGCAAATGCTCCGGATTTGGCGATGAACGATAAAATGCGTGCACTTTTTGCGTTGGGAAGTTATTTATCAGAAATTCGGACGGAATATGCGCAGCAAATTGATTTGTTCAATCGAGAGAAAATTAGTGGAAATTATAAGAAATCAGATGTTCAGGAGATTTCAAAATTATCGATTGCTTTGAGAGTTGTAGATACGACTTTGCTCAAATGTTATATTAAAGTGAGGGATTTTTAAGGAAGAATAGGACCACAATTAAAGAAATTTATTTTAAAATTTGGAGCAAAAATTGCAATTTTCAGACAAAACCTGCACTTGTTGATTCGCTCATTCGATTACCTAGCAATTCTTGCACTTTTGACGACGCAGAACAAATTTTGAAATCTGAAAATCGAATAAAAAGTTTATTTGTGTTATATGAATCTAGGAAACGACATGAAATGGGTATTTTTTTTCGTATCACAAGATTTATCCCTCAAAAAAAAACCAATTTTCTTGCAGCCATTGATTTGCTCATCGAACAATCCACTAAAACCGATGTTTCTCCAATTTTCGAAGATGTCACTGAACAAGTTGTTGAATATTTGCAATCGCTTGGCAACTCAAATCTTCCCCTAATTTTGAAATATTCGAAATGGGTTTTGTCGAAAGATCTCGATTTGGGTCTTCAGATTTTTACGTCGGAAGAGACTGAGATGGCAAGAAATTTGGATCGAAAAACTGTCGTCGAATTCATGAAATCTGAATGTGTTACAGCTTTGATACCATATTTGGAACATGTGATTTATAAATGGAATGAAAATGAGACTTTTTATCATGAGACTTTGCTGGAATATTATGTAGCTAAAGTCAATAATTTGTTCAAGGATTATGTTCATGCATTTCCTGATGGTTTGTTTTTGATTGGGTTTTTTGAGCTGATATTAGTTATGAAAAATATCTGACCACCTATTTATGAACATGAGTATTGACGTAGTCAAGTTTACACAAATTTTAAATGGTGATAGTCTAAGATAACCTCAGTAGATTTGGAAGCGCCCTTCAGTTTTTTCAATACCTCTCGGTCAGAAAACGGCGACTCCGCCCCGATCGGTAGCGACCTCGCCGTTTTCTGACCGAGCTATTTGGAATTCTGAACACAACATTACATCATATACATTTTTCTATAAAAATGTTGACTTTTTTCAGACGAAAACATTATGCGACTCAGCGAAGAAGAAGGAGAATTGAAATTTTATCGAGAAAAATTGCTGAAATTTCTGGAATTTTCGAATGTTTATAGCCCCCAAACAATTCTTCTTCAATTGGCTCCTCATGCATTTTATGAAGAAAGAGCTTTGATTTTGGGAAGATTGAAACAACATGAACAAGCTTTTCAAATTTATTTGAATGTTTTGAAAAATATTGAATCGGCTGAAAAATACTGTAATTTGTATTATAATCAAAATGATGAAATCAATTCGCAAGTTTATTTATCATTGTTTCGCGCTTTGGTTTCTCCACCACCGAATTCTGATTCTGCAAATAACACGCCTTTCGGATCATTCAGCGATGCAACTTCAGAAAAGACTGTGACTGGAAATAATGTGACGGATATTAATTCAGCGATTCGGATTTTGAGTAAACATGCGGATAAAATTGATACGGTTACGGCTTTGGGATTATTGCCGCAAAATACACCTTTGAGAATTGTTTCATCAGCGATTAATGCAGTTTTGCAGACAACTCATAAAGAAGCCAATACGGTGAGTAAATTCGGGATATTCGGCAGCAAACTGTTGGAAAGTTATTTCTACCTGAAATAGTTTGAAAAATTGTCCAGTGAAATATTTTCATGTTGACGTAATCAAGTTGTTTCTATAGTTTAATTTATGCTCTCGGACCAAAGATCAATCAATATAATATTTTATACCTTGGAATCAAATTCAAAGAAAAAATATTAATAATTTTTAATCGATTAAAACATATTTTTTTGAGATTTGTTATAAAATTTTCAAACCACAAAAATTACTGAAAATCCTCACTCATTTTTTTTCTTTCAGTCTCACCTTCAAAAATGTGTCTCTCAATGTGCTTTATCCAAAAAACAATCCAAGAAAAATCAAGCGGAATCCACAAAAATCGTCATCAATTTTTCATCCGAATGTTTTGTGTGCGGAAAAAAGATTGCAATTTCAGCTTTTGTTCGATATCCAGACGGTTCATTAGCTCATTTTTATTGTTTCAACGAGTCTCAAAATTCGACGGTAAGAAAGTAATGTATTTTTTGTATATATTTTTAAAAAGAGAATTCTGTGATATTTTGTTAAATAGTCTGATTTTTTGAATAAATTTTGAAATTATTTTGTTTGCGCAATGTTCTTTTTCCCTTCCCGACAAAAATGAAATACGTAGTCATCCTCAAGAGGATGTGCACCACAAATGCGCCATCTTGTAAAAGATTGACGTATTTTGTGTGTGTGTGCGCTCTCCACGTGCATTTCAAAATAATTTAGTTTCGAGTTTCGGTTTTTGTGTTTTCTAGGCTTTTTCGGTGTTTTCACAGTGATTTCTAGGAAATCATTGTGTTAATTAATTAACGCATCATTTATTTGTATTGATACACTTCCTCGTGAAGTTGTATTTGTATTTTTATTGTTTATTTTGGTCAAAAACATAAAGTTTGGCCTAAAATCCGTGTTTTGTTATTTTTCCTTGCTAGTGGTTTAAATCCACTGCCATCTTTGAAGTCAAACTCCTTGCAATATCAAGCAAAGGAGAACCGGGAGGTGCAACTTGGGGGCCGAACCAACCACAACCCCAAATTCATTCAACTTCGTGTATTCGTCGATTTTCTTTGATTTTTGAACACGTTCCTAGTGATCCTTTCCTAGTTTCAGGACTGGAGTTAAGGAATTGTTCGATTGTCAAAAGGATATTGGATATTTTGGACTAGTGGAGAATTCGACATCGAAAATGGCTACGGCAAGCGAAAATATGCAGAATATCGGATCAGTGAGCAGTGGATTGGAGGATTCAACGGGGCATAAGGATGATATTGGTATGATTTTTGATGAGAAAGCAGCGGACTGGATTATGATTGCACAAGAAGCTCGAGAAGATGCGAAGAAGTTGAAATTGAGTGAAAGACAAGCGGATGTCGTATTGAATCCGTTAATGAAGAAAGTCGAACAACGAGTAGAGGATTTGCGCGGGATGGTCAAGGAAAAGTGGGCGCAAATGCCGAATCGGGATGAGTGGAGATGTTTGCGATATTTGAGAAGAGGAAACAAGACCAATGTGAAGAAATTGGCACAATTGATGGAGAAAGGAACCGAGTTGGTTATTTGGGAAAGAGAAATGGTGAGAAGCTTGAAAATATTGAGAAAAAGGTCAATGAAGAAAGACAAACGTTTATTTTGCAGGTTGATGAATTGAATAGAAAGTTGGAGAATAATGAGGAAGAGATTTTGAAGAAAACCGAGAAATTGAAGAGATATGAGCAGAAATTCGAAGAAATGATGGTATTGATGAAACAAAAAGATGAATTGATGATGAAGATGAAAATGGAAAATGAGAAGAAGAGAGAATTATCACCAACGCCGAGTGTGCGAATGATAAATTTGGATATTGTTGAAAATGGAAATGAAATGGACGAGACATTGAGAAAAGTCGAAGATTTGTTGAAGATGGAAACTGTGAGAGAAACGAAGAGTATGGAAATATGTAAGTCGGAAAGTTTGGGAAGTTCGCGCAGCGATAATACTGAAAAAGTCAAAGAGAAAAGAGTTGAAAAATGGGTGAAAGAACAAAAAGCGGGAAATATTGAGAATTTGAGAGATGAAAAAGTGGAAATTGTTGGAAAAGAGGGTAGTCGGGGCAAAAAATCGGGAAAATCGAGCAGTTCAGGTTCAAGACAAAGTGTTCGAGAGGAACTTATGAATGTGGCAAGATTTATGAAGATCTCGACGATGCCAGATCCTGAAATTTATTATGGAAAACCGCAGGAAAATTTGGATGATTTTTTTAAGTTTGTTCGAAATGAAATATAAGCAAAATATGGAAAGTTCAATGGAAATGGCAGCTGTAATGAAAGCAAAATTTTTGCGTGGAGAAGCTAAAAAGTTATTCGAGACGATTGAATTGAAAGAAGAAATGACATGGAAAGAAATTGTTGAGAAGTTCAAGAAAGCGATGAATGCATCGAGAACAAGTCAAAGAGGAAGAGCAGTGGAAAAATGGCAAGATTTGAGAATTCGTCAAGATCAGTCGCTCCAAAACTTCCTTATCGTTGTTGATTCGCTTGCGAGAGAAGCATTTGCGTCGTCGAAAGAGGAAGTTGATATTTTCAAAACGGCGAAGTTATTGCAAGCTGCGAAGCGAAATCCGACTTTATTGGGACTTTTGGCGGTGAAGAAGAACGATGAGAAGGACGGATTCCAGTATGAAAAGTTGAAAGCTGCGGCTTTACAATTTGAATTTGATTTGGAGAGAAACAAGTATAAGGATGAAAAGAAGAAATCGGAAGAGAAAAAAGATGGAAAATCAGCATCAGAAAATGGAAGAGATTTGAGAAAATGCTTCATATGTGGTGAAGAGGGACATATTGCTGTAAAATGTTCAGGAACCAAGAAGGTGAACACCATAAGAGGAAGAAAATGGGAAGAAATGAAGGAAAATGTGAAGATATTTGGAAAATATGCGACAATTTTGATTGATAGTGGAGCGATGGTTAATGTGATTTCAACGGGAAAGTTGGAAAAATTGAAGAGAAATGTTGAAAATTGGAAGAGATTCATTTTGAAAGAAGAAAATGCGAAAAGTTCAATATATGATTGCAGTGGAAAAAGATTGAATGTTATTGGAGTTTGGAGTATTGAGATTGAGATCAGAAATATGAAGAAAGTTGTGAAATTCCATATTATTCAAAGTTGGGAAGATATGTTGATTCTTGGATTGGAAAGTTTTGGAACATTTGGAATTTATTTGAGATTTGATAGTGAAAAGAAAATGGGTGAAAGTGAGAAAAATGTTGAAAAATTGGAAAATTGGGATAAAAAGTGTGAAACAGGCGCAGCGAAAGATTTGAAAGAAAAGGGAAAATTGGGAAATTATATGAAATCAGATTATTTTTCCAGAAACGGTTCGTCGGCAAATGAAGATCGAGTCGAAAAATCTGAAAATGAAGAGAGAAAAGATGGAAAAGTTGAAGAAAATGAATTGGCAAAAGTTGAAGATGATGATCGAAATGGAAAATTGGAAAAAGATGAAGTTTGGATGGGAAATGTCCTTTGTGACACTTTGTTCGAAGTTGAGACGAAGAAGAAGGAAGTTGAAGATCGAAAAGTGAATGAAGATGGAATGACAAAAGTTCAAAATGGTGATGAAGATCGAAAATTGGGAAAAGAAGAAATTAGTGTTGGAATGATACTTCGTAGAAATTTCGCCGAAATTCGAAGAATTGAAATGGAGAAGAAGATGATCGAGTTGGAAGAAGCTGAAACTGGAAAGAGACAAAGAAAGATGAAGAAAAATTGCAACATGGTTTATGTCAAAAGTGTAGATTATGAGGGTTGCATATCGCCAAAGTATATTGAGCATATTCAAATGTTGAAGCGAAACAAATTGGGCATATATGCTTCTTCCAAACAACATCCAATCGATCAAGGTTTTTAATTTTTATTTTGTCATAGGTACCGTGGCGGCACCTCTTGAGGGGGGGAAGTCATCCTCAAGAGGATGTGCACCACAAATGCGCCATCTTGTAAAAGATTGACGTATTTTGTGTGTGTGTGCGCTCTCCACGTGCATTTCAAAATAATTTAGTTTCGAGTTTCGGTTTTTGTGTTTTCTAGGCTTTTTCGGTGTTTTCACAGTGATTTCTAGGAAATCATTGTGTTAATTAATTAACGCATCATTTATTTGTATTGATACACTTCCTCGTGAAGTTGTATTTGTATTTTTATTGTTTATTTTGGTCAAAAACATAAAGTTTGGCCTAAAATCCGTGTTTTGTTATTTTTCCTTGCTAGTGGTTTAAATCCACTGCCATCTTTGAAGTCAAACTCCTTGCAATATCAAGCAAAGGAGAACCGGGAGGTGCAACTACGTTGCAAAATGTGAACAAAAATCAGAAAACCGGATGGGTCAGAACATGTTTGTTGAGCAAAAGAGCAAACTTATTATTTTTTTTCAATTTTCCAAGCTTCGGGATTTTTCTGGAAGATTCCGAAAGTGTCAAAATCAGAACACAAAGTTTTTTTTGGCGAGAAAAAGTTCAAATCGTGATTTCTTTTACTATTTGCTCTCGGTTGTAGAAAAATTATTATTTGATTGAAAAGAGAAAATACTCGAAATTGTTGCAAATGTTATGAATTGAGTTGTGGCGGCAAAAAAACACGGAATTTATTTACTATTGAATTAAAACGTGAGCAAAGTATGTGGGGAAAACATTTTGGAGTTTGTACTTTTCACGGAAAAATTTCAGATTTCTAAAAAATTGTTGAAACAGCCAGGTTTTCCATAAAAAATAAATTTTCAAATTTCGAAAGAACTTTTGAGGATTTTCCCGAGTTTGGAGCTATTGAGCTTCAGAATTTCACATTAAGAAATCAGGCTCCGAAGGTCTAGGTTTGCTCACGATTTTAAAAAATTCGCATAGCTATGAAATTTCGGGTGCGAAAAAATCAATCAAAACGGAGAAAATAAAAATAAAACAACGAGACTCCGCAATGCCGCAATGCTGGCTTGTGTGCGTGCATATTCATGTTATTTTTTTGCATGCTTGTTATAGTTATTTTTTTTACAATTAGTTTTTTTTTGTTGGCTCCCATATTTCTGTGAATACTTTTCAAAATATTCTGAATTTTTTCTCGCAAAGCCAATTTCTATTTATTCATTTTTTTTTCAAAAATCTCTCATTTTTCCATCTTTACTTCATCCCAATATTAAATCTCAATTTCCTTTTTTCTTCTTTTCAAAACCAACAATATCTAGCACCAAATATATATCCGAGGCTAACTACAAACAAAACAAAAACCGTCTATCGGCTACTTTTATTGACATCTCTCATATTTCTTTTATGACAGGCGGAAGGAAGAAGTTATTCTTTTCGAAATTCCCATAAAACTCCGCCCAGATTTCTTAAAATTCACGGTGTGTTGTTTTTTTTTTCAACATTTGTTTTTTTTGCATCGGTCTGTGTTTCTTTGTGCTTGTTGTTTGAAGTACTCTTGGCTCGCGACTCGACGCCTCTCATTTTTGACCGCAAAAAACTTGATCATGATTCAAAAAAGGTCATTTTGTTAGTTTATTATTTTCATTGTTACTTTTTGGGATGCGTTCGGGTTAGGCGTAGGCTTCAGATTGGGTTTAAGTTATAGGCTTCTAGGATCGATGCCCGTAAATCTTTTCAAATGATCTGAAAGTTCACGTTACTTAAGATAAAGGCTCCGGGTTAACCAGTTTCAGTAATTCCTCTGAATTTTTTCATTTTTTGTTGAAGAAAATTCTGACTTTCTTGAATATTCCTAACCATAGATTTTTAGATGAATCTGAATCGCGAATCCGGAATCCAAAAAAAGTTTATATTCATTTTTCAAAAAAAAATTTGAATTTCTGAAATTTCTAGCCGAATTAAAGTTTTAAAGATTTCTATTAAAAATTGTGAGATTTTTTGGGAGTTTTAAAAAGAGCATATTGATAAACTTTGAAAATGTTCTATTTTGAATTTTTCTAAAAAATGTTGCCAAGTCACAGACTTCAAATTTTGTGTGGTAAAAATCTACTCGTGATTGAGAATTTCAGAGAACAAGTTCATTTTTTTCATCTGAATGTCTCAATTTCAAATCAAATTTTTAGTTGTTCTAGAAAACTAAAGTTCTGTAAATTTAAAAAATTTAGGCAAGACTTCCATAAAATCACGTGAACTTGTCTCAACTTTCTAACCAGTGTAAATATTATCCAAAACAACAATTCAAACTAATTTTCCGTGATTTCTTCCCATCTTCTTGCTCTAAATCTCTTTTCTCTCATTCTTTCCTTATTTATCCAAACTCCACCTGCTTCAACTTCAAAAAACTTCTCCTTACTCGCAACTCATCATCATCTTCAATCACTTCGTCATTTTTTGTCGGCGTCTGCGTAAAAAAATGACCAACACACTTGTAAGTGTGCTTACGCGTGTGCACAATCTTCGCGCAGGCGCAAGCACGAGCAAATATATGCGAAAGCGCAGCGCGGAAGGAGAAGCATCAGAAAAAAAAACCAACACAAATAATATCTGGGGTGGATATGCTGTAGAAGAATAAGAAGTATAGTATAAGGACGGGAAGGGAAGGGGGGATAAGGGGAGAAGTAGACACACACGTCAAGTGCAACTATTCAAAATGACTGATCACTTCCGCTTTTTTTTGTGAATGAGGGAAAGAAGTATAAGACTTTAGGGGTTTATGGTATAGCCCTCCAGCTACTCAAAAGTAGCTGCTCGAGTAGCTCGAGCAGATTATCTGCTTATCTACTCGAGTAGCTAAGCACGCTCATCTGCTCGAGTAGATAATCTGCTCATCTGCTGAGTAGCTAAGCGTACTCATCTGCTCGAGCAGATTATCTGCTTGCCTGCTCGAGCAGTCTACTCGAAATCTGCTCACTTGTTTTTGAACATGAATTTGAAATTTTTTTAATGACTGAAAAGTTGTAAGAGAAGTAGGAGAAGCTTGAATTTCAGCTTCTGGTGTCATTTTAGGCAGAAGCTGACTTTTTAAAGGAAGTATGCATGAAAAATCGATTTTTATGAAATTTGATATTTAAGGGTATTTCGATATGGGGAACATCGTGGTGAGACCCATTCGGCCCAAAATCACTTTTAAAGGACCCCATCACTCAAAAAATTTTTTTGAAAATGAGGTATTTGGGCACGGGGAACATTTTGGTGAGGTATACGGTCGGGAACAGACTTTTAAAGGCGCATGCCAGGCTATTACACATTTTCCGAGATTTTTTTTTCAAACTATCATAACTTTTTTATTTTGGAAGCTTTTTGAAAATTCGACAACCATTTTGACGGTCTTGAAGCGGGCTACATTTTTGTGTTGACACCAACTACCGTACTTCGCTAAGAGGTGAAAAACACGGTTTTGTTCGAATTTACATCAAAAAATGACATTTTTGAGAGATCTGAGAGATAAAACCGTGTTTTTCACCTCTTAGGAGCGAAGTACGGTAGTTGGTGTCAACACAAAAAATGTAGCCCGCTTCAAGACCGTCAAAATGGTTGTCGAATTTTCAAAAAAGCTTCCAAAATAAAAAAGTTATGATAGTTTGAAAAAAAAATCTCGGAAAATGTGTAATAGCCTGGCATGCGCCTTTAAAAGTCTGTTCCCGACCGTATACCTCACCAAAATGTTCCCCGTGCCCAAATACCTCATTTTCAAAAAATTTTTTTTTGAGTGATGGGGTCCTTTAAAAGTGATTTTTGGGCCGAATGGGTCTCACCACGATGTTCCCCATATCGAAATACCCTTAAATATCAAATTTCATAAAAATCGATTTTTCATGCATACTTCCTTTAAAAGTCAGCTTCTGCCTAAAATGACACCAGAAGCTGAAATTCAAGCTTCTCCTACTTCTCTTACAACTTTTCAGTCATTAAAAAAATTTCAAATTCATGTTCAAAAAACAAGTGAGCAGATTTCGAGTAGACTGCTCGAGCAGGCAAGCAGATAATCTGCTCGAGCAGATGAGTACGCTTAGCTACTCAGCAGATGAGCAGATTATCTACTCGAGCAGATGAGCGTGCTTAGCTACTCGAGTAGATAAGCAGATAATCTGCTCGAGCTACTCGAGCAGCTACTTTTGAGTAGCTGGAGGGCTATAGTTTATGGGGTACTGTAAAAGACCAAGAGAATGCGTAAAAACATACTGTAGAAACAATTCCATATGATTGAGCATTGGAATTTTGTCGATGTATAGGGTTCTTAAAAATCCAGATTTTTATGTTATTGTAATCTTGGTAGGTGTATCTTTGTAAAAAATGAGAGACTACTGTAGTACCGTACATACTTAATTCCATATTTTAGGTCTACTGATATTTTCAAATAGTGCAACTACAGTAATCCAATAATGTATTCTGATCTGTTTCCAAATGCAGTTATTAAAAAATTCGGGTTATTTTTGTTAGTCTAAAAATTAATTTTCAGTTCAAAAAAATTGCGAAACGTGATCCAATTTTTTTATTTTTCGTTTGTCTATAATTGAGTTTTTCATTCATTTCTTATTATTTTATGTTCACAAAAATCAAGTGAGTTTCAAAATCTGTGACCTTTTCCAAACTCATTCATTCATTCATTCATATTTTTCTTCATTCCTTCTCCAGCAAAATCTGCCAAAAAGCCGTGACACTTTTCAAAACAAACACAATCAAAAATGTGTTCTTTCTCACCTTTTGTTTCTGTTCTTCTTTCCAAAAATTAAAATAACCCATCAATTAGCAAAGATATCGAATTTCCATATTGTTTTTTTCTGGGAGCAAAAACTCATTTATTTGCGCAATGTTTCTTGACTCATTAGATGAGTCAAGTCAAGTCACTTCAGATCAAAAACAACCAGTTTCAGCGATCGATCAAATAGTTTCTACTCTCTAACTATATGATGCTTCTTCCCCCGTTAATACGTCACATAACGTGGAAAAAATGAGAGCATCGCATTCTTTTTTGCGAGGCGAAGAAGAGAGGCCAAACTAGTTTTGTGAGACGAAGCGGAGGGGCGAGCAGAAAATGATGCGCAAGCAACGCATGCTCAAATCATTTACATGTTGATTTGTTGTTTCTTCCATTCTCATTCATTCATTCTTGTTTAGCGAGGAATTTTTTGGAACTTCTTTATTTTGTTTGATCTTTTGGTAATTATTTAATTGTGAAAATTTTCGGAAATTAGTTTTACATAGGGAAACTTTATTGTTCTTTCAGAATTCTAATGTGATTTCTGGATTTTTCAAAAGCTTCAAAATTCTATAGAACTTGGAAAAACAAACGATGTCTTTCTGAATTTCTAATATTGACTCAATGTTTCTCGAGCTCAGACTACATACAAACATTTTTTTGAAAACATTCGGTCTTTTTGGGGACTCTGTTCACAAATTCTCGCTCTCCTGATGAGTTTTGGGAAACCAAAATTTTCCAAAACCGTACTGAAAATATGAAAATCCTAACTTTTCCAGCTCAGAATTTTTGGCACAAAATTTTTCCTGAAAACGTTTTATAAAAATTTTGAATAGCTTGAATTTGAAAGAAATTTGTACTATTTCAAAATCGTGAGCTAATATTCAAAACTTTTTAATGAAGAACCCAAAGGTATGGAATTCTTCTTTCAAAATTTTCGAAACAAGATTCAGCTTCACTTTCATATTTTCACCCAAACTTTGTTGATTCCCCCAGTTCCTAACATGAGCAATGCTTCCGCGTTCCTCCAAAACAAAGTTCATAGTTTCTGTGTTCTTTCCTCCTTGTTTTTTCTCAAAATTTGTCCAAATCTGTTCTTTCCGTTGCCATTCCATTTGGTCACAAAATTCCGGTCATCATCTTCTTTTTTTTCTTTTTTACCTAATACTTTTCGTCAATAAACATCAACATCATAAGTGGACACACTATTTTTCCTCTTCTTCTTCTTCATATTTTTTCACTTGAATATGGGTGTGCCACCAATGAATAATGTTCACCCAATGTTCTCTTTATATTTATTGACATAAACTCAAACTCATTTTCATTTCCTTTTTTTCTAGATCCCGAAACATCAAAAAAATGGCGCCGTCCATCGGGTGCCTTTTCGTATTAACCACGTTTGTAGTCAGTTCTGCACATGCAAATGATCCTGGATTTCTTGATAGCTTCAAAAATATTTTGTTCGGTGGAGCTGCGCAGGATTCACAGAAAATAAATGTGACGCAAAATCATGCTCCAATGGGATTCCATCAATATAATACAGGTTAGTAGTTGGGATGGGGGGAAGAAAAATATTGATGTTAATCATCGAATTTGTCGGTGTCCAAATTATCTGAAATTTGGTCCCAGGAGAATTGAAATATTTTTTTAATGTCAAAAGTGAAAGTTACAATTTTAGATTTTTACCCCAGAATCTGAGGTTTTAACATTTATAGTGATCTATAGAAATTCTGATTTCAAGAAAAATCAACAGCACCCAAGTTTTAAGCTTGAGAGAAATTTTTACAATTAATGTTGGCTACCGAAATTAAATTTAGAATGAGAAAAACTTGAATTTCAAACCATAACTTCAAAAATAGGTTGGAATTTTTTATAACTTCAGCTTTCAACTTTTCACATTTTTCCCGATTTTCTATATTTTGGGCATGAAAAAAATTAATGTAGGTGTTTGAAATTAGAAAACTTGCCAAATCAGCTCTGCATAAAAAATCTCTGATTTTTCAGTTGCCACAACCAATAACCGAAACACTCAACCATCTGGTCAATCATGCACTTTGCCACGTCAAATCGGCACAGGACCATACCGTATTCCACGTTGGTATTATAATCCAGTTCGTGGACGTTGTGAACTCTTCTATTGGTCAGGATGTTGTGGAAATGGAAATAATTTCCAAACTTTCCAGGCTTGTCAAGGAACTTGTGAAGGTTAGTTTTTTATTTTTATTTTTGTGAAACGATGTTGAAGAGGACTACAAGATAAAATAAACTTCAAAAGTATTTTTCTTGAATCAAAATTTTCTCCGGTTGTAGTAAATGGAAATGGAATTCAACAACAAGCTCAACAATATCAGCCAAATACAATAAATACCCAAATAGATATAGTATTCCAACCAAATCCCTCTTCAAATTCCGACTCAATTTGTCCATGTTGCCTAAAACCCGCTTCATCGGGTTACGGTAGCGGACAAGAGGTACGGTATTTTTTCGACATCACAACTCGAAAATGTCAACAATTCATCTATAAAGGTGTTGGCGGGTATGGCAATAATTTTGAGTCGGAAGATAAATGCAATAATTTGTGCGGAGCTCAGACTACTGTAGCTCCGCCAACACTTTTGCCAATCGTTGTACAACAACAAACAGGTTCATTTTTGAAAGCAAAACAAAAAATGAAATGCTTTTTTGAGTGTGTGTCGCATTTTTGCTGTGCTTATGCTTATTTTTGAGTTTTAGATTTATGAAAAAAATACGTTTGGAATTTATTACTGGGCCAGAATTTTAATATTTCCTAATTTTTCGAAAAAAAAAACCTCTTTAAAAAATCCCTTTATGAAAATTCCAAAAATCTTCCGAACCGCTTCGAAAAATTCCAAACTTTGCCACGTTTGCCACCCGATAAAATCCCAATTATTTCAAGTCCAAACCAAATCCAAAAAACAATCAGCTTTTCTGATTCCACGTGTGTGTGCTTTTTATTCTCCATCCCCATTCCCCATTCAAGCTTTTCCCCCATGTGTTTTTTTTTGCTAATCGTGTGTTTCAGTCGATCCATGTTCACAAGAAAAAGAGCCAGGAGTCGGTGCTCTTCAACTCAACAAATATTTTTTCAACAAAGAAACTCGGATTTGCGAACAATTTGTGTATTTTGGTAGCGGCGGAAATCGCAATAATTTCCAAATTTTGGAAGAATGCCAAGCGCAATGTCCAGGTTTGAAGTGAAATTCCAATTTTTCAAATCTCTAACTTGTCCTTTTTTGAAGTGATAACTAACCGGTCTAATTAAAAATTCAAAAAAAAAATCAAAAACCATATGAACCCAACCCAAAAAAATCCAGGTGGAGGTATTCACAAATTATCATCACGCAGCATGCGCGCTTCGGGAACCCAAGGAGTTATCAGAACTCCAAAATTGTATTCTAAAATAAATAAACTGTTTTATAGAGACCCCAAATCCATGCGCTGTAAGCGGAGCATCGTTGACACCTTGCCAAGCTGGACAAGGTTGTGGAACTGGAAGCTATTGTCATGTTGGAGCACAAAGTCAAACCACAGTTTGTTGTCCAAAACCAGCTGCTGTTGATAGATGTCAACAACCATTGAATGTTGGAATCGGAAATTCGAATTTGCCAAGGTGGGTGGATTTCAGAATTTTGGAAATGAAAAAAAAATTTGCTGTCCTAATTTTTTTGAAACTCAAATTAGTCGACCTGACAATCATAATAAACATCGACGTCATAAATAGTTCAAACACGATTCCATTTTTTTAGATGGTATTTCAATCCACTCACTCAACAATGTCAACAATGCACTTATCGCGGACTTCAAGGAAACGAGAACAATTTCCTCTCTCAAAACGATTGTGAAAACTCGTGTCTAACCAATCCATGCAAAATCGGAACACCATACCGTAGTCAAGGAATCACTGTGCAATGCTCAGCTTCATCTCCAACAGTTTGCCCAGCTGGACATTATTGTCATATCGGCGCCGATTCAACAACTTCTGTCTGCTGCCAAGCTCTTGGTATGAAGTTTGAAAACAAAAAAAAACTAGTAGAATTATGTATATTTCTGGGAAATCTGGTAACCCTATGGATATTTCTTAACATGTGTTACCCTAACTAACGTGTGCTCGATGATCATTTTCAGATTTTTGGTTATTATTTTTCTCTGTTGGTGGTGGTGGGAATATTGGTTTTTGAGTTTGGTGATCAGATTGTTCATGATATAAAAAATATGGTGGGTTATGTGAAAAACTGTGCTGTGCTTTCGTGTGGCTTTTTTTGTGAAAGAGTGGAGTTTTTTTTGGTTTTTGATCCGGTTTTTGAAAATCTAACTGTCTTGCTAACTAATAGTTTTAACACAGCCGAAGAATTGGGCCAATTGAACTTTTTTCGAATAAATAGGTTCATTTTTATAGTGCCCAGTTCACACTTACTAAATTTCTTTGGTAAAAATTTTATCAACTCGCATGTTTTTTGACTAACCCAAAACATTTTGAGTGTCCTGCTGTTTTTTTGCTGTTCCCCCAAACTTAATTCCTCCAAAAACTTCAATAATTCCAGGAAATTCTCCGTGCGAGGAAGAAATGACACAAGGCGAAGGCAACGCTGCATTGACTCGTTTCTTCTATGATCCAATTCAACGACGATGTTTGGCATTCAATTATTTGGGTCTCAAAGGAAATCGCAACAATTTCATGTCAAAAGAACATTGCGAAGCGACTTGTCCAGTTTGGCTAAATCCATGTGCAGTTGGAATGCCAATTCTTACAATGAATAGTCAATTACCATTCCATTGTCATCAAAATGCACCATGTGCAAGTGGATATTTCTGTCATCTTGGTTTCGATGATTCAACAACTGTTTGCTGTCAATCACAAGGTGATCCATGTTCATTGGTTGTTAAAGAAGGAAATGGTAATTATGTAATGTCTCGATGGTTCTACAATTCAAAAACTCGTCAATGTCAACCTTTCACTTATACCGGAATGGGAGGAAATGAAAATAATTTCTTGTTGCGCGAACATTGTGAGGCCACGTGTCCTGTTTGGATCAATGCCTGTCCCATTGGTGAACCATACCTTCTTCCAAATCATAAACCACAACCATGTTCAATAACTTCATCTTCATCTTGTCCACTTACTCATTGGTGTCACCCAGGAGTTGATGCAACTACCACAATGTGTTGTCCTGGAAGAACAGATCCATGTGGATTGGCACTTTCACAAGGAGAAGGGCCACTTTCTGTTAGTCGATGGTATTTCAATGCGAGAACTCGAACATGTGATGAATTTATGTTCAGAGGATTGAAGGGAAATGCAAATAATTTTGGAAATCAAATCGATTGCGAAAAGGCTTGTCCAGTTCAACAAGATCCTTGTCCTTTAACATCGAAGATGTCAAGTTTGAAACATTCAGCAAAACTGGTTCCATGTTCAACAACAAAACAATGCGGCGCTCAGCAGTGGTGTCATTACGGAGAAACCAAAGAAACTACTGTATGCTGTCCAAATGGTTAGTTTAATTTAAAAACTTATTATCTATGAGAAATCATTCCTTATTTTTCAGCTGTTGATGATCCATGTACCGCTCCGCCACGTAATCCAGGAACTGGAGAATTCCACGCAACTCGTTGGGCTTTTGATTCAAACAGCAGAAAATGTGTGCCTTTTGAATATCGAGGAATGAAGGGAAATGCCAATAATTTCTTGAATCGTGAAGCTTGTGAAAAGAAATGTCCAGTCTTCCAAAACCCGTGTAAAATCGGCGAGCCACACATCGGAACTGATCACAAATATATGCAATGTAGCCCACAACAAGTTTGTCCAGCCGGACATTATTGTCATATTGGAAGCGAAGCCAATTATTGTTGCAAAGCATTGGGTAGAAATTGTTATACTAACACTTTTTGTGCACTAACTTTGAAATATCAGATTTCCAAAATTAGAGGAACTTTTTGAATATTTGATAATTATTTAGGAGGAGATCCATGTGGTCAACCAATGGATCGTGGAACCGGAGGAGCTGCTTTGTCTAGATGGTATTGGAATCAACAATCGCAATGTTGTCTTCCATTCAAGTAAGTCAAAAGGCTCTCTAATCAAAAGGCTCTTAAAAATTCATTTTTCTAGCTATTGCGGATTGAAGGGAACTCAAAACAACTTCTTGAGCAAACAAGATTGCGATCGCACTTGCTATGGTGAGTTGATTTCAGAAAACCCGAAAAAATCCCCTACCCTGAAACATTTTTGAAACCTCCCAGTGAATGGTATTTCAACACCCCTGAACGGTGTTTTTTTCATCACATGACCCGATCTCCCTCCCCCATTCAAGTAAATGAAACCTTTGTGCAAACTTTCTCGCTTCCCATTTAGAACTCGACAATCCTTGCGCTCTCGGTGACCCACAAATGGGTCAAAACAATCGGCCACTTCAATGCTCGACATCTTCCAACACATGTAGTTCATCATTCTGGTGTCATCATGGTGCCAATGCTGACACCACAGTTTGTTGTCCAGGAAAAGGTATATTCCCTCCCCGCTTTCCCCAATTTTTGCATTTTCCAATTCTCTTTTAGTGCCCACACAAGAAGTTTGCCAACAACCAATGGTGACTGGAACAGGCGGTGCAACATTGCCACGTTGGTGGTATGACGCGTCGACTGCACAATGTGTGCAATTCAATTATGAAGGAAGAATGGGAAATGAGAATAACTTTTTGAGTCAGAGTGATTGTGAACAATCTTGTCCAGGTACTAAACAGACTGTGTGTGTGTGAGATGAGAACGATCAGACTGATTAATATATATTTTAATTAATTATCCCCTTGTGCTTTCAATACCCAACCCCCAAAAAATTGCAGTTTACGTAAATGTCTGTCCAACCGGTTCCCCTCTCCTCGACACATCTTCAAATAAGCCAATCCCGTGTACATTCGGCTCAAACTCTTGCGGTTCCGATCATTGGTGTCATCTTGGACTCGTTCCTGATGAATATCAATGTTGTCCTGGTCAACCAACAAATCCAGGCGCTTGCCAAGGTGAAGACTACAGTGTTGGTGAAACTGGAGCAGCTGCACCAGCTGCGGTTAGATGGTATTATGATAAGTCGGAAATGCAATGCAAACAATTCACTTACAATGGAAGAAAAGGAAATCAGAACAACTTTTTGACGCAAGCAGATTGTGAAGCAACTTGCGATGGTTTGTGCTTAATTTCTAACATTTTCTTACTAATCACAACTTCTACAAACTCTATCAATCTTTCTCTTCTGATTAGGAAATTTATCTCAAAACAATGCAAATTTCAGTGTTCACCAACCCATGTAATCAACCAATCACTCTGCCAGCCACTCAATGCTCATCAACTGGAACATCAGATACTTGCGGAGCTAATCAATGGTGTCATATTGGAGCAACTCAAGATTCCACTGTTTGCTGTCCTTCTGAAGGTGATCCATGTTCACTTCCACTTTCTCGCGGATCCGGAAATCAATTCATGGATCGATGGTATTATAATCAACAAACAGCCAGTTGTCAACAATTCACTTATTCGGGACTTCACGGAAATCAAAACAATTTCTTATCACAACAATCATGCGAAGAGAAATGCGGACCAAATCCATGTTTCGAAGGTCGACCATTTGTTGGAGCCGACGGAAGAACTCAAACCTGTTCAGCTTCGGCAAACTTCAACACATGTCCTTTGAATCACTGGTGTCATATTGGAAATGATTTATCAACAACTGTATGCTGTCCAGGTGCTTCGACAAATGTTTGTAATCTTCCAATGTCAACTGGAGAAGGAAATGCTAATTTGGAAAGATATTATTATGATTCAAATGCAAAAACTTGCCGACCATTCACTTATAACGGATTGAAGGGAAATCAAAATAACTTCATCTCACTTGTAAGTTAAAGAAATCTAGATCTAAACCCTTACTCAATCAACAAAATTAATATTTCAGCGTGCTTGCCAACTTTCATGTCAACCATTGGATAATCCATGTATCGGTCAACCAGCTACCACAGCCGCCGGACAAGTTCTCTTCTGTTCAATCACCAACAAAGATTCTTGCCCTGTCAATTTCTGGTGTCACATCGGAGCCACCCCAGAAACAACAGTCTGCTGCCCGGGAGCAACCAATCCATGCTCCGTTCCATTGGCACCAGGGACCGGAAATTCGGGACTCGCCAGATATTATTATAATCCAGATGATCGACAATGCTTACCGTTCCAATACAACGGAAAACGTGGAAATCAAAACAATTTCGAATCTCAATCCGAATGTGAACGAACGTGTCCAGGTATTTTTGTAACACACCTCGTCAAAAAAAACGATGGTTAACTTTTCTACGGTACTTCGATCGGCTCTGGGTATTGCATGTTCTAAATTACTAACATTTTTCCAAAATTTGTGTTTTTTCTAACCCATTGATTATTCTTGAAGTGTTCACAAATCCATGTCTCGGCGAACCAATTTTGAGTTCTGATTTATCCCCCAAAAAATGTCGACCCCTTTCGAAGAACCCATGTGGTTCCACATCGGAATTTTGTCACACTGGCGATCCATCGGATCCCAATTCAAGTTATTGCTGTCCAAGAATCAATCGTAAGTTTTTTTCGTATCTGAACCTCAGCGGAGAAAAATCGAAGAATTTTATAGAAGATCCTTGCGAAGCTTTTGTTCGGTTAGGAGAAGGAAATCTGAATCTGACGAGATTCTATTATAATCCAGTTGAAGGAGAGTGTTTTTCGTTTGAATATCGAGGATTAAAAGGAAATGAGAACAACTTCCTGACTTTGAAGAATTGCCAAGAAACTTGTAAACCATGTAAGTTTGATTTTGTGACAAGTGTTTTGAAGCGACCTTTAGGACTTTCAACACTGTTTCTTTCCTCGAAACAATTTGATGAGTTCAAAACCATATTTCAGTGACGAACGTATGTTTTGGTGGTCAACAACCTTTGATTGTAAATGGTCGAATTGCTCAATGTCACAATTCCGCGTGTCCTCCAACCCATTATTGTCACCGCGGTTCCGATATTCGATCAACAGTTTGTTGCGCCAAAATGGGAATAACTTGTGATCAACAATTGATGTTAGGAGTAGGAGATTCGAATCTTCAAAGATATTTCTATGATACAATTGATGATAAATGCACACGCTTCAATTACACCGGAATCGGGGGAAATGAGAATAATTTTGTGACAAAAGCCGAGTGTGAAATTGCTTGTCCAGGATATCGTGATTATTGTCCACATGGCAAACCGGATGTTGTTGAACATCGATTAACAACTTGTGGAATTGACACGGGATGTCCAAGAGAACATGTTTGTCATGTTAGTAAACGAGGATCGAAAAGTGTTTGCTGCCCAGATCCAGCTACTTTTTGCTTGTTGCGAGCTGATCCGGGACCATGTAATGATCGAACTGTGAAAAGATATGCATATGATAAAACTACTGGATCTTGCAGAATGTTTATGTGAGTATAATAAAGTTTAGACTCGAAATGATCCAAATTTTCTCAGCCTTTTCAATTCCCTAATTAAATTTCATTGCAAATTTCCAGGTTCGGCGGCTGTCAAGGAAATCTCAACAACTTCGAATCCATCGAAAAATGCACCGAAATTTGCTGTGAAAAGGGATACAACTAACCCCCGCACAAAATCGCTTTTCCTTTGTTGTTTTTTGTGTAGTGCTTATTAATCTCACTTGTAAAAATACACTTTTCTGGGTACAAAGAATCAGGTAAGCTTTGAGTTGCATCCAAGATTCGATTCGCAACATTTCTTCACTATCGCTTAGTCTTGGGAAACAAATAATGGTGGTGGAAAAACAAGAAGCATGTGATATTTACTAATTAACCTAACTCAAAATAATGATAAGTTTTATATAACAGAGCCGATCGATTGTGTCTTGTGATAAGTTCCTCCTTTTCTTGAACTTCTATCGAAACTAAATTTTATCGCTGAATTTTTTCTAGAACAATTATGTTTGTTGTCAATCGATCGCGGTGCGTGTGGTGGACGACAAACTAGATATGCTTATAATCGACAAACTGTAAGTTACATTCTCAAAATTCCTATTTATTACGTTCTGAAATTGTTCTCTGGAAATATATTTTTAAAATTCCAGAGTCAATGTGTTGCATTCGAATACACAGGTTGTGGTGGAAATTTGAACAATTTCGTTTCAATGGCCGATTGTATGTCGACTTGCGGTAATGTTGGCTTCCGATAAACTTTTTTCATTTTTATTTCTTCTCTAAATCTCTTTTTTCTCTGCCACATCTTTCCATTTTGTGTATATTTTTGTACCCCAACATATTTATACTTATTCTATATAATTTAGTCTTTCCTTTTTCATCTACAAAGGTTCAATATTTAACAAATCCCACTTTCTTTCACTTATATTATATTATATTCAAATCTTAATAAATATTATTTACATTTTATTTATTATGTTCAGAACATGGTGGTAATTACAGTACCCGGAAATTATTTAAAAAAATTAAAGACGCATACCGGCATTTTTGGATATTTGATGAATATCCAAGCAATTTGGTCCACAATGTGCGTCTTTCTTTTGAATATACATTACGGTAGCATCGCGGGTCTCAAAGAGAATTGCATCATCCAATAGGTTACTGTAGATTTTGCGGAATTCAGGGCGACTGAGAAGATGAGAAACTTGGCAAGCAATGTTGTTTGGAAGACGATTTGTGACTTCGAGATAACCGCCTTCGCTTACAAGATTATTATCTTTGCAAGCAACGCAGCCACCAAAAATGATTGATTTGTTGAGGGATTTGAGAAGTCGAGCAATTACGATTGGAGCAATGCACGAGTGCAAGCCATACCTGCAAAAAATTAGAAATGATTTTCTAAAAAAAATATAATTTGACGTTAACTTTTCCCTAATCTTCCCATTTTCAACTTTCCCCAAAACTCACCAATTGAAACTCTTCAAATTGTCGCATTTCTTCAAAAAATTGATAACAAAATTGAGCACGAAAGTTTTGGACGAAAAGCAAAATTCCGTGATACTCCCAACGTTTTTATGCATTTTTGAGTTTAACGAATTCAAAACCTCAGCGCCATGAATCTGCAAAAAAATTTATATTTCAAAATTTTTATTCTAATTTTTTTTAAACTCACATAAACCCGTTTCCAATTTGCTGAATAGACAAGATTGGCCAAATTTTCAGCATCTTGACAAGGTTTGTCGGTTTTTGGACAGAAAAATAGTTGACGACAATTTGGTGGCAATTTGAATTCGTTGAGCGAACTGTGGTGGAAATACTCGATGTCCCAAAAATAATTAAAAGTTTTGATTAAAAATACTTTTTCAAAAATTAAGTTACCATCAAATCCAAAACTTCGAGTTTTTTGGAATTTTTGAGATTTGGCCAAAACTTGGAGAAATCGGCATTCTCTTGAGGATCACTTATAACAAGTCGCTCGAGATTTGGACAGCATTGGAGAAGATCGTAGACTCCATTTCCAATTGGAATTGTGCCATTGAAACAGATGTTGTCGATTTTGGGGAGTTGGAATTTGTTGAAATTCGACAAGAAATTAGCGCTGGAAAAACAGACTATTTAGGAATTTTCCAAAAAAAAAATGAGAGTATTCGAAGGAAAAACTGTGAAATTTAGGTCAATTCCAGTCTGTTGTCAGAATTTCAGAATGATCTATTAAACAGACTCTGTTTCAGACAATTTTTTCAACATTTTTCATTTTAAAAAATAAACTCACTCTTCCGGGGCATTATTGAATCTCAAACTAATCAATTCTTCAGCAAATAATTTGAGAATATCTTCAAAAGCATCATCGATTTTCTCAATTTTCGCGAAAAATCTCGAATGACAGTGTAGTTTCCCAGAACTACGGAATTTCGATTTGCGATTCATAATCATCTCAAATTCCACTTTTTGCGCCGAAGTTTCTTGTTGTTCGTGGCCACATTTATGAGATGGAAAAGTAACGTGGAGATGAGCCTGAAAGATTTTCAGATATTTTTTAGATCTAGAAAATCATAAAGTGCTCATAAAATTTTCAACAGCAAGAAAAAATTTTGAAAAAAAATCCACCCTTCCCACAACGCCTACTAACATTTATTCAATTTTAATTTTGTTAGCTTGGTGTGTGAGACGAGTTGAAATTCCCAATAAAACCATTAAAAAAATAATTTTTCTCACCTCATATTTTGAAGCCACATTTCCAGCCAAAGATTCGAGTTGGCAATTGGTTTGCGAGAGCAAACAAAGAGCATTTGGAGCATCGGCGAGATTCGAGCAAATCTTTTGCCATAATTCAATTGGAAGCTCAGGAGTGCTCTCGGTGGTAGAATTAATAGTTGGTGTTGTCATAATGGTCCGAAATGAACTTTGTAGCACCTAAACGTGCCTTTTATATGCCTGAATTACATGAGATGACGAAATCGGCGGGCCTTAGCGAGAGATAATGAGAAAAGAGGAGGGTGAGAGAAAAGTTAGGCATAGCAGCAGACGGGCCTATGCTGTGTTTTTGCTTTGTTTCTGTTTAACACGAGGTCATGAGATTTTAGTTTCAAAAATCGTAATAAAATTAGAGAAAAAGGAATCAGATTTTGAGTTCAAATATCCGAAAAAATTCAGAAATTCAAGAGACAAGACAAAATGGAAAATACAGCAAAAAACAAACAAGTTACTTTTCCTCTACAATCTGGGGTCAAAAAAAGAAACAATTTTTGACCTACAGCTAGAAATTCAAGTCTGGTTCAATTTCTTTGAGACATTTTGAAATTTCTGATCCTCAAACTTTGCGAATAAATACTTATTGCAATCAAGAAATAGAAATATCTGATTTCAGTTTAACCCATTCAAAAAACCGTTTTCATAAAACTCCGAAATCTATAACTCAATATTCAAAAAAAAAATTACACCTTTTAAGTTTCGACTTTTATACTCCAAACTCTAAATTTTCGTCATCTGACGAAATTGCCATGCCTAAGCGAGAGAGTGTATGTTTTTGAGAGAGTTAGGCATGTCAGGCACGGCAGCAGCAAGGCCTATTGTTCTTTGGAAACCAAAAGATAACAATTTTTGTACGGGGAAACAATGTTTACTACGTTTTTTACGATAAGAAAATTTATTTATAAATATTTTCAAGTTTTGATAATGAAACCAATAGGAAATTGAAGATTTCTTCGCAATATTAGTGAGTAGACTTGAGATAAACATGCCCTATTGTCTAATTGGAACCGAGACGTGAAAAAAACTTACGAAAAACCAGGAAAAAATCTATTTTCAACAAGAAAAACGAGCCTGAAAAAAGAAATACCACACCTGACGGGCCTAAAAACGACGCGAGCCTGAAAGACGCAATGAGACCCAAGCGAACAACCACGTGCGCCTTTAAAAGTTCACGCGCGGATTTGAAAATAATTTATTTTTATTCTTCTTTATTTTTATTTTTCAAAATTGTTCATTTTCATCCCATAATCTTTGGGCGAATCATCAGAAGAGATTGTCGTGAATTGGCATGATGTTCTCTCAAATAGGAAACAATTTTCGATTCTGGTTCTCGATATGGGAATGCCGTATAAATAATAATCGAACAAATAACCATAAATGTTCCCAAAAGGAAGAGTCCTCCAGGTGTGAAATCGAAAAGAAGCCATGAACCAACAGCAGCACCAACAATTGCCATACTCTTGAAAAATTAAATTTGAAAGTGATTTTTTAATACCAAAAGAAGCCAACCTGTGCATAAGCTTTCAAAATATTGTCAGCATATTTGATGACAACCGAAATTAAAATTCCACCAATCGAATTTGTTAAAGTCATACAAACCACAATAAAATCCCAACCACGGAAATATCCATCTGAAAATTAGAAAAAAATTACTTTTTGATCCCTTTATTCATATCTGAATTAAATTAAATAAATATGGAAAAAAATTTGTTCCCGTTCCCGAAAGATTTTTTGTTGACCTTTGGCAGAACGAAACGGCACAACAAAGGAAATTGAACCGGAGTCATGGCTTTTCACACAACAAAAGCCATCGCTCTCCTCAAATAATTCCTCTTCACACTTATTATAATAATAATTCGCAAAATAATATCTAAATATCGTTTTCTTTTCATCCGGTTGCCGTTCATTTTTTCGCATTGTTTGCGGTCAAAATCATTGAACAGTCAATAACAAAAAAGCCCTTTGTGTTTTGGATCAACTAACCTTTTTGGATAGTTTCCCAATCATAATACCACATGGAAAATGCTGAAATTGGAATACCGATCAATGAAAGACGAATATTTTGCATCCAAATTGAGGCATTGCTTGACTTCAAAACTTTTTCAAGATAAACTCCTGCAAAAGCCGAAGTGAAACACATTGTAATAACAGCGAAAAGGCCGAACATTGGATCTTGAACAATATCTGATGTTGCTGGAGGTGGAGAATAAATATATTGAATATCAGCAACACCTAGAAAACACATAGAAGTTTTTGAAGTTCGAAAAAAAAGGGAGAGAAACCTAGGACTAGTAAAATGAGAGCCATCCATTGTTTTTGCGAAAGTTTTTTGCCCAAGAAAAAGTACATGAAAATTGCGGTGGTGAAGATTTTCATTTGATATGTGATCTGGAAAAAATATGGGAAACATTGTGAGTAGTTAAGGAAAAATATGGAAATGATTAGCTTTTGTCAAATTTGAATGTGAATTTTCGAATTTGGAAATATTTCAAATAACCTGTTTTTCTCTGTTTCTCAAAAAGTTCTGAAAATTACGCTACAGTAGCCTCACACCTTCTCAGTGCCCCCTGATAAAGTTCCAATTCCAACCGCAGCAAATTTTTTCGCAGCCTTCCTCAGAAAGGCTATTTGTTTTTCATGTCAACACATAGGAGCCACTTGACTTTTTTATGATAAAGATAAGACAAAATGCGGCTAGGCCTCTATTTTAGGATAAGAAGAAGAAGATTCTTGTGATTTTTATCTGAGAAAAACAACAAAAAACTTTTGTTTGTTAACAGGAACATAGATAAACTTACACAAAAAGTCGTGGCTTCCAAATGACTCAATGCGATGTAGTATAAATTATTTTGAAGTGTGTAGATCAAAGCGGGAACACAGATTTTGATAGTTTCGATTTTATTTTCAAATATAGCAGACTTCAAATCCTTGGCATATCTGAATAATAAAAAAGGTATTTTTGATTTTAAAATAAGACTTCAAAAATTGATTCATTTTTCATTTCAGAATAGAGCCGAAAATTCCGAAAACAGAGCTAAAAGCTCAACCCAAAATTCAGTTTTTTTAAAATTCCCAACCTCAATAAACTTTTATTGGTCCATATCAAAATAGCACTGCAAACTGTAACTTTAATAATTTCCATGGAAAATACATTTACAGTTGTCAAAAACACGGCATTTTCTTGTTTTGCTCTCGAATATCTTGCCATTAAAGGCATTGAAGCTTGTTGAAGAGTAAGCAAAAGTATACCAAAATATTTAAATTTAGCATCATGACCTTCTCCTGACATTTTTCATATAGAGTAAAGGAAAATTAAGAAAATAATAGGAATTGAAAGCGTTATCTTAGAGAAGGATCTTTTCCTAAACGGGATCTTGATGTTGGCCGTCGAAAAAATGCGGAAAAAATACCGGATTTGTAATAAGTTTCATTGTTCCGAAAAAATTGGATGATTTGATTTCAGTCAAAAGATCTATTGCCTGACATTGTCTGGAAATTTTTCGTAGATTGATGTTTGGCATATTTTTCTGTTTCAGAATCCTCCCACTCAATCTCACAATAAAACGGGCGGAGCAACGGAATTGCGGTGCTTGAGAAATTATTTTTATACAATACAATGCTCATTGTTTGATTCAACGAGGGCTCTTTTTCCTGGATTGTTGTTGCTTTTTTATTTGAAATGAAGAAACTTTTTTGGGTGTTGTTGGAGAAAATTTGAGAAAAGTCACATTTTTCCGATACGATAGTTATTCAAGCTTAAACTACTACAGTAAATTTCGAATTTTTTGTTTTCTAAAAAAATCTTTAAAAATTAAAGTGTTGATTTTTTTCAGAGTTTTCAGAACTATTGCAGGGTTCACTGTAGTGTGTATATTTTTCAAACCATCTTCAGAATATTTCAACGAGTTGTATGTTTTGAAAATTCCAAATTTGGAAATGGTTTTTTTCAACGTGACCCTAGAATTGTTAGAAATCAATTTATAGTTTTTATTTACCCCTTTTCCCTAGCAAATTACAGTATCCCTTTCTCCATAGCTTGATCTACAGTAACGCCACTTGGCCATGATTTCTTTTCAAATCTCAAACAATCATCATAAAGTATCATATTGCTCAACTCTCTTCATAAATTTTCCCACCCATTTTCTTCTGCTCCCAAATCAAGCTCCGCCCATTTTATTTATTTCAAAAATAATAACAACACTGAGCTTTTCCTTCTTCTTCTTCTTCTTTTCTCAAAAAAAGAAGAGAGAAGCATTTTCATTCGTGACCCTCTCATAAATCCTCTTTCCTACCATTTTTGCGGCTCGCCGCCGATCGGTGTGTTTTTGCAGACAGAAAATACATAGACTCCGCCTCCTCAACTCCAAGCTTCCAAATTTTGTGTCATCGCTTGTTGTTCTTGGAAAATGAAGACGCCGGTTTTTTGGTTGACACTTTTATTTGTTGCCATTTTTGTTGGCAAAAATGAGGCCAGCTCAGGTTAGTTTTTCTATGTTTTTTAATTCTGCTTGAATTTTCAAAAAAAAAAAAGAAGTTTGCAAACCTTTCATGTAAGTCTTTGCTCCTTGATCCTAGGAAAATTATTTGAAAAATGTTTCAAACAAAAGTTTTGCTCATGATTGTTTGTTTTGAAATTTGACGAAAAAAGCGGCGCATCGAAACGAACACGCAAAAATCGTGTCGTCTTCTCGATATATTTAATAATTTTTGTTTGTCGTGTGTATCTTCTTTTGTGTATTTCTTGAAGAAAACGAACACTGAAGAAAACGCAAGTGTCATGTTGCGTAATTTTTAGGAACATTTTTGAAGAGTCTGGGAATTTCTTGGGGAACTTGGCAAAATAAGGAAATTGGGGAGTGGAGGTTTAGAAAATACTAGATGTTGTATGTAGATCGGAAAGAGGAGATATTTAAAAATATTCCTTTATCAAATCTGTTTTGGACCAATTCATGAAGATAATTTTTTAAATCAATTTTTCAACGGGTTCCAAAAAATATTCATCCCATTGTGATTTTTTTTGGTCTTTCAAATCATCTGGAAACTTTTTAGTTGGATTTCATTTATTTGAACTTTCAAATAATTTAATTAAGATCCACATCTAGAAAAATACCTAAAACTCATTCCAATAAAAATTTCAACAATTTCTTTCGACACTTTCTTTTCCCATTGGTCATTTCTATTTACTCAGCCAGCGAGTTTTTATTTTCTCCCGTTCTTTTTTTTATTATTTCTTTTTCACCCCAATAGTGGTGATATGTATTTGTTCAATTGCTTTACTCGGTAAATAGGTGTGAGAAATCGAGAAAAAAGAAAAGAAATTGAAACGAATTCGCTTGTGAGCTGACGAATTGAAATGAGAATGAGAAAAAAACAAAAGCGAGAATTTCGGATTGTCTCGAAATAGAAATTTAGAGAAAAATGACTGAAAATATGACTTTTGAGCTACAGAAATGCGGTAAAATTCCACAAATAACAATTCAAAAAAAAATATTTTCAGCGGCATCCGCAGCTTCATCCCGCCAAGCAGCTGTAAACCGTGCCATCGAACAAACCAAATCCCGTCAAAGTGCAGCAAATCAACCATTGCGGGTCCCACAACGAGTGAACGTGCGTTTGAATGCCGAACAAGCAACCACGGTAACAGCTTCTTTTTGATCTTCCTTGAAAACATCTCAAAAATTTTTTGGAAAACTTCCAAGCTTTCAGACCAAGGATGAGTGTAGATCAAAAGTTTACTAAACTAAATATTTAGTTTTTTCATGATTAATTAAAATACTAATGAAACACAGCACTCAAATAACTTTTTCTATTCAAAACAAATTAAAAACTTTATTTATTTTTTGGTTTATTTGGTGAAGGTATAATATTTTTGCATGAATTAAGGAATCATGAACTTTTTAATCAAATAATTCATTTTAGTCGAGTCCGGGGAAAAGTGAAACAATCGATGTTGAAAAATTGAATCGATTAATTCGATCATTGGATAAAACTTGGATTTTACCAAAAACTGGTTCAAAAGATCCAATCGGCTCAAATTTTCAAGTGAGTTTAGAACTTTTGAGAAATGTGAAAAATATGCGATTTTTTGTAGTACAAAAAAACTTGCGCTTCAATTTACAAAGCTCGTCATGGAGCATGTCAACAACTTGGTTTTGGTGTTATGTGCTTCAATTATTGTCACGAGAGAGGTAAAATTTGAAATAAAAATTTTTATCATAAATTTAATTCAAGTTTTAAAAATCTCGATTTTCTTCCTAATTTTTTCTTACTATAACTTCTGAATTTTTCGAAAATAATTTGGCAAAATTTTGGAATTTGAGCTGAACCCTTAAAAAATTACAAACCGTATTTGAAAAAATAAACTCAGAATAAAAAGATTACTCTTTTTTCTCTTTTTAGAATTTTTTAATTTTGGCCTCAACCTCGTATTTCTCAATTCACAGTGTGTAATTTACTACCCCAATTCGCTAGACCTCAAATCTTTCAATCGTTTTTTGGGTAGATCAAAAATAATTTATCTCTAAATCTCTCATTCGTGCGTTGATTTCGTCGATTTTTAGTCCCAATAAGATCTCAGAAATGGCGCGAATTTTTTCGGTTGGAAAATTACAACCTGTGAATTTCTACTTCAAAACAATTTCGGTCATTTTCCATTCCCATTTCTCTTTTTTTGCAGGCGAGAAATTGTCATTCAAATGTCAAGATACATCAGATGCCACATATTGCAAACAATCCGGAACTTTTGACACATTTTTGGCAAAATATCGAAAAGATGGTTATAAAGCAAAAGCTTACATTCATCAGATGATTTCAAGATGCTACGCAACAACAATTTGTAATACACAATCTGGAATTCTCAATTCAACAATCATTGATGATGATGAAATTGTTGAGAAAACCACAAAAGTGAGTTGATTTATTGAACTAATCTGAACAAATCTATACATATAGCATGGTTACTTTTCATATTTTTATTTCAAATCGGCATGAAAAAATATTTAGGCAAATCGCTTGAATAAAATGTTGACGCGAAAACCATCTGGATCCAATCCATTGGCTTTGATGAAGCTGAAAACCAAAATAACCACAACAACTTCAAAACCAGAAGAGGAAGTTCCAGAGCCTGAAATTCCAGATGATTTTGGAGAGGAAGAAGAAATTGTCACATCGACAACTGCAAAAAGACGCATTAATGGAAAGGTATTTTTTTATTTTTCTTATTTTTTAGTTTCGAACTTTGAATATTTTTTTATTTCATGCAACTCTCAAATCATTTGTTTTTCAGTTCTCAATAATCACAATTTAATTTTAGGAAACAATTAAAAAATAATGTGTTTTTAGAAAGCTCAAAAACCAGTGAATACAACACCAAGACCAGTTCCAACAACAACAACCAAGGCAAATATTTGGGATAAATTCACAGTTGGAATGAAAGCCAAACCGACACCAAAATATATACCATTTTGGCAGCGATTAATGTCGACGACAATTAAACCAGTTGATGGTGAAGGAGAAGCATCAACACATATTGCAAGTTCGACTGAAGAAGAAGCATTTACTGAACCAGCTGAAGTTGAAGAAGAAGAAATTGTAAATGAAAAACATGGAAAAGAAGAAAAAGAAGTTGAAGAAACTGTGGAAGAAACTACAACAAATGTTGAAACAACCACAATTCCAGAAGAGGATCGAGTTGTTACGTGAGGAAAATTTAGGGGAAGGGTAGAATAATTGAGCAAAAATTCCTTGATACAGTAATTTGTATTCCAAAGTTTTTTACCAAAATCTTTCATAATTTCCGAATATTAAAAAATATTTTTTCAAATTTTGTTCTCAGAACACCGGAAAAATTTTTGAAACAAACAACTTTTCCAATTTTGAACAACTTTTGTCCAATAAAATTGGAGCTTTCGGCAAATTTTGTTCTGTGACAGAAACTTCTTTTCAATTACTTTCTGAAAATTCCTAATCAATAAATCTAACCCACTCCTAATAATAAATCCTTGGTTTCAGAAAATCGCGCGTGCACAAAACCCAACAACAAAAATCCACCGAATCACCATCAACCAAGCACACATTCAAACCACAACCAGTTACAGTACCACAAGTCGGACCAGAATTAGCCCATCAAAAACCCAATGATATTGAAGATTTGACACCAGGAAATGCCGGATTTTGGAATACATTTCAACCAAATCGTTGGTTTGAATCTATTCATTATGTAACAAATACTGGAAAATAATTTTCATTTTTTTCTGGAATTTTATTTATCCAAAGGCCAACTTGTATTCTTTCTCCCCCCAAAAAACATTTCTTCACCCGGGTTTTAATTAATTTATTTTTCTTATTGAATATTTTTAAATTTATTATCATGTATGCCATATTGGTGGTCTTTCATGTTTTTTGTTTACTACTTATAATAATCAGAATGAAGTTTTAGAATTTTCAAGGTTATCTAAAGGTTAGATCTGGAAAAATATGACCGCCAACCAATTATTCTTTGTGTTGTTTTTTTTTGTGTTTATTAAAAAATCAATATATCTAAATCTACATGAATTATATCTCGATTTTCGGTTTATTTGTGATTTTTTCAAATGCTAATTCGATTCCGGAAAATTGTCGAGAACAAGTGAATCGAGGGCATTCAAAATGTGCAAAACCACAAAAATCAATCCAGGTTAGTGAAGTTTTTTTTGCATTTTTCTGTGAATGAATCCTCGTAGTTTTTAGTATCACTATGACAATTCTCTGGAAATGTGTCTTCCATTTTTATACGAAGGTTGTGGTGGAAATCGGAATCGATTTGAAGATGATGATCAATGTATTGTGAGATGTAGACCAGGTTTGAAATTTTTATTTTAATTGGAATTTTTTTGGGAACTGATGAATAAATATGTGAAATGTTTTTAGGATATAAAAATATCAATTAAATATGAGAAACTGTTTTTGAAAAATAATCAAATACTAATATTTTTGTTCAAAAAATTGAAATTTTTTAAATTAATTTTCAGCCCGTTTAAAAACATTGATTCATGATCTCCTCATTTTTGAACGTGAACTTTTTTATTTCAAAACTTTTCATTTCAAAGTCCATAATTTTCAGCCGATAAAGGAATTTGTGGTGGAAATTCGAAACCAACTGGAAGTTGTTCGAGTCGAAACAAAACATGTGCCAAAGGTTCAAGATGTATTATTATGGCTTTTGGAATCGGAATGTGTTGTGATGAAAAAGACTCAAGGTAGCTTCAATTCTTATGGTTTCTATAACAATTTTATTCTTTAGATGAATGGATCCGTGAGAATCATCCAAAATGTTCTGAACCTGGCTTTTCTGTAGTCACCGAGCCTGCTTGGTATGGACAACGTGAAGTATTGGGAAAATCTTGTGCTCATAGGTTGGTTTTGTGTAATTTTTCCTCAAAAGAATCATAAAAACAAAAACTTCTCTCCAGATTTTGTCCGATTGGTTCAAAATGTATCGATGGCAGATGGCTCGCTTATTGCTGTCAACCAATAAAAAACAGCTAATTTCTTCATCCACGAATAAAAAAAACTTTTTTCGCGCAGTTTATTTGAATTTCTTCTTAACTATTTTCTATTTCATCATATAATAATAATAAACTCTATTTTGTTTCGCTGCGATTTCTCTGAATAAAGTTTCGCGAAAAATTAATTTCCAGCAAAAAAAAACACCTTTTCAAATTTCCGCGCAGTCTGCAAACACGGCGACGCACAAATGCACACTTTGTTTTGGGCGCCTGCCGAAATTTTTCATTTCCAATCTTTTTTGTGTGCTTTTTTCGTTTTTTCGTTCTCGCGAGAACAATATGCCTTGATTTGCATATTTTTGCATGATTTATTATCATTTTTGGTTTCACACTCATAGTTTGCAAGTTTCAAACAATCATGATACCTTGAAAAATCCATGAAAATGGGTCATGAAGGTGTCATCATCATTATTCCACTTGAATCCATCATATTCTTCTTCTCATTCCCAATATGAGTTTGTATTTCTTTTTGCAAAAACGTTTTCGTTCTTTTGTGCCAACACCTAATTACGATCGTTCTTCAAAGAAAAAAAAGAGACAACCATAAATTGATCGTTACACTTGTATTTCTTTGCCTAAAGGGGTCTTTCTCACACTTTTTTCTCGTTCGTTGTCTCATCTCATTTGCCCGCCAAAAATTTTGTATGTTTGCATTTATGTTTTTTTTCGAATTCATTTTGAAAAGTAGCGGCAAAATGATGGCCTTGAAAAAATGTTCGTCCAGTCAGTCAGGCAGGCCGGGTCAGATGAATGAATTGTGAAAAAAGTGTAAATGTTTGCACATTTCATTTCATCTTTTTATTCCATTTTCGGAACAAGACGAAGATGGTTTTATTGATTTTTGTTTGTGTTGTGTGTGTTTTTTCCTGGACGAAAACAGCTGGGTCACTGCACTGCACTTCTCTCTAAAAAACGACCGACTTCTTGTGTTTTTGTCTATCCTTTAAAGTTCTATCATATTTAGACCAATTCTCATGTAAATACATAATTGTTTTACGAGTTTCCGAATTAAGTAGATCACAGGCATAAATTCTTGACTTTTTTAATTCAGAAATGCCTGTCGCAGAAAAAAGAAATCCTCGCGTGAATCGGGAGGCGGGATTTATTTGGCAAGGTGCGGCACGTTTTTTTTTTAATGAATAATTATTTCTGATTTTTCGCATTTCAAAATTTAGTGAAGAAAAAAAAATGAAATCGAAAAAATTATTAAAAAAACGTGAAACGTGTAATCGTGGCAGGGGGCGGAGCCGACAGGAAAAAAAGTCAGAAATTTATGCCTGTGTAGATGCTGTTTGTTTTTTCTCACTGATTTATTTTTATGTAGGATAATTAACCTTCAAATAGTCTGCCTCGTGTTTATTCATGTTTTCCATTTTTTATGTCCTCTTTGGGAATTTTCGAAATATGCCGCGTTGTTGGAAATATTTATTTTCCTCTTTTGTTCGAACAGATTTTTTAGGATCTTACAGAGTACCCAAGTTGATATTTTAGGGCGAAAAATTTTCAGGAAAGGTGAACATTGTGACATGTGCTAAAAATCCAGATTTTTCACGTTGTCATTCTTGGCTTTTTTGAAATAATAGCCACTGTGAGCTGTTTTCCAAGTTCCTCTAATTTTTTTCTCCGCGCCAACACACAAATATTCAAACAACAATAATTGTTATCATGAAGTGTGTTTGTGCTGATTGTTCTTATCCATGTTCTTCTCTTCGGCTTTTTTGCCTCATCTGCCTTCCGACTCTTCAAAGGAACATGTTTCGAAAAACAACTTGAGTGTCACTAGCCATCGGCCGTCGGTCTTATTCTCCTCCAATTTGTACACATCAGTCAGCTATTTTTGGTGTTTATTCCCGATATATAATATAATTTTCTCTTTTTCTCGCCCGTTTTCTCCATTCCGCTCGCTCTCATTCGCGCAGCGGCACTGTTCGTTTTTTTTCCAAGACGAAAAAGGTTGTGGATTTTTACTAGATAAGAAGACCGGGCGAGCGGATTATATATATATTATATAAGTTTCCTTGACCCCCAAATTCGGGAAAAAAGGGGGAGGTTGAGAGAATAAAGATACTATACTAACTGTTATTTCCTGAGAAGAAGAAATTTGTTTATTATTTATAATAAATATATTGTGTGTGTGTTTGTGCTGATATATTATGTCGTATGTGTATTCGGCTGCTATTTATTCGCCGGGCGAAGGAAAAAGTGTCAGGACTAATTTGAATGGTTGGTTTTCTAGTCAAGCGAACTTGTAAATTGGTGTAATTGTGTTATGGTCACACTGTGCAAAAAATGAGCCATGTGTTTTGTTGCTCTCAAATACTGTTCTTTTTTTCAAAACTCTGTCATTTAAAATTATGTAAAACGTGTACGTTGACGTGGAATTTGAAAAAAAAACTATTTTATTTTCGAAATTCTTTCATTTCTCAAATCTAGTTGATCAAAAAGTCGTTTGTGAGTCAATCGTGAGTTTCGAAATTGAATTTTACACCGGAAGCTAAATATACGTTCTCAAAAAAAAACATAAGAAATGCTTCTCTTTGTGATTCATCCTACCAACTTTTTTTCTTCAAAATTAATTTTCTGTCTCATTCATCACTCTGTCCCATTTCTTCGCCTCAAAAAGCAACATCGTTTTACGACTTGTAAATAAATAAAAATTCCAATCATTTTTTTCACCTCTTTGGATGATAAATGTATGCATGTTGTTGTTCTTCTTCTCCTTTACCTGCTGTTTCTCCCCGCTTTTTTCATCTGATGACTCATTTTGCCCACAATGCCCATTTATCACATAGACACAACCAAAAGTTCGACGCCGGACAACACACTTTTCTGTACTTTACTTCGATTTTTATTTATTTTTGTTTGGGCGATTTCCGGAGATCTTTTCGATTAGAGAAAAATTCGCACTGTGTTTTTTGTAATTTTCGACTTTTTGCTCACTATTCCGTTGTTGATTTGAGCATAATTCAGTTTCAAATATGAGTTATGACGTGGTACTTTTTTGAAAAACTCGTTTTTCGGAATTTTGTTCATTTTATCACGTCATAACTCATATTGGGATACAGAAAAACTCTGTTTCTCCGGAAATAATGAATTCTCACAGAATTTTTTTCTGTCCCAAAAAAGGAACATTTTCTAATTATAATCTCATTAGTTTATTTTCACACCAAAAAAAGACACACTAGCATTTTCTAATACTCTTTCCTCTTGTGTTGGTAAAATAAACAATCCCCACCCATTCTCTCACCATATCTGCTCTACTTTGCTCATTTATGGAGCTGTCAAATAAGGAAATTTTTTGCTGACTCATATTTTCTTCTTCTAATAAAAAACCGAAATTTTGATTACTGATAATTGTATTTTTATTGATGTTTATCAGTTTTCAACTCTCTCAGCAGGCAGACGTTCGAATTATTTTTCTGTTTTTTTCTCACTTTTTGTATGCTTTTTCAAAGCAGTTTTGTAAATAGTTGTTAGAGGAAAGTTACCAGTTTAGTTTAGTTTCGCAAGGAACTGTTTCAACTTTCAAGTTGAAAAACTATTAGAAAATATGTATTTCATTCAAATCTAGATTGAAATTTGAAACTCTTCTCCTGTCAATAAATAAAATGCAATGTTTTTTGCAGACAAAGTAGAAGGGTATCGAAAGGAGATAGCACCAAGTCGCGAAAACGTCGACTTTGACCATCTACGACGTCGACATCCAGAAGATCAAGAAGAGGAAGGCCAAACAACTTCAACGGTATCGGGCATCGCTGAAGTAGTTCCAACCTCATATCAATATTATCATCAACATCAAAAAAACGACTACGGTTGTAGCACAAATATTGGAACAGAATCTGAAGATTATAATTATAATACCACCAATAATAATAATCAATCAAATATGAGACGATATGAAATGCAGGTTCGTTTGTATGGGGAATTGTTTTTTTTTTGGCTGAAACCTAGTTATAATCATCCAAATAGGATATAGTTTTTTCTTGTAAAGCCTCCTGGCCAGACCACCTTTTTTCTCATAATAACATTATAACAAACCTAAGCGGATAATCTTCATATACTTTTATCTCCATTTCATTTTCATGTTGTTTTCTTTCTATTTTCTCTCGCTATGCCGAAAAAGTTGATTTATTCTATTTCGCTCAAAAAAACGACTTCTTCACGAAGAGGTTCTCATATTTCTGTAGAAGATGTGCAAAAAGCGATTGATAGTAATCGCGGAGCATCGTTTGGCCAGCATTTGCTCAGAAAAACTGAAGCTGGTAGAGAAATTTGGAGCGTGAAAGAGGAAAAAGAAGAAGAGGAGGAGGTGATTTAAATTTGAAAATTTTTTCAAAAAAAAGTTTGCATATTTATGTGTCATTTGAATAATCCCCCTCGAAAAATTATGAGTAATACATTTTTTTGTTGGTATATTTGTACTTTTTCCTTCTTCTCTCCTTATCAGGAGGTGCAAGACGGCAAATCAAAAATATATTCTCTCTGCTGTCAAAAAATGGAGAGGTCAATATTTGTTTTGTCACACAAACAAGCATTGGATTTTGGAGAAATTTGAGAAAATTATGAGAAATATCTGAATTAGAGAAGAGGTTTTGAAAATCTTAGAGGTCTTGGTTTTTTTTAAATCGGAACATAGGTTTTTTAGTTTGGGAATTCTTCAGGAGAACAATTTATAGAAAATATCATGGGATTTTTGAGTCATAGAGACCAATAGAATAATATCAATGTGTTTTTACAGGTTCGCGTTCCAAACAGTGGCCAAGTTCCGCCACCTGTAAATCGCGCAGATGTTTCCGCAAACGAAAATGACGAATATGCAAACGAAACTTTGTTTTTCGAACGAAATCGTATTCGACAATTGCAAGATGAACGACTTCATATTCAAAAGAAAACATTCACGAAATGGTGTAACTCTTTCCTTAATCGGGTAAGTATTTTTTAGCCCAAAAATTCAAACAATTTGTTATTTCCACCGCTCATTAATTATCTTTTATCGCTTTTTTCTCGAACACAGATTATCCACCACTTATATTTGTATAGTTAGGATGAAAAATTCCATAAAGAAAAAGGGGAGAAATTATATGTGACCTTGATTGAAATGTGTGTTATCTTGAATTGATCTGACTAGGAGAGAGAGAGAGTAAGTAATGCGCGGACAATATGAAAATAATACAAAAAAAATAGATGAATAGGAGAGAAGGAATTTATATTTAGGGACCTGTAAACATACAATTATCTGCAAAAAATTGAGCTTAGAATTTGTGGAAACTATGAAAAATTGCATTTTTTGGAAAAAATGTCTTGAAATTTCAAGTTCTGACGTATTTTGTTTCAGGCAAGGTTGGAGATCAATGATCTTTTCGTGGATGTTGGAGATGGATTGTTGCTCATGAAATTGCTTGAAATCATTTCGGGCGATAAACTCGGAAAACCAAATCGTGGAATAATGCGTGTGCAAAAGATTGAGAATTTGAACAAAGTTTTGGATTTTCTGAAACGCAAAAAGATTCAGCTGGAAAATATTGGCGCTGAAGACATTCTCGATCGAAATGAACGCTTGATTTTGGGTTTGATTTGGACAATTATTCTTCGATTCCAAATTGACACCATTGTTATTGAGGTAAGATTTTTTGGCAAAAAATGTAGAATTTTTCACTGGATGAATTTTGAGCGAAAATTCGAATTTGAAATTTCTGTCGACAAAAATAATTTAAGGTTTCTCATGATTAGACTGAAATCCGATTTTTCAAAATGTATTACTTTTTTCATCTGATTTCTTGATGAGAAGACATTCATGTACCAAAATCTGAGTTTTAAAACATCACGTTTTTAGCGATAAGAAATATAATTTTCAAAAACAAGACAGAAAATTAAAAAATTAAATTGATTATAATTTTAGGACGAAGAAGAACGTGGTGAGCGAAAACACGCAAAAGACGCGTTGCTCCTCTGGTGTCAACGAAAAACTGCTGGATATCCAAATGTTCGAATTGAAAACTTCACAACAAGTTGGAGAAATGGTTTGGCATTCAATGCACTTATTCATGCACATCGTTCTGATCTTGTCGATTTCAATCGATTGAATCCAACTGATCATGTTAATAATTTGAATAATGCATTCGATATTGCTGAAAAGAAATTGGATATTGCCAGATTATTGGATGCTGAAGATGTTGATGTAACAAGACCAGATGAAAAAAGTATTATTACTTATGTTTCATTGTATTATCATCATTTCGCAAAACAAAAGACTGAAATGACTGGAGCAAGAAGAATTGCGAATATTGTTGGAAAATTGATGGATAGTGAAACAATGGAAGATGATTATGAACATATCTCATCGGAACTTCTTAATTGGATTCGAACAACAATTCGATCATTGGAATCTCGTCGATTTCCAAATTCATTGAATGGAATGCGCGAAGAACATGCGAAATTCAATCATTTCAGAACATCTGAAAAACCACCAAAATATAAGGAAAAAGGAGAGTTGGAAGCATTGTTTTTCACAATTCAAACTAAGAGAAAAGCAATGAGCAGAAAAGCGTATGCTCCACCACAAGGACAATTTATGCATGATATCGAGACTGCTTGGGCTCAATTGGATTTTGCGGAAAATGAAAGACAAGTTGCGATAATTGCTGAATTGCAAAGACAAGAGAAATTGGAACAATTGGCTCAAAGATTCCATAAAAAAGCGAAATTGCGAGATACTTGGTTGAGAAGTGTTATGGTTGTTTTAGAAGAAATGGAACATGGAAGAAGTGCAAGTCAAGTTGAAAAAACACTCAAAAAACAACAAGCAATTTCAACTGATATTTTGGCAAGAGAAGATCGATTCAAAATGTTGACTGGAATGTGTAATGAATTATGTAATGAAAAATATCATGAATCAGATCGAGTTCGATTAACTGAAAGAGAAATAATTGATAGATGGACACAATTATTGGCATTGTTGGAACAAAGAAAACGAGCATTGATGAGTTTGAATGATTTGATGTCACTTTTGAGAGATATTGATACATTGAGCAATGAATTGCATTCTTTGGAACCGGCTGTAAGAAATCGAGATGTTGGAAAACATTTGATTGGTGTTGAAGATTTGCTTCAAAAACATGATTTAGTTGAAGCTCAAATTAATGCACATGGCTCACTTCTTGCTAAACTATCACAATCTGCAAATAATTATATTCGACACAAAGAAGAACAATTTGATGTTCTTCAAAGAAAACTTGATGAAGTTACTGCGCAATATAACACGTAAGAACAAGAGTTTTTTCTTCAAAATATATAATTTCAATTTTTAGACTTGTTGAATTGTGTCGATCTCGACGACTTCTTTTGGATCGTGCTCGTTCACTTTATCAATTTATCCAAGATCATGAAGAAGAAATGGCTTGGTTAGCCGAAAAGGAGAAATTGTGCACTTCGGCTCTTGCTTGTGGTGATATTTCGGCTGTTCCACAAACTAGTCTTCTTTATAAAAATGTTGAAATGGAAATGCAAACACATTGGGCGCGAAGTAAAGGAATGATTGCTGGCGGAGAACGATTGGTTCAAAATGGTGGACAATCAAAAGAAGATATTCAACGGCGAATTAGTGGAATGAATCAAGGATGGGAGAAATTGAGAATAGCTGTTGCAGCATTGGGAAATTGGTTGAATGAAGCCAGACAAGCACAACAATATTTCCAAGATGCAAATGAGGCAGAATCGTGGATTCGAGAGAAAATGCCACTTGTGAAATCGGATGATTTGGGAAGAGATGAAGGAGCTGCTGAAAGTCTTTTGCAAAGACATCATAGGTTATTATTTTAAACTTACTTTTTACTCGAAAAAGTTATAGAATTGACCATAAAACTTTCCTTTTTCCAGACTCGAAGAAGAGATTCACGCATATCGTGCTGATATTGTTCGCCTCGAAGAAATGAGTGTTCAATTATCGAACAGCACATTCCATACAGCAACAACTAGCACTTCTGTTCAAGAAACTGAAGAAGTAACAGTTCCACAAATCGAAACTCTTTTCAAGTATGAAGGAAATGGTATGAAAGTTGCGAAAGGAGAAGTTTTGGCACTTTTGGAAAAATCGACTGCCGAATGGTGGAGAGCTTTGAAAAGAGATGGAACTGAAGGATATGTTCCAGCTAATTATTGTCGAATTGTTCCGGGTGAAAGTGTTACTGTAACACAGACAACTAATAAAACAACAACAACTTTGGAAGATAAAGAGAAGAAGAGTTCGGTGATTGGAGAAAGACAGAAAATGATTTCGGATGATTATAGACAATTGAATAGATTGGCTGATGTAAGAAGATAACTTTTTGATTTGAGAATTATTAATATAAGTGTTTTTTTTAGGTTCGTCGTCGTCTTCTTTCTGATAATATTCAACTTCTTCGTTTCTATCGAGAATGTGATGAATTTGAAAGATGGGCTAGAGAAGTTGAAGTAACATTGGCTGATGAACCATCTCCTGAACATGTTGTTGCATTCAGAAGAAAGTTTGATAAATTGGAAGCTGATATCAAAACAAATGGTGGAACACAATTGAAACATATCAATGAAATTGCAAATGAATTGATTGCTGAAGGACATGGACAATCGAGACAAATTGAGACGAGACAACGAAATATCAATGCATTATGGGCACATTTGGAACAATTGAGAAAACAACGAGCTGTACGATTAGAAGCCACTGAAAGAGTTGCCGATTTTGATAGTTCGTGTGAAAGTGCCAGAGAATGGATGCAAGGAAAATTCGAACAATTGGAACGAAATCCGAATGATGTTAAAAGTTTGCAAAATTTGGAAAGAGATTTGAAACCGTTGGAAGAGAAAATTGCGAATCTCGAGAAACTTGCTGCTGCGGTAAGGATTTTTTGAAAATTTAAAAATTCTGGAAATTTCTATGATAAAAGTTATGTACAAATTCGAAATTCTATATTAATTAGCAGAAATTTCTAACCACCAATTTTTTTCCGGAAAATTCTCAAATTTCATTTTTCAGGTTAAAAAAGACCATCCTGAAGAAGCTGCTGCCATCGAGCGAAAAATTGCTCAACTTCGTGGACTTCATGCTGATTTATTGCGCCGAGCCAAGGAAAAAATGCAATTGGCTGAACAAACACAAGGAAAAGAAATGTTCGAATCAGCTTTGAGAGATATGAATGGATGGATTGAGAAGACTAAAAAACAATTACTCGAAGATGTTCATCCGGTTGATGTTGCTGAAGCTGAAGAACTTCTCAAAAAACATTATGAATTAGGAGAACAAATTAAAGATAAGAAATATGAAGTTGAATATTGTCAAGAACTTGGAAGACGTCTTCTTGATAGAAATCCACGTGTTCCAAATGTTGAATCACAATTGAAAACACTTGTTGATGAAATGGCTGGATTGAGAGATTTATATCGGCGAAGAGATATTATTTTGAAACAACAACTTGATCTTCAATTATTTAATCGAGAATCGGAACGAATTGATGCGGCGACAAAAGGACATGAAGCATTCCTTGAATTTAGTAATCTTGGAGATTCAGTTGAATCAGTTGAGAATTTGTTGAAAAGACATCGAGATTTGGAGGCGAAATTGGTTGCACAAGAAGCTCGACTTGAAGCATTCTCGAAAACTGCCGATGATATGATTAAAGCACATCATGCTGATTCGCCATATATTGATCAACGAAGAAATGATGTTTTGGTGAGAAGAGAAGCTGTAAGAAAATCAGCGGAAATGAGAAGAAGACAATTGGAAGCATCATTGGAATATCAAAATATGAGAAGAGAAGCTGAAGAAGTTATGGGATGGATGAATGAAAAAGCGAAAATGATTAATATTGGAGATGATAAAAATGGATCTGCACTTCCAAGATTATTGTTGAAACATGAAGCATTTGAAGCTGAAATTGGAGCCAACGAGCCAAGAATTGAACAAATCAATAAAGAAGGTAAGATTTTTTATTAAAAAAAGTTTTGCTAAAATTCACAAGGGAGAAATGTTTATATCAAATTATACATTTAGAATTTTTTAAAGATTTCCTTTGATATTGTTGAAACAATTTTCTCCTGAACGGCATTTCAAATTATCAAAATCTGTTATTTCAGGTGCTCAACTCATTGGCAAAAAACACTACGAAACTCCAAATGTCGAAAAATTGGTCCGCCGTGTAAATACACAATGGGCTGATTTGAAGAATCAAGTTGGAAATAAGGGAGAAAGATTGAGACAAGCTGCTGATCAAAAAGGACTCGATCAAATCCTTGGAGATGCTCATGCTAAACTTGATGAAATTGAAGCTGCTCTCAGATCAAATGATCAAGGACAAGATCTTAGATCTGTTAAAGATCTTCTTCAGAAACATACAGTTATGGAACAAGAAATGGGATTGTATGGAAAGAGAGTGAGTTTGAATTTGAAAATTATTGAGTATTTTTAAAAATTATATTTATTTTTAGCTTGCTGATATTGAAAAGAGAGGAAAACAAATGGCTGCTGAAGGACATTTCGATTCGGATCGAATTCAATTCACAGTTGCTGAACTTTTGACCAGATATCGAGAAATGAAGAATCCTGCTGGAAAAAGAAAGGATGATTTGGAAGAATCGAGATTGTGGCATCAATTGGCATTCGATGTTGATTGTGAACTTCAATGGATTGCTGAAAAGAAACCAATTGCATCATCAAAAGATTGTGGAAGAACATTGACTGAATCATTGAATATGGTCAAAAAACAAGAACAACTCGAAGCTGAAGTTCATCAACATTCTGCACAAATTGATAAAGTTTTGGCAGAAGGTGAAGAATTGATGAAAAGACGACATGTTTCATCACAACAAATTGAAGAGAAATCGAAAGAATTGAGTTTGTCTTGGGGAGAATTGAGAAGATTATTGAAGAAAAGACGAGAAATTGTTGATTGGGGAGTTAAAGAACAGGAATATTTGTTTGATGCGACTGAAGTTGAAAATTGGATGAATGAGAAACGCAATTTGTTGGCATCGGAAGATTATGGAAATGATGAAGATGCTGCCAGAAAATTGTTGGCGAAACATAGAGCACTTTGTGAAGATATGCATACCTACAGGTAAGGTTTTGGAATTTTTTTTTTAAAAAATTCTTGAATTTTTTAAAATTTTGAATTGAACTGTATAAAAATTGCGGATTTCCCATTATAAATCATATTTAGTTATTATTTGATCCTACAATACAATACTATTATTTTTCCAGACAATGGTTGGAAAAACTGAAAGTAAAATGTGAAGAACTTGTTGGATCGAATCGGCCAAATGTCGAAAGATTTGAAAATCGTCAAATTGAACTTGAAACTGAATTCGAACGCCTTTCCAAAATTGCCGAAGATCGCAAAAATGCTCTCGAAGATGCTGTTTGTTTGTATGAATATATGAGAGAATCAGCTGATTTGGAACAATGGATTAATGAACAATTACAAGTTGCAATGAGTGAAGATTATGCTGAAGACTATGAACATTTGAAAGAATTACAATCGAAATTCGATGAATTCAAACAATCAGTCAAAACTGGAAGTGAAAGATTCACATCTTGTGAAGAAGCAGCTAAATCGATTTTGAGAAGAAATCCACCATTTGGAAGAGAAGTTTTGAAAAAACAAGAAAAATTGAGAACTGTTTGGAATTTGTTGTGCGAATATATTGAGAATCGCGATAAGAAATTGGGAGCTGCTGAAGAATTGCATCGATTCAATCGAGATGTTGATGAATTTGAACAATGGATGGGTGATAAAATGGCTGCGATGCCAAGAGATTTGGGAAGAGATGTTAAACATGTTCATTCACTTTGGCAACAACATGAAGCACTTGATAAAGAAACCAAAAATGCTGAACCAAGATTGGTTAAATTGAATGAAGAAGCTGAAAGATTGAGAAGCGCATATCCGGGAGGAAATGCTGAACAAATTGAGCAACAACAAGGTTTGTAAATGAAAAAAATAGAAAAATTCACGTTCACGTTTTAAATTTTCAAAAAAAAATTTTTTTTTTCAGGAGCTTTGATGACTGAATGGGAAGAATTGAGAAATTCGACTGATGATCGTCGTGATATGCTTCGAGCTGCTTTCGATTTGCACACTTTCAATGGAAAAGTTCGTGATCTTCTCGCTTGGACTGATTTGACCATCGGAGATATTCAATCGGATATTGTTATTGGTGATTTGCAACAAGCTGAATGGCTTCAAAAAGAGCACTCGAGGTTGGTTTAAGAAAATGTGAAACTCTTATAATGTTATTCATAAGAACGATTTTATTTGAATATTTTTTTGAAACATATTTTTTCCAGGTTGAGTAATGAAATGGATGCTCGTGAACCCGAATTCACTCGTCTTGTTACTGATGGAAATAAAATGGTTGCTGCTCAACATTATGCATCGGAAGAGATCAAAAACAAAGCCAAACTTCTTCAATCGGCTCTTGAAAGACTTCGAAATGAATGGACCCTTCGAAATGGATATCTTTCACAAGCTGTTCAATGGCATGCATTCCAAAGAGAAGCAAAACAAATAATTGCATCGATTGGAAGTAAAAGAACAACTCTCAAGAATTTGGCAGTTGGTGGAAGTGTTGCTGATGTTGAAAGTCAGAAAAAGAGATTGGATACATTTGAAAAGGCATTATCGACTTTGGATGAAAGAACTGGTGCATTAGATCATACTGCAAATGAATTGATGAAAGCAAGACATATGGAATCGAATAATATTGGAGTATGGAAATTGAAAGTTCATGAAGAATTGGCATTGTTGAGCGCTGATATTGAAGCGAGAAGAGCAATGTTGGCAGATGCATTCTCATTGGCATCATTTGATAGTGATGTGGCACAAATTGAAGCATGGATTGATGAAAAAACAAATGGTATTAGAAAAGCAAGAGATCAATCATCAGAAAGTATTTCGATTGAAGAAAAAATGAAAAGACTTCAAACACATCAAGCACTTGAAGCTGAAGTTGCTGCCAATAAAACTGTTGTTGATCAAATTTTGAATCGTGGAAAACAATTGCATGGTCTCCATAGAAATCCGAAGATTATTGATAGATGTGATCAACTTGGTTCAAAATGGACACGATTGGCTGGAGCATGTTCGGATCAATCGAGTGCTTTGGAAGAAGCGAGAGATTTGTTGAGATTCAAACAATTAGTTGATCGAGTTTTGACATGGATTCATGAGAAAGAAGTGTTGGTTTCAACAGCTGATATGGGAAGAGATATGGAACATTGTCGATTATTATTGGAAAGATTGGATGGAACAAGATCGGATTCAACTGTTGATGAACAAACTCTTGATGAAATTAATCGACTTGGTGAAAAACTTGTGAATCAAGGAAGATCGAGTCGTGATCAAGTACAAAAGGAACAACAACATTTGAATGAAAAGTATGTTTATTTTCGAAGGATAGGGGAAACGAAAAGAGAAATTTTGGATACTGTTGATCATAAAACAGTCCAAAAATTAGACAGTGTTTGGACTACAGTAACCTGTTTTCCCAGAAATTTCATGATTTTTTTCTGAAAAATGTGAATTAAGTCTTACAAAATTCGGAAAAAAGTAATTAGTGGTTCTAGATTATTTGATATTTTCCTATTTATGAGAAATTGAGGTCCCCTCTATTTTTGAAATGAATTCTATTTTTGTTTTACCTACCTACCAGTTTTGTTATTATTATAAAAGTATATAGTTAATAATCGGCTTAATTGTTACAGGTGGAGATTATTGTTGGGTCAATTATCGCATTATCGAACTGAATTATTAGCTGCAATGGAAGTGCATACTTTCAATCGAGATGTTGAAGATACTGATGAAAGAATTCATGAAAAGATTGCAGCGATGAAAAGTGATGATTTCGGAAAAGACTTTGCCAGGTAATTTTTTGCCCATTTTTTATCCCAACTATTTTTCCCTTTATTTTCAGTGTTGAATTACTTGTTCGTAAACAATCTGCTCTTGAAAGAGACATGTCTGCTATTCATCAAAAATTGATTGCTCATGATAAAGATGCTCAAAAGATTCTTGAAAAACGTCCTCCACTTCGACAAACTGTTTTGGATTCGTTGAAGAAATTGGAGGAAAGTTGGAAGCAATTAAGTGAAGCGGCTGAATATCGAAATGATCGATTGAATAGATCATTCAAATTGTATAAATATATGGATGATGTGAAGAAAGTTGAACAATGGGCTGGACAAGTTAGAAATAAGATGACTAGCTATCAAACACCAAAAGATAGCAATGGAGCGAAGAAGTTGGTTGAACAACATTCTGAAAGAAAAGCTGAAATTGATGGAAGAGCTGATGAATTGAGAATTCTTCATGAAGAAGGACAAGTTCTTATTAGCGAACAACCAGATCATAAAGCAGAAGTTCTTCGAGCACATAAACGAGTACAAAATAGTGAACATCAATTGAGACAAACTTGGGAAATTGAGAAGGCAACTCTTCAAAGACTTTTGGAATGGCTTTTATGGTGTGATGAAGCTGCACAATGTGAACAATGGTTGGCGGACAAAGAAAATATAATTGTTCGAGGAGAATTGGGAGATACAACTGATGCGGTTGAAATGTTGATCAAATCACATGTTGCATTTGAAGAAACTGTTAGAAAACAAAGTGAGAAAATTGAAGTATTATTGAATAATGGAGAAGGATTGATTTCGAATGGAAATGATTATCGAGCTGATATTGAAGCAAGAAAACAAGAAGTTGAAGCGAGACATTGTAATTTATTGAAATCAGTTATGAGAAGAAGAACTATGTTGGATGATAGTAAAAGATATCATGAATTTATTCGACAATGCGGTGAATTGATTATTTGGATTACTGCAAAACTTCAATTGGCTTATGATGAATCATTCTTGGATCACACTAATTTGCGATCAAAACTTCAAAAACATCTTGCTTTTGATTCAGAATTAGTTGAAAATGAGAAACGATTATCGAATGTTGAAAGACAAGGAGAAGAATTATTGGCTGACAAACATTTCTTGAGTGAACAAGTCAAAGCACAATTAGTTGAACTTCGTGAAGGATGGGATGAACTTCGAACAAAATCTGCATTGAAAACACAAAGATTGAGAGAAGCTTTCGAATTGCATAGTTTGCAAAGAAAAGTTGAAGAAGTTGAAGAATGGTTGGATAAAGTTGAAAGTGAATTGGCTAGTGAAGATCATGGAAGAGATATTGTATCGACTGAAGTATTGATGAAGAAATTGGATACTTTGGAAGCTGAAGTTCGTGGAAGAGAAGAAGCTGTTGTTGAAATGATGAAAAAAGCGAGAGAATTGAGAAGTCAAGGATCTGTAGCTGCTGATGATTGCTTGAAACAAGCTGAACAAGTGAGTTCAAAATTTTGTGAGATTTAGAAACTGAAAATTCGGACCATGTATTAAAACAAAATTCCGAATAGGTCTTTAAAAAAAAATATCGGGTTGAATCCGTTGAGAGATCGAAAAAACTTTAAAGTTTGTGACATTTCATTAATCAAAATCTTTGTTTCAGGTTGAAGCTCGTTATTCTGGTCTCGATGAGCCAATTCAAATCCGACGTGAAAACTTGGTCGATGCTCGCTCATTCTTTGAATGGGTCAAAGCGGCTGAAGAGGATTTGGAATGGTTATCGGATAAAATGCCATTGGCTGGAAGCAATGAATCTGGAGATAGTCTTCAAGCTGCTTTAAGTCTTCACAAAAAACATGTTGCACTTGAAAAAGAACTCGAAACTCGACAATCTGCAATGTTTGAGACCGAAAAACGTGGAAAAGATATGATTCGACAAAAACATTTTGCCGCCAATCACATTCAAAAGATTTTGGACAAATTGTCGACTTCTTTGTTGACTTTGAAAGAAAGTTGTGGATTGAGAAGAGATTTATTGGAAGAATCGATTGATGCACATGAATATTATACTGAAGAAGGAGAAGCTGAACAATGGTTGAAAGAACAAATGCCATTGGCAATGAGCCAAGAAATGGGAAGAGATCAAGCTGGAGCTGAAAGTCATTTGAGACGATTGACTGTTTTGGACAAGGAAGTTGAATTATTCAAAAATGAAGTTGATCGATTGAAAACAAGAGCTGATGGATTACTTGAAAGAGAACATCATGATGCAATGTCGATTGCTGCAAAACAACGAAAACTCGAAGCATTATTTGCTGATGTTTGTAGAGAATGTGCAAGAAGAAGAACACAACTTGTTGATGCATCCAAATATCATAAATTTGTTCGACAAGCCGATGATTTGTCAGATTGGCTCAAAGAAAAAGAACGTGTTGCATCAGCTGAAGATTATGGAAGATATTTGGAAGATTGCCAGAAAATTATCGAGCAATTTGAGATAACTGTTAGAGAATTGGCTGGAGCTGGTGAAAGAGTTGCAGCTGTTCAAAGAACACAAGAAGATTTGTTGAGAAGTGGACATCCGTATGGAGCTTCGATTTCAGCGAAATGTGCTGATGTTCAAAGATTGTGGACACATGTTAATGATGTTGCAAATGATCGAAAACAAGCATTGAATGGAGCTAGACAGGTATGTTTTTGAGAAAAGGGAAAAGAGTTAGGAAAAATTCTGAAAAAAACGTTGATTTCGGGATCTAGAATAATTATTTTAATTTTACGCTGAAATTCAGATATTTTTATATTTGCTGATGAAATTAATTTTTCGAAGTTTTCTTTAAAAAATAATAATATTCATGATTTCAGAGCACACAGATCTGAATTTTCACCACATTTTAAAATCAAAATTATCTTTTCAGGTTCATCGATTCGATCAAGAAGCTGATCAAACTCTTAATTGGCTCCAAGATAAGGAAGCAACTGGAGTTGCTATGGAACAAGAAGATTTATCTCGAGCTGATCTTGCTTCTGTCAAAGCTCAACTTCAAAGACACGATGAATTTATGCATGGAATGAAGGCTGTTGAAAAACAAGTAGCTGAATTGTGTCACGAAGCTGAAAGATTGTGGAATGCATTCCCTGATACAAGACATCATTTAGAAGTTCGAAGATTGGATATGGAAGAACAATTGAAAGATATTTTGGAAGCGGCAAAGAAACATTATGAAAGATTGACACATATGCAAAGTTTACAATCATATTTCCAAGAATATCGAGAAATGATGCAATGGATGAAGAATATGCAAACAACAATGACATCAGAACAATTGCCACGAGATGTTAGTGGATGTGAAAGTTTGGCAAGAAGACATGATGAATATAATCTGGAAATGCAAGGAAGAAAAGCATTTGTTGATGATTTTGCGAGACAAGGAAGACGAATGATTCAATCAAGTCATGTACTGTCACAAGAAATTCAAGAAAAAGTTGATGTTTTGGAGAAATCTTGGGCTGTTTTATGTGAGATTTGGAAAGATCGTGCTGAATTGTATGAAGAGAATATGGATTGCCAAAAATGGAAACAAAATGCAACACAATTGGAGAGTTGGCTTTTGGAAAGAGAAAGATTGTTGGGAGATGATTGGAGAGTTATTGAAAGTGTTGAAGAAGCTGAAAATCAATTGAGAGAATTTGATGATTTCTTAGTGACTCTTGATGCTCAAAATGAGAAGTGTGATAAAGTTGAGAGATTGACACTTGTTGAACAAAACTTTAGCAAACTTCGCAACAAAGAGGTAATTCATATTTTTCTATTTTTCAATCAAGTTAAAACATGTTCATTTCAGATTGATCGCGCTCGAATTGCTGAAGAAGATCAAAAGAGAAGAGATACTATAAAGATTGTTGAAAAGGGAAATATTTTGGCGAATCGTCGACAAGAAAGAGAGCGAAGAAAGACACAAGAAATCTCTTTATTGAGACCATCGCCATCTGGTGAAGAATTCTCGACTCATACAATGCCAAGAAAAGATCGAAAGGAGAGAGCGAAAACTACAGCTGATTTGGGTGAGTTTTTGAATTTTTGACTACTTGAAAAATTGAGCTCTATTGAAAGTTCCAAAAATAATTATCTACTTTTTTCAGTCCCTGGACCATTGAAGATTGGAGATTTGCAATCAACAGCTACTGCGATTCCAGTTGAAATCACCAAAACACCATCATTCACCACCCGAAGAAACACTCAAACTCTCAGAAAAGGCTCAAAATGGGAAGATATGGGAGCAATTGATATGAAAGGATTCTTTGATCGAAAACAATGTCAACAATCCGGTGGAAAACGAGCCACAATTCGATCATGGAAGAATTATTATGGAATTCTCTGTGGACAACTTTTGTGCTTCTTCAAAGATGAAACAATGTTCATTGAGAATTGCGCAGCTGCTCCACCAGTTTATATTTATGGAGCACAATGTGAGCAATATCCAGAATATGCGAAACGCAAGCATAGTTTCCGATTGTTGACACAAGATGGAGCTGAATTCATATTCTCGTGTCCAGATGAAGGACAAATGTTGGAATGGGTTGCGAAGGTTCAATTCCACGCTGGATTGACACCAAGTAATCAATTGAAATCATTCCCTTATAGTGGTTAGTTTATTGTTAATTTTAAGGGAAAGATCTAGGAGGGTTCTAACCTTTTTTTGGTTCCTCTCATGTTTTTCCTGGTAGCATGTTTTAACATCTTTTTTGGTTTAGATAACTTGCTCGATCAATCGTCATCAAATACACCAATTGTTGCACCAAGACGAAATTTGGCCGGACACAATCGATTTGGAGAAGATTTAGATAAACTCGAATTGGATTATTCAAGTGAGTGTTTGATTTTATCATCATTTCCCTTTACCATTTCTAGAATCATGCTTATCGCTTTTGCTTTTTTTTGAGTTCTCTTCATTTTTGTGATTTCTTTTTAGGAAATAGTAAATCTCTTCCACGTGGATCTAATAGTTCCACAATGGCACGTGATTGTGCCACTTTACCACGTGGTTTTGGTTCTTCTTCGATTCTTCCTCCATCGGGTCCACTTCTTAGCGGTGCTCCTCTTGGTTCTTCTGGTCAAATTCCGACTGTTGCGTCGAGAAAAGTTGGAGTTGTTCAACGAAGAGCAAGTCGAAGACAATCGGTTTATGCTGAATGTGTTTTTGGAGAAGTTGAAGAAGCAATTCGATTAGCTGAAGAACAACAAATTGGTTAGTTGGATGTTCAACTCAACAACACTGGAATGCGTGTTTTTTCACAAACTCAACTCATCGACGTGTTTTTCTACTTGTTCCACTTCTTCGATTTCACTCCACAGTTTCTACACTCAACTAGAATGTTTTTCTACTTCTTTTTGTTCACATGTTTTCACATTTCCGTTTTCTCTCACTTTTGAATCTCGACTTATTCGAACTCACTTTCTGTCCATTTTTTCACTCTTCAGAAGCTTTTTCGCTAATAGTTTTTATCACAAATTAAAAATAATAATTTAACTTCACTTGGTTTTTGCATGCTTCAGATAGAAACATTCAAACTAAATCTAACACCCTTTCTCCTAAGCCAAAAATGTGTTTTTTTTTTCCAGAAGACAATGCTGATATTCGATTCGCCATTCACTCCCAGCCTGGACAGTATACCGTGAGTTTTTTAATTTTGGAATTTTCTTAACTTGAAAAAAGTCCTTTTTCCCTATTTACGAACCCATCCAATTCAATTTCATTCATTTTCCAGGAAACTTTGGTTTACAAAGAGCACAACTCTCAAACCTATCAACCATCGATTTCATCTTCATCTGCTCAATCACCATCTCAACAAAATGGAAGTGAATTCATGAATTGGGTTGATGCCAATCAATCTGGACGAAATACATCAGCCAGTACACCATCACAATATGATGATACTGATTCAATCAAAAGTTCTAGTAAGTTTTAGAAAATTTGAACCAGTCTTGATTTTCATAATTGGGTAAATCTGATCATATTTAAAGATGCCAAAGGAAAAAATTGGATTCGTTTCAAAGTTTTCCGAATTTTTAAAAAATCAATCATTTTTGCAGAACGAAAAGGATTGGGATCATTATTCAAACGCGGCTCAAAAGTCTCGAAATAATTTCTTTCTTTCAACATGTAATAAGACCCAGTTAAAAATTTTGTAAAAATTTCAAAATTCACTTTTTTTCCTGACTCTCCCCACTCGCCACCCTAATATATCTATTTATAGTTTTAGATTTAAAGTATGATTTTTACCTCTTTTTTGTGGCCTTTTCCCCCTTAATTATTATGCGTGTCACTAAATTATCCATCCCACTATTTATTGTTTTTTTTCTGCGAATTGCCTTTCACCAATGGATTTTTTTCAATTTTTTCGAGAAGCCCGAACTTGAATTAATTGAAAAGTTTTTTATTGGATGATTTTTTCTTTCTTAAAGTTTTTTGTTTTCTCTTTTTTGCGCATAAAACGTGTATTTTAAAACATTTCTATGATTTTTTAGAGGGACGTAGAATGACGTGGATTTTATATTTGAAAAAGGCTGGAATTTTTGTTATCTTTTTTTCGTTGCAAAGTACAAATTTTGAGAGAATATGAGGAAAATGGGAGAGCGCAGAGAAATAGAGGAATGTCCATTTTGTTCGAGAAAAAATCATTGGTTTTTTCACTGGTTTTTTTGCAATTTAATTTTTTGGGCCCATGGGATTCGGTTGATGTTCTGTAGGATGAGAAAACAATTTTCAGAAGATTTCTTCGAATTTCAGCTTTTCGAAATTTCTAGAAAGAAGATTTTACTCTTTTGACTCAAATTTTCGTTTTTTTTTTCAGATAAAATTCCGTTTTTTTACGATTAGTTTCTCTTGTGGTTTTTTGAGAACTACAATTTTCAGATTTGTGAATATAAGTTTTCCTGATTTTTTTTAGCTTTTAAGTTCAAATTGGGGGTTTTACAGAAATTTTTTCAGCTGCTTGAAATCTATTTTAAAATACATTGTTTCTAATTTTCAGATTTTTTTCCGGAAGTTATTCAATTTTCAATATTCGTTTCTACAAAATGTTCAAGATTCTGTTAACATTTTCCAGATTTTTCTCAATGTTTTTGATTTTTAGTGGTGTGAAAACAATGTAAACTGAATTTTTCCCAATACAAAAGCAATAATCTCGAATGTTCTTTTTCCCCCGAAAAAACATTGAAAATGTTCGTTTTTCAAATCCTGGGCGCGATATGTTTCAAAAGTCTTCTTCTTTTTTGTTGATAAATTGTCTATTAATAGAACATGTCATGATAAAATTCTGAAGTTCGAATAGTTTTTTCAGATGCTTCATCGAGCCTTCGACGAACAACAACTCGATTTTTTGCATTTGTGTAGTTTGGGAGATGAGCAACGAGTTCAAAGTGCATTATTATCTGGAAGAGTTGATATCAATTATAGACATAAACAGAATGGATGGTGCGTTTTTCCCCTGAAAATTGTAAAAAGAAATTTGATAGTTTTTTTTGCTTCACAATCAGGAAGATGAGAAGAACAAAGAATTTTTTGCTTTACGTTTGAATGAGAGAAAAAAGTGATTTGTTATGACAAGATTTTTTTCACAGAAAATGTAAACTTAACTTTTTTCTGTCAAAAACTGAATGATTAGCATAATTTGATCTAAATATCGAGTATTAAAATTTTGGAGCTCTGAACCTTGACTCACATCCCGTTTCTATTTTTTCGGTAAATTTGTTGCTGTTTCCATAAAAATCACTTGATATCAATTAATCAGTTTCATCTTCTTTTTTTTGTTCAAAATGTTCCCTTCGATCGAAATGATACAATTTATGTATTCATTGAGATATATAAAAAAGAGTGTGTAAAAGAAAAAAGCAAAGAAGAACAACAACTGTTTGATGAGTATGTGTATTCGAGGAGAAAAGAATGAATAGCCAATGGATGGACTCACTTGATTTTATGATTTTTCTGATCATATTTTTTCGATGCTTTATTACTTTTTTTGTTTGTGTTTGGAATGGATTGATGTGTGAGAAATTAGGAGTTTTCTCTTAAAATAACATTTGGATTTTTTTCCAGGAATTTTCGGTATGAAAACTTTTTTTCGAAGGTTATGAAATACAAATCCGATTCTGAAATTTCCATTTTTCAAATTAAAACTTTTGACTCAAAAAATTGTTTTTCAAATATGTAAACGAAAAACTTTCAATCTCTAATTTTTTTTCAATTCTCAAAGTTTATTTTTTTCAGTATTTTTTCAGTGCTTGAATTGTTCGAATTGTTTCCAAAAAATTACTCTGATTTTTATCGGTTTCAAATTTGGTTTATATTTTGAAAAATATTTATTTTAAATTTTTTAAAAGAAAATGAGGATTCTGGTTTTCGCTGATGTTCATAAGCTCTAGTAAAGTTAAATTTTCTACTTTTGTCAAAATTTAAAATGTTCCAAATCTAGTATTTTTTCTGTTCATTTCTCCATTCAAATTTATCAAGGTTTTACAAAACTATTATTCTCCAAAAATCTTTCAAATATCCTTCTGAACTTCCCAATGTCCCCTTTTCAAACTAAATATTAATTTCAGGTCAGCTCTTCATTGGGCAGCTTGTCGCGCTCACAAAAACGTGTGCCTTGTTTTAATCGAAGCCGGCTATCCATTGAATTGCGTTGATAACACGGGAAGAACACCGTACGACGTAAGTTTTGACAGCTGTCAAAAAAAAGAGTTTTTGGTCTCAAAAAAACTACAAAAAAAGTGCATTTAGGTTTGCCCAGAGGACAAATCAGATATTCGAGACATTTTGCAATCAACAGAACAAGGAGAGGAAGAACAAGAACAAGAAGATATGGTGCAAAGTGAGATTTGCTTTTTTTTTTTCGGAAAAATACAGTAACCTGATTTTGTTAAAGGTACAGCACGTCGTCGCGCATCTGAAGCCCCTCAACATACTCCAGGTTTTGTGCCAAATTATGTCAGAAATCCACCATTTCCATATACACACAAAACATCATTTGATAATAGTTATTCATCGCCACCAATGACACCGGGTGAGTTTTTTTTTAATGTTTTTATGGATTGGAAAATAATTTAAAAACAGTTTTTGCCTCCAAGAAATAGATTACTCATTGTTGATAATGTAGTGGATTCCTTTTCCTATCCTCAATCATTGCCATAGTCTGGAAATGTTAATATTTTTTCCGAATATTTTTTTTCAAAAAAAAAATTGATCTACCGTTTTGAATAATTCTGGAGAGCACTCGAACAAGTTGACTCCAAATGGAAGAAGTGTTGGATTTTGACGAATTCTCTGGAATTTTTAGGGCTATTTTAAAATTTAATTAATCTTCTTAAATTTTCTCAGCATTTTTTTTCAAATACTGACAAAATTTACCACAAAATAAAAAATTCTTGGAGGTATGGGGAATTGAACACCAGCCCTCTCCCATGCTAAGGGAGCGCTCTACCACTGAGCTATACCCCCACGCGAAATCGTGTCATCGCAATGCCTAGATATCTCTGTTCATGCTATCTTTAATTTTTCCGCTGAAGTATTTTGGTGATAAAGCTGGTTTTATAATCGTCACAGAGAAATTTCCAAAAAGAAATATTTTAACTCACATCATCATAAACTTTCATAACCGGTGCCTTTGGTTTTTCCACAATAGGTTTAGCCGGTGTTGGTGTTGGTTGAACCCAGGTTATTGTTTTGCGACGTTGAATTGGTGTTTCAAGTGGAGTATTTGATAAAATTGGAATACGAGATATCTTTGGCTTTTTAGCGGTTCTGAAAATATTATGAAGATATTTTTCGGGCAGAGAATTTTTCATATTTTCCCATTTTTTGTTCAAATTATGGAATATCTCAAAGAGAATAAAAAGGTTACTCACTTTTCCATTGGATTTGACGACATTTGACTTTTCCTAGATAAAAAAAAATGAAAAATGAGATGAAATGAAAATTATCACGTGTTTTTTCATTTACGTTTTTTTATTTATTTATTCCGTAAAATCATTTTTCATATTTTCCCAACCCAAAAATCATCCTATTTTATTTGCAGGATCACCAAACTCGAACACAACAACATATTCATATGGAAGACGAGATTCTTTCAACAAAACTCGATTTTTATTGGTTCGAACAAGTGTCGAAAAAGGAAAAGAAACATATAAAAGAGTAACTTTGCCTGGTGGATCGGATATTGAAAGATTGAAATCGACGATTGAAAAAGCATGCAAGGGAAAAGCTGTTGATATGATATTTACACTTCCCGAAAATGTGAGTATGAATGGAATCTGGTAGTTTTTTTTTCGGAAAAATGTTAGGTGCTATTTTTGATTTACAATAGTTTCTGGTTTGCTGTAGATCAATGTTTGGCGGCAGAAATTTCAAGATTTTCCGGATTACTTTAAATCAAACTTTATGAAACTAAAATTATGCACAAAAACTATCAATTTTTTTTGGGAAAAATTTTTTCAGGGCATTTTTTTCTGGATTTCTGTTAAAGTCACTGTTGGGGCCAAAAATTCTAGATTTTTGGGTTACTGTAAATCAACCTTATTGTAAGGATTGCACCAAAAAAACGCTTCCAGTTTGAATTCAAAATTCCAAGTATATTTATTTATTAATTCATTATTCATCCCTGTTTTTTCAGGATCTCGTCGAAACCGAAGAACAAATCCACGCGTTCAAAGATTGTCAGAAAATCGATGTCATTTTCAAAGATGAAAATCGCGAACAAACTCCGGCTGTGGTGAGTTTCTTTTTTTCTCATTTTTTTTCTCAAACAGTTGACTTGACTACTGATAAAATACAATAGAGTACGAAGAAATTAGAGACACAGAGATAAATACCAAAATTCTTCTATTTGTAAATATATAAACAAGCCAGCCTCCGGAGGTGTTCCATTTTTCTCTATTTCTCTTGTCATACATAGATAGAAAAAGAGAGAAAAAAGAAAAAGAGTACTTTGTTCGGACCGCCTGGAAAAAATAGAAGAAGAAGAAGAAGAAGATGCTTCTATTTTTGAAAAGAATTTTACTTGTTTTCTTGATTTTTCCTAACTTAGGGAACCGCCCGTTTTAATGTTTTCCTCCAATTCTGAAAATGTTCAAAGTCGAGAAAATCTAGATTTTCCCCCTCCTATTCACATTTATTTACACAAGCTTACATTTTTTCCGCCATTCTTCTTCAAATTTTTTGCATGTGAATTATGTGTGAGTGAGAGTACTTTGATCACGCTTTTTCATTCATTTATTTCTTTTTTCTTTTGAAACAGTAGCTTTTTGATTTACGGAATGATGAACTGTTTAGTTTTCAGTGAACTTTTTTGGAATTTTTTCAAGCTCTGAAGAAAAATTATGTTTTTTAATTAGTTTTCTATAAAATTAGTTATGACGTGGAAAACGAATTTCTTTTTTAACGGAGAGTTTTCCAGTTTTTGGTCCCCAAAGCCTCAAAAGTTTCAAGAACAAACTTCAAAAATCTATCTCTCTTCAAAATTCTCAGCTATCAGATTACTGAGAAAAGTACGATTTTTTCTTGCGAAAACGTCATAACCTAATAATTTGCAAAAACACAACCAGTCAAGTGAGCGTTGCTGGGGGTTTCAGGATAACCCAACAACTCCGGACCGATAATGTTGAAATATATGAAATAGCATTCTGGTTATATATCCTAGTCAAAATGAACGACCGACGTTTGCCTGGTTATTTGCTATATGTTTCGCAACATGTTTTTTTGTGCTAGGAAAAGGGGAAAGGGAAGGAAAGAAAAGTGAGAAAATCTCTAGTTGAACATATTTTGAAATTATTTTTGAAGCCTTTTCGAATGTAGAAAAAAACAATTTTTCGAAACGATAACTTTTCAAAATTCAAATTTGTTATCAATTTTTAAAAAATTTATTTTTTATCAAAAATATCAAATTTCAGAGGGGCCCTTTCACTGTTCTAACAAAAACAATATCAATTTGTTTTCTTGAAATATGAAATTACAACGTGGCATTATGTTAAGTTGTTCCATTAAGTTGAATTTGGTTTCAAAAAAGTTATATTTTAAAAATGTTTCTAATTTTTCGTGACGCAAATTTTTTCTGAATAAAAAATCTGAAACCTTTTTCCATAATTAACCATATGACAAATTTCCGATAAACTTTTCTTATCAACTTAATTTTTCATAATGACGTAGCGAAGCTAAGAGAAGTTCAGATCAATTTCGAAATGTGTATTTGCATCACTGGAATTTCTTTCGGTCAGCTATTATATAATTGTTGAATTGGTGTCATTTTCACTTCAATTTATCATTTTCTCTCCAATTCTTTTTTTTTGTTGTTCTGTTCATTTTTCTTCTATCAATCTATCTATCATCAAATGATAAACAAAACAAAACATCTGTTTGTCGTTTTTCGCAACCTCAAATTCTCCATAGCTTTTTTTGCGTCAAAAGTTCACGTGAAACTAAGTCTCCAGATGAAAAAAAGTGACACATGTTCATTTTTCTGAATCTCTCTTTCTCTTACTTTTGAGATTTTACACATTTTTGTTTAGTTTAGTTTATATATTATTATAATATATACTATGGCTAGTAGTTCTGACGAAATTGATGATGAAAATGAGAATTTTTTGATTAAAAAACCTAGAAGAGTTTTTTCGATCAGAAAAGTTGTTTGTAAGGTGAGCAGAACTTGGATCACTTCTATTTCTTACTTGAAATTCTATATGTTCCCCCCGTTCCAACTTTTTTATTTTTCAGACAAGTGACAGAATGTCTAAAGATGATGTAGTTGAAAAAGATTATTCGACTGCGGTTCAAGAAAAAGATGAAGTTGAAGTTCCAAAATCGTATGAAGAAAATGAGAATATAGAAATCGATGTTGAATCATCGAACAATTCGGAAGAATCGACTGAAGAAATCACAAAAGTCGAAGAAGAGCCAAAATTGATTCCATTGGCAACGAGACAAAGTTTGGATTCGGATCCTGGAGATTTTGTGAAAGTTGAAAGTGGAGAAGAGGAGAAATTGGGAGAAACATCACCAGCTGTGGCTGGAATTGCGGCTGCTATTCCAATTATTAATGTGAGTTTTTTTTCGAGGGAAAAAAATATTACTGAAATAATTTAGAGTTTATTTGAAATTTTGTCATTTTTTTCTCAAAAATTTTTCTTGTAAATTTGCCACGTCATAGCGTGATTTTTATGAAAATAATTTGCAAAAACACAACCAGTCAAGTGAGCGTTGCTGGGGGTTTCAGATAACCCAACAACTCCGGACCGAGTGTAAACATGATGAAATATCATTATGGTTATATACCCTAGTCAAAATGAGCGACCGACGTTTGCCTGGTAAATTGCCATGTTTTTGTGTGTTAGAAAAAGGGAAAGAGAAAAGAGAACGCTCTCTAGTTAGTTGCAGGTGTTTTCAAAGCTAAGTAGGTTTTCGAATGCTTACAAAAAGTTTTTTTGAAACAGTAATTTTTTAGCATCAAATTTCTCATGTTTTTTCACCAAAATTAATTTTTTTCAAATTTTCTACAAAAAATGTTTCTCGCTTTAATTTTTTTTTCAAACTTTAATTTTTTTAATGAAAATTTCGAAATTAAGGAATTTGGGTAAAATAAATGCCTCTTAAATGTTTTCTGTGAAACAATTTAAAAATTAGAACTGTAATATTCGACCCAATAGTTATGTACCAATATTTTGAATTTTCAGGCTCAAGTTGAAGAAGAGGCAAAACATCAACCACCTCCACAACCCGAAGATCTGCCTTCATTCACAGTTCCATCTTCAAAAGCCACAGTTGTCGAAGAATCGAATCAAGTTCCCGAAGATCGAAAATCATCGGATATCGCCACGTGGATCCATCAAAATCCAGATATTGTTAGAAATGTTGCAACAGCGGCGGCGGTGGCTGGAGTTGCTGGACTCGGATATTATGTATACGTAAAGAAATAAATTGCAAAATAAGTCATTTTTCCCCGGTTCCCTCTTTTTTTCCTTTCTTTTTGCTCATAGTTTTTTTCTAATACGTATTACATTTATCATATTCTATATTACAAAAACAACATCGGGTTAACAATAAATGATTAACATTTTTATGCAATTTTTTTGGGTGATCCGCAAATGTTCAAATCAGCTTGATTCGATTATTCTCTCAATAAAAATAATAATTTTCGTTTTTTCCAAAAAATGAAATTTTTCGTGATTCTTCTCTTATTTTTTCCGATATTTTCAACTCAACTTTTTCCGATTCATGAAATCGCGAAAGGATATTTGATCTCACTTTATGATCATTACTTGGCTAGAAATCCAACGATTATTCATCCATTTTATATGCAAATTACTACAAGAGATACGTTAGTTATGAAGGGTTGGTTTCTATTTTTTTAAAGCCAATTAAGCTGCAAATTTTCTACAAGAAATCTCAAATTAACTATGGGACTTTAAAAGGTTTTAAGATGAATTCGCTTCGGAAATTATGAATTTCTCTGATTCTCAATTGGAAGAAATAAAATGGAACAAAAAACAGATGGAAGCTGATTGGGAAAAGTATTTTTTTGTGAGAAGACTTCAATTTATCAAAAATGGAATGTTGCAAATCGAGGAATTCTTTAATAATGGATCAGTTTCTACTGTATTTATTGCAAAACCTTTTGAAAATATTACAGGAGGATTTAGAAGTTATAGACAATATCCTGGGTTTCTTCAAAAGAATTCAGTCAGTTTCAATGCTACTACCACGCAATTCAATGTTTCTCTGTTGTTTTAATTAAATTTGTTTTTTTTCAAAAAAACAAATTTATTTTTGGGAGTTTATGAATCGGACATGGGTGACTACCGAATTAAATTCTCAAATTTTTAAAACTTATTTTTGGCTTTAAAAATTATACTGTAGAAACCCTGAAATTAAAGGTTTCCAGTAACCACCGAGTTATTCTTTCTGCCAACAAAAAAAAACAAAAAATAAGTGATCAACATTTTTTATGACAATTTAAAGATCATCGAATTCATCAATATCCGAAAATAGTGCACCTTCATCTTCTGGATTTTGATTATAATAATCTCTCGGCGAATCCATTGGATTTGGATAATTGTCATTAACATCATACATTCCAGCAACTTCCAATTCATTTTGATCTTCTAAAAGTGATCTTTTGAATAAGAGCAATTTATACATGACAGTTTCTAGAATTTTCTTCGGATTTTTTCGTTGATCAACTGGCAAATCATTATGTATTCCTGTTATAACACTTGCTTCCAAAATAAAATAATCAACATCAGATTCATCACATTTATTTGCCAATTGAGATAATCTCGATTCTGCAGAACTGAATAATTCATCCAAATCGAATAATTCAAGTTCGGGAGGTGGTAATTCATGAAAATTTGGTGGGAAAACTGCAGGTTCCAAAGGTGGTAAAGGAAGTTCGAATTGTGGTTCGACTAATGTAAGAGGAGGCGGAGAAAGATGAAGAGCATCGTAGAGTCTGAAAATGAAAAAAGTTGTGAGAAACATTGAAAACTGAAAAAAGAGTTACTTGAGAGTTGCTGGCCAATGTTTCAAACTGAAAGAGTGAAGAGAAGTATCAAGGATTTTCATAAAATCTGTCGAAATTGCCGAATCCAATTCACCTTCGTATAAACACACCTGCAAAATATATTATGTTTTTAGATTTTCTGAAAATTGAATATGGGAATATTTGAAAAACATTATTCCAGTCGTTCAGGAAGATATTGAATATACCGAATATATTAATCGAATATATTAATGAATATATTAATTTCCCAAAGGAAATTAAAAAATTACTGTAATTTTCTTCTTATGAAGTGAAGAGTTAAGAGAAGTATCAATACCAAATTTTCCAACATTTGTTAGGATTACTGTAGTTTTTTGGTGTTTTTTCTAAATGTTGAATTCAAGCTCATTTGAACTCACCTTCAATTGATTTGACATATGAACATGATCTGGAATATTAATATAATCATTGATTTCCGGTTCAGCCGCATCAATTGAATTCAATTCAAATCCATTCATCAAATATTCAATCAACACGTCCTAGAAAATAACTCATAATTATTACTCCTAAAGTTCAAAAACTCACAAAAATCTTTCCATTTTCCTCTTTATCGATATATGCGTCATGAAACATTGAAACTGATCCAACAACACAAACACGACCGCGAGTTTTCTGAAATAATGATTTTGAAAAAAATATATAAGATGTCAGAAAAACTCACGTTTTCATTCAATTTAGTTTCATGAAATGCAACAATTGGTCTCGCAGCGGGAAAACACGCAGCTCCAGAAGACATTACGATTGTTGAGTTGGATTTATTTACATTTAAAGTGCAACCGAAGGGATAAACGAAAGAGAGGGTTCTGAAAATAAAATGGTTAAAAAAATGTTGATGATTTTTTTTTGAAATTCCAATTGTTCCAACAAAAAAAATCTTACTGTGAATTTGCATTTTGATCAAGGCTCACATTTTTCTTGGCAGCTGATGCAATTGATCGATTCACAATTCCGTTTGTTATCAAAGCCTCTTTTGGATCAAAATATTTATAGAATACTGTACGGATTACTGCGTCTGGAAAAATTATTTTGATTTTCACAGGCAATAACGGAAGGATCCATAATGTGCACCTTATGGATCCATCACCTCAAGGGGGCTTGATGGATCCATTATGGATCCATTATGGATCCTTCCGTTATTGCCTGTGTCCATAATAGATCCATACTGGATCCATAATGGTTCCATTATGGATCCATTATGGATCCATCAAGCCCCCTCGAGGTGATGGATCCATAAGGTGCACATTATGGATCCTTCCGTTATTGCCTGTGTTTGTGGATAGAAAAATTCAGGGTTGAAGATTCGAAATTTTGTAACTAAAAATTCTGAAGAAATGTGAAAAAAATGGTGAAAAATGTGCGAAAAAATTTCTAATCAGAATTCATACCTACGGGATTTTATAAAGAGGTTAATTTTTGTTAATTTTATTCATCCAAAATCAGTTTCAATCGAACTAAAAATGTTCAAATTGCCACTTCATAGCTCATTTCTCCAAAAACTCCCTACCTTTATTCAAAGTGATGCCATATTTAGTCAACAAATCATTCAACGTCGATTTCTCTCCATTTTCTCCTGATAAAATCATCAAACTTCCACCTTCCTCGACAAATTTCCAAATTGTCTCAATCTAGAAAAATTATAATTGTTTTGAATTCACAAATTCCAATTTTTCATCTGAAAATGAAAATCGAAAACCTCTCCAGGTCCAAAAGTTGTTTTTGGCTGCGGAATAATAAGCATTCGCACATCTTCCAAAGCGCTCAAATTCAAAGTTTCCGTATTTCTGCAAAAAAAGAAGATAAAACCAGGTCTCAAAACATCTACAGTACTCACATTTCAACATTCAGCAAACTTTTCAAATGTCGTGCAACTCCCCGAAATCCCGAAATCAAACTGATTTGTTGTTGTTTCGATTGATCAATGAGCACTTTTCGGGGAGCCTAGGGAAAACATTTTAATGAGAAATTATTTTTGGTATATGCTACATAATGACAAATAATAACTCACCACTCTTCCTTTATTTTCAGTAAACGGAGGCATTTTGAAAAGAAGAAAAAGAACAAGAAAATGAAGAGGAAAATAGGGGTGAAAATAATGTTGAGCGACTATTTGTTGCTATGGAAACGTGGCAGATGAATCTAAAGTTGCGGGAAAATAAAAAAAGAATAATTGTTTTTACCCACAAATTTGGAATAATCTTTTAGAACCAATTTTAAAAAAAATGTTATAAATTAAATTTATTTAAAATCATATTTACACAGTTTTACAAAAAAAAGAAAAGAAAATAATTAAACATACCCATGAAAAAACACCAAAAAATCAATAAATAGAAGAATAACTGAGTTTACCAAGCGACAAGAATATTTGAAACCTCATTTGGTTGAATTTCGAATTTCGTTTTCGAAGAATCCGAATTTTCATATAAATTAGTAAGTGAAGTTTGTTTCGCAGATTTCAGAGTTGGAACAATTTCAAGCGGTGAAATCGAATGATCTCTAGATTGGCAACCTTGATCTTCCAATGTTATTCGAGATCGACAATCAGGAACAATTCGATGAACAATCAATGCAGATTTCTTTTCAGCAGCTGTAGATTGTTCATCCTGTTTTTCATACGACGTTTTGCCAGCCAAACTTCTGAAGAAAAACGTTTTTTTATGTACTTTAAAAATTCTAAAAACAAAATTTCCTACCTAAAAGTGACGACATGCAAATCACAATTCAATTCTTCATCGAAATTTTTCGAAACCACAGGTTTTGGTGTTCCATCCGAAATCATTTTGACAATTGGATAATGAAGAGACCACGTGGCAAATTGACTAACTGATGAATGATATCCAACACGTTCTTTTTCTTTTTCTGTCGAAGTTGAAGAAGACATTGGTTCAGAAAGAATTCGGAAATGTCCAATTGTTCGCTTATTGTCTGGAAAAATTGGATTTCGCAAAGAAAGATGTTTGGAACTTTTTTCAGAGGAAAAATTGATTTTTTTTAATGTTTAGGACAATTTTGAGACCGAAAGCTGCTTAATTTCTACATTTTTTCATAAAATTTCAATTCTCATAAAATGTTGCGGCATATTACTGCGAGGTTAGTAGCAAAATGGCATATCGCAGCGAGGTTTGGCGGGTTTTTGCGACTGGTGTACAAAATCAAGTGTTTTTAAATTAAAATACCAACAATACTTCTATAACTTTTTCGAAAAACTTGGCCAAACTTTTTCAATGCATTTTTCGAGCGCAAAATCGAGATTGAATTTTAAATACCCCCTCTCCCCCTCCCACAATTTCAGATGCCTCAAAAATTCCAACCTTTAACACCCTGTTGCAATCCTCGATTATCATCACTATTCAATCTTCTATCGAGCATAATCTCAATTTCTCCCGATTTCAAACTACTAACACCCAATGCTTGTGCTGAATGAATTGATAAACGAGATGAATCATCTTCAATAAAAACACCAGCTGACATTGGATAATAATTTGCTTGAAGTGGAAGTTTTGATCGTCGTTTTCTTTTTATCATCTAAAAAAAACATTCAAAAATATTGTTTTTTTTTGTCAAAAAATGTACCTGCAATCCATTCAAATCAGTATAAAAAGTGTCTCCACTCTCAATATTCGACGAAAATCTCAAAGCAAATTCAAAGTCATCCCTGGCTCTTATATCAATCTCCTGATCCAAATCCAAATAATCCAATTTGTCATAAATCGAAAAAGTTTGCAAAACTTTTAGCTCGGAATTCGGAATATTCAGAACTTTTTTGACAACATTTCCATCAATTACAACATATTTTGATTGTTGTTGTTCAATTATTTTCGCTTCTCCATTTGGTAAGAAAAGATATGCGCCAGCCGGATTGTCTTCATTTCCATTTGAAACTGAAATCAAATAGGATAAATTAATCAATTGACCTTATTACATTTTATTCAATTATTCTCTCATCTTTTCATGTTATATTTTGTGTTTAAAATTAATTTTCTGAAAAATAAAAATATGTGGAGTGTATTCTTGTTTTTTATTGGATTTTTGGTAAATTTTGCAATGTCGCAGACATTTTACAATTCGCAAGTTTATTCGAGTGAGTTTTGAGGAGAAATTTGTTGACCTAGAAAATTTAAGGATGGAATCATTCAGAAAAAAATCGAGATAATTTTTTAAGAGTAAAACTTTAGGATTATTTCAATAAAAAGATTCTGAAAACTAAAATCGAGTTTGGATAGAATAACATTTAGCTCGACACGTATTTTCCTTTCAAAATTCTTGAATATTTCAGATCCTTGGCCCTCTCCTTATAGTGGAAGAAATGATGGTGAAATATACATAAGAAAAACCTATGGTAACTTTTCCACTGTTCCCAAAACCCTCTAATTTTTCCCTCTTTAGATCAATCTCAATATTCATCTCAACAACATCAACAAATCTATGATTCTTCCTCTTCTCCATATATTTCTTCTTCATTTTATCGGCCTCGTTTCGGAGTTCCCGAATTAATGAATCCAACTCAACCATTACTAATTAATGGTTATCCAATGTATCAACAACAACAACGTTTTTATCAACAACCATCTCCATTCTACAGTAACCCTATTTACACTACCTACAGTAATCCAGTAGTTTATCAAGGTCCTACAGTATCCAGACTTCCATTCAAATCTGCCTGACTTACAGTGTTTTCTGTTTTTTCTTGCTCCATAATGAATAAATTGTGAATTCAAATTAATGGTTTTCTTGTCAATTTGATGTGTTATACTCTGCAAAAAATTAATGTTTTTCTATTTTTTTTTAAATTATATACAAACCTTTGCCATTCCTGAATTCTCATCAAAAACAACATTAATTTTTCCATTATCCAAATTAAATTCTCCCGAAATTTTGCGTCTATCAAAATTATCAATCGATATTTCAAAATTCGTTGAAATTTTAGCCTTTTTGGTATTTGTTGATTTAACAATTCGATATGCTACAGTACTCATTGGCCCAAGTTTCGCAGAGAAACAAAGTTCGAATGTGTCTTTTTTGATTTTCAGAAGATTTGGAACATTTTCATCGAATTGAATAACTGGCGCAATTTGTTGGTTAGCCTGGAATATATATTTTTTTTTGAAAGGGAAGGAGTGGTGACGGAAAAATTACAATATCTTGATCTGCTTCGATTCCTGCGTCGAGAGAATCTACGTGGATACAAATAGGTTCACTTCGTTGACGAGAAAGAGTGTTGAAAATCACGACATTTCTGGAAAAATGGTTAATTTTACGGCATTTTTCATATATCCAAGTTAGGTCCTATGAAATTTTGAAACATTGAATAGAGCGTTCTGTGCGATTACAGAACCAATTATTATTATTTTTATTTTTTGAAAAACTCACTGTCCAATTGTGTAAACTCTCTTCTCCGGTAATACATTTTCATTAACTCTTGTCTCATCAACAATCATTTTATTCGTATTATCAATTCCAAGCAAAACAATAAAACTCTCCGATAAAACATCTTCACAATCATTCAATGCATCAATCATTTTCCTTCCATAATCTAATACCACATGATCTTTAGCAGTTCCAGTAACTCCGTCATGATGTTGGAATAATGCCAACGCTCTTCTTGCTCTTTGCAATTTCTCAAATATTGGTTTTTCCATCATTCCACCTTCTTCAATATTTGCAAGTGAAAATGCAATTTCAGCAGATCTTAAATAATGTTGAAGTACTCGATCTAATTGTTTATAAAATGGTCGAGATGTAAAATATCCACTCCAATAATGATCATCTCTATCAGCATATGTGAAAAAATCACCAGAAAGTGTTTCCAATTTCTTTCCATTTTCAATCAAACGTTTATCTAATTTTTCGAAATAATCTTTCAATGTTCCAAATTGTGCATGAACATTCCAATCTTTTTGCGAATTCATATATTCAAATAATTGCTTATAATTCGAATATTGTGAATCCCATTCAAAATCAATATCATATCTAAAATCATCTCCCAATGGTGCAAAAATCACATTATTTTTATAAAGTTGCGCTTTTTTTCGATATTGATCATATAACATTTTTGCTCTTTCAGCTACATTATTCGAATCGATTTCTCTTGGCGGAATTCCCCAATCACAACTTTTTCCACCTTTTGGAAGACGACGGAAATCAAATTGACAACAAATTGAAGGCTCAGGTCCACAAGTATGAGGGACATCATACGAATAAAATGGCATTATATGAGTTCGCAAATCTTCTCTCTGTGAAGACTTTCCCGATAATTGTCGCCAATAAAATTCAAGATTTTTCTTCAAAGCAAGTTCTCGTTTAACACTATAATGAACACGTTGAATAACTGCATTTGTAATATTTGAAGATGTTAAAAGATGTGGCATTGATGGAGAAAGACCAAATGGATCAATTGACCAATGTGATTTTGGAATTGCTGCTTTTCCTAAATGATTTTTAATCCATTCATGACCTTCGAATAATTCAACAATCATTGAATGATAATGTGCATTTGCTTCATCACTCATAACCCATCCACCAGTTACAATTTCGAATTTCCCATCTTCTAAATATTTTTTGACTTTCTCTCTAGTAGCTTCGTTTTGCTCTTTCCACCACATTTCAAAAAATGACATTTCCGCGTAGATAAACTTGAGTCCATCTTTGATTTCTAAATGTTTTGCCATTCCATCCAAAATAAATTTAGTCTGTTTTTCATAATATCCTTCAAATGTCTGAATCCATCCAGGATCACAGTGTGAATGTGGAATAATTACAATCTCAAGTCGATCTTCTTTTTTAACAGCTTCTTCGTCATATGTTATCTGAACAATCAATAATTTACTTAATTAGAAAAGACATTTCTCACCGGGAATCCTTGTTTCCAAACTCCACCATCAGGATTATCAAACTTCCAAACATCATAAAGATCTAACATTTGAAGAGAGCTATCAGGTTTGCTCAAATTAGCTCGTAATCCACAAGTATTCTTCAATGATGGCGTAGTTCTTTGATGTATTTGATTAATATGAGCAAGTCGATCTCCTCGAACAACAACTTCATCAGCAACATCAACTTCAGCAGCTTTATCTTCGACTTTCTCAACAGCAGATTGGCTTTTCAATTCTCGTTCTCTTTCGATTTTCACCGTTTTTATATCAGTTTCCAGTTGATCTATTTGTTTTTCATTGTTATTTGCAATATCTTCAAGTTTTTCGACTTTCTTTTTCAGCTGTTCAATGTACTCCTGAACTTTCAATTTATATTAATTTTAAAAATACTAACTCAAAAAATTACCTGTCTTCTCACAACAATATCGTTACCCGTATCAATTCCATTGTATAAATATAATGAAAATATTAGAAAAGCTGCTAGGCAAATCAGCAAATATCCATTTCGCCTTATCATTCCATGAACTCTGGAAAAAATAGGTATCGTCATTTTTGACACGGAATGATTACAAATTATAGTAAAAGATGGTGACAAAATGCACTTTTGATTTTTATAACATTGAAAATGCTTGATAACACGTGGAAATTCATGTTGCAAAGGTCAAACATATCACAGTGTCCACAAAACGACGTTTCTGCGTCTCTTTTCGAAAAATCTCTCGTTTCGGTAGAGCGCGTTTGCTCGTTTGTCTTTTTTCAATGGAAAAATCGAATTTTTTGCCGATTTTTCAACTTTTTCTTGTTTTTACTCATTGTCATTGTTGTTTTTGCAAATTTTAATGAACGATTTTGTATTCTATGAATATCAGAGAACATTTTAATGTATAGATCGTTTCATGAAGTGACGCCATAATGCCGTTCAAAAATTTTAAAGATTTTTGTTCGTTTTTCAGGTTTTTTTGGGTGTCACCAAAAAGTGAAGAATACTCATTTTTCGAACTTTTTGGTATACGAGGACCACATTTGGGATGAAATGGGACATATTTGGACCAATTGTAACGACGACAGATTTATTTTCATATGAATCGATGGATGTTACCAGTGGTGCTGTTGAACTGTTTCCTGATGCTTGTTTGGATATTAAATGATTCGAATATGATGGGAAAGAAGAAAATTAAGCTTTTCGTAGGTTTTTTGCTTCAGAAATTTTATAATAACGGTATTTATAACGGTATTATTGCAGGTTCACGCTGGTCATCGCTACTTTTGAACATTTACTGGTTCAAAAAATATGTAACTGCTCGTGATATTTGATTTTTGACAAAATCGTAATCGCATTGGATGTATCTGATCGTAATTTCGAATCAACCACACATTTTTTCAATGAGGAACATTGCGATAAACTCGCATTGGAGGATCTGGCTTTCCAACACCAACATCAGGAAATGTGTTATTCAGAGTACTAGAGGACAGTGAAAAACATCGAGAACACACATGAAAATCCACTTGACAATGTATATGTTGGAACTATGAAGAAAATAGCGGCCGTTGGGGCTGGTTGTAAATGTTTGATGGATCAAAAAATGATCAATTGAGAGGAACTCATATTTCAACAGTAACATCCTACTCCTCTTATTGCTAAATTCAAATTTTGGAGCCTGGTAGAGATTTGACGATATTTTTTCTGAAGTCGACAGGAAATGTTGAGTTTGAGTCGAAGAATGACGTTCCTTATTGGCCAAAATTATCGATTTGTGATATTTGGAGCTCAACAACTCAGCTAAGAAGTTCATTCGGATCCTGACAATCTTTTTGTTGTATATTTTCATATGGTCTTTCTGCTGATGTTAATTTTCAGCCGGGTTTTTAAAAAATTTTTTTTGTAAGACACAACTTTCTATTATTTATTGATTAATATTTATTTAGATAGTTTGTTTTTTGTTACATAAAACTTTATCATTTAAATTTTTCAATTTTTCACACTTCAATTCAGGTATTTCTTATTTTTTAATAAAAAAAACGCTCAAATAAACGTGTTTTGCTAATTGCATTTCTTTTTTTAGGTTCGAAACTTCTCATTCCTAGCATCAAATAAACTGGTATACTTTGATTCACGTAATTCCTGGCCTCTAGAAGTAAATTTACCAAAAATTTGGTGAAATTTCAGCTAAAATACTTTTTCAAAAAAACATAAGTTTTTCTTTCGATTTTAAAGCCTTACAAATTTCAAAAATGAATCGAAATGTTATTTCTCTGCCTTCCTTCCATCCTCCTCTACTCGCTCATATACCATTTACCCGTGAATTTCTCAAATTTTTCGATAATTTTCGAAAAAATTCAAAAAAATTGAAAAAAAAAATGAGAGAGTGTTGTTTGCTGTAGAGACGCAGACAACGAGAGAGCGCACACACCTCGCGTCGTCCTGTGGATATTGTGGCAAACAAGCAAAAAATATTCAATTTATTTCCAAAGGCACACAGATTTATTGCGAAATATCTTGTGTGGATTTCCAAATCCGTGTACTTCTCTCGGAATTCTTTTTATTTTTTTCAAAATTTTTCTTCGCAACCTGTTTTTTATGTTCTTGCTCGGCGTTAGTTGGCAAGATAAAAATCTTATCAATCAATTTACTCGCCCATACGTTTTGCACTCGTCTAGAAAAAACAGAACGATTAATTATTCCGAAAATCAAGTTTTTCGAAGAGAAAGTTATTTGTGACAATTTCAGAAAGTGAGATGGTTGCGTTCAAAGCACTACTTCTTGATATTGAGGGTACTATAACTAGTATTTCTTTCGTTAAGGTTAAATTGTCTCAAGTTTATGACTAACTTTATCGTTAATAATTTTCAGGATGAATTGTTTCCCTACGCTTTCGACAATGTTGACAAATACATAGAAGAACATTATGATGAACCAGCTCTTCAAATAGTTCTAGAAGATTTGAGACAACTAGCAAGAGAACAATCACAACACGATGCTTCAGTTGTGTAAGTTCACCCATTTTCTAACCACTCATGCATATTTGAATATTTCTAGCCGAGTTCGTGAACCGAAACAAAATTGCATTGATGACGTGGCAAAGAATGTAAGACATTGGATAAAACGAGATAAAAAGTTAACACCAATGAAAGCATTGCAAGGATTAATTTGGGAAGAAGCCTATAAAAGAGGAAAAGTCGAAGGACATTTATATCCCGATGTTCTTCCAGTCCTGAAAAAACTTCACGATGAAAACTTGCCAATTTATATTTATTCTTCGGGTTCAGTTCATGCCCAAAAGCTGTTATTTGGTTATTCGATAGAGGGAGATATCACAAATGTAAGTTTTAATTTGTCAAGTTTTCCGTTGACAACCAAAGTTTTCTAGATTCTTAGCGGCTACTTCGACACCAGAATTGGATTAAAAGGCTCATCCGAATCTTACACTGCAATCAGCCAAAAAATCAATATCGCGCCAAACGAGATTCTTTTCCTAACTGATGTTCCTGCTGAAGCTGAAGCTGCGAAAACCGCCGGACTTCAAACTTTCCTTGTTTCCCGACCTGGAAATGCCAACCTCAGCGATGAAAATCGAGTTGATTTCAAAGTTATCGAATCCCTTGATGAAATTTTGCAATAAATTAATTTTCCTATTGTTTTCTCTACGTTTGAAAGAATCTATTAATTGTCAGAAAAATCAACTTAAATTATTTCTTATTTATATTCCAAGATTTCGCAGAAAATTATCCATGTTCAATTTTCCAGTTATGATATGTTATCTCGATTGAATGTTTATAAGAATATCACGCGGCGAAATTCAAGCATCTTTCAAAGAGTCAAATCATTTCTAGTTCCCGTAAGTTGAAAGAAAAAAGTTTGACTTTCAATAAAAATACTAAATTCAGAATGAAACCGAGAATTTCGATGTTGAAGAAGTGAAAAGATGTCATAATTGGGATAAATTAGATGAAAAAGAATGGACATTGATTTATAGAGATATTGGTGAGTAAATTTCATCATTTTAGAAAGTACTAGTTTAGTGGGATTTAGTTGATACGTACCTAAAATCTATCGGAGTCGAGTTATAAAAATCTTACGTTTGGAAAATAAATTAGAAATTACGTATCAGTTCCCACAAGCCAAAAAAATCAAAATGAAGCTCCAATGCCACTTTTTTAAAGAAAATATTTTTTATTGAACTACTTAGGTCACGCTCACGTATTTTATTGATTCACAAATTTTTCCCGGCCTTTTTAAAAATTTAAAAGTTTTCAAAATCAAAATAGCTCTCTTTATGAATATATTTTTACAAAATGTTATTCATAAAATTTTCCTACAGGAGCATCCCGAACAAATGTAATGACTGGTCTATTTTTGCCATGTTTCATTGCCGGAAGTGCCATTTTCCTATATGATATTCAAAAGAATGAGGCAAATAATCGATTTGATTTTGTTCAAAGAATAGTGAATGATGCTGAAGAACTGGGAAATCTTATTTTTGTTCCAACAATTGCTTTATCTTTAGTTATTGCATTATTAGTTCGAGTACAACAATTACGTGTAATGAGGATTTATCAGAATCGGAAAAATGTTGAAGATTTTATTGCGATTCGATCAAAATATATTGTTAGACAGCAAAAGGTAATTTTTGAAAATGGTGTATTGTAGAAAATTGGAAATGTTTAGTTTTTGTTCAATCGAGATTCTTCGAGTGCTTTCTATTTTGCTGAAGAACAAAGTGATGGTCGAAGAGTTGCTTTGAATTTTCTCTTTGGAAATATTCAGATTGGAAATCAGCGACAAATGATTATGGATGATATGTTCAGAGCGAATAATTATCGAAGTTTCATGCTGAATGAGACAAGTGTTCCACCCAGGTTATAGATTTTTATTTTTTAATTGCATAATTATTGAAATTTTGGAGAAAGTATTTAGTTTTAATTCTAGTCGAATTCAAACCAAAGTATCCTAGGTAAAAATTACAATTTGGATAATTTTATTTTCAAAAAACTTTAGAAAAACACACATTTTAAATATACAAATTTTATTGATTGATTTAATTTACAGAAAAAGTTTGCAAAAATTATTAGAATAAAAAGAATTTCAAATTAATTTGAAGTCGAACTCGAAGTTGAAGAAGATGGTGAAATAGGAGTCGAAGTTCGTGGATATTCCTCGATTTCGAAATCATTTTGTCGGTCGATTAATTGTTGACGAGCACGTTGAATATGATTTTTATAAGATCTCAGATAATATCGGAATTCAGCGATTTCATAATCGTCGCTGGAAAAGTTCGCTGGACATAAATATGGCCGATTTCTTGGAAGTGGAATTGCATGTGGTTTTTGAAGTGGCATTGAAATTGTCTTTGGCTTGAGCATTTGATCTGAGCTAATGATTTTCATACTAGAAAATGCATCATTGATATCGCAATCAAAGTTAATTTTTCTTCGAGCAACTCGATTTTCTTTCAGTGGAACATTATTCCAAGATGTTGGTTGAACATTCGAAGTACTTGGATTTGACATTGTTTTGATTCTGAAAGTAGAAATGTTTATTTTCGAGAAAGTTCCGAAAACAATTACGAATAGGAAAGTTTGGTGAATAAGACATTTCAGCTCCCTCTTTTATACCAAATTTCCGCCTAGGTTCACCATTTTAGCCACGCCCCTTTTTTCTATCATTTGATTGGATAAACACGTGGGAAAGTGTGTGAGGTGTTAGAAATAACCGACAAAAACGGAAACAGATGTTGTTTTTGTTTATGATAGGAGTTTTGGGAAAAAATTTGCCGATTTTCCGATCTTTTTTCACACCTTGGTGATAAAGTATGTTAGATCTGTAATACAACCGATCGAAAAACATCTGTTTGCGATTTCCGGGAAAATGATTTTGGGAAGAATAAGAATCTGAATTATTCGAAAACTGATTGATTTATTCATAAATAATAATCAGATGCAATAATCAATGCAAAAAGACTTAGAAACGGAATTCCGAGGGTGAGATAAAATCGTAATTGAACTGTTGATTCGATTTTTTTGATTGGCGATTTATAACAAACTCGACGTCTATCCGAAACATTCAAGCAAATGTCTCTCTTTCTCCTTTGCAATCCGAACTTGTTCGACAATTCCATTGAGATGATTGAATTCGTTGTTTTTCATAATCCAACAATCCAATCGTATAGATTTTTCGAGTTTCAGAATCACACCATTTATAAACATATTTTAATGGAAGTGGTTGAAGAGGATCACACATCATGTTAGATTCATATGGAAAATTGCCAATTTCGAATTGATCTTGTGCCACTCTTTTCACTGAAAAGCCGTTCAATTTATTGATTTAATTCTGAAATAAGTAGATCAAGATAACTTACAATTCGGACAACATTTTCCAGCCCAACAAATTCCAGGTTTTGTTCTTTTTACTCCCCAAATATTGAAATCACAAATATGTTTGTTATCCATGTTACCAAAAGTGCAATTTGGTTCTTGTTGAAATGGAGTAACACCATCCGGACAATAATGCGCTTCACGAAGAATATTTTTGTCTTCTGAAAAATTAGAATAAAAAACTTATTCCTTTGACAAGAGTGTTTTTTGTTATCTCAAAAGTTAGGGCATTTTTTGAGTAGTAAAAGCCCCAAGGGATTTCTTTCCGAAAAGCCTGAAAGTATCGGAAAACATTATTCCATGAAGGTTATCTGAATTCAATCAGAATCATCGGATGCCTACCTTTACAACAAACTGTTTCATCAATATCACACCAAGTACCCTTTGGACAATCTGATTCATCATGACATATTTGCCCAGCTTTTCTTGTTGAAACTCCGATTGTACACCTCTCTCCCAATTCGCAAAATCCTTTCCTTCTCTCATCATTCATCACAAAACTATTCTTATTACATGTCGATTTTTCACGATAACATTCTTCTGATTTATCACATACTTTCAAATCACCAAAAATCCTTGCATTTTCTGTTGGATAAGCCATACAAAATCTCCCTTCTTCGCCTTGATATTTTTGATCATTTCCGAGATGATAGATTTCGCTACAATAATGATCACGCGGACAATCTTTAGTTAATCTACATTTTAAAGAGAAATTCGAGCTGAGATTTGTGTATGGCGGATTTTCGATATGAGTTTTTGTAAGAGTACTGTTCTCAAAGTTTTTGTTCATATTTGTATGGAGAAGATAAGGAAGAGGCGGAGAACACAGCGAATCTGAAAATGATATTAATCATTGTGGCAAATATTTTTTAGACATACTTTTCGGCAAATTGAATTCTTCACATTCAAAGCTTGACCCATTTAGTAATTCATATTTACATCCAGCCATCATACCAAATGGACAATTAGTTTCTTTAAAACAAACAATTTTTAAAGTATTTCCTAGACAAAATTTAAACAACTTACCACAAAAAAATGTCTGCTTTTTATATCTGAATAAAGTCAACATTTTAAAATTTTTCTTATATTCATCAACACGATCCTTCGAAAAACTCAAATTATATTGAGAAAGATGTTCTTCACAATCTATAAAAAATCTCTAAAAATATCATTTTCTATATACTATTTACTCACTTTGTTTCGAAATTCCGATACGGTAATCATCCAAATGATAGTTGACAGTGATTTGCGAATATGTTAGGTAGAATAAATTTATGAAAATAAATATTTGAAATAGTTTCATTTTGAACTAAAATAAGAATAAGCACTAGTTTCATGGAAAAACTGGCCTTTGAAAAAAATACCACGTGAATTAAATCAGGTCAAATAAAAAATAAAAATAATTAAAGTTGATAGACGAATTTTAAACATTTTGTTTTTATTGGCAGGTTTTCGAAATTTCCAGAATGTTTTTTTTTCGGCTATAGTAGTCTTTAAAAATTCAAAGTCTGAAAAGCTCGATTTCCAAAAAAGTTATAGATTTTCCTACCGTACCTTCAAATTAAAACTAATGTTTTTTTTCTGTCACGACATTCTGAAGATCTCAAAAAATTCAAATTTATAGAAAAATTGAAATATTTTATTGAACAAATGAAGAAATCGTAATTTTGTAAAAAAAAAGTTCAATAAAGTAAAATAAATGAGATTCAGAAATAATATTCAGCCGCAATTGCCAATCCAATAATAACCGCAATCGGAACTAGAAATCGGAGATAAAATCGAAAACGAATTTGATTCTGAGTTCGATTAATCGGTGATTTATAGCAAACTCTTCGTTTTTTCGAAATATTCAAACAAATATCATTTTTTCCTTTACAATCCGCTTTTGTTTTACAATTCCATCGAGTTGTTCGAAGTTTCACATTGAAGTCATCCAAAACTCCAACTGTGAATATTTTTTTAGTCGTCGAATCACACCATTTATAAACATATTTCAATGGAAGTGGTTGAAGAGGATCACACATCATGTTAGATTCATACGAATAATCACCAATTTCATATTTATCCCGATCTCCTTTTTTTCACTAGAAGAAATTGGTTTCAAAAACACCAAAAAAAGTGAATTCTAGATATGACAACTAAATGAACCTAATTTCACAAATAGCACAGTTCCATCAAGAAGTAAAAAACTCACAATTTGGACAGCATCTTCCCGACCAACAAATTCCCTCTTTTGCTCTCAATCTTCCATCAACTGTTTTCAGACATCGGTTAACTTCATTAACCTTACTACAATTCGGTTCTTGTTGAATTGGTGTCACACCATCTGGACAATAATGGAGCTCTGTTATTTCTGTTGGGTCTTCTGAAAACAGAAACATTAGAAGTTTCAAGTTAGCATTCCAACGATTTTTTGATTAAAAATTTATTTCCCGAGTTCCTGAAAATCGGGAAAATTTCTAGTGAAAAATAGGCAGTTCCTCGATCATTCCTTGTGAGAAAAATTCTAGGAAAATATATTCCTGATCCGAATTTCAAATCGAAATATTTTTCAAAAATATTCTTTTTTTTAAATTTTTTAAATACAATTTTCCGTTTTCCAACCAACCTGAACAACAAACTTTCTTATCAAGATCACACCAAGCATTTCCAGGGCATCGTTGTCCGCTTCCACAAATTATGCCACCAAAGGGTTTTCCAATTACACAAATTTTTTTGTGCTCACAAAATCCTTTCTGCAATGGATCATTCATGATCAAATTCTTCAAATTACATGTCCCTCTATTTTCACAGTCTCCATCTTTTGCACACGTCTTCATTTTTCCAAAAAGTTGTGCCCCTTTTGTTGGATCTGAACAAAAAAAACTGATAAAATTTGAAAAAAATTAGCATCTAATTAGACGCCTAAACCCTGAACATATGTCACTGAAGTTTATCTCACAAACACTCACATTCAACACAAAATGACACATTTGGATATTTCTGAGCCATTCCCATGTGATAAATTTCACTACAATACAAATCTGACGGACATTTTTTTCCATCATTACATTCGATTCCATAATCTGAACCCACTGCTTTGAATGGTGGATTTTCAATTCGATGTTTACCAATTGTACTTCTTTCAAAATTCAAATAATAATTATTGTATGTCAAATATGGGAGTGGAGGAGAACATAATTTTGATTTAACTGAAAACATTGATTTTTTGTTGATAACTTGAGATGTTTATACCACCGAGAAAATGATCGTCGCATTCAAAACTCATTGTGCAATCTGTCGAATTGAAATCACATCCAGCCATCATATTAAAAGGACAATTAGTTTCTTAAAATATACATGTATTCGGAATAGAAAAATTGAGATCTAAACTAAACTTTTCAATTCGTTCTGTTCAGGACAAATTGACAGTTTTTGCTCACGAAAAAAAGAAAACCAAAACTCAATGTTTGAAATGACAGCTCAACTCACCGCAATAAAATTTATTTCCATCTTTGTCTCTGAATAATGTTAACAATTCCGGTGTATTTATATATTCTTCCTTCTTTCCAATTATCATTCTTCAATCCATATTTTGACCCTGTTTCTTTTTCAGAACACACTGAAAAATTGTTTGATTTTTGAATTATCAAATTCTTCCTTCCTCACTTTTCAATTTGTCATCTGCTAGCAAAGACTTATTAAGAGCACACTGTCCATGAACATGTTGAACGAAATTTAAAAAGAGACAAATCCATAAAATTCGCATTTCCAAAATGATTGTTTTTATTTAATTTTTTTGCGATAAATGTCAGTTTGCCACGTAACACGTTTGAAATATTTATTTAATTCAACAAGGTTGGAAATTTCATCAATTTTTTGAAGTTAAAAGCAAAGCGAGAGAGAGAGAGATCATAGAAATTCCCGTAGAAAAGCGAGAGAAAAATAATGCAAGAAGATATTTAATTAATTAGATCAAAGATACTGTATTCTACTGAACAGCACATTCAAAACATTCACATTTTGTTGCACTTGGTATTCGAATTCGTCGATTTCCAGATGGACAAATTAATTCGGTCTCAACTAAAACGTGTTCAACCATTCGACAACAACTCGCATGAATACTTGTCTCATGTTTCAACGGATCCCACCACGTTTGACTTCTACAGTAACCACTGCATTTATTGATATGAAGAATTAGTAGATCACAACCTTCTTCATCGATTATTTCATCAGCTCCTAAAAAATGCTTTTGTTGGTCACAATCTTCTCAAAAAAATTGGTCATGATCTCTAACGAAACCACGATAAAAAATAAATAAAAATAAAAACGTACCAACAGTTTTACACACAGGTTTTAATAGTTTTCCGGCTTCGATCGGCGGTGGAACAAACAAAATTGTAAATATTGAAGTCCAAAATAGAATCGAGGATATCCTCAAGAAAAGTAGATTATCAAGAATTGTACTGTTTGTTGTAGTGATGCTTCGCATCTGAAAAAAACATCTATTTTTTGTTATGAAATTTTTGGATGCGGGTATAAATAGAATGAAATTATCAGAATACTTTTTAAAAAGAGAAAATGAAATGAAATGATAAGCCTAAGTCGTTCTGAGAAGATTAACAATGTCCGGGTTACTATTTAGAAGATCAATTTGATAAATATGAGAAAAGGTGTCGAGAAAAAATACTGTACAGGAGGAGAGGGGTGTTTCAGCAAAAAGGTTATTTTTGAACATCAATGTCGTAACCTAGACCTGAGCCCAAACCAGAGTGGATAGAGCCAACTTTTAGAAAGCCTAAAAACCTTTGTTAATCCTGAGCCGAGCCTCTTTGGTGCGAGTGTTACCCGCTTCGGCATAAAATTACGGAAAATGATTTTGAATCGTTCCGATCCCAATATTATGTTCAGCTACGGTTGCTCGAAAAATATTTAATTCAAAAACAGGGATTATTGTGAAGGTCTCCCCTTCCTTAAAATAAGAGCTTCTTGTACGTTAGTGATTTTTTTAAATAGAAATTACTCAAAACAAACATTGCAGAAGCTGTCGCCAAAAAAAAACTGAAGTCGTTTGAGATCTCATCAAAAAAAGGGTTTCAAATTTCGGTGGGCGGAACTGTTCATGAGAAAACAACATGTATTTTTAGAAGAAGAAGAAGAAGGAATTTCAAAAATTTGCATTCTTTAGCTACTGAACTTTTTATCAACAACTACAAATACCGTACTAATTAATTGCGGTGAAAAATCAACGAAAATTTTTTCGGTCGCTCACATCATTGTCATCATTTGTTATCACAGAGTAAAAGTGTGCCAAATTTTACAAGAAATTTTATTGGATTATTTTTTTGCACGGGAAAAAGGGTGTGGTTTTATTATGGCTAGAAAGAGTGTGAACAACAATTTTGTCAATTGAGTAGAATACAGTGTAAATAAAATTAGTTTGAAAATTATTTTTAGATTGATAGTGTTATTTTTAGCAAAAGGAGAAGAAGAAGAAGACAAGAGGCTTATCGATGACTAACAAATTTCAAAAAATAGTAAAAAGTTTTATCTCTAGACTGGACTTGAGAACTTTTAATTGGAATCTGAACTTAATCTGAAAGAATTTATCAAAAAAATATCAAAAATTCTCCATGTGAACTTTCATCAATCAACAAAAAATAATAAAAAATGAAATTCCCAAATTTCTCGAATTTCTTCTGTCTGACCTCTCTATCAAAAACAAAAACAATGACGAGAAAAGTCAAATTTTTGCCACATTTTTTTTGCCAAAAATACATTTTTAAACACCAATTTTGAAAGGAAATGGATGGCACTTAAAATGGGCTCGTCATCAGCTTTTCGAGGAGGATTTCTTTTTTTCATTGGTGCATTTTTTTGGAAGAAATTGGATATGACGAAGGACGAAGGAGGAGAAAACGCGCTTGAGAAAATAAAGAATCTGGAACATGGGAAGATTTTTTGCGGTTTCAAAAATTATACAGATGTTGCGAAAAGCATGGGAAACAATTTGAGTTTTTGAAAGCCACAATAAATATTAAAGTTAGATTTCTGAAACACTGGAAATGTTTGAACAGAAAAAAGTCAAATTATTCACATTGAATTTCAGAGTGGAATTACAAATCAATAAACTAAAATTGGAAAATCATTACTTCATCTGAAATTTTTTAGAAAGTGAAATGATTATAAAAATTATTTCCTATTTTCTGAACTGAATTTTCTAGTTCAAAATTGATTACAAAAATAAGTTCAAACGTTATATTTAATATAAATTACTGAAAAACTACATGAGAATTTTATGTTTCTATCTAAAATTTTCAGACACTCTTCAAAAATAGGAATATTCGAATTCTATGAAAACTAAGGTATAACTGATCAAAAACTACTAATAAAAAAACAAAAAATTATATCGAGACAAAAAGACAAAATTGTTACTAATTATAACTCTTTTGATCTATCAAATAAGCAAATTTCGGCTCAAAATCAAGGTCTCAAGAGAATCAAATTAATGATAAAAAACCTCCTCCTATAAATAGCAAGAAAAAATACTTTGTGATTTTATCACCAATTTTTTCGCTAATGTGTACAATGAAAATGTGTGGGTGCTTCTTTTTCTTATCTCATTTGATGTGAGGAAAAAAACTAAAATTCAAGAAATTCGAGAAAAATAATATGAATGAGATGAGATGAAATTATTATAAATTTAAATTTGAATTTTTATTTTTATAAAAAATAAATACGATTATGTGTATACGAATACGTAATTTTCTGACCAACAAAAACAAAGAAAATATATAGAGAGAGTTAGAGGAAATTGAAGTTTTATGAGTTTTGTTCAAATATGAACATTTTATGGTTTTTTAATTTTTTTGCAGAATTGTCTAAAATTGAAAACTCTGGAAGAAATATATATATATAATTATATTTTTGAATGTTTGGTATTTTTTTTTTGAAAAAAATGTTTTTTAGTTATACTACAGTTTTCGAAAATCATGTGAAATTATGTTATTTTATAACTCTATTCCTGGACACAGAAAAAAGTGTTTTTTCTATAAAAGAATGTGCCACGTGTCACCATTTACGTGAATTTAAAATTTTCAAAAAAAATTTGAATATTGTAAAATAAGCTTCAAGACCCGCAATATTTTTTTTGGAAATTTGTTGTGCGCCTTTAAAGTGTGTACGGTTTGGCAGCGCGGGAGTTTTTCATTTTTTTTTTGTTGAAATGTTTTCAAAATTCTCCACTCGCCACTTCATTCATTTCACTCGATTTCAACTCGAAAGATTTCGCGATGTCATCTGAAAATGAAGCCGGAACTCAACAAATTACCATGGACAAAACATCAGGAAGTGTTTATGCTGTTGTTGGCGATGATTTCGTGGCAAATGTCTTCGATATTGAGGGTGAACAATTCTTGGATGGTGGAGTCGACGCGCAAAGCTTGTCGTTTTTGAAACATTTCAAAAATTCGAAATGGATTTTTCATCAGTGCACCAACTGCGTTGAATTTGACAAGTGCTGTTGAATTGAACAATGTTCCGATGATAACAAATCTCAGGAGCGGACAATTGAAAACATTGGCACCGGGTGCAAATATACACGGAGTTCGCACACCATTGTTCAACGCAAAATACGAGCCATATGTGAATCTATAAGGTAAGTAGTTCGAAAATTCTGTCTAATAATTTTGTATTCTTTATAGACACTGCTCAAAGGCGAGTTATCTTTGTATATTCTTGCTGGTGATGAAAGAGATGCTGAGAAACTGGGACGAGCTGCAGGAAACGAAGAAGAACTAAAAAGAGTTTCTGCTGAACATGGAAGTGTTGCTATTTTGGTTTGGAAACCTATCGCAAATTCAAAACCAATCCTTCGCTCACTTCTGTCTGGAACATGCTCTTTTGATCGAATTCAAAAAGCATTGGATCGCGCAGCCAAATTCTTGCCATTCCTCAATGGGCCACTTGTGAAAACTGGGGAAAGACCATTATCGGCGCCATCAAGTATTCCATCTCGACCGAGTTCGAAGCAACTTTCTCGACCAGCAACTCGTCCACCAAATGGCGCTTCTCCTTCTTCAACAAGACCAGCACCACCAAGAGCAGCACCACCAAGAGCAGCAAGACCTGTTCAAGCAGTTGAACCGACGAGAGGCTCGTCGAGAGCTGCTGCTGTTGTTGTTCAACGTGCAAGAGCAATAGTTGCACCAACAAGACATGCAGCTCCTACAAGACATGCTGTAGTTCCAACGAGACCACCAGTGGTTCCGACAAGACCTATCCGACCAACTGTGACCAGAATCGAACCAAGAACTCGTCCAGCTACAACAAATGCTCGCCCATCGACTAGAGTCGTAACTAGACCTTTGAATAATGCGGCCAGGTTTGTTGTATTCAATGTTGTCTTGAAATTCTGTATTTTTTTAGCAGAAGACCAGCAACTTCGACTGCTGCAGCTACACGAGAACGACCTGCGGCTACTATCACGGCTGTAGTTCCAACCGTTGTTGCTCCGCCAGTTGTTGTCACTTCCACAGCCGACAATTCGGTAATAATTGTTGATGAAATCAGAAATAATTTGGAAATTGTTGTGATTCCACCGACTCCAGAACCAGCAGCAATTGCTCATGAAGAAGAACCACAAACTGATGAAGAGCCACAACATGAGCAACCACGACGACAACAAGAATCACCAGTTCAGGAGGAGCAACAAGTTCAAGATGAACTTCAACAAAGAGATCAAGATATGGAGAACGTGTCAACTTCGGAAAATGAATCATCATTCACCGCGTCGGAGACAAAAAATCAATCATTGATTGATATCGGAGAAGTTCAAGGAAGTGCATGTTCAGAACCAGCTCCTAAAGTTACTGTTGAATGTTTGGCATCAGACGATTCGACTTTTGCATCGGAAACTAGTAATGCTCAAGATCAAAACATCTCCAATAATTCGGCGGTTATTTTGGATTTTGCTGAACCATCGGCGCTAGTGGTTCCACCAAAAGAAGATCGAGTTGTTCCGCAACTTGGAGATACTACCGATTTGGCTAATAATCTTGGTGATATTCCATCGGTGAGTTTAATTAATTATATAAGTTTATTTTTCAAAATGTGATATTTTCAGGATTCTATATTGCCATTCATCAATGCAATTTCTGGAATGATTGCTGCTGGTAAGCTAAATTTTGGGTTGATTTTAACTTTCTTCAAAAATAAAAAAAATTGTTTAAAATATTTTGCTTTTAAAATTCCCACGTCACCAGAATTAGGCGGGGAAATTCTAATGAAAATTCTGAAAACCATTGCAAGCAGTCTTATCCGAAATAAACTTTTCAGAGACCAATTCAATCCCAGTTCAATCAAATGGTACTTCGGTCAGCGAAAATCCGATAGTTCAAAATGGAAATCACAAAACATCGAAACATGAATTGATGCAAGAAAGATCAACAATTCATTCGGTTGGCAACAAAAGCGAACCAGAATATGAAAAATCGGATTCAATGATTGATGGAATTTTGGATGCATGTGCCACCGAATCGGATGAAATCGATCAGCAACGACAACAACAACCAATCAATCTTATTGAGCCGGAGCCATTGGAAATGGTTAAAGAAGAAGCGGTCATTTATAAAGGACCAAAAGTTGCGAGACCGTATTATTTCGATTTCGTCAGTTTGCCAAGAAATGATAAATTGGAAACAACAATTGGAAAATTGGAAATGCGAGAATTTGTGGAGAAAATTCGAGCGAGACATTATATTCTTGCTAGCAAGAATATTGATGAAAATGTTCTCAATTCAATTCACTATGCATTCTCGATTTGGGATAATTCCAGTGAGTTTCAATTTTGTTTTGACTTTATTTGGACTCGTAGTCGATGTCCAAATTTATGCTTAACTATACGTTTTACTTGATTTTCTTCAGATTTGAAATGTTCAATCCATCCAACCCACCACAATTCCGCCATTGCTCAATTCAAAGCAAAACATGATGACGAATCGGCAAATTTCCAAGTTAGTTTGCCAATTGACAATTCGATTCTTCGCGATGAAACCGGTGAAGAGTACAAGGTTGCTCGGATCGCTCTGTACGACGAATCCGGTTAATTTTTTTCAATTTATTCATATTTTCATGTAAATAGTATTTATTGATCCCCGCGAACCCTATTGTCAAATACATTGCCCCTCTTCTCTCCCCATACTAAAATTTTTTCGAAATTCTGTCTAATAAAAGCTCACAACACTGCTAGAAATAGTTTTTCTATTCCCGACGAGAAACATTTATTTTGTTCATAAGTATACTTACTAATAGAAATTATCTAATAAGTGAGCCAATATTCCTCGTTTTTTCTTTGCCAATGCACCAGGTGTGAAGTGATTAGTTCGAATGGGTTGAAATCGATTTCGCCGGTTATACACATGAATAAATTCTGGATTTTGAACAGACAAACAGTGAATTGGTTGAGCAACACTGATTGGTGGCTGAGCTACACTCACTGTTCGACGTTCCGAAACCATTTTTTGTTTGTTAACATCCGCCAAAGCCAGAGATCGAATTGTATTCGACAAAATTCGATCTGATGGCTTGAAATGTTCATCATCGCGTGATGTCATAATAATGAGGTCGTTGAATCTATCTAGATTAATCCTTAAAATTCTCATTATTTATTATTTATTGTTGTGTCTCTAAAAAACTTACGGTTCCGGAGTTTCCTTGATAAGTGTGATGCGTTTTTCGATCAAAGCTTTCAATGATTCTGATATTGGATAAGTGGTGTTAATTGGTGGTTTTTCATCTTTCAAAGCCCAAAATGGAACACCTTTGATGAACAAATTTCCATTATTTTCGTTGTTGATGACAGCTAATGTTGCATCATTTGGATCTTTTTCAACATCGTATTCATCGGGAACATCTAATTGCTTTGTGTCTTCGGTAATCCTGAAATATCAGGATAAATTTTGGAATAAGAGCTTAATTGTAAGAGTTCTGAATAGTATCAGAATAACCATTTTTGTAGAAATGCTCATTCTTTGCGTTAAACTTCATATAACCCAGATAAACCTTACACTTTTCTCGCTCTCACTTTTGATTTGGCCTTCTTGATATAAAATGATTTAATCACGGCCTCATTCGATTTTCTCAATCCCGGTTTGATTTTCCGATTCGACAATTTTCCTTTTCGATTTGTCTTCGAATTTCCTTGCATTATTGTTCTGCCACTGTTTTTGTTCTGGCCATTTCCCGCTTTTCTTTTGCTGTCCTCTTTCGGCTTCGCCCTTCGATTCGCCTCATTCGCATCTTCATCCGATGTTACCGTACTTTTTTCAATTTTTTTGATATTATGGTATTTTGAAACACTTGGCGCCTTCTTTTCTTTCTTATTCTTCGCTTCTTCCTCCATAGTTATTCAATAAAAAATGATCGATTTTGGTTTTCTCTCGGTATTTATAGATTTTATGGACGTGAATTTTGTTACGTGGAATTCGTGGATTGCAAATGCCACGCAAATATTTTCATTTATTTATTTTTCATTTTGATTTGTTTTAAATAAGGTCTGGGTTTCTGACAATATTGTTCCACATATAGAATTAACGCAAGTTGAATATTATAAAAATCAATGCGAAAAACCTATAATCATATTTTTTGGTGTTCGGTGAAACGTTTTTGAGGTTGTTCTATTTGCTATATCTATTCTCGTGAATTTGCAATTGTTTGCCGCAAAGATTTTGAAATTTGGTTAAGTATGAAGGGTTTTAGCATTTTTTGTGAAAAAACGAAAAATAGTTTTGAGGTTGGCAAAAAATTCACAAACCGTCGTGTTGTCTGGCGTTCTCTCTTACGAGTTTCTATCTCTCATTTTCTCTCCTTCTCTCTCCTCGTCTCTTCGAGACGCAACACTCTCTAATTTGTTTTTTCAATTCTATTTTTTTTCGTGAAATCAGGAATATTCACGATTTTAATCGAGAACATCATATTTATTACATTTATTGACTATTGTCTTCAAATCATAATCTTTTTTGATCAACTTTTTTCCGGTAAAAAATTTGTAAAACTGGAAAATTTTCCAGTTTTACAAATCCTTCTTTTTCGAGCCAAAATTCATGATTTCCGTCTGAAATTGCGATTATTTTATTTGTTTTTCTTCGAGAGTTTCAATTATTAATCTGATATAATGAAAACCCTCTTTTTAGTTGACTTCCAAATTTAATGTCCAAGAAAATTGAACTTTTTTTCTCATTCTTTGTTAGAATTTCGTGGTCATGAATAAATAAGTAAAATGTATCATTATGTGTCCTTTGTTCACTCTAAAATTCAGTTCTCTTCTTTCCTAATGAAAAATATCCCCAAAGCTCAATTTCTTCTCAATAATTCTATTCAAAAATACAAAAATCCAAACTAATCTTGTTGTCTCGTGCCGACACTTGTTCTACTTATCCCATTTTTAAACAAGTCTATTTTAGCGCAAATAAGATTACCTTCTTCTTATTTCTTGAGTACTGTATTTGTCTCCCAATAAACATCTGTTTTCATTCCTTTTGTTCTTGTTAAATCCCCGACTTTTCTCCATTTTATAATATATTGTTTTAAATAATTCGGATTAAAAACAACACGTGGATTGTGCACCTGACAAGCTCATTGAGCTGGCTAATTTCTATTATACTTTCGTTTTTGGCGGACTCTATATTGTTTTTATTTGGTGCAAAATTTTGGTGGTGACGTGTTTGGTGAAGCGATTAAAGGTGGAGTCCGAGCAAAAATTAAGTTGTGCTCATTTGAAAGAGCATGTTCTAATTAGTACAATCCTCGAAGGATTTTTTTCTGGAAGCTTCTCAAACATTGGTTAAAAAATTACAAAGTTCGAAAAAACAGTGAAACACCGTGTAAAATGGCTTGAAAGTCCATATCTCCAACCGTTTGGAGCTGTGTTTCTCTAATGTTAGAGAAGCTTTCAGAAAAAATCCTTCAAGGATTTTACTAATTGCAACATGCTCTTTCAAATTAGCAAAACTTATTTTTTGCTCGGACTCCACCTTTAATTATGGGATTCAAGTGTTTATTGGTAGAAAATATATATGTAGACATTTATGAATTTTTCATTTGGTGTCAGATACACGATATTCGAATTTTATTAATACAATGAAGATTAATGGAAGATTTTGTTGAATTGAAAAAAGGAAACTGTTGTATTGAATTTTCAGAAGCTCGAAACCTTCTTGGGAAGTGTTTTCAGTTGAGCACTTTGATAAAAGTTCAAAAATTCTAGAAGCGTTCCTCACAGTCTGGAATTTACGAGCAAAATCGAAAGATATTATAAACTTTCTAAAATTTTGACCTTGACTTAGATGGGATGAATTTCGCACAGTCTCATTTATTTTCAGAATTTTTCCAGCAGACTTAGATCTACTTGGAAAATTGTTGTCGGAAAACATTATTATGTACTCAAGAAAATTCTGACCTGAAAATTCTATCAACCCTTTTCTATTTCCCTCACAACATATTTTGACTCGTCTCACATTTCATTCAAATTGCAACCAGCTGATGAGTTGGTGTGTCTTCTTCATCTCAATGTCAATTGTTTTGACCGAAAAACGCGAACGCGTAAATTAATTTTGATGGTCTTCCTACTTCTCTTTTCTCGTTCATCGCCAATGTTTCTTTGATGTTTTATTGTCTTTTGTGACAGGTGTTTCGGGAAAAGAAAAAGCAATGTGTTGAACACAAAAAAAGATAGAGAGGTCCGTTCATGTTTTTGTGTGTTTTTTATTGCACAATTCAAGGTAACAGATGTGAAATTAGAAAGTAAAAAGGATTTGATGAGTAATTAAAAGGTGCCCTTTTGACCTTTCCTTTTCCGCATTTTGAGTGAAGCTTATGACAGTTTTATTGTCTTGTCAAGTTTGGATTTTAGAGGATTTTTAAAAAGGTTTCGAAAATTTGATCTAGTTTTGGTATGAATGTGAAAGATGCGGGAGTTTATAGATTGCAGAATTTTTATTTCATAAATAGTTTTTGAAAATCGGAATAAAAATTAAATATTCGTGAACATCTTTTCAGAATGAACCCTAACTTTCTATATTTTTTGGAATCAACCAATTCTGGAATTTTGGAATAAAGTTTTCAGAATTTTTATCATTCCACAAGAGAACTCCTTGTTCTCAAATTCACCAAAATGCTTTGTCCTAATTTTCCAAAAATCCACAAATTCCAAATTTCCTCATCTCAAGTTTCACTTATTCTCTTTTCCTCCACAGGTGTACTTATTCTTCTTCTCATTTTCAAAATATGTTTGCTCAACAAGGATTTTCGCGAAAAATTAACAAATTTCGTCTTGTTTACACTATTCTGCCATGCATGTTCCACTTGTGAGAAACTTTTTTCGATCCGGCAAATTTTTAGAACTGGGATTTTTCTGTGATGAAGTTTATAATTCAATAAACAAATATAGGATAAAAATGGACTCTTCTCAAACTTTTAATAATTTTTGAAACCCGTTCTTTTCATTCTACATGGAATCACTAATGATGCGCGAGAGCAAGCAAATTTCATCAATCTAACAGATGGTGTGTTCTACACAAAATAAAATTAGGTTAGTTCTTCTTCTTCTCCCAATAGACACCTCCTTAATTTTCCTTGTGACTTTTGCAATCCCCTTATTTTTTGAAATTCCAAAAAAAACAGACACAGAATCCACAACGATTCCAATATATAATTATTTTCTGCTGCTGTATTGTGTCAATTGTTTTCAATGTCAAACCAGGTGTCTCTATATAATCACATATTTTTGGCACCTTTTTGTTTTGTTCTCCAGAAGAATGAACTTGTCGAATAATCATAGGGTTTAACTTTTTCCCAACCATATGCCCTACAGTAATCCCTCACTGTTTTTATAAATTTTCTTTCACTAATTTTTGTTAGTGAAAGTGTCAAGTGGATGTGTCGGGTCGAATTGCAAACCTCTTTTCATTTTTCCTTTCATCTACTAATTTTCCACCACTTCTTACTTATTTTGTATTTATTTGTAGTTATTATTTAATTTGGAATAACTGGATATATGAGTAGATACAGTTAGAGGGAAAATATATTGATACTTGAAGAGAAAGTTGATCTGAAACTAACAATTTTTGAAAATGAAAATAGTGAATGTTATGTTTTCACGTTTCAGACAATATTTCATTTTAATATCCCAGAATTTTTGAAGAATTTTTATCAGATTCCAAAATAACTTGTTAAAATTTGTGTGTTTTTGGGGCTTCAAAACCCACGTGAGAAAAATATGTTTCTTCTAAATTCCAGAAGTTCCAAAATTTCACAATATAATTTTTTATTAATTTTCTGCCCAATTTGTTTCTTACAAAACCCCGAAAAAATTCCGTACTCCTCCTTTCCGAAATTTTTAATAAAAATAATAATCATAACTTGATTATCACACTTTCCCAACCCAAAACTCAATTTCCTTTCCAATTTCCTATGCTCCTTCAATTTTCCAAATAATTAACCATCCCCCGTTCTTTTTCTTCCTCTCAATATAAATTAATAATAATACTCTACATCCAACAATAATAATTGTGTCGTGTCAAGACAAATTTAAATATTTAATTATTTTTCCCAAAAAAGTTTAACAGAGAAAAGTTTGCAAATCTGTCAAAGTTAATCCTCTCAAAAACATCTGCCTGTGAAATAATATCCGGTAATTAACAACATATTTTTTGGAGAAAAAAAAGAAATGTAAGCACCTGTTGGTGATTGACAATATTATTGTTATGCTAATTAAGTTTTCAAAAAAAAAACTGGGCTAATTTTGAATCACTTGAGTCGGACAATGGTGACCAAACTTTCTAGTATTTTGAAAAAACTTTGAATTGGAGTAAATTGAGTATCTCAATCGGAACATTTCAAAAAAGTGATTCATTGTTTAGTGTACGAATTCTAATATATTTAGACATTCTCAAAAAGTTTTTCTGAGTTCGATTCAGAATCTCCCTAATATATTTCTCTATTTTATTTTTTCATGAGCTAAACAAAAACAATTAAATCACTTTAATAAATCTTGCCGCAAAAACATGTTGCGTCCATCCGTCGGGCCGCACGTGCTCTTCAATTATGCTAATTTTTTCTCTTGACAACAACAAAAAACTCGGTGCGCGCGGGAAATTAGTTACCTTATAATTATAAATAACTATTGTCATTCCGAAAATAAAAGAACCCCCGTTTGAATTGGCGGTCACGTACAGTAGACTAAAAATGACGTGACACATGCACATCAAACTGGTTGGCAAATAGCCAACGTGTAAATTTCGCATTTTATTTTTCAAATAGACTCCAAAATTTTGCGAAGTCTACTGTAGTCTTGGTGTCCTAGGCCATTTCGGTTCTCTTCCAAGTTCTTATTTTTTCGGAATG